GATGATGATGATGATGATGATGATGATGATGATGATGATGATGATGATGGATTCATCTATGCATGTGGATGAATTTCGCCAACTCATCTCGCTTTTGCTCAATATAATGTGGATGAACAATACCATAATGGGTCAGAATAGCGTTGACATTATTGAGATTGATCGTCAACAAGTCGAGCCTGGTAGCTGGAAAGTTGGGAGGTGGAACATTGGCGGCATTGTGAAAAGGGATAAGGACATCATTGTCATGCACCGCTAATGAATTGTTATCTCTAGCGTGCTGATTGTGAATCATTGAATCGAGTCTATTTGTAATAGGTGCGATGGCTGCAGCAAACCAGGCGGGTTGTTCGTTATCATAATGATTGTTGATAGTCTTTGTCTCCCAATTGGAGAGTCTCACCAGATCAGCATCTGATACTATAGTATTGCTGGGATTTGAATCAGGTCTTTGTCGCTTGATTTTGAGATTGTATACTATTGCCATTGCAGCCTCTGCCTCATCAGGATGCTGTGTATCAGCATGAGGTGGTGGAGCATGATAGTGATTGAGGATATTTGCTGATAAAGGTGGAAATGGATTCATTGTTGACAAAAGAGATAGTAATTGTTCTATTGGAATGGGCAAATAATATACCAAAGTGTTCGCCTTTTTTATTTAACTTTGTAGATATTCACTTGTTTGAGGATATTGTATTATGTAATTTATTATTCATAATGAACATATTAATATTGTCATCAATAGTTAGATTGTTACGCACTTCAGATGATGTGGACAAGAGTTGGTCAAGATCACTGTCATTGGTCAATTGGTCATTTCATTCGATGATCAGATCATTGAACTCACAACTTATTATCAATGTTGGTGCTCAATCTAAATGTGATCATGATGATCAATTGAATACAAGACAAGATGACTATGATGATATTGTTATGATTGATTCTCTATTCGATGTCACTCAACATCTCGACACAAAGTACTCACTTCATCAATCACAACAAATCAACTCGATCATCTTTCAAGGTGTTGATAATTCATATGACGATCAAGTCAAATGTCCTACAATCAAGGCATCATACCCTGCTCATTCACTCGAACAAAAGAAGATTGACATCAAGACAATGATTCAATCACTCACATCTCGATCACTGAATACCTCAGTTACAGTTGGCTTCAAGAGAGTGTTTGCTGGACAAGTGGTCCAACTCATTGATCGTTATGCATTGGATCCTCAATCAATCGATTCACTGGTGGTCAATCATCTCTATCCTATACCGTTCCAAAGTATGATTGAACGACTTCCACACAACAATCAACTCAAGACACTTGACCTCAGAGTGATGAATCCAAGTATGTGCTGTCACAGAAACCACATCAAGAGTACAAAGAGGTGGATGGAGACAATGAGCAGAGAGTTGTTTGGTCGCTGTACCAACGTCACATCACTGTCCATCTATGATGAGTGTACGGCGTACAATGGATATGCCATGTATATGATTGTTCAATCACGTGAGTTCTTTGGTCACCTGGATAAACTAAATCATTTGGAATCACTCTCATTTCGTCTGTTACCAGAATGTAGCGACCATGATCATTATCATGATGAGAACACACTCCATGAGAGAGAAGGTCAATGGTTCCTAGAGTCGCTCACATCGTTCATTCGAGGACATCCAACACTCTACACATTTAACTTTGCCGATTGTTTACCGAAGCCAATGCCCATGCCCAAAAAGTCTACACAAGAAACGGTTGGACGTGGAAGTGGAGGTGGACGTGGACGTGGAGTGCAAATGGATCCCGCCCCAGAGTACCTACCAATTCTAGAGTACCTGCTCACCGATCACACATGTCAAGTACAGCGCCTATCACTGAATATCTCTCTGGATATTAGGATGCCCCAGATTGGACGAAGCATTGACACATTAATATTGACAAGGGCCCCACCGACAGACAACAATATCGAAGAATCAGAGGAGGACGACATCTCGATGATCCGCGATCTCAGGAAAATGGTCACCAACACTCTTGACCTCTCACACTTTCACGTTGTGTACCATCAATCCAAGGAAGACCTCGCAACAGAGGACTTTGGACGGTTCATTGGCGACGTCTACATTCCTCCTATTATCTATTTCGCACAAGATCACAAAGATTTTTTTATAATGACCACAAGTTGTTAGTATATCAGGATGTGGCGAAGAATGGTTTCCACTTAAGCCAAATAAAGAGTGAGATTTGTGGTTCCAATTATGATCGGGACAGATGTTGGGGTGAGGGAAAATCATGATTATTGGTTGACTTGAATCTTGAAGAATAATGGTTCTAGGGAGTCAGAATACTGATTGAAGGGGCAACCGACTCCAGTCTTCGAAAACTGACTAACCTAGAATCCAAAGTCATAGCAATTTAGATTGGATAGACCCAATCCCGCTTGGAAAAAATTATAAATAGCTTGTAATTAAATTAATTACCAATATCATATTCAAATCTTGAAATAATACAAATATTTTATAAAATCTATTAATACAATATCTACATATATCCAAGATGATTAAATTTAATTCTAAAGAGTTCAAAGTAGTAATTTTGGTAATACTTTTCTTCCAAGCTTCAATAGGTGAAGAGATCAAAGGTTGGAGGGTCCTGTCAGAGGACGATGCCAACAACTTGGCAAATGATTTCATTTCCAATACTGGAATGGTCACCGGTCAAGGCTGGGGAACATGCGCTTTCAAGTGTTTCGGAGCAATGGTGACTATTGTTGGATGTGGTTATTGTGCTTGGACTGGAGCCTGTGCTGCTACACCCCCAATTGGAGCCTCCTGTATCGTTGCCAGTTACAACATGTATAACTACTGTGTGGATGCCTGCAACAACAACTTTGGAGACCTTAGCAAGATGGATGGTCCCAACTTCTTGTGTGCCGCTGCTGAAGTTGCCGATCGCATTGGTGGAGACATCGGTGGAGGAGAATGGAATTGGTCTGGTGAGGCCCATGGTTACATTAATAACAACTGCAGGGTGCACCATGGCTGTGGTGCTGCCAATCCAGAGTGTTGTCCAAGACTAAATGGCCGTATTGTATGTGGATAATCAATTATCTGCTCAAACAAATAAATATCAATCTCTTGATCACCCTCATCCTTAAGATACTGTGAATTCATTCAATGAATGATGTTTATTGGAGAGCGCCCAAGGTCTGAGGCTCGATGGTGTAGTACCTTTGTCTCTCACAGGTGCCACAACACCTGGTAGGTGGATTGGATGGGATGTAGACGAAAGGTGCCTCACAATCACTTGGCTTAATACTGCATTGAACACTTCCACACCTGTTATAGGGACGACAGACAGGACAACATAGTCTTCTTCCACTTGGAATGTATTCGTTACCATTGCTTCTACAAAGATCGGCGTCCACCTCTGGACACATCATCATTGGACAAATCAAATTCTCCTCAAGTTGTTCCTCGGTTTCAGCTTGTGATATCTGGGTAATGTAGGTGAGCAACAAGATTGCCATAATAAAGATCGTTAATCTATTCATTATTAATATTATTATTAACTGTAAATATAAGTATAAGTATAAATAATAGAGTAAATTTGATGGCTATTTATATTGACATTTAGGATAGTGATGTACGTACGTCAGAGGTAAATACTTATTGGACCGAAGTGGTGGAGTATTGATCAACACACCTTCACACTATTCAATCAATAACAGGTGTGGTTCTACCGGTCACTCATTCATGTAATGTTGATTGTTAGGTTGAATAGTTGTGTTGTGCTGACATTTAAGAGTTAGTAATAACAATCGGTCAACCTATCGGGAATCCTAACGATGGAATTAAATGTCCCTTCTGTCCAAGGGTGTTTTGTTTGTTGCCGGATTGAATCGTATTAAGAATAAAAGTTATAATGAACTTAGAACATGTATGTGTCCAATCACCAGGAGTCTGAACCAAGACTGTGATTGATTGTAGTTGGCCAACTCATTCAACTTAGATGGATAGTTGAATTCCTGTCCTATTTTCATACTCCACTCCAAGGCTACCCATTCTCCCTTCTCCATGCAATCACCAATACCTGGATTCTTGCATTGGACATGTATCACCCAATTCACAATGAAAGAGAGGACACAATCTAAGCATCGAGATCCTCGCTACCTACCAATCATCCTCTCTCTATCTCTCTTCTCTCTCCTATAATCCAATCAGTCAAACACTTGAATTATCATTGATCAATTCATCATCATGAATAAACATAAAGAATAAATATCTGTTGTATGTATTTGTTTGTGTGTTGAACAATGAATAAATAAATGAATGTAGTAGAGATTGTAGTTGGAATTCAATTCAAAGCAAGACACAGCTCAACACTGCCACCTAGACTGTGGGAGACATAAAGAGATAATAATAAAATTAAAAATAATACAAATAAGGTGTTTGATTATTATGTGTGTTTGAGAGAGTGTGTGAGCTCACAACTTCCCTTGCTACTTCACATCATTTCACCTCACTTCACTTCTTTACTTTACTTTACTTTACATTACTCACCGCAGCATTAGCCACCTCAGCAGCAGCAACAACAACAACAACAACAGAAATAGATTGATAGATAGATAGCAACTACAGAAATAGTTTGACTGTCAACTAATCAAATCATTATTATTTAACATCCCGACAGACACTGTTTCAACAACAACAATCTCACCGTATATTACAGTGCACTTCATTGCATTCTCGATCATAATCTAGTCGACCTACCCCTTGTATTCGAACTCAACTCATTCAATCACTCACCTTTACACAATAACATATCATATCAATAATGGAGTCTCTATCAAAGTATAAACTGGTATTTCTAGGTGATCAATCTGTTGGAAAGGTAGGAGTTGCCGGGGATATAGTAGATACTTTGTATTCACATATACAAGCAATATATTAACAATATTATGATGATGATGATTATGATGTGACCATTCAGACCTCAATCATCACCAGATTCATGTACGATACATTCGATATCACCTATCAGGCAACAATTGGAATAGACTTCCTGTCAAAGACGATGTACCTGGAGGACAGGACCGTTAGATTGCAACTCTGGGACACTGCTGGACAAGAGAGATTCCGTTCCCTAATCCCATCATATATTAGAGATTCATCTGTAGCAATAGTAGTTTATGATATTACAAGTAAGCTAGAGCTAAACAATGCAATGGGGCATGAAACACACCTTGGATGGACGGATGGATTGGTGGATCAGCAACATGATGTTGACGATTGGATACGTGATGAACTAACATTCCAATGCCAATCGATCAATCAATCAACATAGATAGGAATTCATTCTTGAATACAATCAAGTGGATCGATGATGTTAGGAGCGAAAGAGGTAACAATGTCGTTATTATGCTCGTTGGAAACAAGACTGATCTGGCTGATAAGAGGTATGTGTGATACATCCTAATTGATTGATTAATTGATTGATTGACTGACACATTGACAATAACAATAATAATTAGACAAGTATCAATTGAGGAAGGAGAGGCAAAGGCAAAGGAATACGAGATTATGTTCACAGAGACAAGCGCCAAGGCAGGCTTCAATATAAAGGCACTGTTTAGGAAGGTGGCATCAGCTCTGCCAGGAATCGACACCAATTCACTCGGCAAGGCTCCAGAGATGACAGAGGTTATCTTGGCGCCAGAGAAGAAGGAGGCGACTACTGCTGAGGGTGGCTCCACATGTCGCTGCTAAGCCTCAACCAACAACTAGTAGTTGTTAGTTGTTGTTGTTGAGTGACAGGCGGCAGAGTGTCGACATGTCCCGCTGTGTACCAGCAGAAGAGGTGGCTGGTGGATGGTAGGGTCGTGCTAGAGATAACTCTGCTCCTGCGCGCGCCAAGCAGGAATCCCCCAAGGTCCAACAGTAATTAAACACAGACAGTCTTATGCACTAACTATCCAACTAACCGTTGACGACTCGACTTTCAGACTGACTGGCTGGCATCCTTGATCATTTGATCCATCACACCTAGTGACATCATGATCACCTTGCACTTGGGGAGATCCCCCATTGACGACAAACAGATACTCGCTTCAGCAGGACCTTATATTGGGAACCCATTGATGATGTGTGGATAGATAGATAGATAGTTGTTGACAACGAGTAGCACTCTATCTCATGGGCTGGGCAGTGTGTGGCAAGCCATGTCGATCGACTCACCGCCAGTCATAGGAATGGGCTGGGCTGAGCTGGCCTGGTTGGGTCTTCAACGACCAAACGATTGTCTAGCTTATGAGAAGCTAGATGTACTTGATGGTTCATTCCAGTCGACTCTACCTGGACTCAGTGATGTTCAAACTGCCAATGATTGGTTGATTGACCAACAACCGCAACACAACACATATTGTTGAACATCCGTCGAGCGTCATATGACCCTCGATCATCGCTTACAATGTACAAGCCTTTGATCCGCAATTGTATCAGCAAAGAGTTGGAAGGTGTGAGGGCCAGCACGCGATCCAGGATCATTATTGGGGAATTTTCAATCAACTCCACTACTCTTGCAAGGCGAAATTTGTGAACAGACACCTAAGAGGCCCTCTGACTTGTCATGAAGGGGCGGGCCATCCCAGCCCAACCAACTCATATAGTTGTCCCCACCTACCCCTGTATACACTCATCTACCTACCCATACTTGGACCGTGTACTTGTAAGTAAGTAACTAACTAGGTTTGATCAATCATGTACATGTATACGACCCATGACCAAACAGGACGATACAGATATTTGCGAAATGATGTTGGTTGAAGTGGACGTAGTCGAGGATTCAAGGAACATGATGTTTGGTATAGGCCCAACCAGATTACAATATCTGATCTGGCTTCCAAACATTGTCGCGCTCAATCCATGAAGTATGTTTGATTAAGTGTATGAGACTAATCGAGTATTTATAACAACCCTGGAAGGTTTGTATTATTCATTAACTTAACTTAACTTATATACACTTTACAAACATATAAAGAATGAACACTGTTCGCTCTGCTATCCTTTTGCTCGTCCTCCTTGGCGTCGCCATGGCCCAGCCAGCCAACGTCGTCCCAGCCCTCTACAATGGAATGGTTTTCCTGAGATCCTCCCAGGACTACAACGCCGAACACGGAGTCGCCAACTCTGTTATGAACAGAGTCCCAGGTCAAGGTGCCGGATGCGTATGTACCCATAATACTATAGTCAATCCACCATACTTTGAAACTAACCACTTCATTTACCTCCCATTACATTCTTACAGTGGGCACCATACTCAATGAACACTAACCAATGGATTATGGCCAGCTCCATCACCCCATTCGGTGTCAAGGGAATTGCCATCCAAGGTAGATACGACTACGACCAGTGGGTAACATCATTCCAGATTCACTACTCGCTCGACGGCATTAACTGGACCCAGATGTACAACGGTGGCAGCACCACCTTCTACGGAAACTCCGACAGAAACACCCCAGTCTACATCAACTTCCCATCGACCATCACCGTCCGCAACATCCTCATCAAGCCATTGACCTGGTACGGAGGTATCGCCCTCAGATGGGAGGTCTTCATTCCATTCTTCTAAATACTTCCATATTGAAGTTGGACACAATAAACTTAGTAGTTACACCCATGGTTGACATACCAACTATTGATCCTAAGATGGTTAGGCGAGTGATGGAAACTAGTTTGTTGTCAGCTGATCAGTTTCCAAAATGTCAGCTGATCAAAATAATGTCATGTGATGTGTCAGATGAGCACTTTCGCCTCGAGAAAACAGATACAAAGATAGAGATACAAGTGATGTCTGGGAATGTTAGAAGTGCATTCAGGTCAGTATACACCTTTGGTGGCAAGATCAACTGGTTCCCAGGCCACATGATCAAGGCTGCCAAACAACTCAGAGAGAGTATCAACAAAGTTGATGTAGTTCTAGAGATACGTGATGCTCGTGTATGTATAATGATGATGATGTAGACGATGATTGTAGACGACACTAACAATGACACAATGAAGGCACCGATATCATCTGGAAATCCACTATTATATGATATATTGAAGCAATGGAAGGATCAGGATGGACTCAAGTCACACTTTATAGTCTTTAACAAGGCAGATCTGTCTAATCACAATCTTCAGAGTCGTATCAAGAGTCATTTTGAACAGTCATCAACATCATCGTCATCATTGCCATTGTCACCATCAGAGCTCAATCATCAGGTTAGAGTTGCATTCACTCAGTCGTCATCCAAACAGAACTCGGCTGCCACACAACATTCATCACATCCGCGTCATCCCTATCAAGTCATCAAGCAATCTGTACAGTATCACAACGACATGCTCTCCAAACTACAACAATCAAACGCCACACCTGCATCGGCTGCGCCCGTCAGCACTTCATGGATCGATCCCAGCAAGCTGAAGCGAGAGATCAACATGCTGGTGATAGGCGTGCCCAATGTGGGCAAGAGTTCACTGATCAACGCGATACGCACGGCTTGCAAGCTGACCAAGGCGGCCAAGACTGGCGCGCTACCTGGTGTCACTCGCCAGTTCAGTGGGTTCCGAGTGTCGGACGACCCTCCCGCATTCCTCGTCGACACGCCCGGCATCATGATACCGGGTGTTCAGGAGGACAACGAACGTGCGCTTAAGCTCGCATTGATTGGCGCCATTTCAGAGAAGGGAGTGTCCAACCAAGACGTTGCGGACTACCTCCTGTTCAAGCTGAATCAACTGAACAACACAACCTATGTCAAGCTGCTGGACATTCCCGATGGACAACCAACAGACAGGATATCAGAGCTGTTGGAACATGTATGTCGACATCAAAAGTTCTACCAGACATCCAAGACTGGCGATGCTACACCAACTCAATCATCTAGACATTCATCGAGACAATCATCACCAAGACAACAACAACAACATGTTGAACAACAGCAGCCTCTTCAGCATTATGACTTTGAACAAGCATCAAGGTACTTTATCAACATGTATCGCAATGGCAAGTTTGGCAACTTCTGTTTGGACAAGATATCCGATGGATCTGTGGCAGCAGCGGCTACCACGACCACTCCATTGACTGGCGACAGCAATAGTGAACAGAAACAGGAAATAACACCGGCTTAGTTATGTTCTTATGTATATGTATCGTTGGGGTTACCATCGTTGTATCCTGTTTTATTAAGATGGATGGATGTGAAAGGGTCTGCTTGAGTAGCAGTGTGGCGTTGGAAGGAGGAGTTGGAGTTGGAGTTTGAGTTGGAGTTGCGTTGGAGGAGGGATGTTGGAAGTAGGAGTGTTGCTCGCGCGCTTGTTAAAGTTGATGTGTATGTGTGATTGATGCGCTTGATTGATTAAAATAATGTACGAATGAACATTCCGAGCTTTAGAGCTTTGGACCAGCGGCGAGGACCTCAGCTGGGGCCTTATCTTGGTACTTCTTGAAGTTCTCAATGAAGAGACCAGACAGCTTGTGCAGGGTCTGAGTGTACTTCTCCTTGTCGGACCAGGTGTTGGCTGGCATGAGGATCTCAGCTGGCACGCCTGGGCAGGACTGTGGCACGTGGAGACCAAAGACGTCCATTGGGGTGGTTGGAACCTTCTCCAGCTCGCCAGAGTGGATGGCGTCGATGATGGCACGGGTGTATGACAGACGGATACGCGAGCCAATGCCGTAGGAACCTCCGGTCCAACCGGTGTTGATGAGCCAGGCGGTGGCGTTGTGGTTTCTGAGCTTCTCGGCAAGCATCTCGGCGTACTTGGTTGGATGCCATACGATGAATGGCTCACCGTAGCATGAGGAGAAGGTGGCGGTTGGCTCGGTGACTCCGACCTCGGTACCGGCAACCTTGGCGGTGTAACCCTGGATGAAGTGGTACATGACCTGCTGGGGAGTCAGCTTGGACACGGGTGGCAGAATACCAAAGGCGTCACAGGTGAGCATGATGATGTTCTTTGGATGGTTGTTGGACATGGCTGGGAACTTGGTGTTGGGGATGAACTCCAGTGGGTAGGCGCAACGGGTGTTCTCGGTGATGGACACATCGTGGTAGTCGACCTTTCTGGTGATTGGGTTGTAGACAACGTTCTCGAGGACGGCACCAAAGCGGATGGCGTCAAAGATCTCGGGCTCCTTCTCGCGCGACAGGTCGATGCACTTGGCGTAGCAACCACCCTCGATGTTGAACACTCCGGTCTCGGTCCAGACGTGCTCGTCGTCTCCAATGAGGAAACGGTGTGGGTCGGCAGAGAGTGTGGTCTTGCCAGTGCCAGAGAGACCAAAGAACAAGGTGACGTCTCCAGACTTGCCCTCGTTACAGCTAGAGTGCAGTGGCAGCACTCCGTTCTTGGGCATCAAGTACATCATGATGGTGAGGATTCCCTTCTTCATCTCACCGGCGTACTGGGTGCCGAGGATGACCATCTCACGACGCTTAAAGTCCAGCGAGACACTGGTGGCGGACGACATGCCCTTGGTGTAACGGTTGGCTGGGAACTGACCAGCGTTGTAAATGGTGTAGTCGGGCTCGCCAAAGTTCTTGAGCTCCTCCTTGGTGGGGCGGATCAACATGTTGTTCATGAAGAGGGCGTGGTAGGCGAGGGTGCAAATCACTCTGACCTTGATGCGGTACTTGGGGTCCCAGCCGGCAAAGCCGTCGATGACGTACAGCTTGTCCTGGGTGTTCAGGTAGTCGATGGCACGCTCACGGTTGATCATGAACGACAGGTCGTCAAGGGCAATGTTGACCGGTCCCCACCAGATGTCGTTGAAGCTGTCGGCCTCGCTGACGATTCTCTTGTCCTTTGGGCATCTGCCAGTCTTGGCGCCGGATCTCGTGATCAGAGCACCGGTGCTTGTAATAGCTGAACCAGTCTCAAAGGCCAAGGCCTGCTCGTAAAGCACTGGCACTGGTGGGTTATGGAAGATAGTGTTGGCCTTTGTAAAGTGCTCGTCAAGGTGCAAGCTGTCGACTTGTGCATCTGTTTGTTTGAAAGAGAGATAAGAAGAAGAAGAATGGTTAGTGATTGATTGATTGATTGATTGATTGATTGATTGAGCTCGTTGTATACATACCAAGAGAGTCGGCATGGGTGTGACCTGGGGAGGAGGGTGGTGGGACGTCGGCGGTAGAGGCCTGGAGGGACTTGGCGATGGATTCCTTGGCTTGTTGATTCATGGCTTAAGGTAGTAACTAATGAAGTATAGTAGTAGTAATAATATAACTATTTGTTGATGAAGTGATAGACACAACAAATTGAACAATGATGATGTGTGAGTGGTGTGGATGCAGTAAGTACTGACTTGTTAATATCAGATACTGCGTGGCTGACCAATTGGGAAGGAAGGGAAGTCAGTGAGTGTGTGTATGGGGAGACCTCGTCTGTCTTCGTTTAATTTACGCTCATGCACTCATTCATTCATTCACTCACTTCAATAGCATCGGGTTTTTGAAATTTACTTTCATGAACACATACTTCACTACAAGCTCGTTAGTCCTTTCCTTTTTTATAATTTTGACAATTTCTTTGGTATTTTTTTCGAGGTCCCCGAATGCACCTCAATAGTTCAAATGTGGGGTTCGGGGTCATCCCTTTCCACTCTTGTCCCATGTTCGGGCATTGGCAGCACCTTATCATTTACTCAGTGTCAACAACTGTGTTGTCCGTATCCCATTTCCATCCCCATCCCTTGAACTCTGCATCATCATACTCCCAAGTAGGTGCAATTATTTGGGAACTCTCAAGTTTAATTGATTTCAAGTGCAAAGAAGGTTATCTCTGTCTCTCATGATGTGCAAAACCTACCTTGGTTAATATCATCACCGAGCCGGATCCAGAATCCGAATGTCCAGTTAATCAATCAATCGACCAATCAATCAATCAATCAATCAATCAATTCAATAATCAATCAATGAGAACTAAGTTATCCCTTTACATTTATCTATGTACATCAGATTAGAAAACTAACGAATGAACTTGAACTTAGAGTCCAACTCTACGATGGGACAACTAAAGTTGAAAAGTGATGACTTTGTTATGGCCATCATGTGCCACTCTTAAAGATTGTCTGTCGACCTTTCGTTGGAAACCCAGGGAAAGAATGAGAAGGTACCTTCTACATTTGGTCCGATGGTCGTTCAATGAAGGATCTGGTATAATCTTTAAGTAAAGTACATCATGAGCCACAAGTGACCCAAACAATGCCTGATCAACAGGACCAAAGTTTCATAGCATTCATTGATTGATTGATGGATGGCCGATGAATTGGGCACGTGAGTTTTAAACAGGGCAGCCAGTCAAATCGTCAGAATGGCTCCTCATCTTTCAAGGATACGAGATATCATTCAAACCGTCGTCGGTATTGCAATGACTTGTTGTGCCTCGCCATCTCATGTCATTCCATGCCTCGCAATGGCCTTGCCACGGCCAGCCTATCCTCCGTTTCTTGCTAAGAGTGTGGTTCTAAACCACAAGGTGTCCAAAGCAAGAATAGATGATGGAGATATCTCCAAAGATGTCTCAAGACATGGTATTTATGTGTACTTGACTTTGTTTAGAGTCCAAACGGTCGAGCTGAATCACCTAGGGTGACCGACTTCGACTGGTGATCCACTCAACACAACTGCCCTGAAGCGCAGTGCACTGCTCAACCCTAACCTCCCGCGTCAATGCCAATGCGGTCCTCCGCCCCCACCCAAGATGATGGGTCAATCACAGATAATCCATCTATTTATTTATTTACCTCGAGATATCTAACACTTTTTTTTTTAGCTCCCCCCAAGCCCTCATTCTAGATCAATCCATGAAGTTGGTTGTTTGAGTCCTTGGTGGTCCACCATCAATGACCACACAAAACACATACACATTTAATTATTTATGTGTTTTGTGGTTGGTGATGCAGTTGATTATTAATTATTTTATGTTACGATTGACGCAACCCGTGAAGGACAAAATGAAAAATATCTGGTCTGTGCAGAAGCCGCGGCCTGCCATGGATTGGCCACTCAATTGATCAATGTACGGAACGGCCATGCACGCGACGTGATATATTTTATATATATCGTCATCTGTCCTATGCGTTGCTCTGTTCAGTGCAACAAACCTACCAAGTTGGACGCATTTCGCTGTCGCCTTAACCAATCCGGTGCGGAGAGCTACTAGGATCGCTACCATCACCACATCCAAAAACAACCCGGGCAGGCCGGCCTAAACGAGCCCTCAACAAGTGTCCAATCCATCGACCTGGCCATCATCTCACTGGCCAGATCATCCTCAGATGGCAGTGATCCAACCCACCATCTGTAGTGGGCCTTGTTCCCGACCAAACGGTTTAGAACAGGCCGGGCCTTGCTTTGAATGATCAACTACTGATCTTTGGTTGTTTGTTTGTTTGGCTGTTGGTTTGCTTGCTTGTTGATGATGGTACATCGGATCTGATGTGTCAACCACTTGTATAAAGGTTGCTTTGAGCAGGAATCCGCATTACTTACTTTAGTTAACTCAACTTACATTCTTTGCTTGCCTTACAACAACCACCAACAACAACTAAGTTATTATTATTTATTCAGATACCGTCATATCATACCCTTATTATCTCTGTCTCTTATTCTTATCTCTTTTACTTAAGGTAATTAGGTTAATAACAACTATGCACTCCATCTCCTCCACCTCAACTTCACCTTCATCCGCATCCACATCCACATCAGTCCAGTCTTGTCCAATCCATTAACACAACATTGATTTGGTATCCTTTGTTGGCAAGTCAATCTTTGCCCAACAAGGTAATTAAATCGTTGCATTAATGTATATATTAGTTGTACACTACCTACTTTGTACTGTTGTTGTCGTTGATCACAACACACACTCACACATTCAATCAATCAATCAATCAAGTTAATCACTCAATCTCCACCTCTTAACTCATTGTTAAGTGTGATGTCTTTGTTCTTATGAGTGAATGTGTGTGCTTGTTCTCTGTTCTGTATTGAGTTTGTGAGCAAACGAATGTGATGGGTGAGTGTGGACACACAATCACATCACTTCTCCGCAACACACCCCTCAATCACATTCAATCACCCACCATCTACTACTACTACTACTTAGGACAACACACACTCAATTAATAATGATCAACAGTAAGACACACCCAAGAGTGATGACCACTCCATTTATTCGATCACCATCCAACCAACTCTCTCTCACTTATATATTTATAACATGTTCATCGAACAACCCGGCATTCCCATTCATTCTGCATCCATCACCTTGGAATGATTGATTGATTGATTGATTGATTTAGTGTTCATCCACATACATAGTCGTCATCACCAAATTGTGTGAGTGAGACAGACTGACAGACAGTGTCCTCCAACTCACTCACTCAATCAACAACATCAACATTTATATCTATTACCTCTACAACCCTCAACACGCACCCACACACAATACACTTCTCTCGACGTCTCGCATCTCTCCCATCACTTCCAGTGATCAGTCTTGAGTGATGCGCGTGTGATTGAGTGTGGTGTCGTTTGTGTTGGAGAGTGATTGACACTTGTCCAGACGGCCCCTCCCATGCCATGCCATCCATTGTATGCAATACAACCACTCGTTTGTCCATATGCTTGACATAAGTGGAAGTAGTAGCAGAAGTTAGTATAGTATATGCCAAATTTATACTATCGTTGTTGGGAGGACAGTCTATAATTGTTTGTTTTGTTATGTTTTATTGAGTGATTGATTCATTTAAGTTGTCTTTGGTGTTTGTGTTGTAATTGTTGTTGAAACTCCAGCCAGAGCAATCCAACGCAAATATCATCAACTTCATCATCATCATCATCATCACCTTAACATCATCATCACTATCCAAGTTAAACAATAAGTTTTATAACTTATTACTTATCCTATTTATTTATTTATTTATTATTTATTTATTTATTAATTAATTACCATTAAGTTCCTTTATTTATTATTTATTATTTATTATTTATTATTTAACATTTTCTCCCTGTTGTATCACAATCCAATCACCAATCAACAAAATCATTCGCCAATCATTCAATCCATCCAATCAATCAATCACACCCACATCAATTATCATAATTCTACGCACCAAATCTATAAATCCATCTGTCTTCTTTTGTGTCGTTTCCGGGGGGTCAACCATCAGCTCGCAACAAGGACTCGAAGCGGTCCACATACCCAAGCCCCATTCCCTATATTTATCTCAAACTGCGAAGTCAAGATATTGAAGATAGGCCGCGTACTCATCCATCCGTCCCCATTTCTTAAACCAAACCTCTCCCCTTGTCTCAGTGTAACTGCAGCCAATCAACAGACGACCATCATCTTCATTCTAGAGCACTTCACTCATATCGATCAATTGTTTGTTTGCACCGCTACTCAATCCATTGGATAAGAACCCTCGCATCTGGTCCAGCCAAGCCAACTACATCAGAGACATCTAATCACTCTCACCCAAAGTCATCACTTTACTCGAAAGACCATAAGAGGTAAATATAGATATAGCCAACGACTTAGTCGTTCGGTAGTACAATACATCACCCATCTACCATCAACTTCCACCACATCCTCATCCACATCCAAGCAAACAAACACTTCCCCATCCCATCACCCAACTTGAAATGTTAATTAATTAACATGGCGAGAGTGCACGCTATACATCCGCGGATCGTCGTTGAGCTTTTGGCTTGGGTCCCTGAGAAGGCTGATTGGCCCCCAAAAAAAGCCTCATCTGCCCAGGGCCCACACCCCAACCCATCACCAAAATTCACCCGAAAACACAAATCACTCAACTCGATCAGAACCACGCCCCACCAATCAAACATACGCGACTTGTACCATGCTATGCTCCACCATCATTCATGCCATCACCCGCACTCCACGTCTGTCCTTACATCGTCATCCTTGTGATTTATGATAAAGTGATTGCGACGGCCGGACCTTTGGCCCACTGATCGCCAATCACTACAAATTAATTAAGGATATCTCCCCGCAAAGATAGCCTTGAATAGATCACCCCAATCAGGACCTCTCAAATCTCAACCGTTGATTGAACCCTTGTGTACTTGTGTGTTGTGTTGTTTGTTCGACGAATGACCATAGCCGTCCCGACTCCACATCGCTCGACGACGGCTACATCCATGTCGCGCCCTCCATTCTATTTAAATATTAATATTTTTGTTGTTGGCGCTGTCAAGGATGCGCGCTCGGTCCTAACTGTTGTGGAACCAGCGCCCACCGTTTGGCATGAGGTGGTAGCGATGCTCAACACAACAAAGCCTCGCTTAAGCTCGACCTGATCAAGCTGTATTGTATGCTTGAACAACATTACTTGATTCATTCATTCATAATTCTTTCATTCATCAGTCAATCATTAATTACTTGTTGTCAACAGATCTATTCCCTATTTCAAATCACTATCTCATATATCACCATCACTCAACACACCACACAATCAAGAGTCTCAATCAATTAATTAATCAATCAGTCCAGAAGAAGGAAGCCCAACACACACCCTAGTACACACACTGTTGTTGATCAATCAATCACAATCACAATCACACACAACTACCACACACACATAACACATACACCCTTTCAGGCAAAACGCCCCATTTGAGGCCTACACAACCATCAGAGGAGCGTGTCCTTTCCACAAGTCGCTGATATACATCTTCCAACTCGAGTTGTGTGTGTTTCCATTCATCCAACAACCTAAGGTTCAACCTTGGCCGGATGCCAATAGCTCCACCTATCCTTCATATATCCCAATTCATCTGATTGATTGATTGATTGCCACACCAACAAATCATTCATTCAATTTCACCCATATATATACATCATCCATCTCTTTCCACTTCCACCTTCCACATCCACCCAACCTGCTCGCTTGCCTACAGACATCCCCCTACCCCATCTCTTCAAATTAATTAACATAACATATTAGTTAGTCCAGACAGTCAGTCAGTCAGTCAGACCTATATTCCAGTCAATCAATCCAAGTCCAGTCCACGACCAACTTGCCAGTCTACTTCCAACAACACTACATTATCAAACACATATACACCAACCAACCAATCTACCAACCATGGAAATATTACCTCAGAACAGTTACCTCTACCATCTGGCACCTGGCGCAGGCTCTAGCCTGAAGCTGCAACACCTGGCGGCCAACCCTTTCACTACGACATCGGCCGGCTCGTCATTTGGCGCCGCTTCCGTCACCTCGTCTCCATCTAAATCGTTTAGCAACAACAGCAACTCTACATCGACCACGCCAACGTCCAACTCACCATCGCCCTCGCCCAACTCAATGATCTCGGCCAACATGACCTGGAGAAAATGCTGCACCAATTCCTCTTGTCTACTTTGCACCAAGGGCACTCCCAAGTGCCTGTGCATGAACCACCCCTCGTGGACATTGATCCTTCGCGTCGTCTTCTTCGCGCTGGCCAAGATCCACCCAGACAAGGAGTACTTCAACTTAAAGAAGGAGGTGTACGTCTACCTCAACGACCATTGGGAGATCCTCTCGCCAACTCAGGCTCAGTCCGCCAACTGGAAGCGCCAAGTCCAGGACGCTCTGTCACACTCCCGTTTCTTCCGCTCGGGTCGCCACACACTCCGCTGCAATGGATACTGGCAACTGAAGATCCTTTGCAACCCATGGACCTACAACAGCTCCAAGCAGTTTGAGGCACTCCGTTTCGAAGACATCCAGCCACACTCTCCATACTCCCCATCCTTCCTCTCATCACAATCATCCTCTCCAGTCCTGTCCTCTGAGATCCCCTGGAGGTTTGAGACCATCTCCTTCGCTTCCTCTCCCAGAGATAGTATGTATCATCACACTAGTTCGATGCACTCAATCAATCAATCAAATGTCTAATATATATACAACTTCCAGACAAATATGTAACAGTAGATAAGATGGACATTAAGAAACTGCTAAGCTGCAACAACTCTGACTCTGACATTGAGCAGGAATACGAAGTGTCCTCGCCTCTGAGTTCAGAGAGTGGCGCCAGCAGCAGTGGTGGTAGCACAGTCCACGCCATCGCTCATTTCAACGCCAACGCCAACTACAACATCAACGCCCATCACGCAATCCAGCCACAACAATACAACGCATCGTCATCATCATCATCGTCGCCAAGCAACACATTCAGCACACCAAGCAACTTTAAATTCATCAACAGTGCCAGCAGTGCCAACAAGAAGCCACGTCTCGACCATGGCTCATCACCATCATCGTCTCCACGTGTGGCCGACGCACACTTCTTGGCCAACCTGTCCAGTCTGCCCTGCACGCTGCCCCTGCAACTGCACCAGCTGCCGTCCAAATCACCACTGTCCAAGGGTGACCGTCACGACTTTGACGAGATAGTGTCCTCCAAGATACACCAGATGAAGTCTATCCTCAACTGTACAGACTAGAGTGGGAGACCCATCAATCCATCCATCATCCACCATTGTTCGACCATCCAACCATTCATACATACACAACCAACACCAACAATGTCGCGTCAAACTTCCAGCTTCCACATATACTTCAACAAGCTGGACAAGTTCATATACACCTATATACTCCATCCATCATACATATACTTATATTTATATTATATATATACATATACATATACATATATATTACCTATATACTCTATTTATTAGTAACCATCAATCAACATAATCAATCAAACATACACATCAATCACATCAATCACATCCATCTTGGGTTGTCAATTAATAATAATTAATTGACTTGTGGCCTGATTTGGAATTTACCAATAGTAGTAGATAACTAGCCTATCCCCATGACAACCGTAACCATCATAATTATTTATTTGATGCTTATACATGTAAATAAATAAGCTCCAATCAATCATATATAGCATTTAAAACATACTTCCTCATATCATGATCAGACTCTCCATTCATTGATTATACTAACTCATTCATTCTCCTCATCTATCTGGATATGGATGGATGGATTGATTGTTGTTGGAAGACATCCATCTCCGGTCGATTTTCGTTGAAGGCTGGACCTCTGATTTTCACGTGAACCACCCTTTTTGTTTGAAAGTGCAACACACAATCCATCTGGAAGGCCTTCCAATGGACCATCACTAGGCTAAGGTCCAAAATATAAACAAAAACTTTCCTATTACATAGACAATTAATCAAACAAACAAACAGACCAAACAAACAAACTACCAAACAATCAAACAATCAAACAATCAAACAATCAACATCCAACCAATCGATCAATAATTCATGGTAGCACTTTCATCGTGATACCTTAATTAACACACACAACACTACTTTCCCCCACTCCCCCACCACACACTCACAACTGATTGCCCCACTCCACACGATCAATCTACCTCATACACAAGTTAGGGCGATCAATCAGTCAGCGCAATCAGTCTTTCAGTCAGCGTAACCTACATCATTACTACTACTACTACTTCAAGAAGATATAGAGATAGATATAGAGCACATCCCTCTTTGTGTTACTGACTACACTAGACTTGATTGATTGATTGGCTTGCCAACCGGTAGAGTGATACACACACACCACATCCAATCCAATTGGATACTACTATTACAATAATCAATCAATCATTCATACACATTATTATCTACTTGTACACTTATATTTATATAAATATTAATATAACATAGGAATGGAGGAGTACGAGGTGCGATCCAAACAGGTGATCAAACTTTTGGAAGGCCTGTCTGAGAACAGGGCCAAGAAGGTATTGATCGCCTTCTGTCATGATGTGATCAATGCCGAGATGTCAAGACTACAACCATCATCATCATCAAAGGCAGTGTCCTCCAACAACAATGCAGCGGTGGCAGTCGAGCCAACAACTCCATTCTTGATCGACCTCTGCTCAGCCCATGTCCAGAGATCATTACTCACAGGTATGTGTTTCCAGGCTCCATGGACTCCAATCAGCTGACTGACCTCTCTTCCATAGCTCAACCAAGTATATTATGGAAGTTACTTGAGTATTCAATCATCGAGATGGATACGACAGAGGGAATGTTGGACAAGTACAAGGAGAACAAGTGCGAGGAGAAGATGTTGGTTTCCGCCACTTCCAGGATTGATGAGTTAGTGCCATTGATCGCATATCTCAACAATCCAGACAGGGTCAATCAGACTGATTATGTAAGTTATGAAGTGTGTAGGTGGTGTCCGATGAAATGGCATGGCTAACATTCAAACATAAACAGAGTGATCTACTCACAACAGTATGTGCGAGAATGAAGAAGATATCGATGCGAGTCAAGGGCATACTGGACAACAACCTATACAATGATGTTGTCAAGCATGGATGGATAGAGAAGAGGTCTGGCAACAACCAGACCTTCAAGACATGGAAGAAGTATGTAGTGTTTGGAATCATTCCAGATCCCTTAAATTTAATTAACACATCCATCATTCAATCAATCCAGGATGTGGTTCATATTGAAGCCAACAGAGTTACATTATTATGTAAAAGATAGAGGATTGACAAAGAAGTCATTGTCGACGTCATCTGGTGCATTGCAGACAGCAGCGCAGCCACCTGCACCACAGCTACATTTGGAGGCGGAGCTGGGCAAGAAGAAGGAGGGCAAGGCGTGGAAGGTGCGCTGGGTCAAGCTGTGGGACACCAAGATGGAGATCTATCGTACACAGCGCGATCAGGAGATACTTCGCACATTCGACATCAAGGACATTGAATGGTGCGATGTCTACAAGGACATGTCCAAGCGATTCGTCGTCAGCGTCATGGGCGTCAAGTACTACTTCCAGACCATCACCAAGGACGACCTGTACAAATGGGTCGAGGCCATCAAGGAGCGTATCGCCTGGCACAAGAAGCAGCGCACCCAGCTGAGCATGGACCTCACTCAGTTCGCCCTCAAGGGTATCATCTATCTTGGAAACATCAATTCAATCCAAGATGTAAGTTTGATGTATTGATATATGGCGCACATTATACTTACTCACCATCCATGGATCGCACAACAGTGTACAAAGTTCAACAGCCAACAACATTGCATTGGATTGGTGACGGAGAAGAGATGCACATTCCTCTCATTCGACAGCGCAGAGGAGAAGGGTGAGTGGCTGGCATGCATACAGGAGCAGCTGACAAAGAACAATCCATTGGTTGCCACGCATGGAGGCCAGGATGGTGCCGGTGACGCGGATGGCACTCAGGCGACAGCCATCTCCACTCCTGCCTCCATGATCACGCCTCTCACCTCATCGCTCCATAGCACAGGCTCTGATGAGGAGGCAGAGCTGGGCTCACACATTCCCAAGAAGAGATCACAGACCTCGTTCGCCGCTCTGCCCCACTCCGATGCGTCGGGCAGTGGCTCAGCCAAGGACGACGATGGGGACAGCGGCGACGAGGCCGATTCCAACCCTACATCCATCTCATTGATATTGAAGAATGAGATATTGCGACGATCAACGCACAACCTGTTGAACACATTCAAGCTGGAGGTGTACGTACCGATGTACCCGGAGTTGGAGACATCCACATTCCTCTTCTCCGACTCGGTGCTGGTCGAGCAGGCAAAGCACTTCATCTACAAGAAGATCCCACAGCTGCAGACGTCGCCGGTGGATGACTATCGGTTGGGCCTGGACGAGGAGACACTGCTGGAGGTCGAGTTCCTCAAGTTTATGTACTGCAACACCATGATCGAGCTGGCCCTCAACACCTGCGGCATCGTCAAGATTGGCATTTTCAACACGCGTCGCGGCTCCAGGGACAGGCTAACGGTCAACCACCGACTGGCTGCCACTCGTCCATCCATGCGAATGCTCGAGAACACATCATCGTCGCCAACACTGAACGTGCCTGTGGTCAAGGATGACTCTTCGCCCGCTGGCAACACAACGGGAGGCAGGACCTCGCCAGCTCCCAGCCCAACATGGGTGGACGCCTCGCCACGCACTCCATCACCATCGATGACTGTTAATATTCCACCACCACAGATGTATAATGAGTCGGCTGCAGCGTCGACGTCTCTCTCGGTGCTACCTTCGCCAAACCTGCTGTTGTCTGCCGAGCCAATGCCTACACTGAACCTGAGCGTGCCAGCCGCTGGCACATCATCTTCGCCACCAAGGAAGTTGAGCCACAAGAGTCGCAGAATGTCGGCCACTGACCTCCAAGCCTTTGTCACACTGAAGAAATCGCCATTGATGCAGTCGTGCTCGGGCTGGACCATTGAGCCCGTCACCACCGCCAACATTGACTTTGACAACCTCATACTTAACAAGCCACATACATCATTCTATCGCAAGTGTATACTTGATTGCGGTATGTATCTTACTGGTTCTTGGTCATCGGGAATTGTACTAACGCTATCACATCATATTCAGAGAGTGTCCAGAGCTACCTGGGCGAGGACTCCAAGGTTGGACCAGTAGCATTCTCATTGGTCAAGGACTTTGTACAGGACGTGTATAGAGGCATATTGCATACCAAGTTGGGCGTCAAGACTTGCGCACTGGACTGCAAGACCATCAACTTTGGCAATATAGCTGCGCTCTCCAAGGCACTAAAGAAGCGAAAGATTATCAGCCACCTGGTGCACCAGATGGATTCTAGGGTGGACTGCCGACAACTTCGTTTGGCGCCCAACCAATCAGGCCTGCAGAAGGAGTTGCTGACGCTGGAAGAGAGACAGACCACCAGTGGATTCAAGTTTGGACTGGTAGTTTGCAAGGATGATCAGGGCACAGACGATGAGATCTTCTCCAACCGTAAGTCTTACACTTTGACAAGTTGTGATCAAATGTTTGATTGAATGCTAATTGAATGCATATCTTTTTTAGGATCTGGAAGCCAAGAGTATGAGGAGTTCCTTGGACTGATGGGCACTAAGATCGAACTGATGGGCTGGCCAAACTACTCGGCTGGTCTGGATGTCAGAGCAAACACCACTGGCACTCACTCACTCTACACAGACTTTAAGGGCAACGAAGTCATGTTCCATGTATCCACCATGTTGCCATACTGTCCAGGCGATCCACAACAGATAGAGCGTAAACGACAAGTTGGAAACGATATCTGTGTCATCATCTACAACGATGGTTCACAGAGTTATGTTCCATCAACAATCACATCACATTTTAACCGTAAGTTTACTCACCTCTCAATGTCGATTAGTATACTAACACATTCATTCAATCAATCATACACTTTTAGACATTGTAATAGTAGTCCAATTCGATAGGATCAATGATTCATACAAGGTATCAGTGGCGACAAAGGACCAAGTCGAGTCCTTCGAGCCACCAGTTCCTCAATCAGTGAAGCGTGAACAGTTGCGAGAGTATATAATTACCAAGTGTAAGTTATTACTTATTACCAATGCTAATGTTAATGTTTATATAAGTTACTAATACTTGGTATCTTATCTCTTATCTCTTTGATTCAATCCATTCAACTTAATAGTGATTAATGGAGAGATGGCAGCATTACAAGCACCAGTGTTCTTCCACAAGATTACAAGAACTAGAGAGACACTACTCAAGTACTTCATCGAGCAATACTCTCACCATGCTGCATGAACATCTTCACACACCTACACACATAAAGATTCCCTGTCGAATGATCCATCCCCCGACAACACAATCCTTCATTTCCCGATTGGGCTGAATAGATGCATAGATATGACCCCCCAGGTCAAGATGAAGGTGACCTGGGTTATTGTTGTAGTTATCAGTGGGGGTGCTTACACTGTTTTGAACGAGAAAAACTAGAGAACTTTATTGATCTTATTAATGACATTCTCATACTTGCTTCCATAATATTATGATACCCCCTCGACCACACCAACACCACATCTGCAAATATACGAGCGAATTGAAAGCAACAACGTAATCGTCGTGATTCTCTCTCCTTCTCTTTCGCTAGAGTATGGTTCCCTTGCTTGTCCTATCCTGTCAATCACTCAATCATTCATTCAATCTTACTATGATGTCATAACAAATAACAAATAATAATAATAGTAATAACAATAGTTATATATATATATATATCAATACATACAATACTAAGTTCACAGATGTAATACTATACAATATATTAGAACAGTATATACTTTAATTTAAAATATTCAACTACATAGACAAATAACAATAATGGATAACCTAAACACAAAGATGATGAATCAATTGGATAATACATCCGAGTTGATAAAGAAACAGGTTGATCAGACAAAGTCAGTGTTGCGACAAAGCAAGGAAGAGATTATTTTCTTGTTGAGTTGGACATGGCCCATTCTGATTGCCAACGTTTTGAACAACGTCGCCTATCTCTTTGTTAATATGTCTTTTGCCGGACATTTGGGCACCAACGAGTTGGCCGCAGTATCTCTTGGCAACACATGGCAGTTTGCCTCTTCAGCATTGGCCATCGGCTCGCTCAATGCCATGGACACACTGATCAGTCAGTCTTTTGGAGCCAGTAAGTAGTCATCCAGCATGGAAAACCATCCCTCCATCCATCCATCCATCCATACTAACAACTCTGGCTCACTATTATAGAGAACTACGGCTTGATTGGAGTAACAGTACAACGTGGACTTATTGTGTCGGCTGGCTTTTGTGTCCTCATCACATTGCTCTGGTTGGCAACTGAGCCTATCCTCCTACTACTTCATCAAGACCCTGTTGTTTGTCGCTTGACCCAAACATATACATTGTAAGTTTGACTTCTCATGTCCACAAACATCATACCATACTGACCATCACCTAATGATCATTATTATAGTGGACTCATTCCTGGACTTTGGTTTGGCACACTCCTAACCATACTTCAGAAGTACCTACAGGGTCAAGGCATCATGAAGCCATCAATTATTGTTGGCGTCATTCTAAACCTTTTCAATCTCCTCTTCAACTATATATTCGTGCATGGTGTTGGTGATTACCGAGGTTTAGGTATCCTTGGCAGTTCACTTGCCACAAGTGTATCCGTATGTTGTACAACAGCCTGACGATCCTCACACTCCCCTCATACTTACCCTTACCCTTACTCTACATTTAGAAAATATTGGCATGCATTACTATCTATGTATGGATTGTTGGATTCAAGCTACACTCTTCACCAATTCAAACTTGGTACGGATTCTCTCGTGATACATTCAGCATTCGTGGACTCAAGGAGTACCTCTCATTGGGCATTCCAGCAGGCCTTCAGATGGCATTTGAGGGCTGTGGATTCGAGATCCTCACCATCCTGGCCGGTCTATTCACACCTGCCGCCCTGGGAGCACACTCCATCGCTATGAACTTCACTTTGCTCACATTCATGCTGCCCTTCTCTCTGTCCATTGCACTATCTGTGCGCATTGGCCAGCTCCTGGGAGCTCGACAACCATCGATGGCTCAAAAGTCTACTCGCGTATGCTTTGGCCTGGCCATCTCTTGCATGGTCACCATCTCAATCATTCAATTCTCAACGCGCCACTACATTGGCTACCTCTACTCGGAGAACCCTGACGTACGCAAGACTGTCGCCGCAATCCTTCCCATCTCTGCACTATTCCAAATGTTTGATGGCATGCAGACCATGTGTCAAGGTATCATTAGAGGCATTGGACGAAACAAGATTGGTGCCATCGCCAACTTCTGTGCATTCTACGTCATTGGCCTTCCTTTCTCTTGTCTGTATGTATATCTTTGACCCTTGACCGACCACTCTCTTAATGTGTGAGCATGAACTAACCTCATTCCTCACCTCTATCTCAGCTTCGCATTCGTAATCATGCACAAGGTTCAAGGATTGTGGTGGGGACTATGTATTGGATTGGCATCAGCTGCTGTATTCTTGGGCATGTATGTGATGCGCATCAACTGGAATGAAGAGATGCACAAGGCATTGGAGAGGACATCATCAGCATCCAATCTTGATGATATTGAACAGGTTACACCAACACCAGGTGATGAGGATGAATCGGACAATGCAAGATTGTTTGTTGGTCCCAGTTCAAGTGAAGAGTACAACGATGTCGTAGAGATACCATTGGACTTGATCAAACATTCCGCCCACCCCATCGCCTCAGCCACCACAGTCAAGAAGGGAACAACCTACACAATATTACACTCCTCTGGAGATGGTGAGGATGTAGATGAAGCCATGGCTCGGGCCGAGAATAACACATTGAATGACTCCCGATTGGAGGATGATGGCGCTGGTAGTGCGCCCATTCAAACCTCATCACCATCATCATCATCGGACGACGATGTAGAGGAGGTGGTGGTGTCAGGTGCCATCCTGAATAGCTCCTCCACTCTATTGGAATACAAATAAATGGTACCAACATCAATCAAATCACTCCATTCAGTTAAAAGTACCTACTGTCCTGGATCACTAAGTGATGGCAAGAGTCAAATTTCTTATGACCAACTCAACTTCAAACTCGAGTAACTCAAATCCCTATTTCTTTCTGAGACGATCACTGCATCATTCTTCATCATCTGTGAAGGAACTCTGAATGATCATTCCTCAATATTTATCGGTCCTTTTACTAGATAGAAAAAAAAATAAATACTATATAGATAGTATTATACTATTAAATAATAACTATGGATAATAATATCATTCCAGACGGTAGACAGCCTAACTATGGTAATAGTAACGTCTTGCTATCCCATTACTACAATAGAAACTTGATAAGCATACCATCTGCCAACCTTTATCCACAGGAATATCATCTTTATCCATATTTGAGTAACTCACAACTTCAAGCTCAAGCTCAACCATATAATAATGGTCAACAACAACTGTATCAACATCAACATCAACAACAACTGTATCAACATCAACAACAACAAATACAACAATATCCTCAACTAGAACAAAATGAACTACAACTTAACCCCCAACTTCAGCACCAACAACATGAACAACAATCACTACTACAATACCCTCAAAATGGTGAACAACAACAGCAACATTACCATTATGTACATCATCAAACCCAAGATCCTCAATATATTACCGAGGATCAAATTCCTCCTTCCCATGTACAACATCAAGTGTATGCTGATGCCAACTACAACACAACTATGGACCTGACAACAGCTCCTACAACCACCACCACGACCACTACAATGTCCAAAGCCACAATTGTCAACTCTTCTGGATATGTCCCTGAGCCTCCCAAACTCCAAGCCACTCCCCAAGTTCTCCCATTTCTACTACCACCTCCTATATCTTCTCCAGAGGTGCCAAAGAAAGGTGCTGGACGAAGAAAGTCCAATACATTAGACTCTGAGGAAGAGAAGTTCAAAACCAGGAGCAAAGAGGAGGTAATGCCTATTCCTGTGCCAACCGAGAGATGGGTGTACCCTGAACATCCTGACAAGTTGGGCAAGGTCACAGCAGAATTCCCCAAGCGTATTGTTCAGCTCAACAGGCGCGAAATACGTTGTAGATTCCGTGGACGTGGCGAGATCAAAAGATTGACTACCCAGGTCTTAGTAGTCGATTCACTGTCTAATGTGTTCATACTCACAGACAACTATGCACCGGTAAATACTGCTGGCTATAGTTATATTAATCCACGTGTAGTTCGGCTGACTGAACAAATGGCGTCCAAGTTGAAATTCATCATTCGACTGATTGACGAGCGCAACTTCAAAGTCTTTGATGAGTTTGAGTCAGACTACATTGACTTTGTCCTCAACACTAATGACTTTGAAAGTCCTATCATCGAATCCGTTGTGCCTCTCAGTCTATTCGGACTCTTTCGACTATTCCGCCTCAAACTTGATCGAGTCAAGATTGGAACCGTCAACTTCCTCACTATCTTTGTTCTGTACCTAGACCCTACGGACAATGTGTTTAAGGCAGTCTACTTTGTACCTCAACGTTGTATTAGTAAAGTGAGTACACTCGAAGCCTTGGATACTATCACCCTCTACCTTCCCAACATTTTTGATGAGAACTTCTTTCTTGTCGCAGACTACTGTTGCTTCCCAAATACAGAAGGCCAGAAGGAAAAGAACAACATAGTCCTGGACCCTTGGCCTGGTTGCAACCAAGATGAACTTGTCAATCTAAGAATTATCAACAGACCCTGGACACGTCCCTTCGATGATATGAAACGCATTATTATTGCCTGACCGATGAAGACTCACATCCACACTTGTCACTTGACAATCCATAACCTATTCAATAGTTCTAACTTCATAAAGATAACATAAGCATTTCCATCACCATACCCGAGTTGATCCAAACACGGCTGTTTATTAATGATTATCTGTTTGAAGCGGTTAACTCCATGGCTTGACTTATTCTCTTTTTCAGTTGATCGTTCTTCTTGTGACGGAAGTATGCGCCGACGGCAATTCCAGCTGCCACTGCCACACCAGCAACAACAATGGCTATCCACCATAATGATGCTTTGGGACAATTGGCACTCTGTCCTTTGTTGTTGATCAAAACGGAGAATGTTGGATCAATCACACTGGATGCAAAGAAAGGCATAGCCATGCCCACCACCAACCTGTTCTTTGATGTAGACGACGCATTGTTGGCCTGTTGCACAAAGTATGGCTGTTGGAAGATTGAGTCGCTTACGTCCAGCAACAGGGTGTGGCTTGCCGCCACCCTATTGTCTACCAACATCCTGTTGGCAAACTGCACGAGGAAGTATTGATTACCAAGCTGTATCTGCACCCATAGTAGGTTGTCGGCGTTATCATAACTGTTGGCTGAATCAGTCTTGGAGCAACCATTATCCACATTCTTGTCCGATTGCAACTCATAGATGAGTTGGAGTACATTGTTACGACTATTGAACGGCCATCCATTAAGCTCAATCTGATACTTGAAGCCATTCTTGCCAATGTTGATGGCCTGGCCTGCGAACCACCATGTGGTGTCCTGATCAAACACAATGGATGTGATGTTGATGGTGAATCCCGTGATGTTAAGCAGTGTTCCAATCGTTGACTCTCTGTTGCCAACCTTTTCCTTGGACTTGGTGATAAGGTCTGATGCTGGGAATATGACCACCGTATTGCCAAGTTCGTCAATCTCTCGGATGTGAGTGAAGAATACCTTGAAGTCACCAATGGTACCATTCCTATCAGTTACAGAGGGCGTCTGATTGTTATTGCCATTGATGGGTATGGAGCAAAGGGGGCCGTCGTAGCCCAACTGTGGCGTGCAGATGCAGATACCATTGGTGCACGTGCCATGGCCAGAGCACAATGGTTCAGTACCACAACCATTGTCAATGTACAAGAATCTCTGTTGTTGGTCGTAAACGCCTAGAGTGGATACATTGACAAACAATGATTCCTTGCTGTCACCAGGCGCAGACGCGTCGAATTGGCACACTAAAGATAGTCCATCGGCCGCTACCACAGGGGTCGTGCATGCAGCTCCACCGATCGCGACTGACATACCATCACGGAATCCTCGACCAGTGATTGTCACCTGTCCCGGAATCATTTTGACTAGTGATGTGGCGGTTGATACCACTAGACGAGGGATAAGGAAGTAGTTGGACGGCTGAGTGGCAACTACAACAGAGATGTTTAGGTCATTGACACCTGGAGGAACAGTGAGGTAGATGGTCTCGGTGTTGGCAACTGTGACAGTGGCCATCTGTGGGGTCTGCTTCAGATCATTGACGTACACATCCATAATAGTGAGGTTGGCACCAAATAGTCGACCACTCAATGTGATCACTGATGATGTTTCGTTTACCATCACTTGAGAGGCACTCATGATTTTTGGAGCCCAATATGTTAAGAAGTTCCTGTTTGATCCAGATGTTGCCACGCCCTCTACAATCACCTCCATCATCAAATCTGTTCCTGAACCTGGTGGAACAAAGAATCCCAATGACGAGTTGTCTGTGAATGGACGGATGTCTCCGGTAACCCTGGCGCCATTAATCAGGACAGTGTAGTTGGAGCTGGTCAGGGACATTCCTCCTGGTACCAACTTCATGATGATCCAACATCCTCCACGTTCAATACAAGAGAATGATTCGTTGACTTGGAACACGGGCATCGGTGTAAAGTCGAATGATACTACATGGTAGTTGTTGCCAGCATGAGGACCATCGTAGAACTTGCCATTGGGGCTATCCAGTCCCAATATAATATCTGGCTGACCCAACTGAGTGATCACACTCTGGTCATAAGAAGTGATGAATGGGCTGAGCAATGTAGTCAACACTCCATTAGAGTCAAGTATCGTCTGATTGATGTATGGTCCAGTTGAGAACTTGTATGCATCTGTATGAAGGAGAGGAGGTAGTTATTGTTAATATATATGAGGGAGGGATGATTCCGAGGTAGTGTGGACATACTTGATTCGACATATGATGGATAAACAGTGGCGTATGTTACAAGATTCCTTAACATGTTATAATCATTCACATTGGTTGGTCCAAATAGATTGCCTCTCCTGCCATCCATAATAAAGTATTGATAGTTGTTGAATGTGTAGGATGTGTACATGATCACATTACCAGTCTGTGGGACATCTGATTGGAGTATGAGTGAGTGAGTTTGTTAGTGGATCGATCACATGTTTGATTGATTGACTGAGTGATGGACGTGGACATACAGATTGGTATTCTACCGATCATATAGGATGTGATGTCTCCAACTTTGATGGTCATGAGGGAGAGACGGATGCTGGGGTCTCCAATTGATTCATTGGCATAGATATGTTCAGAAGTTGACATCAAAGGATCGATCATAAACCAACATTCTAGTAACATTACATACTACACTAATACTTGAGAGACTAACATATTGTACMAAATGATGGCTTATTACCAAAGTTTTGTCCATTAATAGTGATCAATGATGATTGAGTATATCCATTAACTTTGGCAACCATTGATGATACCATTGGCACTGATTGTTTGATTGATTGGATTGAGTGAGTGATTGAACGAGTGGAATTGTTCCAGGCACGAGTGACTTACTATTTGGATGATATTGGGTATAGGTGTAGGGTGTTTGGACTCCATCACTGATGGTGATGTTGTACTTGCCAACTGTGTATGGGAGTTGGCATTGGATTTGATCAAGTTGGATATTGGTTATTATACATGTGATGTTGTTTTGGGATGGTTCCAGATAGGAGCTGAGCACTACTGATAGGGATGGAGACGATGTGTTGAATCTCGCCTTCATGTTGCTGATGGTCATCGTACTTGGTTGCATGTCTGTTGGTTCGATCACTGGGTCAAATGTACCACCCTTCTCCAAAATGTATCCGGCAACTGTTGTGGTGTAGGGGAAGGTGTCGTCCCAGCCCAAGTTCCAGAAGTACAGACAAGTCTGATCAGTGTTTGAATCGGGTTGATCATAATCCCATCGACAGTATCCAAAACATTTGTTCAAGTGCTTATCATAGATTGGGAGTCCCTTCTCAGGGCCACTCTCCCAGACATACAATGACTTGTCCGGGCGTGCAAATTCCCTAGATGCTCCAAACCAAAGATATTGGGAGCCTGCAATATGTCTGAGTGTTAGTGATGTGAAGGTGTTGGAATAGTTCCAGTGATTGTGGGGTGTGTGATGGATTGAATGATCATGTGATTGATGGTTGTTTGGAATGATTCCGAGATGAGGGGTAGGTGTGACAAGTGATCACTTGGGCGTTGAACTCACCAATTAGACTCTTGACATAGTCATATTCATCTTGGGAGGTGATGGTTGCGAGGTAGCCTCCTGATGAGGCGGCTTGTGTCAATGCATCATTCCAATTGATTCCTTGACTCAATACAACTTCATATGTATGTCCATTCTGTGACCATGTATCACCGTTTACCGATCCAACATAGCAAACGATCAAAGTGATCAGAGTGCAAATGACAAGTGACATTCGATTAAGTTGATATATATATTTGTTTGATTGATTGAGTTGTTTGAGTTGTTAGATTGGATGGATGGTTTGAATGATGTCTAGTCTTTGCCTAGTTTGTCACTTTGGTGACCAAGTGTTGATGCGAGTCCTGTGGTGGTGTGATTGAGGAGCAATGTTCATCAACATAAAGTTGACCTCCGAGTGTCCTCCTTCCCTCCCTTGCCTCGCCCGCATTTGTTACCTAGCTTGCTATCGAGATACACATCCAACTTGCTTGGAACCTTTAAAGTTAGCTAGCTGGCATCGTATCAATGGGCAATACAGGCTTAAAATCATCAACCCGGCTAAGGTTAGCTTGTCTTGTTGTTGCTAGGTTAGGCCCCCCAAAACAAACATTACAGTTGAGGTTTGATCAAGTGATCGGGGTGGCACAACAGGGCTTTGAGGTCCTCAAAGTTGTTTGATGCCCCCTTTCTAAAGTTTGAAGTACTTTGGATATTTGTTATGTTGCCGTTTCAAAACAATCGCGTGTCCTTGTCAAGGTCCTTGTACAACAACTAACCTTCCAATGATGTCAAACACACCACACACTTTAGAGTAGTGATCAGTCCAGGTATCGGTCATTACTGGACAAAGACATAAATGATCAGAAAAGGGCCACCACATCGTTATGTGCGTGGGACGTTCGGCTTATCTATACTTTGGAACTTTAAAATCTAAATTACTATATATACCGCGGCCCAGACCAACAAGTTCACTCTTTCATTGAATAGCTTTCTTTATAAATAGATTCTACAAGTTGACAAATATGACAATGACAAAGTGAATACATAGTGGAGAAGTGTCGGTACAGCCCCTCTCTATTAGGTTAACCAATGACCCGAAATGATCATTGGAGAACTTATCAACCTTCTTCCCTGTATTGTGACCATGTTTCCTTAAAATACAAAGGGGACATTGTGATCTTTAATCAATCAATCAAAGACCTTGGGATAAAAATAACATCATTATCACCAGACATAAAGAATAATAATAATAATAAGAAATGGATTAGTAGAGTTACCAATCAATTTCAATTTATAATTCAATCAATATCAAATTTATTTATTAGGAATAATATAAATAATGTGAAGAAAAGAATATCTAAACTAAACTTCCCAATTCCATCAGACCAAATGTTAGAGTCAATATGCTCTGCACTATCTTCTGGAAAGCTTGTTATACTTATAAGAACTAACACTGATGGTATCTCTTCACGCCAAGACATTAATGCTTGCCCAAGCAGGTGTAATGACACAGAAGTTCTTTCCAACCTATATCGAATCCTGGAATATTGCTGCATCACAAGGATTGTTCCAGATCAAGACACAGTATGGGTACTAAATCCCTCATACAGGAACACAATCTTGAGAATCATGTTAAGGGAATTCCCATGGATACAACATCGACCCTTGGACACTCATGATCACGACCTTGCAGTATGGATTCACATCCACCCCGGTGGATCCTACATCCAATAACTCACGGTATTCAATGGAGAGCATTCTCGAGCTAGTCTTGCTCCTCTGTCATCGATCAAATAAGGGCTAGTGAGTTGGAACTTTGATGTCAAAGGAGTAGCCCATGCGGATGGGCGTCCCTCCCAGTGTCTAACATTCGCGTCGACGCTAGTCAGCCAGAGGGAGGTATAAGTCTGTGTTTATACTATATATAAATATAAAATGGAAAGAAGGAAGGAAAGGAAAGGAAGGAAAGAAGGGTGGTCTTGGCTTGATTGATTGAGTTGAGTTGAGTTGAGGAGAGGTGATCAATGTATGCTAACAACTGAATGTCGCATGCATGATCGTTGATTGACTGATTGAGGTTGAATGATTGACTGGATGATTGATTGATTGATTAGGCCACCGACTCTGGCTCGAGGTCCAGCTGGATAGACTGGCTAGTGCCCTTGCGCTGATAGAAAAGGATGTAGGCGCTGCATTTTGACGACTCAATGACGTCGTTGGCCTCCACAATCGTCACCTTGCTGTCGTTGTAGTGTACCCATATCTCCTGGAGGTCGTTGAAACAAAAGGCCGTGTAATGTCCACTCAACAGACCTGATCCATGATGGTTGATCACATTCAAAAGTTCGAAACTGTTGTTGATACCGCCATTATTGCTTCCGCTGCTGTCTTTGTTGTCTATGTCTATGTTGTCTATGTTGTCTTTGTTGTTATCTTTGTTGTTGTTGTTGTTGTTGGCATTGGCACTATCACTGTTGTCAGTGGTAGTTGGATGATGTCCACCATTTGCTACATCATCCACCTCAACATAAGGTGAAAGGTCGATCTCGAAGGGGAATGTAACTTCAGTCTCTATCTTTGAGCACTGGTTCTCTCTCCATCTAAATCGTTTGAGTACTATACATAATACCTTTGATTGATTGATTGATCGGTTAGTATCATTGTGTGACAGGTCCCTCGGACTTGGAGGGCAGACATACATTTGGCAGCGAAAGCAATGAGAACTTCTTTTCAGCATCTTGCAGCTCGTTGCAATGTGAACACTTGTAGGTCTTGCCATCTAACTTCTCCTTTTGGACCAGCTGGCGAATGCATTGCTCCAGGTTGTAATCCTTGGGAGGAGCGACGACGGCGGGCTCTTGCTCAACGTCGACAACGGCGGCGGGTGGCGGGGTCACAACCTCGACGACACCGTCCAGTGGCACGGCGGCGGCTGCGGTCTTCTTTGACTTGGGTCCACGCTTTTTCACAGCTCGTGGTGGCATGTTGCCGCCTGGCACATCGAGTGTCAGTTCGAGGAATGATTCCAACACTGACGCCTTGTTACTGCATTTGAGACAGGTGATCTCGCTCTTGAGCTTGCCCTGGAAGATCTTGGAGACGATGCCGTCGTCCTTCTCGGGCACGGCCGGCTGCTTGGCCATCTTGTGTGGCGCAGCGGGAGCTGGTGGCGTCGATGGGACAGACATGGAGTCCATGTTGATTGGCGACGACTGTGACGAGCGTCCGGGCACCATGATTGGCGGGGTGAGCACTCCACGGTTCACATCTGGACTGTCCATCTCAATGTTGGAATCCATCATGATGAGCGACGGAGAGGTGATGGGCGGAGTGGTGACTGAGGGCGGCGAGGACATGCTGCCGGCGATCAGTGCGTCGTACTCATCGTCGGGCAGTGACGATCTCTTCTTCTTCCTGTGTGTAAATGGTCGGATTATATATGATGAGTTGGGGACGACCTGTTGCTGCTGCTGGGAGGAGCCGCCGGCTGACAGGCGACGCTGGGACTTGGGATTGAGCTCCTGCGAGATACAGTCGAGTAGGTAGGAGAAGAACTCCTGGGCGTCCTGCTGTTGGTAGTACTTGAACTTTGGGATGAACTTCCACACTGACTCCAACAGCGAAGATGGCGTCACCACGCTCCATTTGCCAGACCACAACACTCTGAACAAGTAATGTAATTGAACGCTAAACGATCTGTTTGATCAAATGATTGAATGTTAGCTTATGGGACATGCAAGTGATGGAGACGAGACGAGACTTACAAGTCTGAGAGATTGGAATGAGTGATCTTGTGCTTCTTGAGCAGGTTGAGACAGTCGATGGTGGACTGACGCTTGGCGCTGGAGGCCAGGGGGTCGACCATGACACCAACAGCCGTCTGGAGTTGGACAAAGAAGGCGCGGAACTCGGGTATGTTGCTGAGGGATTGGAGGATGGTGTTCATGAAGCATGTGTTGCCCAGGTTCCTCAGACCAGTGACACCTGGTATGATCCTGTTCTTCTTGGCAGGCGAGCTAGCAACCTTGGACATGAGGTATGTGGACGAGTAGCTCTTGTTGCTGCTACTGCTGCTGTTGTTGTTGCTGTGATTCTGGACGACCTGTTCCTCGCTTGATGTTGCTGGTGCCTGGAGTGCATCCAGACGCTTCCTCTTCTTGCCCGGGCTGTCTTCATAGTCCAGCGTGTCTGGCTCTGCTGCCTCTGCGTCGTCATTCGGTCCATTGTTGTCACGCATCTGAGCACGGACATCCTTCTCCATGATTGGACATTGCTGCTCCTCCATGGGCGCGTCGGCCGAGGGCAGGCTGCTTGTGGTGGACGAACCATGGTTGTCGACACTGGCGCTCTCAGAGTCCGAGGGCGAGGCAGCTGCGGCTGTCTTCCATATGCCAAACACGCGACGCGTCAGCGTCACCTGGTAGTGATTGAACGCAGTCTCCTCGATATCGTCCTGGGCCAGCTGCTCCTCGGAGAGCGCGCCACGTCCGACAGTTGTCGTATAGAGAACCTTGCGCAGCAGGTCGAGATGGGCGTCGTGTGTGTCGTTGTTGATGTAACTGTTGCACTGGAAGCAGTAGCAGTTCTTCTGCTGCAGGTCCAGCATCAGCAGGTGACCCGTCTGGCGGTTGTGAGCGGCCAGATGGCGGCGGTAGTTGCTGCATACGATGACACCGCACTGCAGACAGATGAAAACGCCAAACTGGGCCGAGCAACTATCGCACTTCCACTCGGACGTGCGCGACAGGCGGTCGCGCACCACCTGCACATCGATGTTGCCCTCGAGATGCGTGCAGGCCACGTAGTCTGCCACGGTGTTCTCCAGCGTCATCTCCTCCTTGTCGTCAGTCTCCACGTCTGCCTGCTCGACATCGTCCGAAGTGCTGCTACCTGCGCTACTGCTGGTCCCGCTGCTGACCACGCTACTGCTGTCGTCCATTCCTATATATACTGTCTCTTCTTCGCCCTCCCGGTTGCCAATCATAACATCATCTTCCTCAGCTGTTGTTGATGTACTTGTCGTTGTCTTTGTCGTGGTTGCGGCTACTCTTGTCGATGCTGCAGCCTCCTGTTTATCTTGTTGTTGCTGTTTGATTCGCTCTCTCCTCTCCTCCATCTCTATAATTGTCTTATGTTCGTTTGCAAGCATTTGCATTGATGTCTTCCTCCTGCCCCTGCCTCTGCCCCTGCCAGGACCCATCGAAGTCCCTCGTTGTATTGGTGGTGATGGTGGCGCCATGTCTGTTTTCTTTGTTGTGGCTGTGGCTGGTGCTACTGCTGTTTGGACCTGTCTCAAAGGTGATGTAATGGTTGTTGATGTTGATGTGGCTGTGGTTGTCTTGACAATCTCAACGGTCTTCTTGGATCGTCTTGTTGCAATGGTGTATGACATGGTCTTGGTGGTGGCCGAGGGTGATGTGAGTGGAGGTGAGGTCGGCGCTGTCACGCTTGTCTCTGGCGAGGCAACTGGAAGCAGTGCAGTGGGCATTGGCGCGGTGGCCATGGACATTGGCATGGACATGGACATTGGCATTGGCTTTGGCTTTGGTGGGCCATCACTGGACATGTCTGGCAATGTGACGACGACAGTGGTGCAGTCATGGTTTGGTGGAGACGAAGGTGATCCGACCACAGTGGACATGAGTGGCGTTGGCACTGGTGCTCCGCCACATCCACTCTGTCTGTTCTTGCTCTGTCTGGTCACCTGCTGCATCTGCATCATCATCATAGCATCACCAGTCTGGTGCATGAACATGAACAATCGATTGTTTGATTGATTGTTTGATTGATTGTTTGATTATCGTCGTGTCGTGTTGTGTGAAAAATGATGATGTGTGTGTGAGGTGCGATTTTGATTTTTTACGCGCAATGGTGATTGGACTCGGTATTTTGATGTGAGTGCGAGTGTGAATGATGTGATGTGAATGGAGAATGTTCGTTCTCTATCTATCTAACTATCTCTTTGTTTGAGTATATGTATATATAATGTGTTTATGGCCTTTTGAGGGCCGCAGCCTAATGACTTTGGCCTGTCAAATTGGCCAAAATCAACTTGTTCAACACAAAATGTATGTGATAAACTTATATATATAATACTAATTATTATATATACGTATGTATTTGTGTTGATTTATTATATTTATATATAAAATATATAATATATGTATCTGTGTATATGTATGTATGTATATTTATTATTATTATTATAAGTTACGTATTGGTCATTGACATGGAATGTAGGAGAAGGTAGGTGTATTGTCAACGCACGCTTGCGTGTTAGAGAGTCAAACAAGTTGAGTTGAGCTGCGAGAGAGAACAACAATGAGTGTGAGTGAGTGAGTTAGTGAGTAAGAATGAGTTAATGAGAATGAGAAAGATAGAGGGTTGAAAAAATAAAATAAAAATTGGTGTTTATGCATTGTGAATGTGGGGGAGATGAGTGAGGGGTGTTTGGTTTGAGTGTTTGTGTGAAGATGGGGTGAGTCATTCTTTAAGGTGTTGTGGTCCTTTGAAAAGGACCCTCAGATTGAATTAATGAATGAATGATAGAGCGAGCATGACCATTCATGCAATACCCGTTTACAACGATTGATTGAACATCAATCTTGGGTGCACACACACTCAATTTTTGTTGTGTATGTGTGTGTTTGATGGGCGCCTTTAAGTTTGATTGATTGATTGGATGTTTGTTTGGTCAAGCAAATGTTTAATGGATAGGAAGATGGGTAGGAATGAAGGAATGAAGGATGGATGGTTATGCATTTATTATTATTTAGCGGAATGAATGATCAATTTGACTTGATGATACTCGAGTATCACCAAACATTGAATCAATCATTGTACAGGGAGGAGGAATGATGGAAGGAATCCTCTGCCTTTAGGCTTAGGCTTAGTAACGAGTTAAGTTATAGTGACAGGGCTGAACAGGTAAGATTAAGAGTGGAAGCTTGAATGCATGTGTGATAATGATAGAGTGGCGCAAGGAATGTAAAGAGATGCCACATGGCATGACTGCTGATGATGTTGTCCAGAACGCCAGGGAACCATCGTTCTGGGATACGACCAACGTAGAAAATGAGACCAAAGCCAAACAGGGCAAACATCGTGTTGATCCTGATGAAGAAGGCCAGGCCCATCTCGGCCGTGGGGAATATGTACAGCGAGTGCATCGTTGGCACAATGCCAAAGAAGGCCGTCAGCGAGAAGAACACCGTTCGCAGACGGTTGTGATGCGCAAACGATGGAATGAATATTAAGCAGGCCAGGCCCACGCCCAGCACTGTGATGGTTGTCAGGTAGCCGGTCATCAGGGTTGGGTGGCAGCGGAAGGCGTAGTAGAGTGGCGGGTAGAAAGAGCCGACGATCAGGAAGATGATGCCCATGTAGTCGCATAGCAACAGGCGCTTCCATGTAGTGATGTTGTGGCAGCCAAGTGTGTGCCATGAAACCGAGCAGGTAAAGGTCGTCAGACCGCTGAGCAAGAAGATGCCCAGCACAAGCTTGCTGGTGTAGTCAAACGTGTCGGCACGGATGTAGAGCACGTCGAGCAGCAGGTATATAAAGTAGACGGCGGGCCAGAGATGTGAGTGGATGTTGGCGAATTCGTTGTGGTTCGGTATGATCATGGACTTGAATGCCAGGACCCATGAGTAATTGACGCGATAGCCATAAAGTATATAGTCACGCCTTAGATACTCGGGGATGTTATCCCTATGCTCGCATGAGAACGTCTCCTTATATTTATGTCCAGGCTTCAAGTGCTCAGTTTCCAGCTCTTTCAACTCTCGTAGTACTCTCTCATGGTCCTCTTTCAATGTGGCTGCTGCTGCCGCTGCTGCGGCTTTCTTTGCTACGGTGTCATCGTCGTTTGTATGTGAAGTTGGGTTCGAGGGTGATTGATTGTTTAGGTTGGTGGGTATTGTGGGCGACAAGGTCTCTGTTGTTGTTGATGTGGTAGTGGTCGTATTGATGGTTGGTGTGGCTTGGGCTGTGGCTACATTGGTGGTCGACTTGATTAATCTCTGTCTGAGATAGTTCTTTACAACTGAGAAAGTTCTGTTGATATCCTTCCTCAGTGATTCATCCACCAATTGATGAATCGATGTCATTCTTTGTAGATATAAGTAAGTGAAGTGCGAGTATGTATCTATAAGTGTGTAACTATATGTGTATTTACTTTAGTGTAAGAGTAAGTGAGCGAGTAGTGTGACATGCACTATGTACTCATGAGTGATGATGTGACAGTGTCAAAGAAACACACAGGATACTTTCCAAAGAAGAATCTAAACACAGGTGATTCGGTACAAGGAATCTCGGGTCCAAGCATACCCAACACCACCCCCAAACACATAGTTTCGTCTGACTCAGACGACTTGTCGTTCTTTTGACCCCACCAACCCAAACACGATTCCAACCCAAACACACCACCCGTTCCATAACCAGATATCTGGCAGAAGTACCCAGGTCTGGTCAATGGTATGAATGAACTAAATAAGGGCAACTACCTTAGATGGATGGATGCAATTGCATAATAAAATGGCGACATGTCAACAGTCATGGCGCTTGGAGTTGACCGTCAACTGTTGGGTTTGGAATACGTTGCCAATATAGATTAATTGAGATTGATTGGAGTATGTTGTGGAGCAGTCTTATCTCTGTGGGCTTAGTCTGTGACAGTTCGTTCAATGAGTGATTGGAATGATTCCAGGTCAATGAAGCCAGAGCGTACAAGTTGGTCATCGATGCGGATGAATGTTGTTGGGGATATACGTCTTAGGTTGAACTTCTGTTCATCATACGCTTCGTTGTACATCATTAACTTGAGTTGTTGTATAGTTGTTGGCAACTGTTGCAACAATTCAATGACATGACTCTTGAGTCCACTATACCAAAGTAGCTTGCGTATACCAGGTAGAGCGAGCAGTACATTACTCAATGGTTGTATGAAATTGATTAGTCTCAAACTGGTAACTGATGAAGGGATGTCGCCAACCTTCAACTCGTGTCCATAAGAGTCCAACGTTAGAGTTTTGATCAATGATGGACTGGGCGAGTGCCAGTCTATAGTTGACAACATCTGGAACACTTCGACTGACTTGAGGTTTAGACACTCTATTCCAGCTGGAAGCAAACTGATTGATCGACGTGGAGTGATTTCCAGTGACTTGATTGATGATGGCAGTGATGAGAGATCGAGTGCCGTTTGTTCATCATCCGACTCTTGTGACTGCAGGCCTAGCTTCAAGTACTCCAACACGGGGAATCTGTTTGATGTGATGTGCGACAGTACACTGTCATCAAACGACAAGAGCACAAGCTTGTGGAGATGTGGAAACCTGGTGCCTGGCGCATTCATCACACTGCTGTGTGAGTTGAAGTCTGGATGCAGGCACAGTCTTCTGAATGGCAGGTCGCAGATGTCATCGTCACTGTCACCAAAATGATACTCGGAGTCGCCGTACAAGTAGAGTTCAGTGACGCTTGGTGGGAGGTCGAGCTTGAGCGATGGTAGTTCCGTGTCAAGCCGGAGCTCTGTGAGTGACGGTGGCAACACTGTTCGATCCAACAACAAAGCCTGGTCATTGTTGTACTGCTTCCACTTAAAGTACAGTGACTTGAGTGATTGTAGGTATGTAAGATCGATGTTGCCAGTCACCAATTGCTCTTTGTACAGATTTAGATTGGTCAGTGTTTCCGGGAACATGTCAGTGTCGACCATAACCTCATCCAGGTCATTATCATTCAATGATAGACTGGTGATTGGAACATGTCTGATGGGCAATGGTCCATTGGCCATCTGATAGAAGTGTATCTCTGGAGAGGGCTCGCGAATGAGCAGTGACTGGAGCAAGTCGACAATGTTGTCCCAGAACTTCTTATCCATTGGTCGATCGGGGCAGTCATTGAATGATATACTCTTGATGAAAGGCATCGCCAACACCTCTTGTTTCCATAAGTAATCGTCGTCACTGCTCATGAAGAATCGATGATCACAAGGCAGAGATGTTACATCATAATGCTCGTCGGTGTATATGAGTATGGTCTTTGGTCCATTGTTAAAGTCATTGTTGATTATCTTTTTATAAGAGTTCAATGTAACTTTGTTGATATCATAGTCATTGTACAATGGCATATTGTTGTCATTGTCAATGTCATTGTTGTTGTCGTTGAAGTGTAGGTATGATTGACGATGATCAAACAATCTCTTGCATATCAATGTCATAACCAATCGATCTGCATTACATTCAAGGCGATCTACAATCTGATGGAGTATTGACATTGGTAATGAATCCATGGTGTGTACTTATACATATATACACTAAAGAGTGAACTAACTTATTCAAGACTGTTGCGCCCATCATCAACTCACTTTGGTCAATCTTCCTCAAACTTTGGTTCTCTCTTCAAAAGTCATACATCTATGGTGACAGACAAGACTACTATCAAGGCTACCTTCAACGGTGACACTCGAAGAATGTAATGTGTCAATCTAACATCTTCCCATGTATATTTACTTACATATATCATGGCACTTACTACCTAGCTCCATCATCCAACGCGATCTTGTGTTTCAGGAGCTCTGCCAACAACTTGGGAACCTCTTCTCCGTGTCCCCATTGACACTCATGTACATGGATGAAGATGAACTGATGTCTATTACCAACCAAGATGAGTTGGAGGATGCTCAATCATATTTTGCCAATCAACAGCCACCCAGTATATTGAAGTTGGTTGTCATTACAGACCCTGAGAATGGGTGCACCATTGCTCCCCAAAGTAAGGTCACTCTCACTCTCAAACTAGTGATTGATAGAATAGATAAAGAACGTCCTACCGCCAACGACGCCCTGATCAGAGAACAACCTGAGGAGTCAGAAGTGGAGGTCGAGGATAACATGTCGAGTCTCCACATAGACGCAGAGAGAAACATTGACGCCTTTACAAATAGAATGAAGGCCCCTCATTCATACTATTGTCCAATCGTTCAAGGAAGTCTTGGTAATTGCATTGACAAGTCGAGCATTGGTATCCATCTCTCTCGATCTCTGGCAAAGCGATATTCAACTGTCGCCAACATCTTGATCAACTTCCGTGATGGTGACGCCCTGCTCCCATCGGAGTATCTGATGCACCCTTATGTGATTCTTGGCATCCGTATTGCATCGCACTTCTTGTTTCAGTTGGATTCGAATACATTCACATCACTTCTCCAATCCAACGAGGTAGAGCTCTTTAATATTGACGCAGTGATGTCATTGATTCAAGAGAGACAAGGACTTTCATTCAATAGGAAGTTAATCATGATTGTCCAACTCAACGAGTACATGGCCGTCCAACAGGATATCTTTCGCCCATTGATGTCATGCCTCTTCAACTACATGGTGGTAAACCACGACATTGGCATATGCATTGTTCCATTCCGCACAGATGCGTCCAGTGATGAGTAGACGACTGGTACAACACTCCAGCCTTCCGTGATCTAAATATTCCTTGTATTGTATCAACTTGACTTCTCCACCATGGTGGAGGCCTTAGATTTGATCGAATGATTGTTGACACTGGATTGTTGGAAATTGTGTTGTCTCTGATGTGGCTGATGTGATTGATGTGATTGATGTCTTGGCTGATGAGCGGGATAGCCGCCAGTACGGTCGGGTCGCTCGTGCTTGGCATTGGAGGTGCTCACTGACACCTTTACCCTGTTCGCTGGGTCCATTAGACGTTGTTTCATGTAGTCCACGTTCTTGTGCAAGTTGACCATGTTGGGAGGCGCCACACTCTTCTTGGCTACGTCCATCGATTGGCGCAGCGACAGCAACAGCTCCTTATACTTCTGTTGCTTGGATGGTGATTCCAAACAGACATTGATCATCCAACATAGCATCAACTCATAGTTCTGCTCCGTTGACATTGCACCAAATATTCTCTCTGCCAGTCCATACTCCCTGTACTTCCTACAAGTCATCAACACATCCTGTATCGTCCTTAGTGGCATCACTTCCACCTGATGTTTACTGTTTATAAGCATGTTGGTTGCCAGCTACAAAAGGGAGATGGGTGAGTGTTAGGATCCAAGGTTGGCGCGAGGGAGAGTGCACTTACCTCGACCTGTCCAAGAGCAAGACATAGACGAATGGAACTGAATATGAAGTGAGGCTGATCGACATTGTCAATGTGGCGGTATAGTGTCCTTCTTGCATCGTCAATACGACCGACCTCAATGAATGATGACACCATGATCTCCATGAGCTTTGGTGATATCTCGCTCGCTGTCAACTTGTCCAACTGATCGATCGCGTACTGAATGTTATTCGTCAATATATACGACTCTAGTATAGCAGCATGTTCATGTGAGCCAGCTACGATGGGGACTGCAGTTGCGAGAGGTGGTTGGGTCAGCCAGGTGTCCTTCGCTCATTCATAACATAACATAACATACCTCCATAGTCTTGCATGATGGTGTTGAGCTGAACGATGTGAAAGGGTTCAATGTCGACAAAGAGTGGCTTGAAGAAGTCGATGTCTTTGGGGACGTCCATGCCTTGGAGGAAGTTGACAATGTCTTTGGCCGGGAACTTCTTTTGAAGACAGCGAGTGAGCACGAGATAGGTGTTGGTCTTGATCTTGGCATCGATCATCTTGACATCATCCTCCAACAATTGATTGCTTTGACACTTTTGGACAAAGTCATTCTTCATCTCTAGCACCGACTGTATTGCCAGATGTAATATATTATGAGTGATCTCTGTCACGCGTCGATTGATCTGAGCCAACACGCTACTATAGTCCTTCTTATCAAACAACTCTTGCATTCTGACCTCATCCTTCTTCACTCCAAATGGGTACTTATGTTGCATCTTATGTACATGTACATATGCTCCATTACCTTCTACTTTATACTCATTCTGTCTTTGTTGTTGTTGTGTCTGTTGTTGTTGTGACAATGTACATTTGGAGTATGATATATATCTTGTATGCAAGATGGCCGCACTACTAGTTCTGCATGATACTACAGTCTTTGACCTGTGCAATATTGAACCAATGAATCGGAGTGACATATCTTAGTCTCTATCTCTATCTTTATCTGTTTTTGAAGTATCACTCAATCACCTCATTCACCAAACTGAATTCAAGAAAAGACGAGTCCTTCGGCCAACACCACCACATTGTGTCTCCAAAGATCAAACCTAGTGTTACAATGTCTACAAAGATATATAATATATATGTTATTATTATAATCCATGAAACAAACAAACATGAATAGGTTTGCTAAGATTCAATCATTCATAGATGGAATGATTCATTGAGACCCAACGAACTAACGAACATTCAATCAACTAACTAACTCCATGGAATGACATGACGTGTGAAAGAGTACACCGTCATTCCAACAAATTACCCATCATTTGATCCTTGTCATCATCTTCCCTTCGGGAAAGGAACAATGAATGGATGCCATTCATACACAGATAATGTGTGATTGAGTGTGTGTTGGTTTGTTGATTCGGTTGCCTGACTCGTCAAACACACACTTTTGATCTCCACAAATGGGGGTGGTAGTGGGGGAAACTGGTGACACACACTCAAATCTGAGTGAGGAAGTTCCAAACTTGGAGTGATGACGATGCATCTTGGTGACGCAGCAAGACTCGTCTGTCGATAAATACTCCACAGTATGCATCCGTTTGTTTTTTTTCATATTTACAAACATTAATATCATCTCATCGACTGACACTTCAGACTCGACACACACACAGTCGCGACTTCATTCATTGACTCATTTAACTCAATCATTTCAATTCAATCATTCACTAGTTATAATTATAACTTATACACATATACATATATATATACACATATAAATAATGAATATTAAATCAATATTTGGTTTGGTATTTATTGCGTTGGTGTGCACATCGATCATTGCACACGCAGAGGAGGAGGAGAAGGTGGTCGGCGATGTCATTGGTATCGATCTGGGTACTACATACTCCTGTGTCGGTATCTTTAGAAATGGTCACGTCGAGATCATCCCCAACGATCAGGGCAACCGTATCACACCATCCTACGTCGCCTTCACCGAGACCGAGCGTCTCATCGGTGAGGCTGCCAAGAACCAAGCCACACTCAACCCAGAGAACACCATCTTTGATATCAAGCGTCTCATTGGTAGAAAGTAAGTTGACAGCGAGTGAGAGAGTGAGATGTTCGCGACGATGATCATGTGACTAACATCAACTCAAACTCAAACTCAATCATCAGGTTCTCAGATCAAGAGGTTCAGAGAGATTTGAAGATGTTGCCATACAAGGTTATCTCAAAGTCTGATAAGCCACATATTGTTGTCAAGGTTAAGGGAGAGGACAAGACATTCTCACCAGAGGAGATCTCTGCCATGATCCTGACCAGAATGAAGGAGATTGCCGAGTCGCATTTGGGCCGTCCAGTCAAGAACGCCGTCATCACCTGTCCAGCCTACTTCAACGACGCCCAGCGTCAGGCCACCAAGGACGCCGGTGCCATCGCCGGTCTCAACGTGCTCCGTGTCATCAACGAGCCAACCGCAGCCGCCCTGGCCTACGGTTTCAGCGAGAAGGGTGCCGAGAAGAACATCCTCGTGTACGATCTCGGTGGTGGTACGTTCGATGTCTCCATCCTGACCATTGACAACGGTGTGTTCGAGGTGTTGGCCACCAACGGAGACACTCACTTGGGAGGTGAGGACTTTGACCAGCGTGTGATGAAGCACTTCCTCTCCGTCTTTGAGAAGAAGAACAAGAAGGACGCCAGCAAGGACAAGAAGTCCCTCCAGAAGCTGAGACGTGCCGCCGAGAACGCCAAGCGCGCTCTCTCCACCACCCATCAGGCCCAGATCGAGATTGAGAACTTCTTTGACGGCAAGGACCTCATCGAGACATTGACCCGTGCCAAGTTCGAGGAGCTCAACATGGATCTCTTCAAGAAGACCCTCGAGCCAGTCAAGAAGGTGTTGGAGGACAGTGGACTCAAGAAGTCAGACATCCACGAGATCGTCCTGGTCGGAGGTTCCACCCGTATCCCCAAGGTCCAGCAGTTGTTGAAGGACTTCTTCAACGGCAAGGAGCCAAACCGTGGTGTCCATCCAGATGAGGCCGTCGCCAACGGAGCTGCCGTCCAAGGAGGTGTCTTCTCCAAGCAAGAAGAGACCCGTGATGTCGTCCTGCTCGATGTTGCCCCACTGACCCTCGGTATCGAGACCGTCGGAGGTGTCATGACCCCACTGATCAACAGAAACTCCATCGTCCCAGCCAAGAAGTCTCAGGTCTTCTCCACCTACCAGGACAACCAAGACAAGGTCTTGATCCAGGTGTTTGAGGGTGAGCGTTCAATGACCAAGGACAACCATCTGTTGGGCAAGTTCGAGCTGTCTGGCATCCCACCCGCCCCACGTGGCGTTCCCCAGATTGAGGTCAAGTTCGAGGTCGACGTCAACGGTATCCTGCACGTGTCCGCCGAGGACAAGGGCTCTGGAAACAAGGAGTCGATCACCATCACCAACGACAAGGACCGTCTTACCAAGGAGGACATTGAGCGTCTGGTCAAGGAGGCTGAGGAGGCCGCCGACGAGGACAAGGCCATGAAGGAGAGAATCGAGTCTCGCAACTCCCTGGAGAACTACGTCTACCAGATCAAGAACACCATTGGCGACAATGAGAAGTTGGGCAGCAAGATCAGCGGCGACGACAAGGAGGCCATCGAGACCGCCATCAAGGACGCCTTGGAGTGGATCGAGGTCAACTCGAGCGCCAGCAAGGAGGAGTTTGATGAGCAGTACAAGATCCTCGAGAAGGTCGTCCAGCCCATCTTCTCCAAGCTCTACCAAGAGGCCGGTCCATCCGGTGCCGATGGTGAGTCCTTCCAGAACCACGATGAGCTCTAAATAATATTATCATTTATAATAATAAACAAATATATTTGTTGTATAAGTATCTAATCAGAGTGTGATTGGAATCAATCCATGTGGTTATTATTTGATTCTAAGAAGACACACTCATTCAAACAAGTTTACATGATTCATACTTTGACATTCAAGTTCATTCAACACAACTCGTAATGTCAAAGAGATACAACTCAATCACATAAGTGAAATGGAACTCTTTCCATTGTTGTTGCCAGTCGATACAACATTCAGAGACTATAAAGGATTCATTCTGTTTCAAGTATGTTTGACTTACATTCAATCAATCAACCAAAGACATACTCATACTAATAGTTCTGAACATCCCAAGGGCAAGCAGTATCCTGTTGAGATTGGTATATCTAGTATTAGGGAGTCGATTGAGGATTGTAAGTTCAATTGCTCATCAGACTTGAGTTCATTGATTCAATCAGCAATACCTACAATCAAACAAAGACTCTTGCAATGTAAAGATCTACATCACTTCTTTTATGAACTCAAGGACATACTAGATAGGATACAACCAACTCGAAGTAGTACTAGCAACAACAACAACAATGATGGTTATGATAAGAATCAATCTATGTTACAGAATAACAACAGCCTACCATTCGAAGTCTATGCATTGGTGTTGAATGAGATTGATCAACTTGGTTGGGGCAACGTCGTAGAGATTGACAAGTCACTCAGTACATTCAGCATTTCATTGCGCGATGCAAAGAGACGAGAAGTGTTGATGCGCTTCATCATCCCCAACGACTATCCAACCGCGCCTCCAACAATCCGCGCAAACCTACCCTCGTTGCTCACACCCAGTACTCATCATCACAACAACAACAACAATGATAATACCACGGCGGCAAAGGGCGGATCAGTCACACCATCGATGGGCCACTCACTCAGAACATCGGTCGCGGCTGTCGAGCGACAGGTCGAGCAGTTGCAGCCATTCTTTGACGCCATGGAGGAGATTGATCGAATGACTTGGGTGTTGGAGCCCGAGCATCCGCAGCGCAGTGACACAGCGCGTCGCATTGCCCTCGGCAACAACTGCTCGCTATCAATCGATGTCAATCCATTGTCACCTCTGACGTTCCCCGACTGCCGTTTCCTCGGCCCCGAGCGCGCCGTGGCTCCCCTGCGCCAGAAGCTCAACAGCAACCTGTCCAAGTGGCGGCCGCTCGATCCCAGCCTTCTGGGCAACTTCCAGGCGTTGCTCGAGATGGAGTTCCCGGTGAAGCAGGTGTCCAACATCAGTGACTTTATCATCGAGTGCAGTATATGTTATTCACATCGACTGGGTGGCGATGGAACCATTCCGGACATCATCTGCAACAATGCACGCTGTCAGAAGCAGTTCCATCACAGCTGTCTCTTTGAATGGCTTCGATCACTACCCAACGTCAATCATTCATTCGACACACTCTTTGGCTCATGTCCCTATTGTTCCGATCCAATATCAGTCAAAGGTCATCTAAAGTAGTTTGATTGATTGATTGATCAGGCCCATATCCAACACATGATTGAGTGGAGTGGAGTGACCGATCAAAGACTCAAATTCAACCAACTTCAATTCAGAGTACTCTCGCAGAGAGAGGCATGTCCTTCGGTCTTGGAGTGGTCATACTACAATCAAACCAGGGTTGTTGTTGATGACGGTCTGATGTCACAACAACAATCACACACCTTGGTAATCCAAGACAAACTTGAGTGCCACCCGATCCAAGCTAATGGTTACCGTCGATCAATCACATAATGAACAACATAATTAGTGTGTGTAATGGTATCCATCACATCATCTTCAGCAACAACAACACCATCATCAATCATTCATCAATACATTCATCCATCCTGGGTGTTGGTGACTCGACTCTCTCTCTCGCCCATTGGTGATGGTCGGCCCAGGCACGACCCACACAAACTCACTCAAATTCAAGCCCAATCATTCAAACAACACACATCAGATCACGCCAACTCACACACGTGACCGATATCCCATTGGCTAGACCTTCAACCCCAATGCGCTATGGGGCGTGTGATGCGCGAAAAAGGTGGAGGAAGAGTACATGGTGGGGTGTTTGGAATGAATTTGAGTTACCACATTGGCTTGTCAAAAGAGTTGAGTTGTGTGATTAAAAAGGTCTCCATCCTCACATTCACTCAATCAATCAATCAATCAATCAATTAATAGTTATATCTAAACTTATACAAATAAATCTATCTACTATCTCTAATAATGAATAACTATATACATACATTTGATGATATTCCAATCACTAGTTCTGTTGATGGACGTATCTCTAGTCCATCACTCTCAATGGAGACGATGTTGAGCCAAGGATCAATGCCATTCAATCAAGAGATCTATGTTAAGTTTGTCCTGGCCAACAACCAAATGATCAACATCCATCCCAACGACCTTAATGACTTTTACATAAACCCCCGACAGTCGACCTCTCATTCAACAACTTCCTCCTTCTCCTCAGTCCCTGTCCCTGTATCTGTACCTGGACCTCTACCTCTACAACAACAACAACAACCCATACTCCAATACCAACAACAACCACAACCCCAATACCAATCACAATTCCAACAATTCCAATCATTCCAACAGTTCCAACCTCAGCCTCCTGTAACAGTGTATAACGCTCAAACAACATACTTTGGACCTGTGGACAATGGCTTGCCATCTGGACATGAGCCATCCCCAGATGGTTCATTGTACAACAATGTCCAGGACAACTCGTTGGTAACTGCAATGAACCAGATTGACCTTTCTCAAAACTCCTCCCCTCCCACTGCTGAGGGTACACCCAACACTGTCCCCGTCTACTCCTCCCCATCCCCTGCCTACTATGAGGACAGCTCCCCAGCCATCACAACTACTACGTCCACAACATCGACGGCATCCAACTCTGCTACATCCTCTCCAACACTCCCCGCTACCAAGTCCAAGAAGGGATCTCTAAGATCTACCAAGTCAGAGACAAAGGTGGCTAAGGTGACTAAGGTGAAGGGTGCAAGAAAGTCCAAGAAGGAAGCTACCTCCAAGGTTAAGGATGCTTTGGCCGAGTCATTCACAACCAGGCAAAAGAAGAAGATGCCCCATCCAGAGACCGTAGTACCACTTGTGTACGAGGACCATCCAGATGAGATCCTTAGACTGCGTGGTGTCGAGTACCCAGCAGTGATAGTACAAGGCAACAGTCGTCCGATCGAGTTCTACTTCAGTGGCAGAGGTGACATCAAACGTCTTGGCGTGATCACCAATGTCCAGGAGTTTAACGAGTTCAAGATCACTGGCAACATTGCATCGATCGAGACCAACGGAGATTGCTTGATGGAGCCCAACATTACACGACGCAAGGGATTCAAGGATGTCAAGACACTCACATTATTATCCTGGGTGGTAGACATGCCAACACTTGAGAAGAAGTACTTCATTGGGGAGAGGAAAATCAACTTCCTACTGAACACCGACGACTTCCCAAGACCATTGATCAGGGGTATCAACATTGTGTCTTGGGAAGGCGAGCTGCCATTGGTATACTTCTCTGTGGACCGCCTCAAGAAGGGTCCGATCAAGAAGCTAACTTTGTTTGGACTTCGTCGTGGAGAGCTTATCGACCCAAACAACAACAACAACACAGGAGATAGTAGCTATCACTGGTCCATTGCCTTTGTCATCCCTCAGTTGATGATCACCCAGGACACCAGCCTTAAGGAGACCGCTGTATTCCCACTTGCCAGCGAGTGGATCAACCGTGGATACAAGTTGGCCGCACACTACACTCATCTACCAACCTCGCCCACCGACAAGGTCAGAAAGAACTGCATTCGTCTCTGTCAAGTACAAGGCCTCGGCAACCTCATCAATGCTCCATGGACCTATGGTACTGATGGACTCCAAAGTCTATCGTGTTGACATGCCGTGAGGTCTGGCCATACTTCACTTCTACTTCTAACTTCTACTTCTTCATAATCATCATGGTAAACAATAAAAAAACATCAATCTTAGTCTTGATCAATCAAGTCAAGTGTGTGAATGAATGAATGAATGTTATGGGTGGGGTGCTGGCGTGGCAACATCAACGGCAACTCCCATTGGAAGTTGGCACCACACCACTCTGACTTCACCTCTAGCACATCGTGATGCTCATATTCTTTCTATGCTGTGGTATATGTGTATGTGTATAAATGTGTATGTGTACGTGTACGTATAAATGTAAATGCTTAATAATGTGGTGATGATGAGGATGGCGCCTTTCTCTTTGTCTACTACTTGTACTACTATTACTTCAACAAGAGGCGCAATCAATCAATCAATCAATCAATCAATCACTCATTCGATCATACTATTATAATATCAAGACTTAGAGATAAGATATTAATATGAATAGATATATATATTTTGTATCGATTGTATTGATGTGGATAGAGTTGACTAGGTTGCCAGTAATAGAGGCAGCTTGTTGTGAAGGTATTGGAGATGTAGTCAATTGTACTGGAACAATATATCACGATTCATTCTTTATAACTTATAAATGTCAAGGACCAGATGATGAACTACAAAGTGGAGAAGTGGAGTTGTGCACTCTATGCATGTCATCAATATCGACCAATGCCATTATATTCATTGCGACCGTACCATCATCAGCAATACTAATTGGAATAGTAGTTTGTCTATGGTGTTGTTGTAAGAGACGTAGACAAGCTGCCAAACGTTCATTCAAAGGACAGACATCGTCGGATCAACAACAATATAATATACAACAACAACAACAATATCAACAATTATTACATCAACAACAACAACAATTATATTATCAACAGGTATACGATCCAGCTACTCCACCTGTATTCACAGATTATACAATGATCATTCCGAATTCATCCGCATCAGGTCAGGTCTATGTTTCAATTGGACAGTCGACTCCAACATCCTCACCTGCATCAGGCTACGCCTACACCTACCAGAATTACCATACTCCTGGTGGAGGTAATCACTTCCAATCAATGCATTGATTGGCGACAACAAGGCAAAGAGATATTCATCATAGTGGACTGACTGGATTAAGAGATATCATCACAGACTGATTAAACTTATGATTGATTGCCAATAACTATAATTATATAGGTTTAATACCTTTATCTTGGTGACTTTACTGAGTATCTTCCATGGATGGTGTTGGAGAAGGTTCTGGAAGTGTCACTTCAGAGAATGACCAATCATCAGCCGCCTCTGGATACTCAATAACAAGCAGATGTTGGGAGATATTGTTGGCATGTTCAAATGCATGTAGATCAGCCAACCTTTGTTCAGTGGTCTTGGAATCCTCCTTGTCCTGTTCTTCTTTTGTAGATTTCTTTGGGAATGAGTAGAAGCTAGGTCTCATGTAGAGGGTACTGGAAGAAGGACCGATGGAAATGAGTCGGATATGCTTTGATTGATCTCCAATGTTGTTACGTAATGTTGTAGGAGTGAAATGGGCGTCAAGATATTTCCTTGCCCATCTTTGTTAACAATGTTGTGTATCAGTTTGCGACTGACCTCAGTGTCGTCTGAGAGAGATGATTGGAGCACAGCTTGCATGGACTCGATTGCCAATGCTCGTTGAAGAAGGTCCTGTTGTCCCTGCGATCAGTTGCAAGACATATCGGGGTATACCTCCCCATTTGTGAAAGCCATTAGTGATCTGGTCTGGTGTCAATGGATGCTGGAGCAGGTTGTTGGCTTCATTAATCTCCTGTAGTGTCCAGTCGGGCATGTATTTGATGTCATTAGAGTCACCAGCCTTCCTGAACTCTCTGTGGATGACTTCATTGGAGGGTGATGAAAGAAGTATGGTGAATAGAGTCGTGGGCACAGGTTCGACTCCGTCTACAATGTACCATGTTTCTGGATCAGTTACATAGAGGACATCTCTGGGATTGGTAGTGAAGGTGACAGAGAGTACATAATTCTTGAAGATGAAATAAGCAGAGAATCCAAAGTGAACACTGTGATACCAGAAGGAGCAGTCTCCAAGTGAGACAATTGAGCTCATTAAGTAAGAAACCCACATTGATTTGCCAATGCCAGGATCGCCTGTGATGTTGACACCCTCCCATATTCCATTGGTCTTCATCTCGCATACCATCTCGCTCTTACTAAGGTAAGATTTGCGCACCAAGAGGCGAGTCTGCTTCCCTAATAAGGGGGCGCCAAGAGTTAGGATGTTGCCATCCACCTTTGATTGCTTGATAGTCTTCCAAAACTCTTCAAGATGAGAGATGGACTTTAGTTAGTAAGTAACACTAGGACATAAACAATTGGTATAAATACTTACGAGCTTGGTTGAGTCCAGCAGGGGCTGCTTTGGGAGGGTATTGTTACACTAGATTAGAGGCAATTCCTGGTGGGATGTTGCGGCCGATGAGATGGACTTCTGAGTGTGTCTGAATGTAGTTGGGAGAGATGAAGTTGTCATCAATCACCTGCATAACAGCATGGTTAAGGGGAACTTTAAGTTCACATGTATTAAGATATTCTTTGATTAGATCCATTTGCGAATGAATGAATGAATGATGTTTGAATGATTAGGTATATATCAATATATTACACGATCAACAACAGAAGATTCTTGAAAGTACGCAGAAAGGTCCTAACTTGACATCCTAAGACGATCCGGTCGTGGTCCAGATCTTCACAAATAAGATCTTATTTTCATTGAATCATGATTTCCAAGCAACCGAACCTATTGGGGGTGTCAACAATTTAATATAATTATATTATTATATTCAATCTCGAGATAGTAATAATAGTATGTAAGGAGTAGTAGTATACATTGATGGATGACGTGTTCATCATTAGTATTTAAATAACCTTCTCCAGGAATTCCTTGCCTTTGAACGACGTTGGAATTGGCTGGATGGGTTCGGGCGAATAACTAATAAGGTCTTCCCGATGGAATCTCGATTGAATATAGTTGTTGTTCAGTCTCTCTCTAAGGTCTGCCACAATGGAATCTAATGTCAACTCAATCTGGCAATGATTCCTATAAGTTGATATATATGATTGACAAAGAGCGTTAGTGATCAGAGTAATGCAGTGCAGTGCAGTGAAGTGTCATCAACATATATATACATACTTTAGAATTGCAACCTTTGGCCATGTACATTGTTTACCTTTCTTGATACAGTTCTTCATTATATCGGGAGAGGGATTGCTTACAATGTTGGCATAGTCGCCAATGGTCACCTCGGGGAAGACTGTGATGTCGCCAGAGTACTTTTGTGTGATCAGTGATGGGATGCCACTGATAGAAGCGGGTATCAAGCCAAGCGTGGTCAGTTGGACCACTCGATGCTTGATCTCCGACTTGCCCAAGTACTTGAGCGCATCGACTACTGAGTTGGTTGACTTTATCGCCTTGTCGCTGATGAACGGGATCACATGTGGATTGACCTGCGAGACGATAAAGTGGTTGACGTTGAACAACTCCGATAGACGGTTCATGGGGAGGTCGGCTTCAACTGAGCCGTCGGTGAACTTGACGCCCGAGGGGTGGTAGGGGATGATGTGGCCGTGCTTGTCCTTGGCCATCAGCTCCACCGGCTCGAACAGGAACTTGAGCGCACAGCTGGCACAGGCAGCACTCCACACCAGGACGTTGGGCGCCGTTAGGTAGTTTAGAAGACGAGGGAACTCAAAGCTGCCATTGGACGACACGGTGATATTGAGCGCCACCTTGGTCTTGTCGTAGGCTTCCTTGAAGGTGAGGTCGCCAATGTTCTCGCGAACGCACTTTTGCAACTTCTTGATGTCCATCAACACGCCCTTCTTGAACAGACGTGCGATCTTCCTGTTGTACGATGGGCCACTGTCGAATGCATCCAAGTTGAGATGCTCGTTCTTGAAGAACATCATCATCTCCTCCTCGGTCAGCGTGCCAACCATCGACGCGACGATTGAGCCTGCGCTCGAACCCGAGATGATACGTGGCAAAAGACGGGTCTCGTGCAACGCCTTGACAACACCAAAGTGATACATTCCCAGTGTGGCGCCACCGCTCAGACACAGGGCCGTGCGACCAAACGCCTGCCTCGTCTCGTAGAAGAAGTCAAACTTGCGCTCCAGGGTGAAGTCGTCCGACTCGGCCAACTCGTAGACGTAGCGCAGCTGCTTGACGACCTCCTCGACGTATTCCTCGATGACGTGTTTAGTGCCCACGCGGCTCTCTTGGAACAGACTGATGTTGCCCATGCCTCCGAGATTCCTCAAGAGGCCAGCGCGCAATGCAATTATCAATGAATGAGTGTCGCCCTTTTGTGCCAACAGTCTCAAGTTGGTCAGTCTGAACCTAATGAGTTTGCTATCGTAATATGGCGACTCGTCCACATTCCTCCACTCATCCTTCTTCTCCATCGCGTCCAGTTGTTTCGCCCATGAAGTCCATTCAGGGTAACTCTCTGCCGTCTTCATTCTATCATGTAGGTATTCAATTCGTCTATTCCTTTCCTAGATTGATTGAAATGGAGTGAGTGATTGAGATATTGACACACTTTGGACCAAGTTCCAACTTACCTTTTCTCGCTTTGACTTGACGACATAGGATGGGAACAGCCATGAGAGTATGATTAGGGCCAAGTTGATACATATTGGGATCCAAAAGAATATATAACTCGCTGACAAATGATCAAGTAATCGTTCAAAGAGTGTCTTTGAAGGTGGAGGTGGAGAAGAGAATGTGATCGATGAATCCTGCTGCTCCTGATTAATTTGTTGCTGTTGTTGTTGTTGTTGTTGTGATTGTTGTTGTTGTTGTCTATGTTGTAATTGTTGTTGATGTTGTTGTTGATGTTGATGTTGATGTTGATGTGAAGATATATTATCTTCAACTCTGATCAATGTTTGATCACTATCTACAATATCTATATTATTATTACTATTATTTGTGTTACTTGTTGATGATGATGATGTTGTTGATGTTGTGTTTGATGAAGCTGACAATGTCATCTCCTTAACATGTAATGGTAACAATGTATTTGAGACCATTGGCATTGGATGATGGACTCCTCCAGTACCATGATGATGTCCACTCATTTCCACAGATCTCTTATCTTTATTTGGCGTTACAACAAACACCATGTCATCCACTCTCCTTCACTCTCACCCTAAATAGAAATATATAAATATAAATACAAGTTAATTAGTTATATATAATATATATTTAGTTTAGTTCAGTTTAGTTTAGTTATTTAATATATGTACAATTGTTGTTGTTGTTGTTTGATGATGCTATTATGTGTGTGTATGTATGAATGAACTGTGTGTATGTGTATGAATGAATGAATGAACGTTGTTGATGGATGGATATATGAAATTGAATGTTGTTGGAATGAATTGAATTGGAGTGAGTTGGATGAATGGAGAGATGTAAGTGAGTGTGATGAATGGCGATTAATGTGGGGGGTTTGTTCCTCAGCTCTAGCCTATTCAAGTTTAAGCACCCACCATTTATGGGGTGGGTATCTATTCACCTCAACAATACCACACTACACACCACCACACACTCACCATTAACCACACACACACATACATCTTCGAGAATGAACAGTATTCAATTTGGTTTGATAATGGCTCTGCAGATGTTGAACAGGATGAAGATCGAAGTGACAGCGGGGTTTGCTCTTGACCATCTTCGCAACAATTTATCCTCGTTGCGTTTAGCGCGTTTGGTTGCTTCACGTCTCTTTGTCTTCCTTTTCCGCTGTTGCTGTTGTTGTGCTATCATCCTCTTCAATCTCCTCTTACTACTACGACCAGTCATCATCGTTGTAACTGGTGATGACTCTATTGCCGATAGTGTATCATCAGTCGTACTCTCATCATCCACATCATCCTCATCTTCCTCATAATCATCACCTTCATCATCATCATTGCTAAGTTGACTGTCATCTTCAATTTCAGAGTCGTTGTCTTCTACATTATTGTCAAACAATGACTTGAAGATTGGATATCCATAGTTGTAACTACTCTCCTCTACTTTGTAGACTACCTCTCTAACTTCCTCGACTTCTACATCCTGTCTCTTCATCACTTCATATTCTATCTTCTCTTTCTCCTTTTCGATCTTGTTAGGAATTTTTCCATCACCTGACTGTTTGTTGTTGAACTGATATTGAAGGAGATCAATATCCAAGTAGAGTGTTGATAACTTCTCCTTGAAACTTGATATGCCCAATTCTTCAATGTTCATACTGAGTAGTTGCATCTTCTCTTTGTTCCTTGATATCCTCGACTCAAGGAATACTCTCCTTTTCTCCAAGTCTTTCATCTTGACAACATATCCACGAAGAGACTTCCTAAACTTATTCTTCCTCTCAATCAATTCTGCTTGGTTCTTTGGACGCTTCTCTGCCTCGATCAATCTTTCCAAAGGTTCAAGTATCAGCTCGATCTGAGTGACCAACTCATTGGGAGCCAACTCCCATAATGGTTGTTGAACAAGGGGCACACCGCCAATGTCTTTGAGTATCCTGGCAATGCTGTACTTTGTTGAATTAAACTCTAATCCTCTGATGGTTCTACTATCCTCTTGAACCAATCTAGAACAGTCTTTGAACCTCTCAACCAATACCTTCTTCTTCTGCTGAAGTTGATTAAGTTGATACATTATAGTATTTATCTCTGTTCGTTTGTTCTTGATTGTTGCCAACATGTTGTTCTCCTCCATTGTGTTGACTTGTACAATCTTGTTGGGTTCCTTTAATGGTACTGGTACTGGTACTAATGTTGTTGGTACAATTTGGTCATATTCATGGCACTTGTCTTTGACATTGGACACTAATGGGTCGTCCTCAAGTTGAGGTGAACTACCATCAAATGGTTTGATTACTTTCTTTGATAATGGTATCCATAACAATTCCATATAATATAGTTGGTGGAAGTAGATATTGGAAGTTGGATGTTGGATAATTGAAGATGGAGGTTATATGATTGAGATTGTAATATGGACTCTTTCATTCACTCCAATCCAATCACTTCATACTCTACTCCATTGGTATAAGCATTATTAGTTGAGGCAACATTGAATGACTCATCAAACATTAATTTCTGTGATGTTTCGCATCCAGGAAAGCTGGAAACAAAACAGACTCTAGTGATCAAACTGTGGGGCGTGACAATGTGTGTCACTTGGTTTGTTATTTACTTGATTGATCAGTCGACTGATCGAGGCATGGTAGCCTTCCACCAACTTATCCAACCAGCAATCAGGCAACCAGCCTTGTTCCAAAATGATGATGATCAAACTATGACAAGGCAGCAGCATTTGGAGGAGGCGGCGTAGCAAAGAAGAAGCCGAGGAATCGATTGCCAAGACGCACCTTTACAATGTACAGGACGACCAGCATGAATACTAGGACGCCAAAGTAGATGAGGTACTTGTCGATGAGATCGCGTCGCTTCAGTTTGGTCAGCAGCGACTTGGACTCGGTGGTGCGCGAGCCATACTCACGCGCCTGATTCAGCGTCTTGTCCAACACCCTAGATGCATCGTTGATCTCCGACAGGATGTGAGTGCTTATGGCCACGTGTGAGCTCAGTATGTTCCTCGAGCGCTTCATTGCGCTGGTGATGTTTGTCGATGATTTAACAACATCCTCATTGTTCGACTCCTTATACAATCTTGATTGTTGACTAATATTACTTCCACCATCCAATAACTCCTTTGTCTGTTGCTGTTGGAACTTATCACGTATCTTCTTTGTAGCCTCCAAGTTCAACTTCCTATGTAATATTGTTAAGCTTGGAGTTGTCGTCAGTCAGTCACTCCATCGCAGGGTCATCAACTAGATTACACATACTTGTTCAACTCTTCCTTATGTATTGCCAACTCCTTCTGGTACAGTGTTATCTTTGCAGACTTGTTCTTCTCATATATCTTCTGTGATGCAACCTTTGTTTGATTGAATGATTGAATATGAATGAGTTGAGTTGATTGATTGAATATGATTGAATGAGTTGGACAACCCTTTACCTTTATAAGTTTGTTAAGTTTATCCAGACCATCTTTGATTGAATGATGTAGAGCTTGTATCTCAGTGAGCACTGAAGCATGTGACAGTGATACTATATCATTCCTAATACTATATTCAACATCGTGTAATTCCTTAAACAGTGTCTTCATCTCTATATTGTATGTTTATATGTATGATTGATTGAATGTATGAATGTATGAATGTATGTATTTATGTACAAGTAATTAAGTAATGAATCATCTCAATCAGTGAAGTAATGAATGAATGAACTTGTCGCCAACCTTGAAAACGTTGTTGAGTCAACACCACTCATGTGTCGACGCCACGTCATGTAACTTCAACTTGAATGTCTATTCATTCAGCACAACTTATTGTTGTTATTATCTCTTTCCAGTCAACAACATGGAGAATGGACACACGAGATAGATAACCTTGAATATGAAGTTGGCCAGCCACATTTGACGCGTCAACTTCATCATTGTCGCATTTTTCCCATCAAGTTGTCATTCGTGTTCAAGTCGGTGGGTCCCGACACGACACAATCGTCATTAGTTCAACAATATAACAAAGATACAGATAATAGATAGATATATAAGAAGATGGACAAGTACAATAAATCACAGTTGTTGATGTCTGTTGACTCGATATGGACAGTTTGCGAGAGATCAATGTACTCTTATGAGATGTGTCGCATTGAGAAACCAGAGTCAGAGTGTCTGCGGTTTGCCGCTGCAGTATCTGGTTGTACACAAAGAGTGTAAGTAGTCATCAATCAGTTATATCATAGATGATGATGATGATGATGATGATAACACTGACACAACAATGATTGATTATAGTATGGAGGAATTGATGATTGACTGCTCCAGCGAGTTGAATGATGCCGTTAGATGTATGGACACGAATGGAAGTACAAAGAAGTGCGATAAAGAGAGGATAGAGCTGACGAACTGCTTCAAGGTTAAGTCATTCGACAAGTTCCAAGGCGAATAAACGACATAGCAATCAAGAGGCAAGAGCTGCCGAACGAACTTATGAACGAATGAACCTTCGAATGATTGATTGATTACAAGGTATATACTGTATATATATTATATTACAACATTATAGAGAGAGATAGAGGAGGATGAGGATAATGGGTCGTCGCGACTACAACAAGGTCAACTAGTAGGGGAACTCTGACTTTGGTTGACCTGTCATGTCATCGATAAGATTGAGTACGGACGACTTCCTGTAGGTGAAGAATGGAATGTTGAGATTGGAGAATGGATCGCGTCGGTCCGTGCCGCCTTCGCCATTCTCCACGGTGGTGTCCCACGTGGACGGGTCGGTATTTACAGCGTCCTCAAAGTAGGACGTATCAATGTCGCTCTCCACCTTGGGTATGAAGGGCGGCGTCTGATCCAGCGTGCTCTGCCAGGTCACTCCATTCCTGTTAAAGAACGGATGTGCCTTGAACTCCTCGATGCTGCTGAACCTGCTCGACGGCTCGCACAGCATCCTCTTGAGAATGTCGGCCGCATCTGGCGACAGATCTTGCGTGAACAGTGGCCAGTCGAGTACCTCGCGCCACTTGATGATGTTGAGGAACACGTCGCTGGGCGTGTCCGCACAGAACGGGTTGAAGCCGCACAGTATCTCCATGAACACGCAGCCCAGTGACCAAAAGTCGCAGCTAAGTGTGTAGCCCTCGTCCACGACGATCTCGGGCGCCATGTACTCGGGCGAGCCGACGGCAGAGTGCGCCGTTGGGCGGCGATACGCCACGACCGTGCCATTGCTACTTCGCGTCAGTGTGGAGCGCTGCGAGAACGTGCCTTCGAGGAAGCTCTTCCTAAAGTCTGACATTGACTTTTGATTGAGGCCGTTCTTGCACTCGACTCCTTCTTTGCTCAGTCCAAAGTCTATCAGCTTGATGTGACCATTCTTGTCGATGACAAAGTTGGATGGCTTGATGTCGCGGTGAATGAAGTTGAGCGCGTGCAACGAGCACAGCGCCTCCACCATCTCGGCCATGTAGAATCGCGCGTCCTCCTCAGACAGCATGCCAAGGTTATTGAGTAGTGCACGGAAGTCGCCGCCACAATGATACTCCATCGCCAGGTAGAGGTACTGTGGATCCTGGAATGAGTAGAGCAGGCGAGTGATCCACTTGCCGCTGCCCTCACTCATCACTATCTTCTCTTGGGACACTTGAGATCGCTGATTGGCCCATTGGTATGCCTGCTTCTTGATGCGCTTGAGTGTTACCACGTCGCCACTGTCGTTCTTGATCGCCAGGAACACCTGGCCAAAGCCACCCTTGCCAATCTGCGTAAGGATCTTGAACTCCTTGAGCTTCATGCCCGCACGTTTGTTGCGCAAGAAATTGGACTCGCTGTCAAAGTGCTTGGCGCGCCACGCCTGTGCGGCTGACTCGTCCAGGCCCGAGTCACGGACAAAGTCCAACACACGCTGGTATCGTCTGCTGCGGTGGTGAATGTACTTGAACAGTTCCTGGTAGTAATGACTAAAGTAGTTGTCCAAGATCTTGCCCTTCTCTGTCGTCGGGGGATTGCTCGCGCTCTCCACCCTGTCCAAGAACTTGCAGTATGTATATGTTCCAGTTGCTGCGCTACTGATTGTACTTGATACGCTTGCTGTTGTTGTTGATGCTGCGGATGATGTAGTTGATGACGTCGTTGTCGTTGATGATGTTGATGATGTTGATGTTGATGTTTGAGTGGGGCTGCCACTGCTAGAGTTGAGATTGCCCGCGCTGTTCTTCCGACTTGGGCTTGGAGATGAGCGTCGTGAATCATGGTTGGTACCGCTGCTGCCGTTGCTGGGATCGTTGAGGAGGTCGGTGTTGACCAAGAGAGGATTGTAAAACATGTTGGTGCGTGGCGGAGGAGGTGGAGGGACGCGTCGCTGGCCCGTAGGTGATCCAGACATTGGCGAGTTCTTGGCCGACAATGACAAGTTGTCATCCAGCACATTGCAACTCACCGGCGCTGTCATTGGTGTCGTCACAATTACCGGTGATGAAGGTTCGCTATACTTGTTGTCAAATATGTTGTTGCCACGGCCATGGCCAGTGGCGACGCTGTTGTTGTTGTTGTTGGCGCCCCTGTTTCCGCCAGTGGCGCCACTTAGTGACTCAATGTTGATGTCTTCAAAGACCACAAACTTCCTCGAACGGTGATTGATTGGATGGTAGTCGTGCTCGAGGATCTTGCCCTCAGAGTCTGCCAGCTTGAGCAGGTTGACATTGCGCGACGTCTTTTGTGAGATGTACTTGAGCACGTCCAGACAAGTCATCGATGGGATCAGATGTATCGTCCAACTGGTGGTCCATTGAACGTTCAATATACTCGACAAGTTCTCATAAGGCAGATCTGTCTGTGATGGCGCTGGCTTCATCATAACACTGCTTCCACTATATACATAATCAATCTGTTGAGCGCAGAAGTATAGCTTTGCCAATGACTTGATGTGATTCTGATTGATTGATTGAATGAGTGAGTGAGCGAATGAGTGAGTGTATCACATGACCGGATACTTACAGCTGATGCGACTGACGATCGGTTTGATGATTGAGGCGAGGAGCTGGAGGATGTGGGAGATGATGAGTTGGACTGCATGAGTTGCCTGTTGCTGTTTGATCGTTGAATGGTCTGTGGCACGGTGGTGAATGGTTGTGGCGAGGTGGATGCAGATGTCGATCGTAGTCTCGGTGAGATATCTGGTGAGTCTTGATGTGATGCCGGTGGAGTTGGTGTCGTCGTCGAACCCGATGTATTCAGCTCACTTAATGCGCCTGACACGTGAGTGAAGAACTCCTCTATGCTCTGTCGCACGACATTGCCCTTCTTCCTTAGACTGTGTATAGGTGATGATACACTTCTTGTATTATTACCACTATTACTTCCACTTGAAGTAGTACTACCATCCACTGTATGACTCCTATCTCTATCCCTATCCCTGTCTCTGTCTCTGCCATCGTAATGAGATGAACTCATTGCTACAGCAATATAAAGTTATATATCAATATATATATGTATAAATATCAATTATATATATGTTTGTATGTATTGTTTGAATGATTGAATGAATATAAGTAAGTTGTTATCTGTTTGAATGATTGAATGGCGGAGACATGACGTCTTGAGCCCACTCAATTCACCTAAAGTGCGATTTCGAATGAAAACCCCAAAGTCATTCATTCATTTCGAACCCAAGAGTCGGTCCAGATCCCAAGATAAATCCAATTCATTTGAATGAGAGACAGACTCCCATGTCATTAATTCATTATTTGTTTGTTTGTTTATCTTTTGTTAATTAATTTGATTGAGGTGATTGATTGTCGACCACGTATGACGCCCGGTACATATAATAGATGTACAGAGTTTCTTATGTTATGGACGTTACTATCCGTCGGCCCTGGCGAAAGACATTCATCGAATAACTCATTCTTACGTGTAAGCCGAAGGGTTTATAAAATATGAATTGTATCATTGTTGCCAATCTCTTGTGTGATTCACTCGTTTCTTATTTTTGTTTATGGGTTTGGACAACTTCGGAAGCCAGAACCAGCCCAACTCGAAACGCGAACAACATGGTCATTGTTATCTTTATCATTATCATTATCTTTATCTTTATTATTATTATCTCATGTACTTGCATAAGTGAGTACTGGTGGCATCATTGTTGTCATGTTGTTATTGTTGTTGTTTGTCATTGGTTGACGCATATTAATGTTGTTATTATGTTGTTGTTGCTGTTGTTGTTGTTGTTGTCTTTGTTGATATTGTTGTTGTAACTGTTGTTGCTGTTGTTGTTGTTGTTGTTGATACTGTTGTTGTGTGTATTGATTGATATTTACAGGTGACTGTTGTTGTTGTTGTTGTTGTTGTTGTTGATAGTTGACTACTAATTGAGTAGGAGGTGAATGTGTTATTGGTTGTGGAGTCTGGAAGCTTGATGTACCTCCACCACCTGATGTGTTCAGCGATGAAGTAGACGAGTTTGTCTCAATACTACCTCCACTACTATTGACATTATTGTTATTATTATTAGTCGATGATGTTGTCGATGTCGAAGATGGTGTAGATATTGCGGAAGTCGATGTTGTTGTCGAGGAAGACGATGTTGAAGTTGAAGTTGGAGTTGGATTTGAAGTTGACAAAGAAGATGTATTAATCAATTGAATGATTGATGATGCTACGTTGGGTATTGATCGTTCAAGACATTGAGTGTACTCTTCTTGGGTGAAGATACCAACTTTGGAGAATGTTGATATAAGGTGATCGATGTAATGTTCGTAGTTCTCCACTGTGACCAACTTGGCTCCAAACAATGAGTGGATGGGAGGTGGCGCCAGAGGTTCGGACGACCCCGCCGGTCCAATGTTTGCGCGTCCAAACAAAAGGTTGTAAGGCTCAATGATGTACAGTGGGCCTTGAGTGCCTCCTACATAAGTGGAAGTTGTTCGATTTATCTTTGGGAGTGTCAGTGCCATTGGAGCCGTCGATATCATGTTTTGGTAAAACACCTGGCGTCGCAGTGTACCCGCGCCACTCTGTCGACTACGCATTCTTAACTCCTCGCCAAGTATGATCATTGATGATCTTGCTTCATTGGGGATCGGTCCCCAACTTGGATGTGCCATAATATTCTTGGCCTTTATATTACTCATCGCTGCAGCCGATGTTTGATTAAGTCCATTTCCATTGTGCATCATTACATTGTGTTGTTGGGATGGTGGTGGTGGAGGTTGRAGGATGTGGAGGAGCATGATGGAAGTCGGCGCCATGACCTTGAACATTGTTATTGATTGGTGGAGACATGGCTGGTGAAATAGGACTTGGTTGTTGAAGATGTATAAGTTGTTGTGGTGGTGATTGGAGATGTTGTTGGGGAAATGGATGACTTCCAGACATGCTCTGGACTGGTGTTGGAGGTGTTGGCGCGGCCGATGATGATTGTTGATACTGAACAGGTGATCCAAAATTCATCATTTGTTGTTGTTGTTGTTGTTGTTGCATTTGATCAATGTTCATGGCTATTCCAGGAGATTGATCATTTTGAGTTGTGGTCATATTGATTGGAATCGTTCCACTGACATTTAGTGATGGTCCAACTCGAGTTGGTAATCCAGGTCCACCATTCATTTGGATATTTTGTTTTTGTTGTTGTTGATGTTGTTGGGGAAATGTCTGGAATTGTTTATATTGTCCATTATTATTATTTTGTTGTTGTTGTTGTTGACCTTGTGGCATCATCATCATCCCTGGTTGAATATGTTGTTGTTGTTGGTGTTGATAAATATTATGATGTTGAGGTTGGTAGGTTTCCATGGCTTATTATTCAAGATAGATTTAATGAATGATTGATTGATTGATTGAATGAATGAGGTGTTATCCTGAACGGACTCTCCTACAACTGATTGATTATTGTCTGTTACTACTACTTCGGTTGATTGATTGATTGATTACTTTGGTGGATGAAGCACCAACATGATGGACAGCTGACAGACAGACTGAATGAATTACAGAGACAGACACAATCAAACAAAGATGAGTTGAGCAAGCGAATGCACTGCGGCTACTGCGATGGGTGATGGATTGTGATTGAGAGTGGATGAGAGAAAGTATGTAATAAAGCTGTTGTTGCTGATGCTTCTACTACAGAAATATTATTATTATTATTTTTATCCACCAGACCAAACAATCAAACCAACCAACCAAATGCAATTACAATGCAGCCATCACTTACTCTCAATCAATCACTCATTCAATCATTCATTCATTCTTTCATTCATTCTCACACAATAACTCACTCACTCCACCATCATCATCAATCAATCAAGGTGTGGGTGGGTGAGTAGTGTGTTAGGGTTAGTGTGGGAGATATATTTACACACACACCACACACTCAATCAGACACCCCCCACATCCACCAATCAATTGTCCTTCTTATTGATCAGAAACACAACACCACCAAACAATCAATCATGTGATCGAAAGATGTCTACTTAACTTGTAAAGGTAGCCCCATTGTTGGGTCCAAGAGGACTCTTTTGATCAAATGAGGAAGCATTGATCAGATCTCATTGGATTAGTTAAAGAGATATCAATATTAAAGATGGAATGAATAAATAACGTTGGGTAATTACAAATCTCTGGTGTACTGAAAGTGGCGAAAGTTGTGATATAGGTTCATCATTCGTGTTTCGCTTTTGAAAATTGAAGATAGAGATACATATATAGATAAAGATAAAGATGAAGATAGACTTTAGAGCAGCCAATCCAATACAGACAAAGATACCAAAGGATTATAAACAATATAAAGAAGCAAAGGATAATGTTGTAATTCAATCAAATACACAACCTTGCAAGAGGACATCCAGATCAGATGAACAATTCAGACAAATATGTATGATCAACATCGTCGAATGAATGAATGAATGAATGAATGATTGAATGAACATGTACTTACTCTCTTCAATAAATAGTTATGAAGACAGGTATAGTTACGCAAGCATCTGGATCATCATATATAGAGATAGAGCAAACCAAGCTGATATGTTCAGTGTATGTTGATGAATGAATGATCGTTTGAACGAATGATAGTATGAATGAACTAACGAACGGTAATATAGACATGGACCTCGAGCTACACACAAGACAGAACTGTTTGAGACGGCAAAGCTGAATTGCGAGTTGAAGTACGCAACGTTTTCGGTGAGTGGAGAGCGAGCTGACTATGTGGAGAGTACAAAGGAGAAGGATTATGGTCTGATCATCACACAGTCGATAATCGGTGCACTCCGTCTTGAGAAGTACCCAAAGGCAGTGATCGATGTCTATATAATGGTGCTCAATGATGATGGTGCAGTGTTGGAGGCGGCAATCACCGCTGCCAGCATGGCTCTGGCGGATGCAGGTGTCGAGATGTATGATATGGTGGCGTCATGCTCGTCCGTGTGTCTGGGCGACAAGGTGCTGCTCGACCCAACACACAAGGAGGAATCCCTGGCCCAGGCCGGCCATGTCCTCGTCTCCAAGATGCCATCCCTCAACGAGATCACACAACTGTTGCAAACTGGAGAGTTGTCCTACAGCAATGTTGTCGATGTATGTGTCACCTTACTCGATCAATCTATCATGAGGAGTGACCTGACCTAACTTACTTACTATCTCTCTCAATCAAACACATTAGGGTATTGATCTGTGTATTGATGGTTGCGACAAGATGTATTCAATCATGAGACAGAGCTTAGTGGACTCACTGCAAAAGAAGTTGGAGAAGAAAGAACAACAACTGGAATAGAATAGAATAGAATAACAACTCAATGATTGATTTGGGATGATACATTGGACATGAGCGAGCTCGTGACAAACCTTACTGATCATGTGGCGTATCGGAGCCATCATTGTCATCAGTGGTAGTCACGACTGCTGCTGCTTCTTCTTCTTCTTTAATTGGATCTTCAATAATGCTCTCTGGAATTGGAACGTCTTGTTGTTCCTCAGTGGCAGAAGTCGATTGGACATCCTCTTGGACAGTTTCCTGCTCAACATGATTGTCATTAATTATCATGGACTCATTGTCAATGACCTCAGATACCACAGGCGCATGAGATTGCTTTTCTGTTTCCAGGGTGGAGACAGTCTCTGTCTCAGCTGTTGTTGTCGTTGGTTCAGCAATAGGGCTGTCCTGATGTTGAGGCGCCACCTTTGTTGTGTCATCTGGCTTCAATCCCTCCATTGAAGTTGTTGTTGTTGTCGTCTTTGGTTGTTGTGAGGTGTGCTGTGGGGATGAGGTTATTGTTGGCGAGGTAGAGGTGATTGTAGGAGTATGTGAGGTTGGTGTTGATGATGGTTGTGATAATGGTAGTAATGATGTTGTCGTCGTTGATGTAGTTGTTGTCGTTGGGAACAAGAAGCTGTAGGTGTATTTGAACCACTACTGACAACTGATGTTGATGATGTTGGCGCTGGAAGTACCTTATAATCATTGTCACTTTGATTGACATTGGCATTGGCATTGGCATTGTATATCGATGTGAGTGAGTTGATCAATCCTCCAATATCAATCAATGATGTTCCACTGTTGTTACAAAAGATTACATCGAAGCAGTTGACGACAAATGGTAGAAAGTCTTCAACCATGCACTGAAGAGAGAGTGTAAGGTTAGCCATCTTCCATTCATTCACCTCCCATCATAACTTTGGCTTACCTTGCAGAAACTATGGAATCCTGGAAGTTGTGCAGGACCAAGTGATGATTGATTGTGATAGGSCTTGTACACCACTGACCAAGGTTACAAGTATCTCCTTGTACTTTACAGATAGTGAGTACTCCAGTGATAGTGGCGCGCATTCCCTGTTGACAGTGGAGAGTTAATACATGTATCAATCATTGATCAATGATGGTAACATACTTTAGTTCGATGAATGCCGTCATGAATGAGTTGGTCAAGATGGCCAGTGGTGGATGTTTGAGAATGCTTGATGGTGGTGCGATCGTTGTTGTGGAGGATGAGCCGGAGGAGGAGGATGATGATGACTGTTGATGTTGGAATCTGAATGATTTGAGTGTCTCGAGGAATCGATGTATAGCATTGGCAGTGTGCGAGAGGAAGATTGAAGTGATGACCTTCTCAAAGATTGGTGGTAGCAGGCCTCTAAAGTCAATGCCCACTCTAGACATGGACATTGAGTAATACATAGCATTCTCCAGTATATAAGATATTGATGAGCCCTCCTTAATCAATGGTAGAGTCTTCTCCAATGTCGCCAAGTAATATTGTAACTTCATTTCAATCCATCCATTAAGTATGTAATCATCCATTTGAAGCTGGTTTGATTGATTGAGTGAGTTAGAGCCATGTCCTCGAGGCGTGCAGAGATCAAACATACCTCATCATCAGAGTCTGAGAAGATTGCATTGAACTGAGTGACGATGTCAAAGATGTTTGTTCGGCAACAGTCTGTGAGTTTGGTCAGCTGATCATTGGAAGTGATGATGTTAGTGATGGTGCGTTGATTGATTGATTGATGCATCTGACTAACATTAACATACATAGGATACAGGGTTTGAGTCAGTGATGAACTTGATTGAGTTCATTAGGAATTGATCACGTGAGTGTAGGAGTGTAGTCTTGAGTTCATTCTCCTTGAAAGATAGTCTCCTCAGATATCCAATGGTCTTTATACAATCAGTGAGTGATATATTGACTCTAAGTGATTGCTGAAGGTTGGCAATAAGTGATTGAGTACTCTTGTCAACTTCATCGACCTGAGTGAGTTGAGTGAGGGTCGTATGTTAGTGTCCAGTCGCCAGTCTGTTTGTCCGCCTCGCCAACCCATACCAACGATACCTACAATCTCCTTTATCACCTTGATGTTTGGATATTGCTTGGCAATCTTCTTGGCATATGACTCTAACTGAAGTGCCTCCTCATAGTATCCATTCTTAACGCATGTGTCCATAAGTTGAGGTATCTAAACATCGTCACATTGTCAGTGATCGAGTGGAGTGAGGTGATCGATCGATCGAACTAAACATACCTCCAACAGATCGAGTAGTGTAGGGAAGTTGTCTAACAAGTTCTTGACTGATGATCTCTTTGTTGTCAGTCCATTCGACATGCTGGAGAATGACTCACAATGTGTAGACACTGATTGCAAACATGTAAGTATATTATCTGCTCTATTATTAATGTTGTTCATCTGTACAAGGTTGGTGTCAAGGGAGGTGTCAGTGTCATGGTCATTGTCGATCAAGATGGATGGCATTGACTTACCTGTGAGTAAGTATAGTTGAGTGTATTGTAGTTATCAATGAAGAGCTGATAATGTTGCAATGCCAATGACTTCATTTGATTGATCGTGTCCTCTCTGTGCTTGGCCAGTAGTTGTGGCTCGCCCATCAGTTCTTCCAAAGAGAATGTATTCATCTCATTCTGTAACGAGTCCAATGCAGTAGTAGTTGACGTTGTCATCGCATGACCATTATGTCCATTAGTATGTTGCATTGATGTTGTAGTTGTAGTTGTAGACATCATTATCTCTTTGAGTGATGATGACCAAACACGTGTGCACACACAATGAATGAATGATGTGATGTTCAAGTCAACTTTTGTTTATTTTTTCGACTTGGTGGCTGCGCCAGCCTTGGCAACAGGCTTGGCGGCGGGCTTGGCAGGGGCTTCTCCCTTGGCTGGCTTGGTAGATGTGGTGGTGGTAGTTGTAGTAGTTGATTTCTTGGCGGTTGTTTGTTGGGCTGGTGGGGTTAACAGACTCAGGATGGTCTTGGCGCCTGGGTTCTTGGCCGAGGCCTTCTCCAGTTTATCCTTTGACTTGGTGACCAGATCGATGGCCACCTTACGCTTCTCCTCTGGCAGATTCTTAACAACCTCTCTCATCACGTATGCCGTGTTGGCATCAGCCGTGGCCATATCGATAAACTTGCTCTTGACCTTCTCAAACACGTTGCTTGCAAAGTCTAATATAATGATTGATCGAGTTAGTGATTGAGTGATTGTGTATTGGAATGATTCCAATCGATCAACATACCTGATTGCTTGATGTATTCGTTCTTGAAGAGTAATTGGATGTTTGGTCCATGTGCTGATAGTAGCTCGGTGTCGTTGGCCAGAGTCTCGATCAGTCTGTTAACTAAAATAATCTTGTTGCCAGCTGCCTCGCGCAATGTAAGGTTGAGAACGCGTGCTCCCCACATGGTGGTGAACAGCGAGCTGATGTGATTGGCGCACAGATCGATCAACTTTGGTGAAATGAAGTCGAGCAGCTCCTTGCGTCTGGTGTCTCTGTCCTTCTTGCTGGTGGCGGTCTCCACGCCGTCCACATTCTTTACGTTTGGCGTCAACAAAGTGATATAGTTGGCAGAGAAGTTCTGTGGAGTGTATGGTGCGAGAATATGCATGATCCAAAGATGTCCATATCTGTTTGATTGATTGATTGATTGATCGGAGTTAGTGATCGAGTGATTGGAATAGTTCCAGTAATTGATGGGAATACATACTTGGAGTTGGCAAGCTCGGGGAGGTCTGGGATCAACTCGCCAATGATGGACTTGGTGACAAAGAGTGTGTCGTCTGTACAGTCGAGCAGACGGATGAGGGCGAGGTTGCCGTACTCCTCACAGGCGACCTTGGTGACGAGCGACTTCATCGACTTGATGATGGTCTTACGGGTCTTGGCACTGGCGTACGAGATGGCGTAGTAGGCGACGAGTGCGCCGTCCTTGGTGTGCAGCATTGGCATGATGATCTCGGCCAGCGTGTCGGCCATATCGGCGTTGTTGGCGGGCGTCGAGAACTCAAAGAATGTGACCAGCAGTCTCTGCACGAGCGTGTACTGCACGAGGGCCTCTCCCTTGTTGCTCAGGATCTTGGTGAGCTTCTTGGCCAAGTTGGTGACGATGCCCTCCTTCTTGGCGGGCTGCTTCTCAAGCACCTGTTGCAGGGTGCGCGACTCGGTCGGCTTGAACAGCTTGAACTCATCGCCGTAGAACTCCTCGATGATCGCGGTCTTTTGCACCTTGTCGGCGTACTTGGCGTAGGCGTTCTCGACAATCTCGGCCGACTCCCTGTTGGACACCAGCTTGACGACGTTGCCGTAGAACGACTCGATGATCTTGTTCCTGTGCTCCTTTGTGCCGTACTTTAGCAGCTTCAACACGAGGAAGCGGCCATACTGATTGGCCGACAGTCTCAATATGTCGTCCTTCAACTCTCCAAAGATCATCTCTCTCTGTTCGTTCGTGGCATATTTTACCAAACACTGGATGATTCTTGATGCATCATGCTTGACTGCGATCTATTTGTTTGATTGATTGTGTGATTAGTGAGTGAGTGAGTGTTTGGAATAGTTCCAGTGAGTGATTGATGGAACGAGTGATTGGGATAGTCCCAGTGAGTGATTTATTGAGCGATCGAGTGCGAATGAACGAGTGAGCGATCGAGTGAGCGATCGAGTGCGAATGATCAAGTCTCGAGTGATCGAACGATCGAGTGAATGAATGAGTCTCCCCCTTGTGGCGAGTCGCGCGAGTACTTACATCCTTTAACTTTCCCTTCATCTTCTCGAGCAATTCCTTGACTAGTGGATCACGCTTCTCCTTTGCAAGCTTGACACGCTTCAGTTGCTCCCAGACGAGCTTCGACTCATATACCATCTCTGTTGATGGGTCCCACTTGGCCTTCTTCAACAACTTCTCATCACGCTTCTCTTTCTTTGACTTGCGAGGTAGTTTATCCTTCTTCTCTGCGCCTCCTTCACCAGCATTTTCATCTCCATATGCATAATCATCATCTTCGTTTCCATTGTCTTCATTGTCTTCGCCATTGTCTTCATTGTCATTATCATTGTTATCATTGTCATCACCATCATCATTCATTTCATCATCTGTATTGTCGTTGTCCTCCTCGGCATCGCTGAATGTAACACGGTCCTCTTCGAATTCTTCAGACTTTCTCTTGTTATTCTTTGTGACCATTATGTTATATATTATATATTATGTTATTATAAGTATGTATGTATGACAAGTATCTCTTTATATTTGTACACACGACTCATTCACATCATTCATTGATTCAACTCCAAGCCCAACTCAATCCTCGCTTCGTTCGTCAAATTTTAATTTGTAAAATAAAATAAATCAAAATGAATGATTCATGAACTTCGACCATGTCAAACCTCCATTTCAAACTAACTTTCATCGATATTCATTCATTCACACATTGATACAAATACTAATATATACATAATATACTAATACATATACATAAGATATATAACATAATGGGATGCGACGGTGGATCAATTGCAAGGAGGGATGACTTGGTAAAACAACCAAAGAAGAAGGAGATACTTAATCAAAGTGATTTGGACGAGAGTAGATGGTTCTGCTGTACATTGTTACAAGATCCATTGTCAGACCCAATAGTGATGGATGATTATGGCAATCTATTCAACAAGACAAATATCCTACAAGCATTACTAGATGGATTGTTATCACAACATGATGCATTGTCACATATTCGCTCGACAAAGTCTGTCTACGCAGTGCACTTCATTGACAACCCTGCATTTATTGAACAACAACAAAGTAATACACAATCAACTGTAACAAATTCATTGGCTGGCAATGGTAGCAAGGCTCATTCTCAATGGTACTGTCCCATCACTCAGACAGAGGTCGGTGGTCATCAACAACGCTTCAGTGCACTGCGCACTTGTGGACACGTCTTCTCTGAGAAGGCATTCAAAGAGATTGATTCAACAATATGTTTTGTCTGCTCAAAGCCATTTGAAACAACAGATATCATTGTATTGAATCCTACTCCAGAGGAGTTGGTTGACATTAAGAATAGAGTTCAATCAAACAAGAAGTCATCGTCATCTAAGAAGTCAAAGAAGTCAAAGAAGTCAAAAGAGTCAAAGGAGTCAAAGGATGTTGATGCGCCTACAACAACTACATCCACTACATCAACTACATCAACTTCAACAACTTCCACAACATCATCACCATCATCTACAAAGAAGCGACAAACACCTGAACAATCTGGAGAATCTTCATTCACATCATCATTCACAAGGACTGCACTGGAGCAAGCCAAAGAGTTAACAAACAAGAAGATGAAGTCGGACACATTCTCAAGTATCTTTGCCAAAGTCAAGTCAGTCAATCAATGATCCATTCAATCAATCAATCAATGAATACTTATTTGTAAATAATAACAGTCTATTCTTTATTCTTCATCTCAGATGATAATACTTATAAACGACTGCGTGCAGCTACCTTCTTGGGGGTGGGCTTGGCATCCCAGTCTGGATCATTATCTTCGTCCTCTTCGTCGTCCTCCTCATTGTAGTCCTCATCGTCGATGGCCCTGGTCTTTGGAGCGGCCTTCTTTGGCACGTCCATCTCCTCCTCGTCCTCAGCATCAGAAGCCAACACTGGCGTTGCAGGTGTATCATCGTCGTCCATACTAGTATTGTTGTTGTTGTTTGTTGTTGAGGAGGTTGTTGATGCTGTTGTCAAATGTTGGAACGCCAGTGTACTTGATCTTCTTGATTGTTGGAGCATCGTTGACGTTGGCCTTGTTCTTGGCACCGCGACCTGTGACCTGCTTCTGTGTCTTGATGGCCGAGCTGTTGGTGGCCTCGACATTCCAAACAGAGTCATTGATCAAGTTGAGCATCTGGATCAGCTTTCTCTTGCCCTTCTGCTTCTTCTTGAACTCCTCGACGAACTGCTGCCAGATCTCGTCCATGCCCAACACAGTGCACATTCTCTTCTTGAATGCTTTGAGCATCTGCACGAGCATTGGATACTGGCTGGGCAGAACGGTGACCAGCAGCATGTCTACGGCCTTCTCAAACATGTCCTTGATCTCCATTGGGAATCTCTTCTGCATGAGGTCGAGGATTGGGTTGAGCTTCTCATAGCGCCACTCCTGGTAGCAACGCTTGGCATAGCGCTGTACAATGTTGATGACGGCGGGCAGCTGGGTGTAGGCATGCTTGTCGACGGCCTCGTAGAGGGACTCGAGGAGCACCATCTGGTTGGCGAGGTCGTCCTGCTCGGTGCCGGGGTGCGGGAAGATCTCAATGCACTGCTTGAACAGTCCATCCTTGAGCAACAGCTCGATCTTGGAGTTGATGTTCTCATCGCGCTTCATCACATAGACCACCAGCTCCTCCTTGACCTTGGCCCACTCCTCCTCGGAGGACAGGTTGCGGATCTGGTCCCACTTCTCGACGGTGGTGTCGATCTTGAACGAGAGGATGGTCTGGTCGCGGATCACCTCGCCCAAGTCCTCGGCGTTGGCGGCCTTGATCATCAGGTCGGTGATCTCCAGCGTGGTCTTCTTCACCTCTTCGTAGGTGTACTGTGGAGTGATCTTCTCGAGCTCGGCGGTCTTGGCATCGATGAACGACTGGATCCTGGTGCGCTCCTTCATGTTTTGCTCCTGGAGGAAGCGAGACTGCTCCTCCTTGAGTTGCTTCTCAACGAGTTCCTTGTGCTCGATCACTGACTTGTGATGCTCAAGCGTGGCCTCAATGGTGGTACCGACATGGATCACCATCGTGTTCTCCTTCTTGGCGAACAGGTCCTTGGCAAAGGACATCAGAGTGTTCAGTGACTTGATCTGCTCGACGCACACCTTGACCGTGGAAGCAACCTTGAGTGTGAGTCTCTTGCGCTCGCTGGCCATCTGGCGAAGGCCCTCGTCACCAAGTGTGGAGATAGAGGCTTCAAAGTTCAGCTTCTCCTTGGATACGCTGTCGATCAAAATCTTGCTTATCTCCAGTGCAAAGGTGTCTGGCTCACCCTTGTAGAAAGCTGGCAATTGGTTGTTGTAACGCTCGTTCAAGAGAAGCTCGCGTAGGATCTTGTTCTTGTCGGTTGGCAGTCTTCTGCGCTGCTTGTCCAGTGCCTCCTTCTGCTCGGTGATCACGTCCTTCTCCTTCTTCTTTGTCTCCTGCTGGGCCTGATGCTCACGCAGCTCCTTGACACGGGTGAACGCTACCTGGCCCACCAACTCGAGTGTGGCGTACTCCTTCCTCTCGAGCAAATCCTTCAGCAGAGTCTGGAAAGTGTTTGGATCCTTGATGTAGGACTCGGCAAGCTGGAGCATGAACTTGATCCTGTCCTTGGATGCGGCCAGCATGTCGTCGGCCTCCTGGTCCTTGATCTCGCCATTGACACGCTTGGTGAAGATGGCCTGCTTGGCATTGTACACGTACTTGAGACCAGTGATGACCATTGTCGAGTGGAAGGTGTTGGCGTTGAGGTAGTCGGCGAGGTATGGCAGACTGACCTTGGCGAGCTGGTTGCGGGCCGACTCGAGCAGTTGAATGTCTTCATCGGTCATATCGCGCTTGGTGCGTGCGAGCTCCTGTGACTCCTCCTCCAACAACTCAATCAAGAGTTGCTGCTCCTTGTAGTCCAGTGCTTGAGAGTAGAAGTTGGTCAGCTTCTGGTGGAAGATCCTGGAGATGTCGACAAAGAGTTGGTCGTTCTTGGAGCCCAACTCCTCAGACAGCTTGACGATTGAGCTGATGCTCTCGATGTTGGAGAGACAGAGTCCGAGTGCCTCGTTGAGCTGGTTGGTCAGTGCGTCCTTCTCCTCGTTGAGTGTGTCCTCGGCGATGTTGTTGATTTTGAACATCTTGCGCTTGCGGATCTTCTCTTCGACAAATGAGAGACATCCAAGGATGGTGTTGAGCAGGATGATTGATGCGTCGTACTTGGTAGTGTCGTATGGCTTGTTGGCCTCCAAGCTTGCGTAATGGGGCCACACTGGGAGTGCCTCGATCTCGTCCTCTGTGGCCTTCTTCAGGTCGAGCATTGCCTTTTGCTTCTCTGGGCTGGCCTTCTTGACGGCCTCGGTCAAGCCCTCAAGCTTGGTCTTGAGTGCGAGACGGACGACGCGTTGGCTCTCTATCTCATTGCAGCGCTTGAACAACTGGGTGACGATGCGGCTAAGGACCTGGTCCTCGCGTGAGCCTGCCATGTGATTGGCAAACTTCATCAAGTAGATGGGGTCGGAGAACTTCTGGAGACATAGCTCGATCAGCTGATGGAACTGGTGCTGCACCTGTTGCTTCTTCTTGGAGTCGTCCGATGTCTCGAGACTCTTCTTGGAGTTGAGCACCGATGAGATCATCAGCTGCGCGACCTCCAAGTGCAAGCTGTCATACTGGTTGCGGGCGGTGAGCACACCAAACGATGGCCACTCGGGCAACGCGGCCAACTTCTCCTCGAGCTTCTTGAGCTGCTCCTGCTGGGCCTGAGTGAGAGACTTGCCCACCCTGCGCAGATCGGTCTGCTCGCTGTTGAGCGTGTCGATCTGGGTCTGCAGGGGCAGACGCACCTCGCGCAGCTTCTCCAGGTCTGAGATGAACTGCTGGCAACGCTCACCGTAGAGGATGGTGGCGTCGTTCTCGCCGTACTTGAAGACGACTTGAGCCAGCTTGAAGATGTGAGTTGGGTCGATCAGAGTGTTGAGTGCGTCGGTGAGTTGGTCGTCAATGTTGGTGACACCCTTGGATGCCTTCTTCATCTCGATTACGCTGGTTACACGCAACTGGGCGTTCTGAAGCATCAAGTCGTTCTGTGTAGTGATGGACATTGGCTGAGGGTTCAGGATCTTGTGTCTCTTGACCTGGTTCTGGAGCAGCTCCAACTCGGCGGATTGCTCGACAGCAAGGCCGCCAACAGACACTATTGTCTGAATGTCCTGTGACACTGCCTTTATCCTCTTCTCAACCTTGACCAACTCTACCTTCTCAACCTTGATATCATTGAGTCTAATCAATGCTCTCTCAGTTACCAACACAACATAGTTGAATTGTTTGCTGTTGTTTGATTGAATGAGTGATGTTAGTGCGCTGACTTGATTGATTGAATGGGTCATCGTGCTGGGTACTTACAGGTCTAACAACTTCTGGCCAATCTTAAGAATACCATCGGGACTGGAGAGGTACTTGGGGATGTGGAACTCGATCAACTCCTTGAGTGTGTCGGATTGGAGGAGAGTGAGGTCGAACAGTTGGCGGGTAGTCAGTTCGTTCTTGTTGTTGTTGGTCAAGTTGGTGAGATGACTGATGGTGGCAAAGATAGAGTCGACGGCAGTCTCGACGATTTGGTAGCTGGTCTCGGGTGTGGCGTAGGCCGACGACACAAGCTTCTTCAGATCATTCTCACGTTGCTGCAAGAGAATGGTGGCGGCCTGGCGACATGCCAGCAGACATAGAACACCAAGGTTCTCAGACTGGAAGTATTTGGCGATGGTCATCACGGCCGATGGAACGGACAACACGGCAATGGCTGACTGTATGTTGGCGGTCAGTTGCTTGTAGATGGTCTCCTCGTACTCCTCCAAGCCCTCGGTCTGGAGTGCGGCGGCCAGCTCAGTCTTCTTGGCCTCGTAGGCAGTGTTGTATTGAGCGATGGCAGCCTTGACTAGGATGAGTGCCTGTGTGGCCAACTTGGTCTGGTACTCATCGAGCGACAACTTGAGCGACTTGGACACCTCGCCAAAGATATCCTTGCGACGCTGGATCTGTTGTTTAGTGGAGAGGTCGGCAGCAGAGTACTCGTGGAGGATGTGTGGCTTGGACAGACGGGCTTGGCGCATGGCGTCTTCGATCAGGTCGAGTGCAGTCTGGTCCTTATCCAATATGGTCTTGATCGACATGTGTTGTTCATAGATCTCGGTCAACTTGGCCATCGCACGACGACACATTGTCATTGTAATATGTGGCTCATTCCTCTTAGCACCACTAAAGTATTCTGCCAATGTTTGTAATTGTTGTACATCATTATTATTCAATATATATTCTATCAATGTATTATCATGTTGAATCGACACCTCATCAGAAGATGACGATGATGAATTAATCATATCTGTGTCCATCCTTTGTTGTTGTTGTTTTGTAATATATATGAGAGTGTTTGAGTGTTGGAGTTGATGTTGTTGTTGGTGTTTGTTTATAAGTTGAATGAATAATTAAAGGTCAACATGTTGCCGTTAAATGGATGATGTCAGTGAATGAAATCAATTTCCAGGATACTTGTGCTCCCCCAATCCAAAAACAGATCGATCGGTGTTTTAGTCGAAAATGACTCTTTTCAGAACTTCGAAAGTAAAATGAAAGTGAGAAAGAATGGTGTTTGAGCGAGGGCAAGGGCCAGGGCAAGGGTTTGAGGTTTGATAAACTTCACAAAGTAGACGACATGATTGAGCCATTAATTTGTGTAACAATTATATAATCACTGTGTATAATGAAGATATTCGAATATCTATCATCGTTGTCATCAACTGATCTCGAAGAGTTATACAGTGATTCATTTACTTGTCAAGCTATTCTAAGGTATGAAGTGAAGTGATAAAGAGACGTTGATTGATTGACAATGTACTCATTCAATGTATGTTGAATATATATAAATATATATAGGTCACTACCTCCAAGATGTAAACAATATATACTTAGATTGCTGATGGTTGATTCGGCACCGAATGCTTCGATGGGACAGTGGAGTTCACAGTCTTCAATGCAGTCGCATTATGAGGCGATCAGTAGATTGGTCGAACTAAAGATACTCATCAAACAGAATGAACAGATAGTTCATCTAAACAGACGATTCCAAGATAACATCAGACGTTCAATGGCCGACATGAAGAATGTTGTATTGAATGCAAGCAAGTCTACCGATGCAAAGACAAACATGTCTGTTGAGGATCTTGACAAATACTCAAAGGAGCAATGGGAGAAGGTGCTGTACTTCCTGTCAGAAGACAATAGCTCCGCCACAACAGACCTGATATCTGAGTTACTAGTGTCCTCCAACTTGACTAAAGTGTAAGTACCTGACATGGCCACTACTCATTCATTCATCTCTAACCTCATGTCTCTCACTCAGTGTCAATGGAGAGATATCAATCACAAGCGAGGGATTCAAGTTCCTGCTCAAAGACGTCTACACTCAGATATGGACGCTAATCATTGTATATTTAGACACACTCAATGTAGGTTATGGACTATGGACTGGTCGTTAGTGGACGGACAACAACATCTAACCCAACCAACACCATACCTTTACATTGTAGTCAAGAGGAAAGTCGAGGAAAGAGGCATTGACATTCCTATTCAAACTCAGTTTCCTGACATTGGGCAAGGGATACCATGTTGGTGAACTGACTAAAGATCAAATCAACCTGTTGATGGACCTGAAGCAGTTTGGTTTGGTCTTCATCAGATCAGTATGTTCTCCATGTCTCGCTGGCTCACTCAACCAATCACTCACTAACCTGATCCAATCAATGTAGGAGCGATCAGATATATTCTATCCGACAAGATTGGTTATATCACTGACAACTGGAAAGACTGTAACGGTGATGAATGATGTATCACAACAAGAGTTGACAATCAGTCAGAAGGAGATGGGTTACATCATTCTAGAGACGAACTTTAGAGTGTACGCCTATACCACCTCATCACTTCAAATCTCACTGCTCAGTCTCTTTGTAAAGATGCTCTATCGTCTGCCCAACCTATCAGTTGGTATCCTAACACGTGAGAGTATACGTACTGCACTCCTACATGGTATCACTGCTGATCAGGTATGTTTGTCCGCCCCTGGGACGACATGAACAACACTCATCAACTAACTCAATCAATCAGATCATCGAGTTCATCAGACAGAATGGACATCCAAACATGTTGAAGAATGGATATCCAGAGATTGTGTTTGAACAGATCAAGATATGGGAGGACGAGAGAAACAGAATATCATATCGCAAGGCTGTGATGTTTGATTCATTCCCAACATTGGAGTCATTCAATCATACACTGAACTATGCTCGAGACAACAACTACTTCATGTGGTCCAATCACGAGAGCCGCATGTTGGTGGCCAGCGACGATGGATTGGACAACATCAAGAACTTCATTCGACAGAACTTTGCTTAAGATTAATGGATGGATCACTTGGATGTGGATCGATGTGATTGTTTATAATACAACTCCATTCAATCAATCATGATCATGTTGATGACGATGATGATTGGACAAAGCCAAGTTTGGTTAATACATTCTCGAGCATCTTGCCACGACGTTGGTTGTGACGACGCTTGAGTCGCATGATTGAATAGACGGTGGGATCAGTCCTGGAGCGCCAGGTACATGCAGCAACCTTTCGTTTGTCGTCAATGAATCGAAGCTCGCCGTTGAAGGGCGCCGACAGACACTGGCAGTAGATACGGTAGGTCTTGATGTTGGAATGATACTGCGACAGCTTCTCAAAGTATCGCCGCGAGAATGGTATGCCGCTGATGATCACCAGCTTCATTAGCTTGTCGGGAAGATCGAGTATCACTCGTCCTTTATAGTCGTGAGCGACAAGGGTCTGAAGGTTGGGCGGGAGGACCACGTTCTTGGGCGGCTGGTCAAAGCTTAGGCCCAGCGTGAGCTCAGTGAGAGAGGAGGGGAGGGTGTTGGCGGGCAGTGGCTGATTGAAGTATGTGCCAAATGTGAGGATAGTGAGCGCATTGCCGAGTGTACCCTCGCTCAGCTCCCTGTTGTAGTATTCACCAAAAGTCAGCTCGACAATGGACGAGGGGAGGGTTCCCGGCAGCAACAAGGTGTTGTAAGAGTCGCCAAAGGTTAGTTTGGTGAGGGACTCAGGAAGCCCGACTGGGACGAACTGGTTAAAGTCGCGGCCAAAGGTGAGTGTGACGAGGCCAGGCGGGAAGGTGTCGCTGAATAGGTAGTGATTGTAACGATCCCCAAACTTCAAGTGCTTGAGCCCCAGCGGCAGGACTCCTTGTGTGAGCTCGCGGTTGTACATGTTTCCAAAGCAGAGTCGTGTGAGTGAGGGTGGCAAAGAGTCCGGGAGTAGATGTCGATTGAAGTTGTGGCCAAAGAACAGCTCGAGTAGGGTTGGTGGCAGGGTATTGGGCACGATGACATGGTCAAATGACGCTCCCAAGATGAGAGTTTGGAGTAGACGTGGCAGAGAGTGAGAGTGGATGGGCTGATTGAAGTACCAACCAAAGGTCAAGCTTCGTATAGTTGTGTATGTTCGCAGTTGAGTCGTGAACTTGTTATAGCTCTCACAGTAGACCAAGTTCGTCAGAGTGAGTGGGAGGGCGCGGTCGCAGCTCGTGGTCAGATTGGTGAGGGATGATGGGAATGCCTCGGGCTGGATGACCTGCTCGAATCGTTCGCCCAGCTTCAGACTGGTGAGTCCGGGCGGCAGTGTGTCCAACCCGAATGGTTGATCAAAGTTATGATCAAAGACCAGGCTTGTGATTGAAGGGGGCAAGCATCCTGGAATGAGCTGTTGATTGAACGCTGCGCCAAACGTGAGGCTGGTGAGCGATTGAGGCAGGACGTCCAATCCAATTGGTTGATTGAATAGACGCCCAAAGGTGAGCTCTGTCAGGTGCTCTGGGAGCGCACCGGGCATGATCTGTTGATTGAAGTAACTTCCAAACTTCAAATGAGTGATGGACGATGGGAGTGATGCACCCGAGTCATCCGACGGCCAATCTACCAATGTTATCGTTGTCAACAATGTGTCATCAACATCCTTATTCTTCTCAGATGGGTCTAATGTGTATGTTGAAGCTATGCCAACTAGAGTAGGTGATGAAGATGTAGGAGATGACGATGTTGATGTTGATGTTGTTGACGATGTAGATGTTGGTGGAGGAGGATGAGCAGTTGATCGAGGTGGAGGTGGCAATGGGGCGAAGGATGACTTTCCAACGTAGTTGTACAGACGTTTGGATGTCATGGCCAAACACATCAAGTCAATATCGTAGTGTACATAATCAACAATCGTCTTTAGTATTACATTGGATAGACTATCCATTCTCTATTGGTGATGATACTGAGGGTCCTTGGGTTTGTGTGTCTATGATAGAGGAATGGGAAGGAAAGGGAGGTAGATTCAATCAACCTTCCAATCACATTATTATTCAATATATATATATATATATATAAAAGTGTTTGATTGTTTCGATGGATGGTTGGAACAATGTTATTTAAGATAAGGTCAAAAGTTGATCTAAAATTGGAACGTGAACTGGTGAGGAAGCAATCAATCAAACCACAAAATTGATGGAAATTCATTCATTGAATGGGAGAGAAGTGTGTATCTCATTTTGTTGAAGTTCACAAACACTTATAAGTAATGAAAGGTAGAGTATGCAAACTCAAGTGTTAGGATGCGGGATCTCTTTCATTGATATATATATACATATCTAAGTAAATACGTAATAGATGTTAGTATTTAAGTCACACACACACATTCACACACTTTAATGATGGCGACACTCTCTACCTCTCATTCACACTAACACCGAGTCAGGACAGTTGAGTTGGGTAATTAATGTGATTAAGTATGGGACCATGTGTGTGGTAGCATATGGGACAAGGCTGCCCAATGTTCAGGGTAGAGGTTGCCCCTTTGACTATATTATTTGTAACCACTACCAAATGTAGTATATTTTTATATTCAACCTTCCAGACTATTGAAGTCAGTCTGGATTGCATTCTACATTTAGAAAAGTAGATGGAGTTTGATAGCGAGTGATCCATGCGCCATCTTTGACAAACTGTTCAAAGAGAATTGAGGAGAAATTATTTTACAATATTTATATTATGTATTGTGAATTATAAATAGGATAATATTGTAGAGATATCATTTATTTATAATTATTTATTGAATCATCATGGTAAATACTTCTAAAAAAATTATTAAGAGAGCAAAAGTTGGAGGCGTATCCAATCAATCATCCTTGGACACTGGAATATCCAAAGAAATAATTTCAACAAGAAAAATCAGAGAGTTTGCCAGATCTGTTTGAAAGACGATACAATGAATATCTCAACAAGCATCAGAAGGACATTAGATATACCAAATTTCTTAAACCAGATGAATATCGTCTAAATCTCACATGTAGGATGTTGAAAGATTTGCAGGATGTGGAATGTTGCAATCTCTGGACTCAGCGATCAATCCACGTACATTCGATAAGCTCTGTGACAGTCGATACTACGATGTTTGCGAGAGTTGGTTCGACAAGACATTCACTGATCCAGAGGAGCGAGCTCTCTTGGACAACGCTAGATTGATACAAGACATGATGCAACTCTCCATCTGTTTCTGGGACCTTAGTCCTATGACCGACCAACAAATCATCTCTGTGTTTGCCGACCTTTTGTTGGTGTTCATCGTTGACGACTGGTACAAAACACTTACAGAGTTCACAATCAACGCCATCATGGACAATGCCTACGAGGACCGAGAGGGTCTGACACTGGCGGAGCGTCTGACCCTCAAGTTGCTGCGAGAGATACGCAGCCACAGTGTCGAAGAGACGTTTGGTTACTCTCGTAGCTATTTCCTAGAGTGGCTGCATATGTCAAAGTTCGAAGAGATGTTATGCAAGTTGCCCAAGAACTGTCCAGACGTATACTACCGTGGTCGCACATCATGGGCTGGTGCCAGCACCATCTATATTACAGCCTTCACGTCTCCACAGATCAAGGCGTGGGTCGACGCACTTAAGTGCCATCCCGAGTTCTCAGACATGATCATGCATTTAGGGGCGTTCATCGGTGTGTGGAACGACATGTTCTCGAGGAAGAAGGAGATGAATGAGAAGATAAACATCAACGTGTACGCAGTTGTGGACAATGAGGAGTACATCTACAACTACTGTCTGTCGCGTCTCAAACAGATGGCACAGTGTGCCAAGTGTCTTGACAACTCCATGCCTGGTGTACAGCGTCTCAGTGACTGTCTGATGGGTATCATTGTCTGGTACACAACATGTATACGTTACACATGGATTCCTCTCGACTTGACTGTTGGAGGAGTTGCAAATAAATGACCTGTCATTCATTCTGTCATTAATTATATGTGTGTATGTTTGTGAATGAATGAATGACTGATCACAATAATGATCAAAAGTGTGTGAGCGATCATTTATTTGTGATGTTCACCCACATCACATCAATTCTACTATTTGTGTGAGCTTGGAAAGACCTTGATTAGCCTTCTAACTCACTCGTTTGGTGTTATCGGCATCAAGTTATAACTACGTTTGTTTTGGATTAGACACATATATGGTCAGGAATGAGCAACAAGGTATTCCTTTGGTATAATTCAGACTTCCGACCTTTACAAGTTTGTCTTGTCATTGGATTTGAGCGAGTTGATATGTTCAGTGTTTATTCTGAGCCTACCATGAATCTATTTATAACCTTTTGGTGATTGGGCCTCTCTCGTATGCAGGTCCCAACAAACACACTTTGTGGAAACGACACACGATTGTTCGGGCGGCAACTGGGGACTATGGTGGGGAGGGCACATGAGGTCTCGAGGACTAGTCAAATGCACTGAGCAGACATGTAGAAAATGATTCTTGTTCTTGTGAACTTAGATTGGCGATATTGGGTAGTATTTCTCGTTTAGAATCTATCTATCCTATTTCGTTGTTTGGTACCCTCAGGTGACTAACACTGACCTTTGCTAATCTATCGATGGAAGATTGGAGGCCTCATTGATCAGTGAAGAAGAACAGTGTTGAACAACACTACACTACACAACAACAAAATCTTATCGTTTATGATACTCAAGTAAAGTCGCAGTAATGGGTTTAACATACTACACTACATACCTTGGGAATATATTTAAATGATTCCTCTGGATGACATTGATCAGTCAGTATACTTCGTAAAGAAAGATATATAATAATAAGATAAAGAGATAGAAAGAGATTTAAAATGGTAGTAACAACAGTAATGCCCAACATCAATATTGGTACCAAAGTGCCAGACACTCTTACTAAGGTACAAGGTGTCAAAACTACTACTTCTGAGTCGCCAGTGGACTTGGTCGCCCTGTTCCAGGACAGGTACAACCAATTCTTGGACACCAAACATGCCGACAAGAGATTCAATCAGTTCCTGGCACGTGATGAGCAACGTCTGAAGATCACTCTCCGTCTGCTGCGCGACATGCAGGAGATTGATTGCTGTCTCTGGACTCCACACTCAATCAATAGGACCTTTGACCAGATGGCCGACAGCCGCTACTACGACGTGTGTCTCAACTGGTTCGACGAAGTGTTTGACCGTGAAGAGCGCGCCCTGATGGACAATGTTCATATGATGCACGACATGATCCAGCTGTCGATTGGCTTCTGGGACGTCAGCTCGCTTACCGACTCCCAAATCATCTCTATATTTGCCGACCTGTTGTTGGTATTTGTCGTCGACGACTACCATGAGCAGTTGACCGCCTTCACCATCAAGGTCATCCGTAGCAACCAGTACGAGCAGACTGACGCCAACACAGTGCCCGAGCGTGTTACCCTCAAGCTGCTGCGAGAGCTGCAGCGCCACAGTGCCAAGGAGACATTCGAATATAGCAAGAGCTACTTCTTTGAGTGGCTGCACATGTCCGAGTTTGAGGAGAGCATCTGCAGGATACCAACCAACAGTGCCGATGTCTACTACCGTGGCCGCACATCATGGGCTGGCGCCTGCACCATCTATGTGACAGCATTCACCACAGAGCAGATCAAGGAATGGGTCGACCACAACATGCGTCATCCAGAGTTCTCGGACATGGTCACACATCAAGGTACCTTCATTGGCATTTTGAACGATGTGTTCTCGAGGAAGAAAGAGATGCACGAGGCCATCAATATGAACGCCTATCGTGTGGTGGACAACGATGAGGACGTCTACAACTATTTGTTGTCTCGTGTCAAGCATTTGGCACGTCTTTGCCAGAGTCTTGATCCAGCCAGTGTTCAACGTTTCAGTGACTGTCTAATGGGTGGCATCGTATGGCACACAATCTGTCTGCGCTACAGCCATCTGTAAGTTTGTTGGAGGCCAGTAACATAATAAATATATAGTACATTAATTAAATTATCCTCCTCCAACCTTAGCGAAGTTCAAGGGAGGGGATATTGGCAGACATCCCTTGCAAGGGAAGGTATCGACTACACTCTAGGAGGGTGAGTTGATTACACAATGCATCCATCCGTTCATTCATCCATCTCTCAACCATACATCATCATCGACATCATCAAACTTAAGATCTTACACTATCGTCAATCATTGAATTGATTACTAGTCGCCGGACGGTGACGAAGACGTCAGACGAGTTAATAAATGTGTTTGTTCGATAGTAAAATTAATTATCCATATGGACTGTTCTGTATGCTCTCTCTATCTCTTTCTATCACTCTATCTGTATCTGTTCGATAAGGGTAGTTTGAACAACAAAATGAATGAATAAAGTAAAGTCATGAGTGAGTAGTAATGTTGGCAACATAAACATCATGTCAACACACACCACACTTCCAACAACTACTACATCAACACACCTATCTACTCTACTCTGTCACTCACTCATTTATTAATGTTATGAGGTATGCGGGATAGTACTAGCAACCCACAATCCAAAGAGAGGTTTGGTCTCAATCAACATCAACAACAACAACTACCTCATGATGATGATGTTGTTGATTATGGGCATTCAGTCCACAGCAAAGAGTACACACACTTGTTCATTCATGCTCCATTAGTTGACTGGTGATGAGTGCTACTGCTAACCCACTCTAATGATTGATAGATAGATACTACTGTTGCTGCTGATGCTGGCGATATGTAGTGGCAAGTGGACAGGGGGCATCGTGTCCACACGCACAAACACCAACACACACTCTCATGAACCATCCTACTTCTCGTACTCCTGCTACCTTACCCTCTGCCTGAACAATGTGCCTGCCAGCCAACCATTCAGCCAGCCTGCCAGTCTGTCAGTCAGTCAATCAGTTAGTCAGTCTGGGAATATCAAGATACATAGGAGTCAGAGTGACTGTTATCTTGTTTAGACTAGTCAATCTAGCAAGAGAAGAAGAGATTACTTATCATTTCACAAGAGGATGGAGGTCGACTTGCCAATACAGTTGGTCTTGGATCATCACCAACAACAGCAACAGCAAGAGCTACAACAAGAACTACAGCAAGAACCAGAACAACAACTGTGCAGCGAGGACTATCCAAGCTCAGCATCGGCATTGAACGATGATGAATCATCTACAATACTATCAATGACATCATTGTTGTCCTCTTCATCATCCTCATCATCGTCAATGAGTACGACCACATCAACAATGACTACAACAATGGACTCGTTGGACAATGACGATGACCTTTCCACATCATCTGGCGAAGATGACTTTAGCGACTCGGAATCATGTACAAACGAAGTGGATGTGTTTGATGCCGGCGAACCTGGCGTCCAAGCATCAATGGATCCACAGCCACAACAAGAGGTTGAGGTACAATCAATGACCGAGGAGGTCCCATTGACTTCAACATTGGTCACAACATCACTGGATGACCAGACAATGACCATGGAGGACGTTTCCCCACTGGAGGAGACCCCCGTGGCAACAGCAGATGCAACAACTACAACAACTGTCCCCGATAATAATAATAATGACGAACAAGAGGAAGAGGATGTTGAGGCTGAAGATGAAAAGGAGGAGGACGAGATGTCTGTTGTGGATCTCTCTGGTGATGATAGACAGGCATCAGTGTCAGAGACAATGTCAACTGATGAGGAGTTGGAGTTTGCTAGACAATCACTCGCACAAGCCAAGGCCACTATAGCCTCTCTCATCGAACAAATATCAGACTACCAATCAATGGTGGAGGATGAGAAGGAGCGCGAGAAGGAACAGTTCATCCAACAGATTGATGAGGTAAGGCATGCTTGGAATTATTCCAACCAATCAATCAATCAATCACTAACTCCCTATCACATACTCATACATAGATGTCCAGCGAGTTGGACGAGCTGAAGAAGGAGAAGAATACATTGGCCAAGTCTAATATCAAGAACTTGGAGACATTGATGCATGAGATGGACTTGATCGAGGAGACGAATACTGGTCTGAGACATATGATTGAGTTGGAGAGAGAACGATTCCATCAATCAGAGGATGCGAACAAACAGTTGAGATTAGAGGTGGAGAAGCTTAAACGACATCATCTTCCTCCCCCGCCGCCAGCACCTGACGCGCCACTCGTCCTCAAGCCACGCACCCAACAGGCCAAGTTCGCATTGGAGTTGGTCATGGTCGATGGTGCCGTGTCCAACATCTGTCTGCTGCCCTACCGCGAAGATGCGCCCGATCAGGCCAGTCTGGTGGAGGAGCGCAATGAGTTGCTCAAGAAGCTGCTGCTAGAGAAGGAGAGTCATGGCAAGACACTTTTACAACTCAAGGAGGAAAAGCTCAAGTCCGAGTCCAACAAGATGTCTTCCGAGGAGGTGGCCAAGCGAATGAAGGAGTTGTCCAAGGCACACAGCTCCACGCTCAGGCAGCTGGAAGAGGAAAAGGAGATCAATCAAAAGAGCACAGACATCATATCAGAGTTGAGACAACACATCTCAAGAGTAAGCATCGTAACGTTGATCGATCATCACGTCCAACCACTGACACCACCCATTCCCCACCGCAGCCCCCACTCGCTCCAAGGCTTCACCGAACATTGTCAACATACACAACGATCAGAACTGGCGATATAAGCTTCATTAGTGCACCATCTGGCACTACTAACCTGGATAGACGCTCCAACTCTGTTTGTGGCCCACCTCCAAACCTGTCCACAAACCAAACACATCTCAGTCTACGACTTTATAACACTGCGGACTTGAAGGCAGGCTTCTCCGATAGCATCTACAACATGAACTCACCGTCTACATTGGAGCGATGTCACTTCTCACCAATGGCCTCATCCTGGTCCAACACATCCACCCTCACTGCAATGAACACATCGCCACAACTTGGAGGATCCGAAGAGAACTTGAGTAGCCTGGCCGACGGCGCCACCTCATCGTCCTCCCCATGTCTCCATGGTATTGACCATGAGGACCTGCACCCGCTGGCAGCCAGACACATGAAGAGATGCTGTGGCGCATCCCTGGACCTACCCTCATCAGGCTCAGGCTCGCTCAGGTCGCGAAAGGCACAGATGGAGGTATCCAACGAGAGTATGATCAGTTGGCTCAGTATTGACCCCACACCAGCACCAATCCAATGCATGGTAGAGGTAGGCAGCCAGGTGTGGGTGGGCTGCAGCGATGGCTCGATCAGGGTCATGGACAAGGACTCCCAAAAGACAATTGTCACACGACCAGGCCACACCCCACATGGCATCTACTCATTGGTAGTATCAGGCAAGACCGTGTGGAGCTCAAGTCGTGACTCAAAGATCAAGGTGTGGAGCGTGAAGAGTGGCAAGCTGCTCAAGGAGCTAGACGGACATTCGGGCCACGTGACCTCGTTGCTGGTGGTCGGCAGCACGGTCTGGAGTATCTGTGCCGACATGGCCATCCGTGTGTGGTCCTCGTCATCATATAAGTGCATCAAGAAGATCGAGACAAAGAGCTACCTGGTCAGCATGACCAAGGTTGGTAATCAGATTTGGATTGGCACAGAGAGCTCAATTTTGCGATGGGACGCCACAACATACCAGATCATCGACATACTGCACGGCCACAAGAAGATGGTGCACTGCATGATCAATGTGGGCCACAGTGTCTGGTCGTGCTCCAGTGACAACCTGATCTGCTTATGGGATCCGAGCTCAGGACGACTGCTCAAACGCCTGACAGACCACAAGTCGAGAGTGTTCTCATTGTTGCAAGTCAACAATAATGTGTGGTCCTGTGCATGGGACAGGACAATCAAGATACATAGCGCGGATGGACATCACTTGGTCAAGGAGATTGAGCCAGTACATCGCGATGCACTTTCCTGTCTGACATTGATCCGTCACAGCAGCTCATCACAGCCACAGGTATGGTCTGGATCCTGGGATCATACCATTATCGTCTGGAAATCATCCATTGAGTCTCCAAACCCTGCACCAACAGCCTGCGCGCCAGACACTTTGTGTGCGCCAGATGTTGGATCTGGCCCTGCGATCCCCTTGCCAGTGCCAACTATCCCCGAGCAACAAGAAGTAGTCGTCCCCACTACTAATGGTGGTAGATCACGCAAGAACTCTGTGATCACCAAGCCTGACCTCAAGATCAAACGATTCTCCCTGTTCTTCTCGTCCAAGAATGATCTGTCGTCAAAGAATGACCTGGGGTCATTGTTGTCCAATGCGCCACAGCCTCCAACTACAACCCCGTCACTCAACAACAACAGTAGCTCTGCCCTGCCCAATCCATCATCACCCAGAGGTCATTTCCTCTCGATGATCTCTCCAAGGTCAATGACTGCATCACTCGCGGCAATGTCACCATCCAACCCATCGCCACTTGCCAAGTCCATGGGAGCACTAGACAACCTCGAGCCAATTGAGCAATCACCCTCACTCCTGCCCAACCACGAGCTTGTCAAGACACATCAAACTCACTCAGTTACATGCAGTGCATGTCAAAAGTATGTGCTTACTCCATATTGTTTGATCAATCATCATTCTAACATCATTCAATCAATCACAATAATGTAGCAAGATACCTGGAAGCATATTGAAGAAGCAATCATACCATTGCAAGAAGTGCCTGTCCAACTTCCACTTTGAATGCATTGACAGAGCTCATTCGATGGCATGCAAGTCCTCCTCATTCTGATCCATCATACCATTCAATCAATTAAAAACCTATGTATTATATTATGTACTCTCGAACAACCCAATCAATCAATCAATTAATTTTCCAGACAAACTGGAAAACAACACAAATTATAAATTATATGTATAAGTATATATATATATTTATTCACATTGATTAAAAGGATTACCTTTTAGTCAAGAGAGTATGTTGGTCGGAGGTCAAAGTCCTTGCCACCGATGGGAGCACCCATTCTAAAGTTGAAGTTGTAGTACTCGCTAGCGGCATAGCTGTACAGACCGCCACCAAGGGTAGTCGACATGATGGCAGGAGTAGGACAGTCCTCATCGATGTTGTCGGCCCAGATGTCTTCGACCTGGACGTTGGACAACTTCATTCCGTATGATGGGCTGATTTCCAGAGGCATGGTTTCCTTGATTGAACTTTGCATTGTACTTTGAAAGTTGATGTTGAATCCGATCACAATGAATGATTGGTGATATATTAGATGTTTGGTATTTTGTTGGGGCGTAGTAGTTGAATTAATTCGAATTGTTTGTTGGATCTTTGTTTGATGCGTGGATGGATGGATGGGGAGGTCGGTAGGTAGGTGTATCGGTCAGAATGTTCGTGCTTCGGATTGAGGAGTGAGTTTAATTCGTTCGTTGTAACTCTGGTGGATCAAGGTAATTGATGAAAAGGTTGGATTGTTGTTGGATGGTGTAATCTTTAAAAATTTTAGTAATGAGGTATGAAGGAGTAGATTAGTTAAAAGGAGTGTTCATTCATTCAGATGAGTTGACCGGAAGTGACCAGGTCAGAAGGTTCCAACAACGCGACTTGGTTTGGGTGTGATGTGGCGAGAGTGGAGAGTTGCTATACAGTAGTTGTAATGTATAAATCGATGTAAAGTATCAAACATAACCAAATAAATATTCTCTAGCGTGGACATATACATATGACATGTACAATCGCAATTACAACAATGAAAGAGTGTGGTGGGTGTCATCACACACTTGTCAATTACAAATCGGAATCATGAGATATGTAATGGTTGTGTGTGAAAGAGTGAGTGACAGAGTGAGTGAGTGTCAATGTTTGATTAGGATGAAGGATGTCAGCCACTCGAAGAAGGACTTTCATTGTTCATTCAATCATTCAAAGTTGGAAATTATATTGTCATTTTGGAATACCAAATGAATTTCTGTAGCAAGATGACAAGTACAATCATGATTATTGGGGGTTTGTGAGATCTATTCAATAAAAATTGGATTTGTCTAATTACCTTTTTGAGTAAATATTTGAAGGATATTACTTGTCTTGGAAAGATAATAAAAAAGTTGTTGATTAGTTATATAAATAATGGAGATATTGGTCGTAGTAAGTCGAATTGATTGACTGATTGATGGATTTTGTAATTATTATTAGATGATATATGATGTTATGTTGGCGATGATGATGATGCGAAAGATAGAGTGTAAAAATATGCGTTGGCGTTTGGATGTTTATCGTTCTTCGTCGTCTTTTGGACAAGGTGTGTAATGTAATGTAGAGAGTTATAAATAATATTGTATTTATAATATGTTGTGTTGTTGTAATATTGGAGTCAAGAGATAGATTGTTTGATTGTTGTTTGATTGATTGATTGATGGATGTGAAATTATATTTATAAGAGAGCTGTGTCCCTTATATAATATACTTCATCGTGTTTAGTACATGTATGTGTTTGTGTGTGTTAAAGTGTGAAGTAGTGATTGATCAATCACACCTACCCACACCCACACCAATCACACACACACACACACACTTAACAATATATACTTGATCAGTCATACTTAAACACATAATAGAGTCATTAGAATGATGGAGTGATGGCAACAACAGGCATCACCATCACAATTCTGAACCGAGCTATCAGACTCTGAAATGTCCTTTCAAGTGGGTCCAACCACATTAACACATTACTTCAACCGAACCCTACTATACCCCTACCCTACCATCACCTTTAAGATCGTTGGGTCATCATTGCATTGTATAAATACCACACATAATCAAGTGAGTGTAATTGAGTTAGTGTTAGTGTGTGATGAGTGATTGGTTTGATTTGGTACTCTAAACACTACTTTATCAAGGTGATCATTGCCAATACTGGTAAATGAGGGAAGGGTGATAGTTTCTGTGATTGACAATTCAACTGATTGATTGGTCATGACAACAATTCTCAACACTGAATTCCATTCCCATCCTCAAACCCATTCTAATCCGATGAATACTTTGGGAATTAACAAATCAAATATAATATTAATATTAATTATTTTTTCTCTTACATATTTGGAAATCCAAGGAGATACAATACATAAATATTCAAAGTCTCTTCCTCCTTCCCTCCCTCAATTAATCAATCAAAATAATAATTGTGTTATATATCCGAATGTATTCATACATCAATTCAAGTAATTCCTAATGATCCATGTGACAGACTGACCACAACAAACAAACAAACATAATTGAGAAAGTTGGATAATTTACAATAATGAGTTTCCAGTTTATTCGAGATTACTATGTTGATTGATATGTCCACTCTATGTATAGCATTGTCGACAATAGTAAATATGTCTACTTTTGGAATGAAGGGTAAGGGGTACGTCACACTGTGATTGATTTGAATTCCATCGTTTGGTTAGACAATGTGTCTATATTAAGTCATTACTCAAACATGAAATAAACCATATATATCTCATTTATCTCATCTCATCTCATTCCAGAATGAGTTCAAGTATGAGTGTATGATTATGAGTGATCATTAACCAACACACACTCGACTAATACTAACACTAACACACAACTCACACACTCAATCAATTTCAATCATTCGATCAATCACTCATTGCCCACACACCCTCACACACACAATGACACCCATTGCCACACTCACTACCACTAGTTAAATGTCGATCGAATACCACCACACTGATTGATAGTGATCAAAAATGGTTGATTGCCTACTTCCCTTCCTAATGCTCCATTCCTGCCTAGGGTGTCAACACTACATTGCACTACACTTGACTGACTCCCACCACGTACCTTATACACCAGAGTTTGAGGTAGTAGGTAGACATTGTAGCCGTTGGTCTGCCCCTCCCTCACTCTCAACATCCCTTCATCCCAATAACCAATATACATACACAAGTCAAAAGACACAAATATACATGACTATCTATTTCTCTCTATTTACCATACCAACTTGAGTTGATTGATTGATTGATATTGAGTGCTATTAATTCTTGATAGTTTCAGAGCAGAATCAGACAAGACTATCCGTCACGTCTCACCAGCGACAACAACGACAACCAACCCTATCGTCATCAACAACAACAACATCCACAACCCATCAATCCAATACATCGGTGGTGATTACATACTATCCATCAATCAATCAATCAAATATTCCATTGATTATTAATCATCGATATCTTGTTCTATAAATATAACTATATATATATATATATTATACAATAATAATTATTTATTCAATATAATATCCTAATTCATGGATACATGCTTGGACAGTGTTGCCACAGCCACAGCCACAGTTACCACTATTGCCACAGCAACAAACATGACAACTACCACAGCTACATCCACAACAACAACAACAACAGCAGGAGGCACAAAATTTCCAAAGAATGCTGGAAAGCCCCCTCTTCACAGGTCCCCTTGTATATTGTCTAAAAGCGAGACGTTCATCGATGAACTGGCATCATTATCTTTCTCGAGTGCTGGCGACAAGTCAGAGACAGCCACTCACTCTTCACCCTCACCCAACAACTTCAACAACCAATCAACATCACCTCCTTGCTTATCAACATCGACATCAATCAATGCGTTGAATACATTACTAAAGTTGGTTAGACAACAGTCACCACCAGTGCTGTCGCCTCGCTCACCTTCTCGCCGCTCTTCAAGGTCCAACTCTATATACGACCTGAGGCTGACAGACCTCGAGCAGCTTGGCAGTCAATCATCTCTAGCAAGCTCACGCAATAGCTTCAGAGCACGTAGTGTCAGCGAGGTCGTCTTCAACACTTGGGACTCTGCAGACATTGACAGCTTGCTGAATGACGACCTGTCGCCCGACCCCTCGCTGCCCAGTCCGCCACTCAGTCCTCCAACTTCGTCTACACCGCCACCAACAACTGCACAAGGAGCTAGCAGTGCGCTAAAGGACTCTACATCATCTGCTACGACTACTTCATCATCAATATCAACAACACTCAATGGTGCAGACCAGCCCGCTGGCGTAATACATGAACGAAAGAAGTCTGCGTCGGTAGTGCCATCGAAGGATCTCACGCTAGACGACAACAACCTGGTGGTGGCTGGCACTATCGACCGAATGGTCGCTCTACTCACAGACATCTCATCGTACACTGGCACTCAGTATGTCGAGGACTTCCTCTTCACCTATCACTACTTCATGAAGGACGAGGAGTTGCTTGCGCGCCTCGACTACCGCTTCAACAACCCTCTCAACACGGAGCAGCTCGCTACACTGTCGCCCGAGTATCAACAGCAGATCACTCAACATGTCAAGCTGCGCGTCGTCAATGTGCTCAAGAAGTGGGTCGAGGGACACGGCTACGACTTCCAGAATCCCGACCTTATACTGCCGCTCAGCAAGCTGCTCGACCAGCTCGTTGCCTTCAATCCAAAGTGGGGCAATCACATCAAGCGATCACTATCCAGCAACGTCGTGCGACTGTTCTCTGAGGACAACCGCAAGGAGACTCGACTCAATCTCAAGAACCTGGTCTACATCAACGTGGACATGGAGACGTACGCTGAGCTAATGTCGCGCGGTCTGCCGCTCAAAGTTCGCAAGAAGAACTTTGTCTCGATCAAGAACTCGTTCATTGGTCGCGAGGCAGTCGATTGGATACAGAGCACGCTGGAGTTGGAGACACGTGATCAAGCCGTTCTGATACTTCAACGGATGATGGACCAGGACCTGATCAAGCACTATTCTGAGCGCGGTGCCAGCCGCGTGAGCATGTCTCTTGCCAACGCGGAGAGCCCGCCTGTGCCATCCTCCCCGCTCTCACTGCGGTTCTCGCTGCCGCTGTCCTCTGATCGTCCTGCGGGATCGGTCAAGATCTTCCGTGACCAAGACACCGTATACTACTTCCCAAAGGATTGGGCACCAAGGCTAGAGGCTACCGACTTTCCTCAGCCGATCGTGTCGCGAATCGATGGCAACAGTACATTCTTGGATGTTAGTCCTGTGGAGATTGCTAGACAACTGGTCATAATAGAGTTCAGTCTATTCAAACTGATAACGCCATCCGACCTCTACCATCAATCATGGAACAAGCCCAATGCTGACATTCGATCTCCAAACCTCATGAAGTTCATTGAGAGGTCCAACACTCTTAGCTACTGGGTGGCGACTGTAAGTTACCATCCACCATAATGTTGATTGAATGGCACATGCTAACATCATCCATACGTCCAACAGGAGATAGTGTTGTCCAATGATATGAAACAAAGGACCAAGGTCCTAAAGAGGTTTATAATAATTGCCAGTGTAAGTATCCAGTCCAACATCCACCTTCCATCCTCCAACAATATCCTGACACTCCCTCTTCCAACAACAGATACTTAGGAAGATGAATGCTTGGAATCCTTTGATGGGCATTATGTTGGGATTGAGCCTTGGCAGTGTGCAGAGACTAAAGAGGACGTGGGAGACACTGCCCAAGCATGTGTTGGAGTTCTACGAGGTGTTGTCTAAAGAGACAAGTGCCACACAGAACTATGCCAACTATCGCAAGGCACTCCAAACGCCAACATATCCATCCATACCATACTTTGCCATCTACCTCCGCGACCTCACATTTATCGAAGAGGGCAACAATGACTACCTCTCCAACGGCTTTATCAACTTTACTAAGATGAAGATGATATCCAAGGTGTTGACAGAAATTCATCGCTTCCAATCAGTTCCATACAGGCTCATAAAGATTGAACCTGTCCAGCAAATATTAACGAATCCATCAGTTGTCCTCAAGGACATTGAGGTAAGACATTTGGATGGTGGAATGAATCAGCGCAGCATACTAACGCGCCAACAACAGTTGTACAAAGCATCAAAGATACAAGAGGATACTATTAGGTCAGTCTCAAAGTTGAAGCTCAATCACAACAAGAAATGAGCGCGAGAGATTGAGTTATAGGCATGACATGTAAGCAATGGCTATCGATAGCTTGCTTGACATGACAGATGCTTTGTTGTTGTTTAATGCTCCTTGCTTTCCAACTCGACACTGTGACTGGATGGTCCAGTCTCACTGTCATCGCCAGAGCCAAAGCCCGATGGATAGTCAGAGGCGACGTGCCAGAAGGCGTGATCACTAAAGTACTCCTCCTTCCTCAAGCCGCCAATCTTCCTGACCAGCTTCAAGATGGCGCCTGTGATCAGTCCACCGACAATGCCAACACCGACCACAATAAATGTCATCGCGGCGTTCCTCTTGGCCTGCTCGTCGCCGGCTGGGAACAGAATGTTAAACTCAACGTCACTGTACAGACTTCTGTCATTGATGGCGTGAGCAGCGGCAATCACTGCGGCAATGCTGCCAATGAAGCCTGGCATGCCATGCAGGTTGTTGATACCGCATGTGTCTTGTAGGTTGAATCTCTTGGCTAGGAATGGCGTCAGGTAGACGTAGCCCAGAACTGAGATGGTGCCCACGATGAAGCCCATGCTGATAGCTGATGCTGGGCCGATGTTTAGATGTGCCAGGACTCCCTGTACGACACCGCCTGCCAATGTGCTGTTCTGGACGTGGACCATGTCCAGCTTGTGACCAAAGTGACCGCACAGTCTCGATACGATGAATGTGGCAATGGTGGAGCCAGTGAGCGACAGGAATGTGTTGGCAATGGCCCTCAATTGAGGGTCTCCACGTGGTGCAATCGCTGCGTTGAAGCTTGGCCACTGTTGGATGAGTGGGCGTGAAGGGAAAGGAGGGGAGGGGGAAGGTCAGTCCTGTGCGCGTCATACACCCACTAACAGACGATCAATCAATCAATCACCCTAAACATACCATCATCCAAAGGAATAGTGAACCGGCCATAGCAAAGAGGTCGCCAACGTATGAGGCGGCATTCTCTGGACTGGTCTTTGCCTTCTTGTTGGTGATGAACCAGCATACCGTCAGACCAAAGTAGCAGCCAAATGTGTGGATGGTCATACCTCCGCCAACGTCAAAGGCCTTAATCTTCTCCATTATATACATGTTCAAGAAGTAGAACATTGGCTCCAAGATGCCAACGATGAGCATCTGCAGTGGTGTGACCTTGCCCAACAGTGCACCATATGTGATCATAACAGCTCCAGCGCAGAACAATCCATTCAACAATGTCTCTACGTTGAACTATTTGTGCGTGTTGAGGTAGGTGATGGTTAGTATGGCCGGCCATTCTAATACTCTTGCCAGTGAGTATACATAATACATACATAGAATAATTCATGACGGAATGATTCGTTGTGGAGGATGAACTCTACAAAGCCCATGAGGAGAACGGACCACTGGGCAACCATGGCCGATATGATAAAGGTGTAGCCAAGGGCTGAGTATCCGTAGCGACGCAGGAATACCATGAGGAAGCCGAAACCAAAGAAGATCATAATGTTGACATCGCGGAAGTAGCCATAGGTGTGGTCAATCTCGTCTTGAACCTGGTCAAAGCCTCCACCGTAACGAGCATTGGTGTCGTATCGTACCCAGATGGCGAACAGAACAATCATGAACACCTGGAACAGGAACAAGCCAATGACGAACATCAAGCTCTCAGTCTTCCTAGACTTGAGCGTCAATCTCTTGTCATCTTCGTCTTGTGACATTCTATATCTCTACTCTATATCTATATATATCTATATTTTATGATTGATTGATCGATTGTTTGATTGATTGATGAAGTGGAGTGTCCAGAGACAAGCTGTCAGTACTATGTATAAGGGGAAATTTGGAAATTGACAGCCCTTTAAGGACATTATCAAAGGCGTGTGTGTGATGGGTGAGTGTCAATCAAAGTGATCAGTGGGGTGCCAACACACTCGCACACTCACACTCACAAGCAAAGGTAAGTGTGTGAGCCACTTGGACCTTTGATTGATTGTGACAGGTAATGTCAATCAATCTTCGCCCTTTGCTTTAACAAGATGTCTGTCTACCTACATATATGTGTTATGTGTGATTGATGTAATGTCAATGTTGGGAGAATGAATGAGTTGATTTGAGTTGATCGATGGAAGACTGATTGGGAGAGGGAAGAAGAAGGGTAAGGAAGGTACTTGACAACAACACATCAACAACAACATCATCATTGATTCATGAGCTGATGTATGATGTCTGCAGTGCACTCACTCACAACCGTGGCAGTGAATTGGAACAAGCTGGGACCTAAGGTGCCCGTAGCCAAACAAACGCGTACAAAACCATCATTGATCTTAGCCCTACTCCACATGGAAGAGTTGATCAAAAAATATTAGTGTTGTTAAAATGACAAATGTCAAGATCTTTTCCAACACAGGGCAATGCTCAGATTACATCATGGGCCAGGGCTTCAGTGGGGGCCACATTTTTGATGACCATTGCTTTGCACTTCTGCTGTCAAACACGTTCAATTTGCCAATTGAGGTTGTCCTGGGCACGCGGATATGTGGATGGGGGTGTCAAGTCATCATTTGGGAAACTCTAGCTGTCCCGCCATCTGACACATCTTGTACATGTGTGGCAGGCAGGCAGAAGCCCTTGGCTGGCTGGCTTGCTTGCTGTCAATGTCAGGTCGTGTCAATCAATCAATCAACCATGACATGTCTTCGCTTATGTTAATAGAATGCAAAGAGCGGGGACTACAGTCCATCGAACCTAACCAGGTGAATGTGTATGTTGCCAACATCTCTTGGGTTGTGAGTGGATGATAAAGATTCACAAGGGTTGGTCCAATCTACATCTATAACTCAACAACATCCATTCAACTTTCTTTTCGAGCTTACAACTGCTTACAATCAATCTTACCTCGCTAGACCTGTCATTATATTCACAATGTAAATGTATTATTATCTGTTTGTATATTACAGATAGATAACTAATTAATATTATAACATTGGGTGAGTATGACGAATGGATGTTAGAAGTCCAAACAAATGGTGACAGACTACTTACATTAAATTGAGCCTGGGCGAGTTGGACCGTGGTCTGAAGAGGACATCAACACAATGTTGTGATTTTGATAACGTTTTGGGGACCGATCAAAAACTGGCTCCAAAAATAAATTCAGGTTTTCGACATCATCATCGTCTCAACCTATCAACTCTATCTGCAGCGGTTTAACAGACAATCAGAGATCTATTTTATTTCTGTGTAGCGAGATCCTTGAAATCAACGGGTAATGGCTGGATGTGTCCCCTTACGTCATGGTTCGAACCAAAATAACCTCGAACCAACCCGTCCACCGTGATCCCCTCGGAGCGGCACAGTCCCTGTGATCACCATTTAAATCGCACTTTATCATTCATTCATTGGAGCTCATCCATCATTGTGTACAACTAGTTACAGATAATCAATCAATCAAACAGACAATCAATCAGTCAACCAAACGATCAATCACACACAAACAGATTCCCTACCTTACCCCCAATGATCAACTTCAACATGGTGTCACACACTTTGTTGTTGATTGTATTGCTTGCCTTTGTGGCCACTTCCAGTGTCACTGCTGCACAGACCGATGATCCATGCAAAGGAGTCAATGATATACAGCTCCAAAAACTAAACACAACTTGCGTCTTTCCACTCCTGTTCGGCATCCTGCCCTACAACTATGAGACCATATCCATCTCTCCACAAGTGCCCAACTACTTCACTACGACCAACGTCATATGGCAGGTCTCCAAGACTGGTACCTACAGGGTGACCGTCACCCAGGGACAATGCATCAAGTCCACCACCTTCTACGTTCTCGTTCCATCTCTCACCGTTCAGTCCGCCGCATGCTACCGCGGCGCCACCACTGTGTCCTTCACTGGCTTCGAGGGTAAGAACGGAACTTACACCATCGACAACCTGTCCCCAGTCTCTACCAACTCGTCCTACTCCCAATCAGTTTTCCTCGCGCCTGGCCAACACACGCTCAAGATTACCGGTCTTTTGTTGTCGCCCTACACTTGCTCCTACTTCTTCAATGTGGACAGCCCGAGCGTGTTCCCCACGCTCGAAATCAAGCAGCCAATGTGCTCGTTTGACACAGGCAGCATTAGAGTGAGCAATGCCGATAAGTTCACATCGCTCACTCTGACCAATGGAGCGCAGACTGTGCAGAACACCAGCATAGGCCAGTACGACAACCTGGTGTTGGACACGGGTTTCAACGGCAACTACACACTCGTGCCAACCACGCTCAGTGTGGTGCGATCACAATGAATGTTACGTTGATCGCCCGCCAGCCTCAGCTCTCATTCTCATTCTGGAATGTTGCCGGATGCAACAGGACACACGGCGTGGCCAGCATCACAATGAACGATCCAGCACCATTCTCTGGCATCCCCAACCAGAACATGTTCATGGCCACCAATGTCAATGTGTCCCTTGGCGTCCCCACTGAGATTGGCAACCGCAACTACAACGCACAGTTCTTATCAGGAGGTTGCCGCTTGACCGAGTGGATACCATTGACCAACACTTACTTCCCCGTGTCGTACAGCACAATCCCTGCGTTACCAACATGCTCTGCACCCAACTCCACCCTCAAGGTCGACTTTGGCAACGACATGAGCAAGTTCAAGATGTTCAAGGACGACTCTGTTCAAGTGATTGTGGATGCCAACAACTCGACCAACGTGACCTATGGCAGCAATTACTCAATGCAGTCGGAATGCTTCACCAAGAGCTTGTACGCAGTTTACTCTACTGTCAAGCCAGTCTACTATGTCTACACGACCGACCCAACTTGCGTCGGTATCATCCACATGTACGTTCAGAACTACGACCAGTTCTCGAGCATCAAGATGGTCGACACGTTCAACACATCCAACGTTTTCTACGCCGATGCCAACGGCGAGTTCAACGGACTGTACTACGCGGGCTCGTGGCAGTTGGCCACCGTGGACAAGTGCGGCAAGACCTTTACCCAGCAGGTCCAGATCCTCGAGTCCAGCACCTCGCTCGACACCAATTTCCTCACATTCGAGATCACCAACCTCAATGAGCCAATGACCTGCACATCCATTGGCAACATGTCAATCCTGCCAATTTATAAGGGCTTGCGCGGTAGCAAGGCTACATTCACCAACTTCTCCAACAGTAACTCATACCTCTCTATACCATTCCACTATCCAACGTGCACCAGATACACACCCACAGTGTACTACTCATACGCCGGTGCCTACAACTTCTCCACTTTGACATTGTTGCGCAATGCATCATGTACACAATCGACAGATGGTCTAGTGCGTCTTGACATCATTGGCAACTACACACTGGCATTGGTCACTATCAATGGTGGCTTCTACTCTCCTGCCGCCAACTACTCCCTTGGACCTGGAAAGTACAACTTCCAGCTACAATACACTGGAATGTACTTCTGCTATCAATATCTCACCATCGAAGTGTTTAACAACAATCCAAGTAAGTACATATCCACATAGCTATGGAATCATTCCAGACTCAGCCACTCCCCACCCCTCAATCATACTCACTCAATCAATCAATCAATCACATGATTAGGCTATGAGATCAAGTACACGACATCGCCACAGAGCACTACTGATTGTAGCGTGAAGAGTGGCAAGTTCTATTTGCAAGAGGATGAGTCCAACTTCAACTCGGTGATACTCAATGGTATCAAGTCTGATTCAGGTCAGGGTGTATGGACGACTGGTTCATTCAAGCAGGGCACATTGGTATTCAATCACACAGTCTGTGGCGTGGGTATCATCAATTACATCAACCTAACGACTGTCTGGAATGGCGTCACGATCCAAGTCGACACGGCCACACCCCCAATGTGTGACAGGTTCTCTAGTGGTGGCGATGGTATTGCACCAATCAGTCTCACTGTCTTCGACAATAGTCTGCCTATAACACAACTCTCGAGCGACAACTCCTCGCTCACATTGTCCAACGGCCTCAAGTCGATTGGCAGTGTGGGCAGTGGCCGCCACTGGATCTGGGTCAAGAGCACCTACTGTCTGTGGAACAAGAAGATTGAGGTCAAGGGCGACTACTCCCCCTCGTACGCCGCCACCGTCTCCAAGTACCCCGACCCTGGCATGTCCAACGGTGTGATCAACATCGTCCCGCTCAAGGTGTCCTCCGCCATGATCAACTCGGTCTCCACCACCTCTGGCAACGTCGGACCGGACAAGACAACTGTTGTCGGTTGGAATGAATATAATATCATCAAGCTGACTATCCAGGACTACACTGGTTGCAGGACATTGCTCAGTGTCAACACGACCCCACCCGCGTCCCAGTCACCAAAGCCCTTCTACACAACCACGTCGGCCAAACGCTGCGGACCACCCGCGACCATAGTCACATTTGACGCGTACAGTTTAGCCAACTTTGAGATCAACGTCAACAATGTTGCACCAGATAACACTGGTTCAATCACTTTGTTCAACGACAACTACCGTTACCGCCACCGCCAGCTCACCTCCACTGTCATCTATGAGTCGACCTTGATCCTGAGCGAGCCCATGGTCCTCCCCATCAGCCCCCTAAAGTACACCGTCTCCAACGAGACCTGTACCAACAGCTTTGATGGCAGTGTGACTGTAACCGGCGCAGACTGGGCCAACTACCAATACACATTGCTCACCAAGAGCAATGGATATCTGTCGGCGGCCAACGTTGACCAGTTTGGCGGCACCGTCACCTTTGTCCAGCTGTCGGCCCAGACGTACACCTTGTACGTGTACAGTCGCAACAACACATACTGTCTTCAAACAGTTGATATCTTGGTCGCTCTGTCTGAGCCTAAGATCGACATTCTGACACCAATGATCTGTGACATGGCCAAGGGTGGCAGCATCACGATCAATGTGAGCCCACCAACCGCCATCGGAACTGTGACGTTTGGCGAGCAGACCATGACTGCGCCCCTGCAACAAAATGTCATGACCAACGTGTCGGCTGGCCTCTACGTCGTCACGGCAACACTCACACACGCCAACGGACAATGTCCACGCAAGTACACCAAGTACGTGAGCGTCGTCAAGAAGCCGTACTTCTTGCGCGCCTACGCCCCCGAGTGTGGCGCCGTCATCTTTGACACCAACGCCACGCTCAACGTCGCCACTATCCAACTGTGGACCGACACCGATCAGGTCGTTGTGCCACAATTCGCCAGGGCGTTCACTCAGACCAGTGTGTTTGATCAGTTAGAGACTGGCCGCTACAAGGTCGTCGTGTTGGAGAACTCTGGATGCATGCTCCAGACTGACGTGATCAGTGTGACCAAGTGTGTGGCACCGACCACCTCCACCACCACCGGTTGGACATCATGGCAGACATCAGCAACCACATCAGATTTTACTACTACTACAACAGGCGGTGTTACAACAGGCTCGGCATCAACTTCATCACATGTCACCGGTGGCGTGATCAGCACCACAACTGGACTCAACCATGGAGCTATCTCGTCCCCATTGACTCAACTCCATTTTATGATTGTTACAATCACCATCATTATCCTCTTTGCTTTAAGTTCATAATCGTTCCAAGTAAAAATTCACTTATGTCATCTCCAAGACCACTCTCGACATAGTTATACTCATAGTATGGCGTGACGGGCACGAGTCCAAGGCTATCGTCCATTATGAATAACTCATCAGTTCTACCTTGATAATTGGCCAAATGTTCGTCGACCATCAACCTCATGGCTTGGTCCTCATCGAATAAGTTCGAGGCCTCCTCAATGTGCTTCTCAAAGTCTTCAGGCTCCATGTTAAATTCGATGTTGGTTAAGTTATGTTTGATTTCCGTGCCATCTACCTTGACATGAACATTGACCTTATTATCCATGCTGAACTCGATCAAGACTTGGATACGAGGTTCACCACGTGGCATTGGTGGGATTCCAGACAACTCGATAATGCCCAACGGTATGTTGTCTTTGGCCATTGTTCGCATGCCTGCAAACACCTTGATTGACATCTTGTCTTGATTGTCGAGTACGGTTGTGAACTCTTGGGATCTCTTAGTAGGGACAATGAAGTTCTTCTCAATGATTGAAGTCATTATGCCACCCATTGTCTCGATACCAAATGGCAATGGATTGAAGACCAAGTTTGGAAGTCCACAACTCCATTGTTGATCCTTAGTGAGTACATTTCCCATAACTACAGCGCCAATGGAAGCAGTATCTTCAGGATTAATGCCACGATGTATTTGTGGGCCATTGAGTAGTAAGTCGCTAACCATCTGTCGCAATTTGGGTATATGCAGGGAGCCACCCATCAAGACGAGATCATGAAACTCAGAGATCTTGAGACCACTCTCTTCAATCACTCGCTTTACGGACTCGAGAGTCCTCTTAAAGAGATCGATGTTAAGCTCAACGAACTGATCGCGTGTCACTGTCTCGTTGAGATGATGCCCATCAAAGAAGTCTTGAATGTCTATTGTTGTCTCATTTCTTAACGAGAGCAAATGCTTAGCTTGCTCAGTGGCCAGGGTAAGCTTCTGCATTGCTTGTCGATCGTTCGATGCGTCCAAGTTGGTCTTGTTCAAGAAAGTTGCCAAAAGGTGATCCATAAGACGAAGGTCAAAGTCTTTGCCACCAAGGTGTGTGTCTCCATGTGTAGCCAACACTTCGTAGACGCCATTGTCAGATGTGAGAGCTGAAACTTCAAGAGAGCTGCCGCCAAGGTCAAAGACCAGAAAGTTCTTCTCGAGATTGTACTTTGCCAGATCGTAGGCTTTACAGGCTAGTGTTGAAGAACTAACGACCCTCAAGACGTCTAGACCTGCTATGGCACCAGCTTCCCTGATACCATGACGTTGAAAGTCGTTGGAACCAGTTGGACAATTTAGATAGACATTCTTGACTGGGTGGCCAAGGTATACTTGTGCATTCTCCATTATTCTTTTTAATAACATTGCAGTGATCTCCTCTGGACTGTACATCTTCTCCTCTCCCATTATCGTGACCATAATTAGTGGCTTGTCATCATCCTCAGCCTTTACAATCTTATATAAAGACCACTTGATTGCATCTTGTACTATTGGATCTGAGAACCTTGATTGATTGAGTGAGTTATAGAATGTTTGATTGATTGAATGGGATTGATCCGATCTGAATGTATACATACTTTCTTCCAAGTATACGTTTATGATTGAATATGGTATTGTTTGGATTGAGTATTGCTTGGTTCTTGGCCGCTTCACCAATCAATATATCATTGTCAGTGAATGCGACATATGATGGAGTCATTTTATTATTAAGTTCATTTGGTATCATATAAGCATGACCATCTTCATAATGAGCAACACTTATATGTGTATTACCAATATCAATGCCTAGTACACCATAATTCTTTGGAGACATCTTATCAACATAATCACCATAATAACCATATGGTAACAATGTCATACATGAACGTAATTGTACGGATGATATTAATACTACAATTATTAATAATATTAAATTGTTATTATTAATGTTCATTGTGTATTATTATTATTATTATTATTATTATTATTATTATTATTATTGGTATTTAAAATAATTGGCATGAACATATCTATCTTTTTTAAATACTTATTATTTGTTTGAATTAAGTGAACTTAATAAGCAACTTCAAAGGGTTGATGACGATGCACGTGATGACTCGTCATCAAACATGTGTCAATCATTGTTCAATTATTTACTTTTTTGCCAGGGATCCAAAACTCTTCCTTAATGATCAAACCATCCTTCCATTCTTGAATGGACCAAACAAGCCACTTGGTATTGACACCACCATTCGTGAAGTGCATGTATATCTCATAGGCAGAGTTGTTTCCATCTACTAGAATCTTATTCACTAAATATATATAATTAATTATTAATCTAGAGATAAAAATATAAATATTAATTATATACATACCCTTGACTTCATGGAGAACAGAGTTGTCATAGAACGTTTGTTCAGTCTTTCTATTTTGTTCTTTACCAACACGGTTGGTTGTATCACCGGTATCAATCATCACAACATCCTTGTGATAGTACTTTTCAAATTCCTCCATGTATTTCCCTTCTTTGACTCCATTTAGGATAGCATTTAATCTTTCTCTAATGTTTATTGACATTATTAATAATTATTAATTTTTTTATTTGATTGAATGATTTTTTAGTGATGAACAACAATGATTATAAATCAAGGTTGGTTTTGATGGTTATCCAAAGGATGACCACACTATATTTGTATGATGGGTTACAAATAATGATCTATCAACACACACATGTTGGAGAGATTGCCAACACTAGACTCAACCTTTATTACTAAATTCTTCTTATCTTATTCTCCACTCCCTCATGAATTATTACAAACCTATAACCCCATTACTCTGGTCATCTTGATTCACCTCTAAATATATGGATGGGATCAATCTACATCGCCAATCTCTCAGACATCATTGATTAAAACCCAGTTTAATGTGTGAACAAAGAGTAAGAAGACAACCGAATTTCATAATTAATTATTTCAATTACAACTTACATTTAATAAATATATTTACAATTTGGATAATTATTTATTTTGATTGAATCAAATACATAATAATAAATATCATTATAATTAATTTCTTAAATTAATTAACTAACTTTATTTAAAATGAATATTCTAATTCTATCCTTTTTATTATTTGTTATTTACCTTCTAATGGATTTAATTCGAAAGAATAAGAAACAAACAAAGATTGATCCACCTAGTCCATTTGCCCTACCTTTATTTGGTAATCTACTTCAGATTGGATCACTACCTCATTTAGGTCTGGAGACCATGGCAAAGAAATATGGACATGTCTTTAGATTTTGGATGGGCGATGTCTATGCTGTTGTTGTGTCGGACCCCGAGGTCATTAGGGAGATCATGGTAAAGAAGTTTGATAACTTCTCCAATCGTCCAAAGACACCCTCATTCCAGGTTATGAGTCGAAACTATGTCGATTTGGCTATGAACCATGATGAGCAATGGTATCACATTAGAAAGTTGGTCTCCAACGCCTTCACCAAAACCAAGTTGCGTACAATCAGCAATGTTCTGGATGAACAGGTTGACCATTTAATCCGGAAGATGAATGAATACGAGAAGAATAAACTACCAGTATGTATAATATCAATCAAACGGATCATTCCACTTTCCCATTCACTGACTCACTCAATCAATCAAATGTAGATGTACCCAAAGAAGTATTTGCAGAAGTATACACTAAATATGATATTTAGTATTATGTTCTCTGATGAGATACCATATGAGGAAGAGGAGAATGAGGGTAGGATGGTTCGTTTGTGTAGATCAATGCACATAATTATGCAGCAGGCTGGTTCAGCCAACTTTGGTGATTGTATCAATATCTTGAGACCACTTAGATCACTCTGGTTCAAGCTGTTTGGTTCCGAGATGGACAATGTATTCAAAATAACAGAGGAGATCTATGATGAACACTGGGAAACACTTGATAAGAATAAGTATGTAGATGATAATAATATCAATCAATCAAAAAGATCTTACTAAATCATATCAGCCCAAGAGACCTGTTGGACCACTTGATCATTGACTCGAGGGGATTGAAGGATAAGGAGTCGGTCATTATGATTGGCAATGACTTTATTGTGGCTGGAAGTGAGACAAGTGCTACAACATTAGAGTTGTTCTTGATGTTTATGATCAACAATCAAGAGATACAGGAAAAGATGGCTGGGGAACTAGAAGGGGTTGTTGGTCTGGGCAACCGTGCTACTCTCTCTCATCGGGCCAATTGTCCCTACAGCAATGCTGTGATCAAGGAGGTGATGAGGATCATGCCAGTGACACCACTGGGCATACCTCGAGAGGCAAAGGAATCAATTATCATTGCCGACAAGTATTTCATTCAAAAGGGTGCCACTGTGATCATCAACCAACGTGCATTGCATCACAACACTGCTCACTGGGTCAATCCAGAGAAGTTCATGCCAGAGAGGTTCCTAGTGGAGGACGACAAGCACAATGATTACCTACAACCATTCAGCATGGGTCCTCGCAATTGTGTCGGATCGAACCTTGCCATCGAGGAGTTATTCGTTGCCTGTGCCAACATCATAAACCGATTCAAACTGAACTCTATCGATGGCAAACCTGTGAATGAAGAAGAGTTGTTTGGACTGGCGATAGCTCCACACAAGTTCCAGGTGTGTCTTGAAGCCAGGTCTTAACATGTTGTATAGTATTAATAATAAATGAGAAGCTTTGAGAATGTGTAAGATCATGTCAACATTGTGGTGTTATTGTGTTGTTGGTCAATGATAGTTTGAGATAATTGAGTTGTGTGTGTCTATCGTCAACAATCGTTTTGGGAATGGTCAACTAATCTACCTCATCATCAACAACCCAAATGGAAAAAGAAGGCCAAAGAAGAATCTTGAGACCAAATAGGTCTCGTGAGGACCACACGACCCCATAAACACACTTTGAGGTCCCCTTTAGGCCATCAACAACTAAAAGAAGAGATAGATAATTAATTAAGTTGACACGACATCCACAACACGCACACATACATACTTATAACACCTTATTATCTTCATTCATTCATTCATATATACAACATAAGTTTAATGAACTATTATATAATATCTGTAGTGTTTATAATTATCTCTTTGATCATTTATAATACAGTAAATCAACAACAACATCATAGAACTATGACTAAATTAAAGGTTGGAGATGAGGCACCAGACTTTGAGTCTATTGACAAGGATGGCAACAGTGTAACATTGTCACAGTTTGCTGGTAGGATACTTGTGCTCTACTTCTATCCCAAGGACAACACACCAGGATGCACTGCACAAGCCTGTGAGTTCCGTGACAAGTACGAGGACTTTGTAAAGGAAGGTGCTGCTGTATGTATACATTCATACTCATTCAATCATTCAATCATTCAATCATTCATCATTCAATCATACTCATTCATTCTACTTCATCTTAGGTCATTGGTGTAAGCACAGATAGCTCAGAGTCACATCAGAAGTTCTCAGAGAGATATAAGTTGCCATTCACTTTGATCACTGACAAGAAGAATGAGATCGCCAGCAAGTATGGTGTTGGCAAGGAGTTGTTTGTGTTGCCAGGCAGAACAACATTCATCATCGATCAGCAAGGCAAGATTGCATGCGAGTACTCCTCATTGTTAAGAGCCACCAATCACATCTCTGAAGCATTGAAGTGCATCAAGGCTCTCAAGAAATAAGACTCGAACTTGAACGACATAGTCATTAATTCATTCATTCATTCAATCATCCATCAACATCGTTATAATATATAAACGTTAATGTTATTGTAATCATTTTGGTATTGACAGAGTGAATAGACGAACTGATTGATCAGTGCTACATGTTGCTAACTGCCATTGAGTCTGGCCATTGGACAATGTCTCTGGATTGGCTCGCCACCTGATCCTACGGACATCGGATGTGTGTGATAGACTAGAGGATGATTGAATGGACCGCGTTAGTGATGTGATCGATTGATTGATTGACCGATTGTACAAACATACCTTGTTGCGATTGTGTGTATACATTTCCAGTCGATTGGTACGTTGACATCTGGCTGTTGATCTCCTCGCCAGATGGTGATCTTTCCATCTTCTTCGCCAACGGCCAGGAGATAGCTGTTGTCAGAGTGGGGCTGTCTTGGAGCAAACTCTGTTGCAGTGACACCAGACTCAAATGTTGGCAGTGTGGCGTATGTGCTCCAGCCAGGCTTCTCCTTGGTGCCATTGCTCCATATCTTGACCACCTTGTCTCGCGAGCCAGTGACAAAGAATCGATCGTCGTGCGACCATGAGCAGCCCCAGACGATACGTCCGTGTGACTTGGGCACTGAGGCCACCTTGACAAATGGCTCCTCGCTGTTGTCTTGTCGCTGCCACAGTGTCCACATGCGGTCTCTCGAGACACCAAGCAGGTATCTGTTGTCGTGTGAGAATGCCAGTTGGACCACGGTGAGTGTGTGCCCCTTGAGATTGGCCACCTCCTTCCATGTGGCCACGTCCCATATTCTGACGGTGGCCTGGTCGGCAGAGGATGCGCGACACGTCGACGCCAGGTACTTTCCGTCGTAGCTGCATGCCACTGATATGATCTCATTGCCGTGGCCATACAGCTTCTGGATCTCTGGCCACAGAGATGATTGGAGCAGATGCTCCTCGAATGGGGGCTGATCCAGGACCTCGGGGTTGAAGTAGACTTGTTCCTCAAAGCCGCCCTCGCCCAATGCTTCGTTGTCCTCTGCGGCCATCTGTGCGGCAAACTCTGTCGTTGGGGTGCCATCGTCACCCTGTTGCTGCTCAGCAGAGAAGAATGGCTTGTTTGAAAGGCCCAGTGATGGTTGATTGGCTGCCAATGGTCTCTGCTGTCCATCATTCTCATACTTGATCTTTGTAATGTTTGACAATGTATCAATGAAGTTCTGTGATCCAAGGAATACTCTCAATATCTATGATGGCGAGGGCGAGGGTTAGGGTAAGGGTCAAGGGTTCAAGGGTCCAAGGTCGCGACAATCCAACATACCTTTTCCTCTGCACCAGACACGACTGCATGGTTCTTGGTGTGGATGAATGAGAAACACTCGAGGTCGTAGCCATGGATCTGGGGACGAGCAATCTCGTTCCAGGACTTGAGTGTGGCCACGTTGTTGTTGTCATCTTCGACGTCGCGGAGCCATTCGGCATAGAGCCTGAGTGTCCTGTCCGAGCTGGCTGTGATGAAGTAGTTGAAGTCGGGGCTCCACATCAGATCCTGCACGGCGGCAAAGTGACCGCTTGGTATAATCTGTGGCTCCCACATCTTGAACGACGACGACTGGCGCCAGAGATGGAACGCACCGTTGTAGCCGTGCGACAGGATGTACTCGCCAGTGGGAGAGAACACACCACCGTACAGACCGAGGATGTTGCCACCCAGGTCACCGACACGCACCTCGTCCATCCAGATTCCAGACGTCTTCTCGGGGCGCCACACGATCATTGTCTTGTCCATTGACGCTGAGATGAGACACATGTCCTGATGCATCGCCTTTGTCTCGTTGTCATAAGTCGCGGGCATCCAATTGATTGATTGCACCCAGTCCTCGTGACCCGAGAGCACGGCCTCGAGCTGTATCATAACTCTCGACTGTCCAACATTGAACTTGTGTGCCTTGGTGCTCAGGGCTGTTGAAGCCAGTGCCAACACTACATCAGATGCAGTCTTCTCTATGTTGTCGTCAGTGCTGCTGTCCTGCTTCTGTTCGATCGCCACCTGCTTGGACACCTTCCACAGTCTGATCTTGTTGTCCTGTGAGGACGAGGCGAGGAGTAGCTCGTCCAGCTGTGGGACACTGCAGAATGAGAGACAACGGATCCAGTCCTGATGTCCTTGAAGTGCAACAACCTTTCGGAATGGTGTGTCCATGGCCTTGATGTATGTTGCAGGTTGGCTGCTGCTGCTGCCCTCGCCCTCTGTCGCAGTTGTAGTCGTAGTCGCAGGGTATTGAACGAATATGTGTATCTTTGACTCGACGCCACCAAGTGCGAGTATTGGTATGTTGTCAGTGCCTGGCAAGAAGGCCAGACTGCAACACTCCATCATCTTGGGCTTGAACTCTATTGTCTGTATCACTGTCCACTTGGGTATCTCTGCAGTTGCTGGGGTTGGGAGAGCATCTCTCTTCCATATCTTGACTGTACCATCACCAGATGTCGAACTCATCAACAATGTTCCATCAGGGAATCGAACTACCGAGCATGATGTGACACTATCTGTATGTGACTTGAGTACCTCTGTCTTCTCGTACTACGTTATGATTGATTGAAGTGATTGAGTGAGTGAGTGAGTGTCGTGTACGAACAGACGATCATTGATGATCATGACTTACAAAGCCTGTTGTAGATGATCTTCGCCATGAAATGAGTGAGTGATCGGATGAGGCAGAGATCAGTTCGCATTCAGGCGCGGGTGTGGAGGAGTGGCCGCATGAGCCAGGCACCCAGACAACGTGATTGACACGATCCTTGTGACCGGGCAATGTTGCAATTACTTGTGAACGCTGATATGAATCAGGTCGCATCAATGCTACAAAGTTGTTGGCACCATAAGCAACCAAACCATTTCTACCCCATGCAATACAATCACTAATAGAATTGCATCCAACACTAATATAATCCAATCTAGATGTAGCCATCACTATATGTTATGTTATGTATCTATGATTGAGTGAATGATTGAGTGAATGAATTGAATGAATGAAGTATGAAAGATGGGCTTCGCACTTCACATCGAATCGACTCAAAGTTGAGAAAAACACTCGTTTTGGAATTTATTAGGTTTGAAGTCAAACAAATAATTGAAGCAAGTTAGTGTTTTGTATGATTGATATATGATATATAATATTAGATTTAATAATTTATTTAAACATATAAAAGAAGTACCGAAACTTCTCTATCTATTGATATTATCCAGTATATATTAAAATAAAATTATCAATTATAAGTAGATACCTTAAATCACCATTTTATAATGATGATGATGGAGGTCTGGAGGCGAAATAGTCATTGAACGTCTTGGCTTTGACATGTTCCTCAAGGAACTTCGTCTTGAAGGTGAGGTCAGGGCTCACTTATACCCAACTGGAATCATTCCAATCACCCATACCACACACACACTCCTATGGTTTGGTCAGTCAGTCAAACATAAATGACTTGTCGCATTGATATCAATCCTCACTACAATCAATCAATCAATCAATCAAATGAAGTAATTACAGATCATTCGACTTATCGACACATTCATTTATTAATACTATCGATTTCATTTGTTATTAAATTGATGGATCTATGTTCCATCTTCCATGATGAGTATATAATTAGGTATCAACTTCGCGCTTATCAAGGTGCCCACTCGCACACAAACAGACACACTCTCACACATTGGACCATCATGATGAGCTTTCGTCACCAACGGGTATTTGTGGGTGTACCTGGTGAAATTGGGAACAAATGGAAGGATCGACTTACTACCTCAGTAGTATGATAATGATGAACACTTCTAAACTTATTAATAATTCTACATAGTATGACGATTAATCGAGATCACCTTCCATTCCCCGCGCCACACTAACCCTCCATCCCCATCTCACCACCATGTTATGTGTAACCTGTAGTAGCCCCGCCCACTCTCACGCTGAAGGTCTAAAACCAAAAATAAGTTCAAAGTTTGGACGAAAGGAAAACACGAAGCCATAATGTCGCCATGCAATGCCCGAGTCGTGTTTGTGTGTGAATGTGCCCAACTACCACACCAACTCAAACTTCGATTACCAACGAAAAATCAATCATTCATTCGTATTCACCACCGTGATGTTATCGGGACAACACCTCACACACCCATGCTGGCACGCCACTCACACCCACCACTACCACATTCATCACCATGATACCATGTGATCATGATGACCTAGTCGTTGGCAGACTCGCACTCTGTGTGTTGGACCGCATGCTCTTAGAGTAGGAGTAGAGTGATAGAGTCTCCATCATCATCGTATCATTGACAAACAGAACGCTAAGGAACGCACCGTCGATTGATGGACCTCTAGAGACAGTCAATCAGTCAGTTGATATTTAAAGAACTGGATGGTCTCATCAAAGTTTATTTTAGTATTACATGACTGCTTGTCTACACATCTCTCAAATCGAGTAATAACATTCGCCTTTCATTCATCCTTCAACTTGTCCACCCAACCTCCAACATATTAGTTTACTATTGGACAATCATTCATTCAATCAATCAAATATATACTTAGACCAACTAGTAGTACTACTACTTGTATCACCACATTCATTCACTCATTCACCTACCCTCCAACTACCTAAGGGACACTCACTCACTCAATATATAAATATAATAATATACTTTGTTGTTGTTGTAATTAATTATTTAATATAATATATAGTAATAATAATAGAATGGTGGAATCACTCCAAATCGATGATGGAGACATCCCCATGTCAGATATAGGCTCTACAGCAGGCCCATGGACTACACCCGATGTGCAACCAAGACCTGGAATGTATGTTACCGCTCGTAACTTGACATCTACAGTCGGTTCCGAGAAGAAGAAGAACCAAAAGAATATCCTACAAGACCTTAACTTCTTCCTAAAGGTATGTTAACACTGATTGTGATTGTGATTGGAATCATTCCAGCCCCAGCCCCACCCACACCCCCCCACACACACACTAACACACTCCATTCAATCAAATATATAATATAGCCTGGCTCAATGGTATTGATGCTTGGATCACCAGGATGTGGAAAGACTTCAGTGTTTAAGGCACTCGCTGATCAGACACACGGCGAGAAGTTGAGTGGACAGTTGCTCTTTAATGGCCAGCTGCCACACACAGACACTCACCATCATGATGTGTCATATGTCGTGCAGGAGGACCAGCATATGGCTCCATTCACAGTGCGCGAGACATTCAAGTTCAGTGCCGACATGCAGATGCGCCCCGGCACCACCGAGGACCAGAAGAACGAGCGCGTCGACCAGATCCTCGCCACACTGGGCCTCAAGTCGCAGGCCGACACCGTCGTCGGTAACGAATTCCTGCGCGGTATCTCTGGTGGCCAGAAGAAGCGTGTGACCATCGGTGTTGAGATGGTCAAGGACTCCAAGCTGTACCTCATGGACGAGCCCACGACCGGTCTCGACTCGTCTACCTCGCTCGAGCTGATGCAGTACCTCAAGAAGAAGATTCAGGACGACAACATCTCGTGTTTGATCGCCCTGCTGCAGCCTGGCGTGGAGATCACCAAGTTATTCGACTTCCTCATGATCATGTCTGGTGGCCAGATGGTCTACTTTGGTCCAATGTCCTCGGCCATCGGCTACTTTGAGGGTCTGGGCTTCAAGCTGCCCTCGCATCACAACCCCGCCGAGTTCTTCCAAGAGATCGTCGAGGAGCCCGAGCTCTACTTTGAGGGCGAGGGTGAGGTGCCCCTGCGTGGCACCGACGCCTTTGTCGAGGCCTACAAGAACTCAGAGATCTACCGCCAGGTGATCAACGACCTGGACAACAACGCCGTCGACCCGGTCTTTTACAAGGACAGCGCCGAGCTGCCCCGCTACCCCACCTCGCTGTGGTACCAGATCAACCTGACCTCGCTACGTGCCTTCAAGATGCTGCTGAGCAACCCCGTCGCCGTGCGCGTCCGTATCATCAAGTCAATCGTCATGGGCCTGATCCTGGGCTCGCTCTACTACCAGCTCGGCTCGTCAATGACCGACGGCAACAACCGCTCTGGTCTCATCTTCTTTGCCCTCCTCTTTGTCATCTTTGGTGGCTTTGGTGCCATCACCGTGTTGTTTGAGCAGCGTGACGTATTCTACATACAGAAGGACGGCAAGTACTACCGTACGTTCGCCTTCTTCCTGTCGCTGATCTTCTCCGAGCTGCCCATCTCGTCGCTCGAGACCATCCTGTTCTCCACGCTCATCTACTGGATGTGTGGCCTGCAGCGCAGCGCGGAGAAGTTTATCTACTTCATCCTGATGGTGCTGGCGTCCGACCTGTCGTCGCAGTCCTACTTCAAGATGGTGTCTGCTTTCTCGCCCAACGCCACCATGGCCGCCGTTATCGCCCCAGCCATCCTCGCGCCACTCATCCTGTTCGCCGGCTTCATGATCCCCCACCCATCGATCCCCAACTGGTGGGTGTGGATGTACTGGATCTCACCAATTCACTACTCGTTCGAGGGTCTGATGAGCAACGAGCATCATGGACGCGACTACCACTGCAGTGAGAACGAGCTGGTGCCACCCAAGTTCATCTCAGACCTCTACTACAACGGCACCCAGGTGTGCCCAGTCAACAAAGGTGACGACTTCCTCCACACTCTCGGCTTTGCCCAGGACAACTGGTTCAAGTGGGTCGACCTCGCAATCGTCATGGCCTACTCGATCCTCTTCAGTGCCATGATGTACTTCTTCCTCAAGAACATCCACTACGACTCGCGCGCCGACAATGCCGCCGCCGACAAGAAGAACGCCAAGCGCGCACTCAAGGCTGCCGCCGCCAAGGAGACCAAAATCAAGGTGAAGGAGGTCAAGGAGGCCAAGATCCGCAAGGAGATCCCTATTGGATGCTACATGCAATGGAAGGATCTGGTGTATGAGGTCGACGTCAAGAAGGACGGCAAGCGTCAGCGTCTGAGATTGCTCAACGAGATCAACGGTTACGTCAAGCCTGGTATGCTCCTCGCACTCATGGGCCCATCCGGCGCCGGCAAGTCGACCCTGCTCGACGTGTTGGCCAACCGCAAGACTGGCGGCCACACCAAGGGCGAGATCCTGATCAATGGCGCACCAAGGACCAAGTACTTCACCCGTACCTCGGCGTACGTCGAGCAGCTCGATGTGCTGCCACCAACACAGACCGTGCGCGAGGCCATCCTCTTCTCGGCCAAGACTCGTCTGCCAAGCTCAATGTCACTGGTCGACAAGGAGGCCTTTGTTGAGAACATCCTCGACACACTCAGCTTGCTCAAGATTGGCAACAAGATGATTGGACATGGTGATCAGGGCCTGTCGCTCTCGCAGCGCAAGCGTGTCAACATTGGAATCGAGCTTGCCTCCGACCCACAGCTGCTCTTCCTCGACGAGCCCACCTCTGGTCTCGACTCATCAGCCGCACTCAAGGTGATGAACCTCATCAAGAAGATCGCCATGAGCGGTCGCTCAATCATTTGCACAATCCATCAGCCATCGACATCAATCTTCAAGCAGTTCGACCATCTGCTCCTTCTCAAGAAGGGCGGTGAGACCGTGTTCTTTGGACCAACTGGCGAGCGCAGCAGCGTCGTCCTCGACTACTTTGGCAGCCACGGCCTGATCTGTGACCCAATGAAGAACCCAGCCGACTTCATCCTCGACGTCACTGAGGAGGAGATCCCAGTCGAGATCAACGGCGAGTCGCGCGTCTTCAAGCCCGTCGACTCGTTCAAGGAGTCGACTCTCAACGCCAACCTGCTCGAGGCCATCAACGCTGGTGTGATGCCCGCTGGCACACCCGTCGCTGAGTTCCACGGCAAGTACTCCAGCACCATCGGCACCCAGTTCCACGTCCTCTTCCGTCGCGCATGGCTCGCCCAAGTGCGTCGTGTGGACAACATCCGCACACGTCTCAGTCGCTCGGTCATCCTGGGTCTGATCTTTGGCACACTCTTCCTCCAGATGGAGCTGAACCAAGCTGGCATCTACAACCGTGTATCACTCCTCTTCTTCTCGCTGGTGTTCGCCGGTATGTCTGGAATGAGCTCGATCCCCATCGTCAACCAGGAACGTGGTGTCTTCTACCGCGAGCAGTCGGCTGGCATGTACCGCATCTGGATTTGGCTGCTGACATTCATCATCACCGATCTGCCCTGGATCTTCTTGTCGTCCATTCTCTACACAATCCCCGTCTACTTCATCTCGGGCCTGTACTACGGCGCCGACACCTTCTTCTACCACGCCTTCATCTCGTGCACCACCTACCTCAACTTTGCCCTGGTGGCCATGCTGTTTGCCATGATCCTGCCAACAGACGAGATTGCCCACGCCATGGGTGGTGTGCTGCTGTCGATCACCGCCCTCTTTGCCGGATTCATGATCCCACCAGTGTCGATCCCCAACGGCTGGAAGTGGATGTACCATCTGGACTTTGTCAAGTATCCACTGGAGATCGTGTTGCTCAATGAGTTCAAGCACGACACATTCAACTGTGGCCCAGACAACATTGATGGCGTGCCACTCCCACTGCCAAACGGCACCGTCGTCCACTTCTGCCCAGTCGGTGATGGACTCCAGACCCTGATGCCATACGATCTCAAGGAGGACAACCTCTACAAGAACCTCGCTGTCATCTTTGGTTTCACTGTTTTCTTCGTCCTTTGCTGCTATGCAGCACTCCGCGTCATTAGACATCAAGTTAAATAAACCTCTTGTTATATTATTTATGTTACCCTTGGAAACATTCCAGTCATCCAATCACATTTGGAATCATACCAGTTATTCAATCAATCACATCTAGAAGTGTTCCACTCATTTTTACTCGTATCTCATCGATCAATCACATCTGGAATGGTTCCAAACAATCAATCAATCAATCTTTATTGTTTGTTTGGTATTACCCAACGCCATGCCCCAATGTGTCCATCTTCCAAGTCGAACCTAGTACAATCATTCATTGATTTAGTGAAGCCACAAGTGGCTAGATCAATGCTGGTGACGGATATCATAAGTTCTCCAAGGTATGAAGATAACTTTGATCGTGGAATGAATCCAGATCCAACCAATCCTTCATCATCATTAAGTACAAGAGACCATTGTTGATCAAACTGTTCAATGATCCTTATCTTCTTGAGGTGATACTCACCATTTTGAGTGATCGTGAGCACATTGGCCATCGTACAAAGTGGGAAGATCTGTGAAGGGTCAGTGTCTTTAAGTCCAATCATGACATGTAGGATGGGGAGATGAGGTAGGCCATCCGGGAGAGTGAGTTGATATGGTATCTTGAGACGTCTGAGTGATCTCGTTGGGAATGATTCCAATGGTAGTGATTGTTTGAATGATAGACCAAAGTAAAGTGTTGACACACTCTCTGGAATCACACCGGGTTCAATGAATCGATTGTACATTGATCCAAACTTGAGAGTTGTTAATGATGATGGGAGCACGGATGCCTTCAATACCTCATTATATTGGTATCCAAATACAATCTTTGTAACACTCGATGGGATATCACCAACATTGAGTATCTGTTTAAAGACCGATGGGAATGACAATGTGGTCAGGGTGTCTGGGAGCATGCCAGGGGTGATAAGTCGATTGAATATCTCTGATTGAATGAACTGCATGTACAACTTCATTCCATGATGATGCTTAGCCAGTTGAACACTGTTTCGATCGTTGATCGTCATACTAGTCAGTGTTGAAGGAAGTTGATGAATCATATCCTCTTCAATATATCCAGTGAGTGATTCCAATGATGGCGGCAACACCAAGTCTTCGGGCAAGTTATCGTATACCTTCAAGGATTTGACAGAGTCTGGGATAATCCCTTTGTGGTCCTCACCAACACTGTCCAGAGTCAACGTGATCACTGATGATGGGATAATGCCAGGCACAAGTCGATCATTTGTCCATATTGAGAGATATGTTACAGAGTCTGGAATGGATCCAGGTACCAATGTCACATCACCCTCACCATCACTATCATCATCATCATCATCATCATCTTCACTATCATCTTCACTGCCATCACCACAACATTCTATTGAGAGTGATTTGACTGATGATGGGATCAATCCAATCGGACATGACCTCGTTGAGATCTTGAGTCTGGTGACCGAATCTGGTATCCATTGGATTTGGTTGACAGCACGATCACTCACTTGATATCTCAAATATGTGACTGATGATGGTATTGATCCAATCATCAATGGTTGATCAAACTTGAATCCAAACACCAATGTCTTTACAGAGTCTGGAATGATTCCTGGTGTCAATATCTGATTGATTCCTCCAAGTTCCAAATGTTCCACACTACTTGGTATGTCACCAATCGATAGTGTTTGATTGAAGTGATCAGAGAAGAACAGATATTTGATACCATATGGAATAGTACCAGTGATCAAGTCAAAGTCCTTGTCAACTACAAAGTATGAACCTGTTTGAACTGTGGCCTCTACTATTGTGATTGATCAAGATAGTGTTAGTTAGTGTGAGCTAGTGAGTGAGTGATTGGAATGATTCCAAGAAGTGCATACCATATCGACTTAGGTGATGGACTATCAATTGATGATTGAATGATCGTAGTCCACAATGTTGTTTGGTACCATCAGTGAATAGAAACTTATTGATTGTACCTGGGTACAACCTAAGATAACTATCTCTTTGTTGAAACAAACTTGAACAAGTCAATGCCAATGAGATACTGGAGTAAGTATCATTGACATGTTCAACTATATATCTCAATACTAGAAGTGGAAGTTGATGTAAGGTTGATGGTGATGATGTCATTATTATATATCTCTAATCTAAATGTTGATGATCATGTGATCAAAATGATTTGATTTCCTAATTTGGCATTTGGTTGATTGATTGGTGTACTATGCTCTGAGATAGCGAGCAAGATTGAGAGACAATTTATTGGCGAATATTATTATTATATTCCAGTGATGATTGGAAGAACGTGATGATAATGATGATGATGGTGTGGATGATTAATACTCTCCATAGACGGGCTCGACCTCCTCCTCAACGGTACTGCCTCGTTGCCTCTCCAATATATTCTGTTGAGTCTTGAGATACCATCGATAGGTCTGCCACGCCAGGAGGAGGACGAGCAGCAGCAGTCCAACGTAGACGCCGGCATTGAGCATCATGCGCTGCGTGGGCGTGTACTTCTCCATGCGCTCCTTCTGGCGCTTCTTGCGCTTCTCCTCGAGCTTGGCCTTGCGCTCGTCGTCCTTCTTCTTCTTGCGCAGCTCCTTTTGCTCCTCCTGCTGCTCCTTGGTCTTGTGATCAGTGTCGTCAAAGAAGAAGATGAGGATGTTGGGGATCCAGGTGATGGTGCACCATACGAGCAGCACCTCGCGGCGCAGCTCGACCTGCTGGATCATCTTGGGGATGTCGAGCACGATGAACGTGCCCAGCGCCACGATCATCCAGAGCAGGTTGTGGTTGACGAAGCTGCTGATCGTGATCTGATGGCGCTTTGAGTATACAATGGCCGCCCACACGACCGCGTAGAATGCCCACACGTAGAACAACAGCGCTCTGTTGTTTGATACGAGCTCGCCACCCTTCTTTAGGAACAGTGGCATTGAGAATAGTACTGGCACCATGCTAAACAGTAATAGTAGTCTAACAATCTTTTTGAAACTTGATGTTGGCGCAACTGCCTTGCCGCTGCCACCATCATGATCGCCACTACACATCTCTCCATTCGAATGAGCATGTCCATGACCTTGTTGTCTTCTCGAGGTTGTTGTTGTCGCAGTAGTATTGTCAATCATAACAGTATCCTCATCGTCAGAGTCGTCAGAGTCGATGACATCATCACTCTTTGGCCTGTTCTTTGTGTCTGAAGCCATTATAGTGTGATTGATTGATTGATTGATTGATTCAATCTTCTTTAAATATATATATTATATATAATGTTATAATTGTACAAGTATACTTTATAATTGACTGACTTTATGAATGCAAGTGAACAAACACATCAAGTCACAAGTCACCTTCATTCTTTCAATCATTCTTTGAGTCATCATGAATGAAAAATGGGGTTGTTTTGTCACTTGACTTGTTCTTGACCMAAGTTCAATGAAGTTGCAAATACAAGGGTTGGGCGAAAAGGGATGGTGGCTGTTTGATGGGTGTAGACTTGGTGTGTCCCCATCATAGTTAGTTTGTTTGATGGTGATGGGGATGTTACCTTGGTCTACCATAAAGTACCATATATAATGCATTAAGTGTTTGTTTGAGTATTATAAGTTTATTATTAATAATTATTCGAGTTGTTAATCCAACCTGGAGAAGAAGTAGTTGTTGACGACTCGTGTGTCGATGATGGAACAAAGGCAAGGTGCCATCTGTAAGTGATTGATTGCTACATTGATCAAACAATTTAATCAGAGGTGATTTGCTTCTTGGCCCTAGATTGATTGATTGAGTGATTGATTGAATGTATGTTAGTTAATGATTGATTGATTGATTGAGTGTCTTTTCAACATACTTCTGGTGAGCAATAGCAGCGAATGGGTAGTAAGCGAACAAAGCACATCCCATGAGCTTGGTGGCAGCAGAGAGTCCCTTCTGGAGACCAATTGGGATACCGTACTCTGGACCCTATAAGTTGATTAATTGATTGATTATGTTAATATAATATTTAATTAATTATTTAATTAATAATAGATTGATTGAATTGATTGATTGATTGCAGTGACACTACTAAGAGAGGCGACACTTACATCGTGACCGTGACCGTGACCGTGGTCACCTCCTCTCACGAATTGTCTGGTTCTGGTTGAGAACAAGGTTCTTCTGGCAAAGTTGAAAAAAGACATTGTTAATGTATGTGTAATGTAATTAATTATTTGATTGAATGAGCAATAAATGATTGATCTATTCGTATTCGGTTGAGTCTGGTCAGAGGTAGCGTTGGTTAGGTTGGGTTGGGTCGTCCACTCATTCACTGACGCACTCTCCATCATCATAGTTGCAGACGAAACAAAGAAACTGTCAGTTCTGAACCCCCCTAAAGCCCCGTTACGCTTTACTCGTTTGGGCACTTCAAGGTCCTGAAAAAAAATAGTCATCAAAACACAAAAAAAACACCACAATCTCCCAAAAGAGACGATTTTGCGAATTTCAGGTCCACTTCAAAGGTCCACAAAGTTGTAATTATTATGTCATTCTTACATTGACATCACTTAACATGTTCAATTTCATTCAAATGAAATAATAATAATAATAACAATGATGGATACAAATAATAATACAAGGAAATGCAAGATTATATTTGCCACTCAATCTGGAACTTCACAAGAGGTGGCGGAGAGACTGTCGATGGATGTTTATGGACAGAGTGGTGTGGCCACATCAGTGCTGGACATTGAACAGTATGACTTTAAGATGATGTTGCCAAGGGAGAGATGTGTGGTGTTTGTAGTGTCGACTCAGGGCCATGGCGACGTGCCAGATACCATGCGCGACTTTTGGAACTTCTTGCTCATTCGCTCACTCCCAACCAATGCGCTGGCAGGCCTCAACTTTGCCGTGCTGGGACTGGGCGACTCGTCATACACCACGTACAACTTTGCCTCGAAGAAGCTCACACAGCGACTGCTGTCGCTGGGCGCCAAGCAGATGGTGCGACGCGGTGACGCTGACTACCAACACGACCTGGGCATCGACTACGAAGTCGAGCGATGGACAAAAGAGCTGACTGACAAGCTCATCGATATGTATCCCGTGCCCGCCGACTTTAAACCATTGGACAAGACAGTGTTGCAGCCTGCCAAGTACAAACTTGTGTATCTCAATGTCCCTGGTGGGGCTGGGTCTGGGGCTGAGGCCACTGATCATGATCATGGTGTTGCTGCGGCCACACACCAAGTTTCCAAGATGTTAACAATGGTCGCGACTACTCAATATCAATATGGTACACTTGTCAAGAACACGCGAATCACTGGTGCAGACTGGACACAAGACGTCAGACATCTCGAGATCGACATATCAACAACATCATTGGAGTAAGTGTGTGTGAGGGGGTGGAATGGTTCCATCCACATCATGATCAAAAAATCAAATTAACTTGATTGAACACTTACACATAGGTACTCATCTGGTGATGTTGCATACATACTTCCAAAGAACCCAACTTCACATGTGGATGATATCATTCAATATCTTAATTATGATCCAAATATGGTGATCAGTGATATTATACCAATCAATGCAGATCAACATCAGAGACCATCAAACCTTAGACTACCTATTACTATACGTGATCTATTCCTTGGACACTTTGACATACTAGGATCACCCAAAAGAATCTTCTTTGAGATGTTACAGTTCTTTGTCTCTGATCCAAACTTCAAAGAACGACTCCAATATTTCTCCTCCAAGGAGGCTCAGGTAAGTCAAGTCAGTACCGAGGATCAGGATCACTCACTTACACTAATATTATCACTCAATCACTCAATCACTCAAACAATGGAACTACTCCAAACGTTCGATCACACATTCTATTCCAAACTTATGTTGAACACTCAATCACTCAATCACTCGATCACTCGCACTCGTTCGATCAATGGATCACTCGTCATTGGATCATCAATCACTCACTGGAACGATTCCAATCACTCGTCCACTCGATCACTTGATCACTCGATCACTCACTCGACCACTCAATCAATCAATCAATCAATCATATCATCACGAATCAATAGGATGACCTTAGACAGTATAATCAAAAGGAGAAAAGGAACTATATCGATGTATTGAAGGACTTTAATTGCACGAGCATACCATTCGAATACATGTTTGATCTGGTGTCACAGATGAAACCAAGACCATTCTCAATATCATCATCATCATTGGTACATCCGCAAACTATACACATCACAGCTGGTCTCGTCAAGTATTCATGTCCACTTAGAAAGCTCACTAGGATGGGACTATGCTCCAAATGGTTCGAATCATTACAATGTGGCACCAAGATTGCAATGTACGTCAAGGCCAGTGGCGCCAAGCCTCCATCATCCCTCCTCACCCCACTGATCATGGTTGGACCCGGTACAGGATGTGCAATGTTTCGATCATTCATTCAACAACGTGATCACCTGATCAAACATCATCAGGGGTCCAAGGCAGACCTTGGACAAGGCCAATCATTATTCTACTTTGGATGTAGACATCGAGATCAGGACTATTTGTATCGCGATGAGTTTGAACAGTATCATGATTGTAGCACGCTGACCAAGTTGAGTGTGGCATTCTCAAGAGATCAGGAACAAAAGGTTTATGTTCAACATATGATGAAGTTGGATTCCAAGTTGATCTGGTCATTGTTGGAGAGTGGTGCCTACTTCTATATATCAGGCGCATCAGGTCGCATGCCAAAAGATGTTAGGGCTCAACTGATCAACATAATCAAAGAGAATATTGGAGTTGGAGTGGCGAGCAACAGTGACCCTGGTACTGTAAATGGCGATGGTGATGTTGATCCAGCACAACAATATCTTGATCGATTGGAGAAGGAAAAGAGATACATCACAGAGACATGGTAGAGGGTAAGCTTTGGTGCTTGCTCATTCATCATCAATGGTACAAATAAAATGATCACCCAGGGGGACCTTGGGAGGAGGCCTTGGAAATGCCCCGATACGCAAAAGTAGTGAGGCCATCATTTTGATTGGATGAGCCAACCGATGCTTTGGCGGGATGCACCCTTTAACAACTCCAATGAATTATCATCACTAATTATTGATCATTCATTCATATCAACAACATCGTCATCAAATAATGTATCAATTACTCCAACTGTTTGTGTTTCTAATGATCACTGTAACAGTCACGGTGAATGGCCAAGATGTGATCATCACTACAACGATCTACGTCGATCAAACATCGACCAACACATCAACCATATGTGGACTTGGATACCAAGACCCTAACATGGCATGTCCCAACATAACATCTGCAATCAACAGCTACCGATCAATATATCAACAACAACTCCACAACACTGCATTGAACATTGCGATGGCAGGTGGTGTATACCCTGCCCTCAAGGGCAACTCCGACCTCAACCTACTCTACATCAATGTCACGATTGGACCTTCGCCATACACCCAATGCGATGTCATCATCGACCTCGTCCCGGCCCTACCCAACGACACCTTCCTTGTCTTCTTCTTCAATTCCCTGTCGGACATTATTTGTAATCCTCAGATCAACATCACACTCAATAGTCTGTGACCAATGGCACCAGTGCTATCACCGTCCTACCCTTCCTAACGCCATGCTATGAGGCCGGTAGTCTCGGACCATCACTGACAATCAATGGTGGCAAGATGATCAACTGCCAAACCACCATATATAATATAGTTTTCTTGACTCAATGCAAGCTGACGATCAATCAAACAGAGTTCATTGGTAACAATGTGTACACCCTCTTGAACCACAGCGATGAGCCACTCTCAATCATTGGCGCAACATTCCGAGACAACTTCTTGCCTGGTTACCTGTTTCAAACCTTCCTTGAGACAACCACACCGATGTCAATAGTCAACACGTCGTTCATTGGCAACACGGGCATTGGGGAGTCCTAGGTGCCCATGCTATATCTAACCGGAGGCTCGATGAAAATCGAGAATACACTGTTTGATGCCAACAACAACATTACCGAGTTGCTCTTTATTGCCGGCAGCTATGAGAGCAACATCAACGTGTCCATCACCGACACGACATTCTCCAACTCTATCTTTCCCGACCAAAAGTCCATAGATGGTGACATGATATTGATTGTTGAATGTAACTTGATCATGGACCGCTGCAAATTTATCAACAATTCAGTGGCAACAACAGAGTTGGCCATTTCAAAGTCCACCAGCACACTGAACAACCTAGAGTTTGGAAATGTGAATGGACTTCACCGCGGTGGTGCCATAACATGTCAATCTGGACATCTCACAATGAACAACATCATCAATCACATTGGCAGTCGTATGTTCGATTGCCATATATCCCAAAGATGCTCATTAGATGGAAACCACCGAGTATGTTTCTATAGTGCTGGAGTGGTCGCTGGAATTGTCATCGGAAGTGTTGCTGGATTGATCATTATTATAATCATCACATTCTTTGTCATCAAGAAGTACAAGAAGAGGAACCAATACAACACAATACAATGAATAATATAATATTGATGGGAATGATTCCAGGCCTCACACTCAAGTAGAATGTGTTTGATATGATTGAATAAATCAAAGACTCTAAGACTACAACCATGGAGAAGACATTGACAGGACCCTCCCAGGTAACCTTTTTTTTTTTGGCATGTGTGGTTGCTACCCAAATGGAGGTGTGTGCAACAAATTAATGCGGGAGCTGTTAGAGCATTTATGTGAGGAAGGGTATATACGCTGACACCATATTAATTTACTATTTGCTTCCATACATCATTCATTGAGTTCAACTACAATGCAGAAGTATGAGTAGCAAGAATCAATTTATAAAAGGATGGGTCATTCAAAAACATCAATAATCCACCAATTGATTGAGAATACAATCAATCAATAATCCAAGGATCACTCATTCAATCAATTGGTGGATATTCATATCATTGTTTGGTCTACATTTATGGCCGATGCTGTTGTGCTGTTTCTATTGCTGTTGATGTTTACTCATTAATGAGCCAGTCTTAATCGTTGGCACAACATTCCGTGACAACACCTTGCTTGGCGACTTGATTATAACCTTCCTAGAGACAACCACACCGATGTCAATAGTCAACACGTCGTTCATTGGCAACTCGGGCGGTGGGGTATCCTTTTTGGCCATGCTCTTTCTAAAAGGAGGATTGGTAAACATAGAGCATACCCTGTTCGATGCCAACAACAACTATACACAGTTGGTCAATATCGCTGGAAGCTATGAGAGAAACATCTATGTTACAATCACCGACACGACATTCTCCAACTCCATCTTTCCCAACCAGCCATCCATCGATGGTGATATCTTATTGATGGCCCATAGCCCAGTCGACCAGCACACTGAACAACTTTGAGTTTGGAAATGTGAATGGACTACATGGCGGCTGGTTAGATCATTATCATAGTCATCACATACTTTGTCATCAAGAAGTACAAGAAGAGGACGGAATACACAATACAATAATAATCGAAAGAATAAACTACTATTTAATGATGCCGATCATCGGAAAAACCCCAATAATCAAAAGTGGTCCACCATTTTGATTGATTCAAGAGAGGAGCCTCTTTTTGCAATGGCCCATTGTCGGGATTAGCTCTTTACTCACTCAGTTAATGCTTCACTAAATATCTGATCACTGCATCATATAACATTGACATGCTCTAATATCCCTCATTATCATGCACTACCACAACCAATCACAACATGTTGGTCACTCATTCATTATGATGATCAAGCATTACCAACAAGTAATATAATAATGTATCATCAACAACATGTACAACTACTACTCCAACTGTTTGTCTTTCTCATGATCACAGTTACCATCACGGTCAATGGCCAAGATATGATCACCACCGTGACGATCTACGTCGATCAAACATCGACCAACACATCAACAATATGTGGACTTGACTACCAAGATCCAAACATGGCATGTCCCAACATAACATCTGCGATCAACAGCTACCGATCACTATACCAACAACAACAACAACAACAGCCACTTCAAAACTCAGCATTGAGCATTGCGATGGCAGGTGGTGTATACCCTGCTCTCAAAGGCAACTCCAACCTCGAGCTACTCAACCTCAATGTCACGATTGGACCATCGCCATTCACCCAAGGCGACGTGACAATCGACCTCGCCCAGAATGCCACCTCCAACTACCTCTACTTCTTCAACCTCACGTCCCAGAGCCTTTGTAATCCTCCGATGAGCATCACACTCAATAGTCTAACGTTCACCAATGGCACACAAGTAATCAACTCGTTAGTGAACAACATCAACATCGTGCTGAACAACGTCACCTTCTATGGTGTAGCGATCAATGGGACTAATGTGATCAATGTCGCACCATTCCCAACTCCATGTACTGGTAGTCCAGGACCATCACTCACAATCAATGGTGGAAGGATGGTCAACTGTCAATCCAAGGTAAAGTCTGGTGTGATGCTCCAGACCGAATGCGCGCTGACCCTCAATCAAACCGAGTTCATTGGAAACAGTGCGTTCACTCTCTGGTCGCACTACGAACAGCCAGTCTCAATCGTTGACACATCATTCATTGAAAACATGGTCGATACCCTGATGTCGACTAAGGCCCTAGCGTCCACGACTCCTTTGTCAATAGTCAACGCCTCGTTCATTGGCAACATGGGCTCGGGTGACACATTTATGTCAATGCTCTCTCTAACCGGAGGCTTGATCAATATCAATAATACTCTGTTCGACACCAACGACAACTTTGGAGTGTTGTTATTAATCAAAGGAGACATGTACAATAGCAATGTGACCATCGCCGACACGACATTCACCAACTCGGCCCTCTCCCGCAGGCAGTCTACAAATGGCAACAGCTTGGTATCGATTTCCTACACCAACTTGACGATGGACCGCTGCACCTTTGTCAACAATAACGTGCCAAAGTCGGAGCTGGCCATATCCCAGTCGACAAGTACACTGAACAACCTTGAGTTTGGAAGTGTGAGTGGACTGGATGGCGGCGCCATAAGGTGCCAATCAGGACATCTTACAATGAACAACATCATCAATCACATTGGAAGTCGTATATTTGATTGCCATGCATCACAGAGATGTTCATTGGATGGCAATCTTCAAGTGTGTCAATTGAGTGGCGGAGCGATCGCTGGCATTGTCATTGGAACTGTTGCTGGTGTGATCATTTTTATAGTCATCACATACATTGTCATCAAGAAGCGTAAGATGAGGAACCAATACCTCACAATACAATGACGATTGAATGGATTTAATAAAGTAAACTAACTAATTATTGATTGAGTGATCGGATTGAAACAATGACTACGATCCTCAAGAGTCCCGAGTCATGAATCCTGGGTCCAGGACCAGGTCGCCTATTCACTCATTCAATCACTCAATCACATTACACTCTTGGTTCATCGAGGGCAACTCCGACCTCAACCTACTCTATATCAAAGTCACGATTGGACAATCGCCATTCACCAAAGGCGACGTCATCATCGACCTTGTCCACTCACCTTCCTTGTCTTCTTCTTCAATTCCCTGTCGGACATTATTTGTAATCCAAAAATCAACATCACACTCAATAGTCTTAGATTCAACAATGGCAAACAGTTCATCAACTCAATGGCGAACAACATCAACATCGACCTGAACAACGTCACCACCTCTGGCATGTCTTTGACCAATGGAACCAGTGCGATCACGGTCCTGCCTTCCTAACGCCATGATATAAGGCCGATAGTCTTGGACAATCAATGGTGGCAGGATTATCAGCTGCCAAACAACCATATATAATATAGTGATCTTGACTCAATGAAAGCTGACCATTAATCAAACAGAGTTCAATGGAAACAATTCGTTCACCTTGTTACACAGCGAATAGCCACTCTCAATCATTGGAGCAACATTCCGTGACAACATCTTGCTTGGTTACCTGTTTCAATCCTTCCTTGAGAAGACCACACCGATGTCAATTGTCAACACGTCGTTCATTGGCAACACGGGCATTGGCGAGTTCTACGTGCCCATGCTATATCTAACCGGAGGCTAGATGAACATTGAGAATACACTGTTTGATGCTAACAACAACTTTACCGAGTTGCTCTTTATTGCTGGAAGCCATTAGAGCAAAATCAATGTGTCCATCACCGACATGACATTATCCAACTCCATCTTTCCCGATGTTGATAATATTCGTTTTAAGAGAGCATTGAACTTACTTATTTCTATTAACTTAATTAACTAATTAACTTTAAAAAAAAATATTAGTAGCAATGAAACTTCTGACTATGAGAAATGTTTATATATATTTCGATGATCACACCAGCCACACTTCCAATGACAATGCCAGCGATCACTCCTGCACTAAAGAAACATACTCGGTGGTTTCCATCCAATGAGCATCTCTGGGATATACTGCCAATGTGATTGATAATGTTGTTCATCGTGTGATGTCCTGGGCGAATTCGACCAACAGAGCATATTGAGTGATCTTCTTTACCTGGGCTGTGAGCTTCTTTGCGACTATCTTCTTGGTGGTGAGGTAGTGTTGCTCTTTGAAGAGAGGATACTGGTCAGGTGGAAGAACGAAGTAGAGTTGCACGTTGGTTACGTCTCCAAGTTGATCAATGATGTTGGATAGCTCCTGCATAAGAGGTGGATGGTCCAGTGATACAGTCACTTGGAATAATGTAGTTTGTTTGATCAAACTATCAATGGCCGGGAAGTTGCCGTACTTGGGTTGAAGATAGATATTGTCGGGTGATGTTTCAATGTCAGTGATGGACATGATGTCTGTGGAGGGAGCTGATTGAGGGAATACAACTGTGTCCTGAATAGAGGTACGTAGGTTTCTTCTCTTGAAAGTTCCACCACGAGGCAAAATTCGATGCACCGCTGCCTCGAAGAAAGATCCGCCCAGTGGAGAATGGAGGAACTTTGGAACTGATAGATTCTTCATGACATTCTGCATGTCTTTGGCCTCCATTGCTCGGACGGCAATTACCTGTACATACTTGGAGGAGAACTTCAACTCCATTGTAGAATACTTGGAGGTGTTGGGGGTATCTATCGGGACAATTTGAATGATCTTGTGACTGCCCGGGGCTTTTGGATCCGCTTTTCCCACACTCTCAAAGCAATCTTTCAACCTCAAGGTTGTGATGCCCTGTTCGAGATTGTGCTGGTAATCACTGTCATTTGCATTCTCCAAGATATAGCGCGGAATACCTCCCCACTTTGACCAGAGACCATCAAGCACAGCCTAATGATGATGTGGGTTAGATTATGACATTGAGACACTATAACAGATACATACCTGAGTCACGTATGGATAGAGGATGGGTCTGACATGGTCGAGCTCACTCTTCTCCCAGGCTGGCATATATCTACGTGTGGTGCCAAGGTTCTTGAGGAACTCCTTGTACTTGTTTGGGTCTGGTGATGACACAATGATGGTCTTGGCTAAAACGTTGAGCTCCTTCTCGCTGTCAACAAAAAAGTATGTGGACTTTGACTTGTCGTTCAGGTAGGGCTCGACTGCTTCCCATCCTCCAAGTGTCACAGTTGGTGACCCGTTGATATCAAAGCCGTAGAGGTAGTAGGACTTAGTCCTTGCATGAATGGAGTGGACTACTAGGGTTGCCTTCTTCTTTGCGACCTCCATCATCAGATAGTAGAGGAAGCATGACTTTCCAATGCCAGGGTTGCCAGTCACAACAAATGAGCCATAGATTGGATCTGGCTGTGGGGCCCCCACCACCAAAACTGGTGGCTCCTGCTGGTCTGGGATTGCTTCGTATCGATCAAGCTGGGCAAATATCAGATTCTTCATCTCCTCGTAGCAATCTCGCACATAGAGTGATGATCTCTTGGAAGGGTTTCCCAAGAAATGTAAACCATTTGGAAGGCTCAGAATCTTTGACGTTGGATCAACGGTACAATTCTGAAGGGCATTCCAAAATTCTGTCTCTGTTGCGACTGATGCTGAAAGTAAGAATCGAATGAGCAAATCACTGGCTCTCATTTGTACTTACGAGCGTGGCCACCTTGTGATCCTATAGGGGCTTGAGTGTGTATGTTAGTGAATTTGAATGAAGACATTGGGCCGATAATTGTTTGTACTTACTCGGACCTACGAGCTGCTTGATAGCTTTGATGAGTTTTTTGGCCTTGCCATCTGTGAGCATGTAGGGGCCCTCCTTATTGATAAGTTCATCTTTGGTTAAATCAAAGAGGAGATCTCCATCAATCTCTTGATCAAGCAGTACCTTTCCAAGCTCTGGACCAAACTTGTTGCCGACCCATGTACATACTTCCTCCATCGTAGACTCTCTAGTGAGGCCTGGTGTTGACGATGTGGAAGATGTGGAAGATGTGGTTGATGTTGAATTGCTTGCCGTTGACAGTCGACCAATTGAGGATGAATTTGATCCTGTTGACAATCTCGATGTGGAGTCTGTCATATGTTCTTCTTGTGACATGTCTATTGGTGTCTGATGTTTGATATATGTTGGGGATGAGGTAATGAAGTGTTCAATACAAATAATAAGATAGATAAGTGAAGAGATAAAAGGAGTTGTTGGAATGATAACAAGTGAGCCCAAACACTCACTTCTTGTAAATCAAAAAGTTTAATAAACTTGAACTTCGAAAATATATAAATCAAAAATTTTTTATTAATAATATCAAAAGTAGATATTGTCCTCCTGATTCAAGTTCGTGACAAAGTTTTGAATTTTGAATTATGAAGTTTGAAAGTTCACTTTTGGATTGGTGGAATGAATGAATTGATAATAAATTAATAAATAATATTTGAATAAATCCATATTGCCATGAATCCACATTTAACTATTTATTTATCATTTTTCTTTTTATCGCCAGGGTGGAGACAGTGCCGGTAAATATTCCTGGTGTACTCCAATGTTATTTGTTGGAACGCTTCAATGATGGCCAAATGGAAGTTGTCAATTTGCCGATGTCGTAGATTGTTCTTGACAAAGGCAAACACTAGCTCGATTGGGTTTAGCTCTGGTGAATACTTAGGCAAAAAGATTAGCTTGGCACCAACTGACTCCACTGTCTGATACAGCTCGTGGAGATATGCGCCACCATGAATTGGTGCATTGTCAATAATCAGGAATTTGTTTGCTGACAGTGCACCATTCTTGACCAGATCCTTTACAAAGAGGCCAAAGTCATGGGCGTCATTCGTCGACGTTCGCTGTGAAATCCACATCTTGCCATCATAGTTGATTGCACACATGAAGTTGCAAGACTCCTCAATTGGGTTCTTGGTCTTGATTATAGCTGTCTTGTTGATTGGACCCACCACAAGTGTCTTGCGTAGATCTAATGATTGAATAATGTGAGTAATATTGTTAGTTTGTTGATTGTTTGACTTAACTCAATGATACATACTTCTACTTTGGAATGATACTTCATCTGCAAACACCAGATCCTTGAAGTCAACCAATCTCATAAATGCCAAGAACTCGAGGTAGTAATGCATGTTGTCCTCCCTGTACTTGTGAATTTGTTTGACTTCTGGTCGTTTCCAAGACCAACGCCAACTTCTGAATATCCTCTCAATGTGATCATTGGTGATACCATCAAGAGCTGGATTCAGCTTCACAAGTTCACGTCGTATATCCGATATATTGTACTGAGGGTTCTCGACAATGATTGCCCATACTGTCAACTCGAGAAACAATTGTCCATCCTTTCCAAACTTGCTGTGTCTGTATCCTCCATGACCTAGAGGGTGGAAGGTCGGATCAGATAGTTTTGTTAAATAGTAATTCACATCAATACCTGTAAGTCGTCTGATCCTGTTCTTGGTGAAATCGCTTTCAAAATAGAGTTTGAGTGCACTTTCTATTCGTTTATCTTTATCTGTCATATCTTACACCTGTTRATGAATGAATGATTGATCGTCTCCTTCATTCCAAACACCCCAAAAAGYCTATTTTTTCAAGAATTAATTGTTTTTTAGAGGAAATGTACATTTTTTCTTTCTTCCAGTTGTTTATTCAATCAATCAGACGACAWKCATTCAAACATTCATACAATCAAATAATCAAACACATTCATACATTCATTCATGGGTAATTACCGATTTTGCCAAAAGTGTCACGTTGACGGCCAAGGTTTACTCAAAGGGCTTCTGCAAGGATGGATGCGAACCTTTTAATAGTTTAGTCAATTGTCCTTCTGTCGATTCCAGTAAATTTCATATAGAGGAGAGAGGAATACTCAAGCAAAAGAAAACATCTAAGAAGACAAAAAGAAAAAACAAAAAGAGAGAGAGCAAGCAGCCAAACAAAAGAAGGAGGACGATGAGAAGGCTAAAGCTGAGAGGCTCAAAAAGCAGGAAGAGAGTAGGGCGAAAGAGGATCTGAAGACAAGAGACAAACTAAGAAGGACAAGTATGTGTTTGGTATTATTGTGGAATGTTTATTAATTTGATGACTAATTCTATATTAATAAGCTGATTTAGCAACACAGGTTACTTCAAGGACAACACCAACCGAGAGGGTAGCCATTGATGTTTATAAGTCTCATGTTGAACTTCTCCCAAGCGCACTCACTAACATGGTCCAGTTCACTCAAACAATCAATCGAATCGATGAGCCTCAATCACATGATCAATCAACACACTCCAGCATTGGTCTATCATGTTCAAACCCACTGGAAACAACATTCGTGGCGTTTCTAACCAATCAGAAGTCCCTTTCTTCACTCGACCGGGATGTAGCAGTGTTAGAGGAATATCCTTCCAAAAGTGAACTTTCAAACTTCATAATTCAAAATTCAAAACTTTGTCAAGAACTTGAATCAGGAGGACAATACCAATCGCGCTGATACCTCGATGATCATTGAAGACAAGATCAATGTTTGTATCAACGTCAAAGGTGATCACTGCTACACAAAGTCCACCATCACACTGAACAACCTAGAGTTTGGAAATGTGAATGGACTCGATGGCAGAGCTATAACATGTCAATCTGGACATCTCACGATGAACAACATCATCAACCATATTGGAAGTCGTCTGTTTGATTGCCACATTTCCCAAAGATGTTCTTAAGAACATTGCAGTGTTAGATGGAAATCATCGAGTATGTTTCTTTAGTGCTGGAGTGATACTATTTCCAGGATTCATTCCGAGTTTCCAGGGACACCAACTCTTGTTTTAATTGTTGGAAAGTGCGTTGATGAACTGTTTGGGATCGCGAAGTGACTTGCGAGCACGATTGGCTATGATGTTGGCCTTGTTGATGTCTTTGGACACGTAAAGCTCAAAGTCGCGGTAGTCCAGCCATGTTTGCACGTCGTCCTGTGCAAATGAGTCGTCTTGGAGGTATCGTTCATAGAGGTCTCTGATCTCGGCTAATTCTGGAGTGGGTCTTTCACGCTGGTATGCAATGCAGCTCTGGAACATCCTCTTGCTCACTGGAAGATATTGGAAGCATAAAGTATACGCCTCTTTCAGCTGCTTCATCGACACGCCCTTAGTTGTGAACAAATAATCGATCAAATATATCTTTGCCTCCTCCTGGCATTGTGGTCTTCCATCCATCATACGCATCAATTTCTGGAAAGTGATTGAATGATTGAGTGAGTAAGTGAGTGGAATAATTCCAATTGATTGATTGAGTGATTGTGATGTGGACAACTTACGGAGAAGATTGAGAGTATTTGTTTGAATGAATCGGCTCCATCCTTGATTTGGGATAGTTTGTGATCAAAGTATTGAATGATGTATGTTCGGTATGATGCCTGCTCGGTGATTGTTGGATGTGTTGATGTTGATGTGGAAGTTGGAATTGGGAATATCTGTTGAATTGATTGTTCAAAGCATTGTTGGATGGCACTGTCAAATGTGGCGTTGGATGCATTGCCAAGTACCATGCTATGGCGAATGAGTATGTTGATTCTTTGATTCCACAGATTGATTGAGTTGGCATGCTTGGTAGTTGCCTTGACTGCTACGTCCATTGCTTCCTTGATCTTGTTCAATTGGATCAACAACTCGACATAGATCAAGTATCCACTCTCATTAAGTACGCCATCCTTCTCAGCCTTGGTAAATGTGACCAACAAGAACTTCTCCAACAGTGCGAGCTAGTTGGTAATGTGTGTAAGTGATTGATTGATTGATTGAGTATGGAATGATTCCACGGGATACTTACCACCTGGTTGTTATCAATGGTTACTCGCTGAAGCAGTTTGTTGATGAACTTGTTGATGCCTAGAAGCATGGCCTCACTCTTGATGCTGGCCATACCCTTGTCCAGTACGGAGAGGGTGCTGTTGATCAAGGGGATAGAGTCTGAGGCGTCTGACATGGCGATCGTGCCGACCTTTGCCAATGTGCCCATCTCAACCTTGGCCAACATCATCCATAATTTGGTATCATTGTTGGCAAAGTCCTTCTTCAATGATTGAATGATCAGATCGCCCATCAACTTTCCAATCCTCTCAGTCTCTGCTGCGATCGTCAACGTAGCCTTGCCATTATTAATGAACTGTTGCACCAACTTATAGAACTGCTTCCTGAACTCAAAGTCATTCTTGAAGTCTGTATGATTGATCCAGTGTTTGATTGAGTGAGTGGGTTGGAGTGGAATAGTTCCAGGTGGGTTAGTCATGGTTGATCACATGCGCAAGTGATAGTAATGTACATACTTGCGATGGCATTGTTAAAGACGATGGTGGCAATGCCTCCTTGAAGTGCAGGACTGTTGCGAAGGGTGGTTGCGTTGTATATCTCCTCGCCAAACTCGATGAAGTTGTCCTTGCCAGCGGCGCCAGAGAGTTTGCTGTCGAGCTCAATCGAGTCTTGTGTGTTGGCCGCTGTGCCGTTGATCACGCGATCGGCATCCTCGACCGTCGACAGTCGGTTCAGGAGCACAGCGACGTACGACAGCTCCATCGTGAAGAAGTGATGCCAGAGCGAGTGGTCGGCTGGACAGTAGTGCAGGCCCAGCTGTATCAGACTGCGCGCGGCCTTTATATTCCTGTTAATCTCAAACTCAAAGGCGGCGGCCAATTTCCAGAGTTTGGCCGATCGTGGATTATGTTGCAGAGCCAATGAGAACACACGACCCGTGCCATCATTACTCGCTCTATTCAATCTAACATTGAGATAACTGATCCACAATGCTTCATCCTTTGGGAATTTATGTACCAATCTTGCAAACAATATCATTGCATTCCTCAATGGTGATCTTAGTCTATAATCAAAGTCTATGTCTAATGTTCGATCGATTGATTGAATGAGTGAGTATGATTGATTGATTGAATGAATGAATGAATGATTGAATGAACATACTCATCTCTCTTCCTTTCTTGTGAACTGTTTGATCGAGGTCGAGTTCAAACTTGATGTATTGGAGGTAGTCGTGCTTCTTTGGTGCCTTTCTGACCATCTTTTGTTCAAACTCCTGTCTCTTGTTCATTATCTCCTTGCATTCACTCTTTGACAATACGCCCATTCTAACAATCTTGAGCGTATCATCAAGTAGTTGATCAACATTAAAGAATACTCTATCCATATCTCTCTATCTCTTTATCTCTATCTCTATTATGATTAATGTGCTATTAAAACACAAGTTATGAATTGATTCGTTCGTCTGCAGTCACTCACGCGCGACTACACGAACTTAATGTTTTTTTAATGTTCGTGTGGTTTGTGCGAGGGTAAGGGCGAGGGCAAAGGTTGACTCAACCCTCGACCGAGGGTCTAGTTCTACAAGTACTTCAATAGATGATTGAGTTTGAATGACTCAATAGTGATCCTATTGTTAAAGTCTCTTATTCCATGTCTTTCCTTGCCGAGCATCTTTAGAATATATGGCTTGCCATTTGATGACAACTCCTCCACAAGCATCGATGTGTTGGCAAAGTGTACATTCTCATCCTGCATTCCATGTATAACAATCAATCTATTCTCCCTATTATATTACATTACAAGTTAGTAAGTAATCAATCAATCAATCAATCATGCGTCCAATGTTGACTTACTCATCAGGGAATTGATCAAGATAAGATAGGACATTGCCATTCTTGTATCCTTTGGGACTGTTGGCTGGAGTGTTCATGTATCTCTCGGTGTAGCCAGTGTTGTAGGACTCCCAGAAGGTGACTGGTGCTCCACTGATCGCAATCTTGAAGATGTCTGGGCGTTGTGCAATGCCCATAAGTGCGAGGTATCCACCGTAGCTCCAACCAGTGATGGCCACACGTGCCAGATCAATGGGCACTGATGCGTTGGCAAGGTACTCGAGTGCCTCGACTTGGTCGGGGATCTCGATGGTGCCCATGGCCTCGCGCAACTGTCCCTCGAATGCAATGCCTCTGTTGTCCGATCCAGTTCCATCGACAATGACCGAGATGAATCCAAAGCTGCTGTAGAACTGACGTGCCAAGCTGTATGTGTTGCGAACGAGTTGCACGTGGGGACCACCATAGACCAGCACGACGACTGGGTACTTGCGCGATGGGTCGTGGTTCTCGGGCAGCTGGTAGCGGCCGTAGATCTGGCGACCCTTGGAGTTCTGGAACTTGAACAGTGTGGATGGTCTTAGCTTGACGCTGGGGTTGGGCTTGCCTGTGAGGATAGCTGTCAGTGGCGAGGGTGTGGGCAGACGTGCGCCCTCGGCAAACTCGAGTCGACACACCAGACTGACAGGGGCGTTGGTTGCAGATGAGTAGTTGGAGACGAACTTTGTGTGGTCGGGCGACACGGCGATCTGGTCGTGGTCGTGCGACTCGATCGTTAGACGACGGATCTCCTGTGTCGAGGGCGCCGTGTCGTAGCTGCACACATAGAGATGGTTCTCGAGAGGTGTTTCGCGGTTGGCTTCAAAATAGACCAACTTGCGCTGCTTGTCCACGCTAACAATGTTGGTCACGACCCACTCGCCACTCGTCAACTGTCTAGTCTTGACGTCGGTGTAGCCGGCCGACCATGATAGGTGATAGATATGTCTGTATCCCGATCGCTCGCTCGTCCACAACAGACTTGATCCATCCAAGAAGGTCAGGTGATCAGTCACATTGACCCAGTACTGTGGCTGAGACTCTTGAATGAGCACTGATGTGGTGGCTCCGCCAGCATTGCCAAAGCATGACACGGGGATGGTGACCAGCTCGAGACGCTGCTGGAGACGGTCGACCAGCTGTACCCACACCACCTGTCCATCGGGCGTCCAGTCGCCGCGCACATAGTACTCGGCCCACGGGAACACTGTGCTCAAGTCGAGCATGTTGCGCTCGACGCTCAGTGCGCCATTGCTGTCTGTGGTGAATGTCAGCAGACCGAGCTTGACACGTGAGTTCTCATCGCCAGCGAGCGGATACTTGTAGTGCGTGAAGGTGCCCTCGTATCCATGCTCGGGAATGTGGAAGTCGCGCACATTGCGCTCGTCCTCCTCAAAGTAAAAGATCTGGTACTTGTTGGCGCTGGTCAGCTTTGGTGCCCACCAGTAGCCAGTGTAGCGCGAGAACTCCTCCGAGTAGACAAACTTGGCCTCGCCCGACGACAGGTATGGCGAGACGTCGTGCGAGTGCGTCAGACGGTGGCGCTGCTGGGTCTGCAGGTCGGTCACCCACAGGTCATTCTTATCGATGAATGCCACCATCTTGCAATCGGACGACAACTTTGGATCATAAGTATCGGCGTTCAACTTTTTAAGTTTGGGCTGTTCGATTGTTGCGCCGGCCACATCAATCGTATACAAGTCATTGCCCATCGCTGCCAAGAAGTGCTTAGTATCCTGATTGAACTGATACGAAGAGATACCCGTGCCAACAGTTCTCTGTCTCTCCCTCATCAACTCCTCCTCCAATGACATCTTTCCAGTTGATGCTTTATAATAGAACAATGGCTTCATTACTTGTGATTGATTGATCATGTGATTGAGTTAGTATGTGTGATTGATTGAATGAGTGATGTAACATACTTGATTCCTTTTGACAGTTGTCTAGGTTGATGTAGTTGATGGTCATGTTTGATTGAGTGGCAGAGCTGGATAAGAAGAATACATTGTTGTCTTTATCAAACGTATACTTTGATGGCAATCTAGTATATTCATCCATGCATAATAATCTTGCAATGTCATCCTTTGAATATTGTACACCATTATGATCAACCATTGTCTTTGACCTTAATACAGCAGCTGACATTGTTATACTCATTATATATCAGTATATATCTGTATCTGTATATATCTCTTTTAATTAATTAATGTCTCTTTGAAATTGAATGTGAACAACAATGTTGCAAGTCATGTCAGGTCGACGTGTCTCTACGTTTGACTTCAAATTTTGAAAAATGATCGTGATTTGATGTTCATTCGCCCATTCTCATTCATTCAATCATTCACTCATTCATTCCAACTTATTACAACAAGATAATACATACATAACATACATATATACAGATATAACATATAGATAAGAATGAGTGAACAAGTTGATGTTACACATCTTAGATTCGTAGACTTGAAGAAAGATTTAAATAGTGTTTTTATAAAGAGTGATGAGGATAATGATCAGGAGTTTGAAGATGATTCTACATTGTTACAAGTGTCCAATATATTTGGTTATATATTCTTTGTAAACAATGATAATAGACGTCTACATATTGCTTCTATAAACCCATTACTCAAATCTCTACAGTCTTATAATGTCCACAACAATAACAACAAGGCCAAGATCACAGACTTTGGCTCTGACTCTGACAAAAAGAACATCGTACTAAATGCGAGAACACTTGCACCAAACGTACAATCATTGCAACTTGATATCCTGTCACAAGACATGACCGAGGTCAAGACCACCCTATCACTCTCACATGACGAACAACTACTCGCTATCGCATGCGGCTACGAACTTCAAGTCTTCTCAATCTTTGATCTCATTTCAAATGTAAGTCGATCACCATTCCAATCACTCTCGTTTAATGACTAACTCAATCAATAACTTATCTATGATCAGAACAACAACAAACCTTTTGCCGACCTGAGGTTCGATGATGCGTATATAAACACGATTTGCTGGAACCCGAGTAGACATGAACTATTGGTTACAAGCGAAGAGAGAGGCCTGTTTCATGCAGTTATCAAGGCAACAGAGAACGACTCATCAAAGCCTATTATGTTGCGATCGACGGATGTCATTGTAGCATGTTGGAATGAATCCACAGATAAACATGACGAGATATTTGTTGGATGTCCCAATGGTGACATTGAGCTAATCACTCTTGCATCGCCCGAGTCCAAACCCAAGCTTCGACTCCATATACCCGATTACTTCAGCGATAATACCCATATTAATAGTATGTTATGATGATCATAGCACTTCACTCCAATCATTCAATCATTCAATCAATCACTAACTCATTCATTCATTCATATCAAGTCAACCTGATAAAGTCCATCAAGCATTACTTGTTCACATCTTATGATGTAGACAATCAGCAATCCGATGTGTTCATCTATGACACGAACACTGAACAGATGATGGATTCATTCCCCATGTCACTGGGTCCAGAGCGGGACACACCAATCTGCATCCAATTATTGTTCATCAAAGAATGGTAAGCATTCAATCAATCAATCATACACCGCACACTCAATCATGATTACTGACTTATCCATATCCTTCCAGGAACATACTATTATTGATATCATCAAACTCAAACACAGTGGAAGTGTATGAGGAGTTTGAAGAGACATCGTGGCGATGCCTTAACCTTGATGATCAGGACCGTGCACAGATAGATAATGAGCTGTTTGCCACTGGTTTGGGAATGATCACTTGCTTCCCAGACAATGTGCCGCAATCAGAGAGCACTCCAGCACCCATCGTAGTCGTGTTGGACAACGATTATAACATCAGTCTCTTCAGTCTGATCAACACTGAGATTGGTGATCGACTGGCCATCACCAAACCAAAAGGTCTCGCCAAGCTCGCGAGCCCAGTTTCAGGCAAGTCGTCTTCCTCTCTGCCCATATCTGCACCATCATCACTCTTTGGTGGCGGCACGAAACCAGCGGCGGCGATTGGAGGACCCTCCCCCTTTACAATGGGCCCCTCATCAATTTTGGGACAAACAACAGCGACGACATCGTCTGGACCCTCCCCCTTTACAATGGGCCCCTCATCCATGTTTGGACAACCAGCTCCAACGGTCAAATCCACATCGCCAGTATTTGGCACATCATCATTGTTTGGTGCTGGCGGTGGTAGTGGCACTGCCCCAGCGACGGCATCAACTACAACATCATTATTTGCCCCAGCGCCATCCAGCCCATTCACAGAGAAGACTACAATGACAACGACATCAAAGCAAGAGCCAACAACATTGAACAACAACAATAGTATATTTGGTGGTGGCGCCTCAACTATGACATCACAGTTTGGATCATCGACGTTCAACAACACAGCCACCTCCAATGCAAAACCAGTGGAGAGCGTGTTTGGAAAGCCTGCAGCCACAACCACCACTCAATCACCTCTCTTCTCCGCCTTTGGAACAACATCACAGCAACAGCCCAACAAGGACTCGTCCTCCAACCCGACAAGTACCTCGCCACCCATCCTCACATCTCCATTTGGTTCAACACAAACATCTTCGGTCAAGGCACCAACAACAGCATCATCGCCACCGACTCAACTCTCACCATTGGACAACACGACATCGCCAAAGACACAGCCACAACAGCCATCAAAGAAGCCCGCGCCAACATCACAGCCACCCAGCAGCATGATTATCAAGAAAGAGATCAAGGTGACCAATGCAGAGGTGCTCCTGGAGAAGTTCAAGGGTCTGAAGCTGTACCAGGCCAACAATGCACTGGCCGTTCAAGTGCGCAACAATGCTCTCTCACTGACATCGTCGCTCGAGAGCATCAGACAGGCCAAGGCCAAGCAGGAGAACATCATCCAGGTGATCAAGAGCAGTGGAAAGTCACCATTCTCAATCGATGAGATCACCTCTGAGACCAACCAGCTCGCCGAGGTCATTCAATCGTTGGATGGCGCGTACGACGAGCTATGCGACCAGGTCTTCCTCACACAGGCCCGCGGCGAGAAGTCCCTCGTGCTGGCCACTGACGCCCTGGAACACTTCTCCTCGCAGGAGCATCACTCATCGATGAAGGAGCTGGTGTTGGCACGACGCCTCGATCAAAAGGTCATGGAGGATCGCGAGCGATTACAACTGGCCTACAAGAACATCAATGAGGAGATCAAGCGATTGGAGGTTCATCTGGCCTACGTGGACATCAACCACAAGTCGGGCAAAGAGCTGAGCGCGTTGTCCAAGGCACAGTTCCTCTCGCTCGTCTACGACTCGCTACAGAGCCACGACCACATTCATCACAAACTCCATCGATCACTCAGTCAAATGTCCAAGCAACTCAACAAGTTGTCAATTGACACGCCATCCGTGATGGATCGTTCAGGCAGCAAACAAAAGCAACAACTACAACTTCAACAACAGCGCGAGGATGAAGAGGATGGCGGCAACACCAACACACTTCGACTGGACTTTGACAATTTGCAGATCACCAACAACAAGCGTGATGTGACCTCTAGCGCACATTACAAACAGGTTGTGGAGAGACTTAGACAGAGCAAGCCAAGAGTTGTGACCCCAGTCAACATGCAACTGAAGCGCTACTTCAAGATGGACGATATTGCCAATCCGGGCCACACAGCCGTCGTTGTCAAGGAGCTGCCGTCGGCCAACCCCACACTGACCGACTTCAAGCTGGACCTGGAGAGCTCGTTCAACGCCTTCGACTCGTCTAAGCTGGCGTACAATCCCGCGCTCCTACGCAAGCCAATCGAGAGCGAGGGTCGCGAGGACGGCGAAGACGAGGACGACTCGGGAGACAGCCAGGACTATGAAGACAGCGAGGAGTTTGAGGACGAAGACGAAGGCCAGTATGAGCCTGCCGTCCAGAAGAGTGCCAAACATCAACGCAAGTCATCGTCATCATTCTCATTCACGCCCACCACCTCCACAGGTGCGGGTCAACAGCAGAGCATTGTGATGCCCCCACTCAATCAGAAACCCCCAGCCTCGATACCAGAGTTCACGACGTCCCCACCCAGACTCAGCGAGGAATCATTGATCAAGACCGCGATGTTGGATGGCTTCAAGCCTCCCCCCGCCAAGACATCACCCTCTCCCAAGACATCGCCACTCAACACTGCCTCCAGCTCAGTCCCCACAGTCCATGCGATGGGAACTACATTCGGCTCGGCAAATCTCTTTAGCAATGCAAAGGAGTCAATGCTGCCCAACTCCCCACTGCAATCCAATCTGCCGCCATTTTCTTCAGGAGGTGGTATGTTTGGTGGAGGTGGATCTGTAGCCGGAGCAGGATTCGGCACGATGTCCACTCCCTCCAAGCCAAAGGCAAACACACCAGATCTTGGCCTTGGCATGTCGGCGTCCAAGCCAAGTGCCCCATCAATATTTGGCAACGCTTCAATGCCAATGACCACCAACATTGGTCAATCACTTTTCCCTGGCTCTCCATTCTCCCCTCAGCCACAAACATCCCCACTCGCCACAAGCGTCACATCACCAGCACCAGCACCAACACCAGTGCCAGTGCCAGTGCCCGTGCCAGCCACTGCAACGTCACCAATAACACCAGCCAAACAGACGACTGTTGTCTCACCGACCATCACCCCTGCATCCCCAGCAAACATCTCACTATCTTCACCGCCACAACAAACATCTGTTGTGGGTAACAAAACGTCAATCACAACTCCTGCCATTGTGTCACCTACTACTCAATCACCTGTGACTATTCCAAAGCCTGATACACCTCCCACAAAGACGGCAGCCGTCTCCCCAACCATACCATCCACGCCGTCAACAGCACCCACTTCCACTACCACCGCTCCAGCTCCAGCTCCAGCTCCAGCTCCAGCTCCAGCTCCAGCTCCAGCTCCAGCCACAACAACAACAGCAGTCAAGTCAGAATCATCCCCTCCACTTCCAGTAACCACAACCTCACCTGCGACTCAACCCGCCACATCTACTTCACCAGTCGCCACAACTCCTGTCCTACCACCAGCGACAACAGTGATCAAGCCACCTGCTCCTGTGTCCAAACCATCACCTGCGCCAGTCGCGACCACTCCAGAGCCATCAGCAAAGAGGACATCACCTAAATCACCGATTGATGAGTTTGGATCACAGATAGGCTTGGACGAGGATGAACCACCAAAGACTACTGCCGCCACAGTGCCATCCACGCCACCACCCAAGGAGCAATCAAAGCCTTCTGCTGCCGCCTTGCCTCCACCAGCTACGCCACCACCCAACGAGGTGAAGAAGCCAGAGCCACCAAAGCAGCAGTCGTCTGCTTTGGATTCGTTTGGACTTTCCTTGGGATTCGGTGAGGAGCCCAGCAGGACTCCAAGCAAGCCACACAGATCACCATTTGATCTGGGTCCACCAGAGCCTGCCAACGCCACCGCCAAGCCATCACCACCATTGTGGGCCGCAACCACTTCCATTCCCACTTCCACTGTCCCCGCCACACCAACTTTTGGCGGCGTATACTCCTTAGCGCCAAACACTCCGGCAACCCCAGTCTCTGTGTTTGGAGGTGGTCAACCTTCAACACCTGCCTTTGGCGCCGTCTCTGCTCCCTCGACTCCATTTGGAGGCGTATCAACCCCAGCCTTTGGCGGCACCTCGACCCCAGCATTTGGAGGTGTATCAACTCCAGCCTTTGGTGGCACGACACCCTCGGTATTTGGCGGCAATAGTAGTGTGTTTGGAGGCGCGTTTAAGCCACCAGCTGCTGGAGGTTCGGTGTTTGGCTCGACAGGATCAGGAGGTGGAGCAACATTCGCCACCGCTGGCACTCAATCAACAACAGCGTTTGGAGGTGCAACTACACCAACAACACCACAGTCGACAACATTCGGAGGTGTCCAAGCTTCACCAGCAGCCTTTGGAGGAGTCACACCAGCCTTTGGAGGAGCTACGACAGCCTTTGGAGGGGCCAATCAAGCACAGCCGACAACACCAGCATTTGGTAAACCCCTTGCTACAACCACAGGCAGTGTGTTTGGAAATGTGTCCTCGCCAACTTCCACCCCGGCTACGAATGTGAGCGCATTCGGTCCAGCTCCTGGAGGTGGAGGATCTGTTTTTGGACAAGCACCTCCTGCAGGAGGAAGTGTATTTGGTCAATCATCAGTACAGCCTCAAACACCACAACAATCAGTATTTGGTGGTGGTGGACAACAACAACAATCAGCATTTGGACAAACATCTGCATTTGGACAAACATCAGCCTTCGGCCAAACATCCTCGGCATTTGGTGGTGGTGGCGGTGGACAAGCTTCAGTGTTTGGACAACAACAACAATCAGTGTTTGGCAATACGAGCAAAGTATTTGGAGCCGGAGCTTCAACAACTACATCATCGTTTGCGAACTTTGGAAACAAATAAATGAGTCGACTGTCATTATCGATTGATTGAATGATTGAATGATTGAATGGTGTGCCACACACTCATACAATCACTTACCACACGCATTCACACAAACACACACACTAACAAACACTACCACGCAACAAGAGTGAAAAACAGAATCAAGAAAAGGCTCGAATAAACTTTGAAACTGATGATCACTTCACCCGATTACCACTGGCCCAACAATCCAACCCACTCACCCCCACAACATTTGCAAAAATAAATCAATTTTATTATTATAACATACCCAAGTATCACAACTTGACCAACCCCTTCTCCCATCACCCCCTTTCCTTCCCGTCCTACAGATACACAACACACTCCAATCCAATCAAATGATCTTTTTTGGTGTCTGTGTGTCTGAGTCTATGAGTGTGTGTGTGAGTACATCATTTATTAACATTATTCATTCTTTCAATCATTCATTCAAACACATTCACTATTATTTATTATAACAAGCACTCCAAACACACACCTTCAACAAACACTTGTTGATACACAACACACATTAATTCACATTCTTGGATCAATCAAACAATCAATCAATCACTAAGATAGAGATAAAGAGATAAGATAAAGATATAAATAGAGACATACTCAGGACCAAATACTAGACCATCAATTTTGACGAGGACAAAGACAAAGTAGACAAAGACAATATAGACGACAAAGACAAAGACGAAGAAGACGACAAACGATGAGGCTGTTTGGAAGAAAGAAGAAAGAGAAGGGAGAGGGAGGTGAAGAGGGTGACTCTGATATAATGCAGAATGTGCCCACCTCTACAAACAGGAAGAGATACACCATGGCCTACTCCCCACCTGGTACCCAATCATCCTCCTTCAAATCAATGAATCCCGATGCATCACCTGCAATGCTTTCTTCAAACTCAAAGGATGATGTATGTACTCAATACTTTGAACATTCGATCAACTTACTCAATCAACTCACATCCAATCAATCAAAGCAGAAAGGTAAAGCAGTAGATACACCAGAGTTCTTTGTAAATACGATAAAGATGTTACCGAATGTTGAGATATTGGCATCACTGTGCTCGACATTGAGCTCAAAGGACTCTTCATGGTCAAAGTCATTGTTGGAGAATAATGGTATAGAGGTGCTGATCAATGTACTGGCTGGCATCACCTCGAATGCAGGCGGCGAGACAAAGGATGCCAAGGGCAGCAACAACGACGTCATCCTGCAGTCGCTCACAGTCACCTGTCTGCTATCGCTCATGAACGCCAAGATTGGCATCGACAAGGCCATCAAGACGCCCCACTCCATGAGCAAGCTGGTGCTGTGTCTGGACACGCCCAAGCTGGACACGCGCTCCAGCGTCATTGAGCTGCTGACGGCCGTGTGCATCACGTCCGAGGAGGGCTTCCGGCTGGTGCTGGACGCGTTCAGCCACTACAAGCAGGTGAAGAAGGAGCGCGTGCGATTCTTCTTCCTGGTGGACTCGATGAAGCAGCTGCAGGCCGACGACGACTACCTCACCATCTGTCTGGGCCTGATCAACGGCCTGGTCAACTCTTCAGAGGAGGTTGACGAGCGCGTCCAACTGCGCACAGAGTTCACGCGACTCGGCCTCGACGAGCTGGTGCTCAAGAAGAAGAACCTGCCCTACGAGGAGGCGCCCGACCTGCTGACGCAGATCGACGTGTACGAGGACGAGGCCCGCGCCGACCAGGAGGAGCTGCTCGACAGGTTCTCGGGCTTGGACATCAACATTGAGGACCCGACAGAGGTGTTCAAATGCATCTTGGAGCAGGTGGACAAGCGCCCGCATCACCCATTCCTGCACATACTGCAGTGTCTGCTCTCGATCCCCAGCGACAACGACACAGGCATGCTCAGCTGGTTTGCACTCGAGAAGCTCGTGCAGCAGATTTCATTCTCCAAGCAGATGATTGGCGATGGCGACGAGCGCATTGGCCTGGAGGAGCTGCTGGCCACGACTGGACCTTCGGTGGCCATGCAGGCCGAGCTGCAAAAGGTCACCGAGGAGCTGCTCAAGACAAAGGAACAGCTGAAGAAGGTGAACTTTGATCTGAACGTGGCCAACACCGAGCTGGCGTCTCGCTCCCAAGAATCGTCAGTCATGAAGAGCAACATGTTCAACACGGTCAAGATGAAGAACCAGGAGCTCAGCAAGCTAAAGGGACAGATGAGGAGGATGGACTCGAACTTCTTTGCCGCCCCCGGCTCTGAAGTGGACGACGAGGAAGACACAACCAGCAAGCCACTGTCCGAGTCGGTGCCCCCACCCAAGGCCAAGTCATCAAAGTCTTCAAAGTCGAGCGACCCCGACGCGCCCAAGAAGAAGACAAAGAAGTCTGCGCTCAAGAAGTCCTCCAATGGTGAGTCCCGCTCGCCACGATCCGATGAGGACGACGACGACCACTCAGCCACGAATGGCGCGACATCACACAGTAACAGCCACAGCACGACCGATAACCACAACAACACATCATCCGAATCATCAACCAAAGAACAAACGCCCGACGCTCCATCCGCCCCAACTGGCGGCCCTCCTCCTCCACCTCCACCTCCAATGATGGGCGGAGGACCTCCACCCCCACCTCCACCTCCTCCCATGATGGGTGGAGGACCGCCTCCCCCTCCACCTCCCTTTGGCGGAGGACCACCCCCACCCCCCGGCCCCAAGATGGGTGGCGTTGGCTCTGCGCCCGCGCCAAAGTTCAACATTGCCAAGCCATCCAACAAGGTCAAGCAGCTGCAATGGACCAAGATCCCACACAGGAAGGTGGGCGAGACGATCTTCTCCAAGCTCGGCAATGTAAAGACAGACTGGATCGATGCGGAGGAGCTGGAGAACCTGTTCCTGGCGCCCGACGCAGTGAAGAAGGTCGAGGACAAGAAGTCAAAGGAGGCGGCCGTTGCCAAGCCTGGCTCTGTCACGGTCATCGATCCCAAGAAGGCACAGAACCTTGCTATTTATTTATCGAAATTCAAATGTACAATACCAGAAATCAAGACAGCGCTCTTCACCTTGGACGAAGAGGTCTTCAACATGGACATCCTAAAGCCCCTGGAAGGATACCTGCCAAAGGAGGAAGATGTAAGTCAACCCGTCAATCATCCAATCAAATCCAATCAATCAGACTACTAACAAACATTACAGATGGAGAGCATTAGGGACTATCTCAAGACTGGCGATTTGATCATGTTGTCCAAGTCAGAGCAATTCCTGCTGGAGATGGATACAATCACAAGTGTAGCCGACAGAGTTAGATCCTTTTACTTGAAACTTACATTCCCTGATAAGCTAAGAGAGATCAAACCAGTAAGTAGGAGTGGACATTGATTGATCGATTGAATGGACTCGCTGACTCACTCAATCACCCAATCAAACATAGGACTTGCAACTCTTTGTCTCAACGATCAAGAACATAAGGAGTAACAAGAACTTCTTGAAGGTGATTGAGGTCATTCTGGTCATTGGTAACTTCTTGAATGGAGGCACAGCCAGAGGTGATTGCTTTGGTTTCAAGCTCGATGGTCTACTAAAGGTATGATATGTCATTATGATTGATCGAGTGACGGCCACTAACATATCCAATCAATGAATGAATGTATGAACAATAGTTGACAGATACAAAGACATTCAACAACAAGTCCAATTTGTTGGTATATATTATCAGCGAGTTGGCAAACAAGTTCCCACATACTCTACAGTTCCCTCAAGAGCTGTGTGATATACAATCAGCTGGAAAGGTGTCGTTGCAGACTATATCGGCAGACTTGAACAAGTTGAAGAAGGACCTGGAGGTGGTGGTGGCCGGCGTCGGCAAGATGAAGAGAACACGCGAGGAAACCTTCTACTTCCAGACGATGGACGAGTTTATCAAGGACGCCCAGATCGAGATCAAGATCGTGTTTGAGGAGTACGAGGAGGCCGAGAAGCAGTTCCACCAGCTGGCCGTGCTCTTTGGCGAGGAGACCAAGATCCCCTCGGAAGAGTTCTTTGCCTATCTGGTCAAGTTCATCAACGCCTTTGAGCGAGCGCACCGCGATTACATCCGCGAGAAGGAGTCGGCCGAGAGGGCCGCCAAGCGCGAGGCGCTCAAGGCCAAGAAGGCCGCGATGACCAAGCGCGTCACTGGCGGTAGCCGTATGAGCAAGGGTGGCGCCATGGCATCGGCTCCGGCACCAAGCTCAGGTGTCGATGATATTCTCCAGTCGGTGCGCGATGGTGATGCATTCAAGCAGCGACGTCAACGCAAGGTCAATCCGTCCACGGGAGGCGATAGCATTGGCAAGAGTGGCAGCGATCTGATGACGTCCAATGGCAGAGAGGACAAACAAAGCAATGGCAGTGGTAGTGGCACGACCAAGAAGAAGGATGTCAATGTCGCAGCCAAGGCTTTGACAATCGTGATGCGTTCAAGACAGAATTATTCCAGAATCGATAATTTCTCCTTCGCCAACACCGAATAATGTCATCCATCCACAGTCCGACACAAGTACTATTACGACTACTATCATTACTACGATCAGATATGGTTCACAATAAACATAGTTTAGTCTAAGATTAGATCTAATCTTTCGACCTCAACCCTAAGGCTAAGCCCAACCCTTGCCCCAAAGGACCTAAAAGTTTTTGATCAACTTCATTTATTCAATTTGGTCTTGGAAAGATTAACAAACACATAAACATGGAGACACTTCAATTAAGATTGTTGGGACACATCGCATCATACTTGCCATGTGATGCAGACAGGCTAAGGCTGACATTGGTGTCTAGACATCTGTTTGATAATCGTAACAGCTATCTACAATTCACAACCAAGCCACGTTTTGGTCCCCGTGAATTCAACGATGATAACTTCAAACTACGATCATACCGGCAGATCATCCACAATCAACTCAACAACTCCAAAACACAGACAATATACGTTTTACCTCCAGGTAACAAAGCAAGTGAAGTTGGTATGCATCACATCCATCATTCATTCAATCAATCAAGAGGTGACCAATCAATCTAACTTACATTCCAAAAGATACATCAAAGGAGGGATGGACAGAGAAGATAATGGCGATGAACAACCTCATGGGTATATACTTTGAGGATGAAGAGGAGTATGCCTTTGACAAACAGTTCTGGGAAGGGATCAGTGAGTTTATGAAGGTGATGTCAACACGATCAGTGGAGATGGAGTTCTTTATGTGTGAAGGAAGCTCACTCTCATACTCATTGCATAACGTGCCCTTGACCAGCTTGGGCATTGATATCATGGATAACTTCCCCGAGTACACCCACTACCCAAAGACACTGACCCAACTGGCAATCAATGGAACGTTTGGTGAGCTAGTGGGTCTGCCAGACACTTTGACGCAACTCGACATCATGTCCAAGGAATGGAATCACCCTATTAAGCCTGGCACTCTCCCCATTGGATTGAAGAAGCTGTCATTTGGATATGGATTCAATCAACCGATTGGTAAAGATACCCTTCCTCCCTCATTGGAGTCCCTAGACTTTGGAGTCAAATTCAATCAACCACTGACCAACATACCAAAGAGTGTTACCAAACTCTGTGTGGATGAAGCCTTCCAACATCCAATTGACAATCAACTTCTAAGGAAGCTGTCCCATAAAGGTGTCGCAGTATTCGCCCCTGGAGTTGCCTTTCCCAAACTCACCAAGTTGGTGACAGAGAGAGAGGATGATAAACAGGTGTCGCTCCCATCATCTACTTTCCCATGTCTCAAGACACTCTCACTACGTACAATGTTCAGGACATGGAGCGAATCACTTGACCTCTCAATGTCCATGACATCATCATTGAGATTGCTTGAAATCATGGCCTATGGACCGATCACATCATTCCCTCAAGGCATCCAGAAGTTGAGGTTGATAGACAGTTGTGAACAAAGCTTTGTCATCACCAACACCACATTGCCTCGAACACTACGATCATTTAGCATTAGGAGGTATCATCACAAGTTTGAGTCGGATCACTTCCCTCCAGCACTCACATCACTCAAGTTGATTGATATTGCGCAATGGCCACTACCAAGTCAACTTCCGGCCACACTTAGATCATTGAGAATATGTTGTCGGGAGAGCAAGTGGGTCAAGGAGCATTTGGAAACAATACTGGCAATGACATCATTAGATCGTATCAAACTAGAGGCCAATGGTCATTCCTTCTCTCTGTTCAGAATCAATGACACCCTCTTCCTCAAGTATCTATATTCAGTGCTTGGCAAATTCACCGAATGTGAGTTCATTGACATTGATGGAGTTCTCAAGAAGTTACGCATCAAATAATGGATGATCACAACATGGATTGATTATATTATTAAACTTTAATTAATTAATTGATTGTGGATATGGCATATGATTGTATAAATTGATTGGAAGTATAGATTGGTGATAATTCCATTGGCTGTCGCCCATGTCTAGGGTGATCGACGATACTTTGTCAAACAATGGTTGTTTCAGGTGATCAATCAACACGGACATCCTCTCTTGAAGTGTTCCTTCGACTTCATATTTCAATAGTTGGCCATAATCAGTGATTGTGATCGATATTGATGTGATGGTGGTTGTACAATGTGGAAGGAGAGCAATGACTCTGTCGATACTGGGCGAATCGATGGCAAGTGTGTATGCTCTGTTCTGATGTGTGAGATAATATAGTTGAAGATGCTCACATTGTCTCTGAAATTCTTGATTGTCTTGGTCTTCGGTTGATCCATTGTCATTACGAGAACCCCGATACATTTGATTGAATTTGTCTTTGGTTGGATCATAGTCATAGAGAGTGACCTCTGAGGCATTGGGAATGAGATGAATGCCCTCAAATGAAATGGACATGAGGAGATGTACTTTGTTGATGGTGGCCATATCAGTGGAGGGTAGATCAAATGTTGTTAAATCCAGTTTGTATAGTAAAAGGTGGTGCTTCAACTTGATGTGTCGCTGGGTTATGATGTCTCTGAAAGGAATGGACATTGATGATGTCTTGTACTCTAACGATTCCACTTCTGGATTGTGCTTGACGTATTTCTTGAAGAAGAACTTGAAGAATTGTTCATAGTAATCAATAGATGGTTCGTTCACCCAAAAGTAATCCAAATGTTTCTTGTAGGCTACATATGCATGACGCGGCCTTTCATCATCATCCTCATCATCTGATGGTTTAAACTCGCAGTTCTCCCGTATTGTTTTGGCCTCGGGCCAGTCTTCACAACAATAGTGCTCAAAAATTGTAATATGTTTGAGATGAGGAGCTTTGATGTGAATGAACATGATGGAGCTGATCCTAGACTCAAGGTTCAATGATTCAGAAGAGAATGGCAATGTCAGGTGCTCCAATCGATCGATGCAGCGTGCAATGTGCTTGTCAGGAATGCGTACAATCTCGAGAGCATTGAGATGTAGTGGTGTATCCTTGAAGAGACAGAACTTAGATCCAATATATTCCAATGCTGATTGGATACTAATGCTTGGCATGGGGATATGTGTGAGTAGCAGTGAGCATGCCTTGTGGAAGTGAGTGCTCACTCTTGCCAGATCAGAGACCCACTCAGGACTCAACTTTGGAATATTTATCAACGACAACTCAACAATCTTGTTGATGATCAATTGTGGCAGTGTCGGACAGATGACCTCGTGATGGATCTTAAGAGTATGTTGTTTCCTGTCCTGTAGGGTTTGATGAATGATTGATTGTATCTTGAACAATCTGAACTGTTTGAGTTGGTCCTCATACTCATGGTCATGGCGCCCCGAATGTTTGAGAGTATGTTTGTGTTTGTAGTGGCTGTGGCTACTTAATCGTATGACGTAGAGGAGTTTGAGTGCCTTGAACAATGGACGACTGTGTCCGATAACCTTGGCAAGTTGGACTAGTTGGGCTGTGTCGACGAGATTGACGACCTCCATCCAAACATCAGCGACATTGGTGAATGAGTTGATGAATGACGCGACGACCCAACTTGGACGATGCATTGATGAGAGGCACATTTTGATGCGGATCTGTTTGATTAGGTGATCTTCAAGAATGTTTTGTTGGCAACATGCAATGATCAATGGGATATTCATCCCTCTATGACTCATGAATATTGTGTCCATATTGTTGGCAATGAGTTGTTTGAGTTCTGATGGGTAGTGATCGATCACCTCTTGATTGATCGTCAATGATGTAGTTGGATTGTCAAAGTAGAATAATAAAAGTAATGCAGACTCTAGGTGATCCTTGTTCTGTGTCACTTTGTACACCTCGATCAAACCCTTTGACATTGAAGGATGATCAAGGAACATGATATTGAGGCACATTGAGCGAATATTACTTCGTAACCTTTCTGACAAGGTGTTGAGTGTTGCCTTAAGTGAAGGTGTGATAGTTGGCAACAGGCTGATCAACGCCAAAAGTGGTATGGTTGAAACAWTCTTGATACAAAGAGAAGCTTTTAAGGACATCCTCTTCATGTTCATAATAATACTATATATATTAATGATTGAGTGTTAGTGATTGATTGAGGTGGAACGGTTCCATTGATGTCGCCACAACAATGTCATACTTTGAGGAATGAGTGGCCCATTTGTTTGATCTGATGTCCCTTGGCTTGTTCATGCAAACGTAGGTAGTAGAGTTGGCAAAAGCCAATAGTTGGACAAAGGCCTTGGAATATTGTCGATAAATAGTTGAACATATGAATAGTTAATGGCAATGTGCACTCCTTGAATATTGTCTCAATCTCTTGATAGTAATACAATCTATTATCATCACCACTCTTGGTGATGACTGTCTCCAACAGTTTGTTGATCCTATTCGCGGCGTATGGTACTAAACTCTCAAAGACACCTTTTGTATACATCGCATTCCTGATTGTATTCATAATGAAGCTTGTTGTTTGTTGAGCGAGGGTTAGGGCGAGGGCAAGGGTTAGGGCGAGGGTTGACCTTCAAAGTAAAGTACATACTCAAAGATCAAACGGCTGTGTTCAATGACCAATGAATGCTTTGAGGGTTCCTTAATTGATATAATAAGGTATAGTAGATTATAGGAGGTGTTGTCATTGTTGTTTGAGTTGTTGTTGATTGATGCAAGGAATAGTCTGATGATCTCCAAATCAAGTAGGTCATTATCGCTTATTATCATTGACATTTCATCGTGGAGATAGTAGGGTGCTGATAAGAGTTGGTGATTGTTGTTGTTGTTGTTGTAGTTGTTGTACTTTGCAAAATTGATGATTGATGTGTAGACATAATTGGCGTGCAATGTTGCAAGTGTTTGTCTTTGTTCACTTGTAAGTGATGCCCCAACCAATCCATTTAGATGTGGATAGTATGTCGATGCTTTGTTATAATGTATGTTCATTGCTCGATCAATGCCAATTGTAACGTCCAATTGATCAATGAACAATTGATGTAGTCGTTTGAATGGTTCAGACATCACTGTTTTGAAAGATGATGCGATATTATCATCAACAAGTGGTTCTGTTCGAAGTATATCCCATAGCAATGTCAATCTAGACATTGTCACTGAGTTGTAAGGTTGTTCTTTCAACATCACCTCTATGTTGGCAACTGTTTCAACATCATGAGTGTAATGATCCGATGATGATGATTCACAACATAATGTGCAAATCATAACTCTACAATCTAAACATAAGAACCATCTCTTCTTGCCATTATGTATCGAACAACTATCTACTTGCATAATACTCCTATATTTATTATGTATCTCTTTGTTGTTTAAATGAAAGGATTTGAATGAATGACCAAAAGTGACATTTGGAATTCTCTCAATCAATTTGATGTGCGAGATTGATGATACTTTGTCAAACATTGGTTGTTGCAAGTGATCGATCAATCAACACGGACATCTTCTTTTGAAGAATTCCTTCGACTTCATAACACAGTAGTTCACAATAATCAGTGATTGGATCGATATTAAGGGATGGATGTTGTACAATGGAAGGAGAGCAATGACTCTGTCGATACAAGGCAAGTGTGTATTTTCTGTTCTGATGTGTGAGATATTTGTTGACTTGGATTGATCGATCCATAGAATGAGATGAATGCCCTCAAGGGCAGACTGGTGTTTATTTATTGAGCTGATCGATCCATGATTAGTCAAGTATCAGTTGCGCCAGAAGAGGAAAAGAATTATGGATACTGGTGTTGTTGATGAAGACAATCAGCTGTTCGTTGAATTGCATGTCCGCATATTTCAGATCATCGGTTGCGAACCACATGAACTGATCTTGAAGGTAATTCGATGCAGACTTGGCGCTCTTCTGAAGGGTGGATCCGTTCCATTTGTTCTTGTGAGATTTACCGATGGTAACTTGGCATGCGGTGAGCAGTTTGCCCTTTGAGTCCCAGAAGAACCAATCAGCAATTGGGAAGTTAGGAGATGTTGGCACCAACAAGGAATCAAGATTCCAGTTGACACCAGTGAAAAGTGTATCGTTGATGAATTGTGTCGTGGTTGGTCGTGCCTGGAATGTATATGCAGTGGGTTTGGCATCGACAAGGATATATTTGCTATTCTTTGGATCTGGTTTGCTGGTGCAAAGAATCTTGGAGATGGTCCAATTCAATGCCAGTGTTGTCTGAGTCGCCCTCTGAAGCGTCTCGACAATGTATTTCTCGACACATCGCCCAAGTGCATCGCTTGTCAGGTTGATTGACCTTGTAAAGATTGAGCGGTACATTGCCAATGATTCTTCGATGTAAGACTGATTGTTGAGATAACGGCTAGACAGTACTTGTTGAATGAGAGGAAAGATGGGAGCAATGAGGGAGTATACTGAGCTGTTGGTTGAGCTTTGTTGAGAGGCCAGTGGAGGGAATACGAAGAGAGATCAAAGATATTGCGCGGTTGTATTCGGCAGCTGCGAATGTGTCATTGATGATGAACTCTTTGCGGAAGTGGTCATCCTTTTCGATAATTGACCGGGTGCGCGTCAGTCGGTACGACTTGATCACACCATCCAGAGTGAGTGAATTGTTGTCACACCAAACTTTGTTGAGTAAGCTGAGCTCCATTCTGCATACTTTGTTAGTAAGGGGACAAGGGAGCTATCTAGATGACATGGTAACCTACGGGATGAAATTTGTCAAGTCCTTGACCAACTCAATGTCATCAGGGGTCAGAGTTGCGAACTTCTTTTCGATGGCCTGCCACTGTTTGAACTCGTCATCAGTGTAGCCATCGGTGAACTGGAACACTGGCCAATTTGAATCCTTGGCCACCTTTAGAAAGTATCTGTTGTTGGCGGAGCCTGAAACGATGACCAACTGTTTGATCCACATGATACTGACAACGAGATATCCTTCGACGATGGAGAAGGGCGCTAACTTGCGATCATTGTCTGACAAACCGTTGTGTTGGTCAAAGAAGAAGAATGCTCGTAAATTCTTGTCTGTGCAGTGCCGTGCCACATCGTCCAGGAGGCGAAGTAAACTATCTTGCTCAAAGCTGTTGCGTCGTGAGTGATCACGGACAAAGTTGTCACCAGCATATTGAAATGCATTGTCAAGACACTCCAGAAAGAATTGAAAGGGATTGGAGGATCCGAGCCAGCCTCTGCAGTCACTAATGTACAACACTCGGTTGCCAATGTTCTGCTTGAGAGCAGAGGCGATCTGGAAGAGAGAGTGTGACTTGCCCACGCCTTGGGGACCCTGCACATAGACTCCACGATGTTTGCCATACTTGTCGGTGATGAAATTCATTAGTCTGTCTGTTATCGCTCTTTTAACTATTTTGACCTGGTTGTCCTTGAAATCAAAGCGAGTGCGGTCTGTGGAGAGGGAAGAGGGTGATGCCGGCAGGGTGACAATAGGACCATCGAACTTGACTTTCTTTAACCGACCCTCATACTCAGCGACAAAAATGTCATCAAAGTATCTCTTCGCTGTTGTGCGTTGGTGAAGGATGTGCATTAGTCAATTGAATGTACACTCGCTCTCTTTTGTACTTACGCACTTGGCCACCACCTACTCCTGCAGCACCGGCTTGAGTGTGTATGTTAGTATTGAATGAAGACATTGCTCCGATGTTGTTTGTACTTACGAGCTTGGGAACTTGTGCCAGTGATCTCTTCTATCGCATCCAAGATATCATCAACAACAGCATCCTTGAATGAGTAAGGAGGACTCAAAAGTCTTGCTCTGGTCAACTTGATGAAGTTCTTTCCTGCGATATCCTGATCCCGGAGAGCTTTGATTGTAGCATCATCAAGGTTCTTGTGCTTGAGCCAAGCACTGACTTGATCTGGTGTTGATTCTTTGGTGAGTGACATGGCGAAGTGATAAATGAAAGTTGGGAAGAATGATGTTTCTCGGTGAGGAGAGTAAAGTGATTGAAGTATTTGTTGTTGATGTTGCGAGTTGAATGAATGGAGAAGAGACCTCTGGGCGAGGTGGATGTGGGTGAATGCGGATCTCTTTGTCCGAATTTGAGGTCGGTCGATCCAATCATCCTCATGAGTGTGATGCACTAATTGCAGAACCTGACACCTTTAAATCGTTTCTACATCTATGTACATCAAGCAAAGGCAGGTGACGGTGAATGGAATCACTGCCTCTACCACTGCCTACCCAGAGCAGGTCACAGAGCATTATTGATTTCTTCCAACCTAGTTGTTCGATTGGATTATACATCACGTGTTTCGACCATTATACAGTCTGGTTTGTCATTGTCATCACCATCAACAAGTGGATCTCTAAGTATATCCCATAACAATGTCAATCTAGACATTGTTACAGAGTTGTAGGGTCGTTCATTCAACATCATCTCAATAACTAATTCATTTTTGTGATGAGCGATCTCTTCATGGCTTCCAACACTCACAAGCCAGGTGTTTCCTCAAAGTCAAAGTGATCGTTATCCAATGTTAACAGATAGAGGCACACCTCTGATGATGATGGCCTCACTGCAATCGCTTCCAACTTATCTTTGCACGATGATCATGGGTCATCTGCCGCCWGCRGACATCTTGTTCTTGGCTCTCACATCAACGTCGTTGTACCAATAGCTGAAGAGGCATGTGGACTTGGTCCTCAACCAAGACCGTATATGTACGACATACTTCGTTGAGTCGAACGTGCTGACTCTTGACACTCATCATCATCATCACCCATGCAGACTACACAACATCGAACATCCCACCCGACCAGTCTTTCATCCCCTCGTGGCGTCGGTGCTGCCTGCGTCGCTGACTCGCTTGTCGTTGGGCAACTATTTTAATCAGCCGATCAGGACGCGCGTTCTGCCCGCCAGCCTGCTCCATCTCTCGACGGGCAACAGCTTCAATCAGCCCATCTTTGAGAACTCCCTGCCAGAGGGATTGCTGACGCTCAGCTTTGGGGGTGAATTTGATCATCAGATCCAAGGTCTTCCAAGCTCACTCCTCACCCTCGAGTGCAAGAAGACACATTATCTGATGCGGATATTCACGGCGCCACCATCATTGGAGTCGTTCACTTCTCTCGGCCTCATTCGCCATGTGCTGGATTTTATTCCGCCCACACTCAAGCACCTTGGTGCCGACACGCACACATTCAGCTCGGGTGCAACACTGCCTCCAACACTGGAGCGTGTGACAATGTACATAACAGGCAGCACAGAGGACCAGGAGGACAGTGTGTGGATAACTCATCGCCGCTGGCTTCGCAACATTCCGCAGCTGGCGCTGCTTCATTTCATACTTCAAGATTCTTCTCTTTATAGTTTTATATACTTCAAAGTAAGTAATTAAAAAAGGTATCTGTATCAACAATGTAGAATTGTAGTAGAAATAGAGTTTTAAAGTTCAAAATAATAATAATAATTAATCCTAAATTGAGGAGGTTATTTTCCTAATTCTACTACAATTCTACTTTCAGTACCTGTCACCGCCATAGCAGTGAGCACGTTGGAAAAAGAGTATCTGTCTAATCAATGTAGAATTGTAGTAGAAATAGAGTTTGGAAGTTCAAAATAATAATAATAATTAATCCTAAATTGAGGAGGTTATTTTTGTAATTCTACTACAATTCTACTTTCGGTACCTGTCAGCGATGTAACAGTTTGCACGCCCAAGAGAGTTACCAGGAGAGTACTCAGCACGTTGGTCAGCCCGTAGTTCCGAGAGTTCACCAACTGTTCACCAAACGTTCACCAATTGTATTTCAATAATATTTATCTTTGGAAAGAGGACGAAGTTTGGTTTGGTCCGATTGAAGCCCACTTGGCCTAGTCAGAGGATATATCTGAACCTGTATGCACAGATCCACCATGTTTAGAGTGGTACCACTTGTACAATCGCTCTCGAACTATTTGAACAAGTTTTTCTTTGCAATCTTGGACATCATCTGGATCGGGGAGAATATCAATGAGATCTGTCAAGTCTGCAACATCGGAATGTAGGGGATTGTCACTGTTTTGTGTTGATGACCCTGATGTCTTGCCCTGTTTTTTGTATGTTGATCCTGAGGACTTCTTAGATGATGCTGTCTTCGATGTTGAACTCAATTGTGTGTGCGATGTTGAGGTGGTCCACTTTTTTTCTTTCGTTGGTGGTTTGTCATCCTGATCATCGTCATCGTCCTTGGGTGGGTCTTCATCCTGATCATCGTCATCGTCCTTGAGAGTAGACTTGCGTTTCCGGGTGATTGGCTTGTGGATATTTGGTTTGATGATATTGTGACCCTCAAGAACTGATTCCACGCTCCAATGACCACCTGGTTGTTCAGTACTGATCTTTTGGATCTGGTAGATCGCCTCAAGCGCCTGAGTAAAATGGACATCACTGGTGCAAACAATGAAAATTCCATCTTTGACGTCTACTTTCGATGTCCAAGCAAGTCGCCAGTAGTTGTTCATGTCTGTGAGGATCGAAAGAACCTGAAAGTTTGAACCCATCTGTGCACAGATATGCTCAATGTAGAGTTGGTCCTTCTCTCTTTTGTGTACACCAGATAGGGCCTTCTTCAACTCAATGGTGACGACAATAGATTGGAGACTGGGTTGGTTCTGTGTCATGACTAGGTCGGTTGATCCATTTGCATTGAAGGTCTGCTCCATATCCTGTCCGTCGACTTGGCACATCTTTTTGAAGCGTGAATCTAGCAATCCAGATTTGGCTATGGAGAATGATAATCCATGATTATCTGAGAACCATTGCACACAATCGGGGAAATGAGAACCATTGTTCCAGTTGAACTTGGGGGATTGTTTCGTTATTCCTTTCGATAGCTTCAATTGTTTTAGCTCTCCTCTGCCATATTCGACTGGTGTAATGCCAAGCAAAGCAATATGATCGTCATTCGCTCTTGATATTGAGAGGCTGATTGTTGCGGCTCCTTCCATGTACACAACTATACGTTTCAAGTCCTGTCCTTGATTCTTCAGAGCGTCTGTGTTTCGATCAATTGCTGCTGCCATTGTCTCGGTGTTACGATCAATTGATGCCATTATCTTGGTGTTTCGATCAATTGCATTCTGCAAACTCTCTAAGACATCTTGGTGTTGTAGAAAGATAGCACCGGCTTGAGTGTGTATGTTAGTAATGAATGAAGACATTGCGCCGATGTTGTTTGTACTTACGAGCTATATATGGATGAGTGGGGGAACAAAGAGTCAACTCTGCACCATCCTGAATGCCAAGGGACTCCAACGTATCAGTGCCAAAGAGCTCACCCTTGAAGTAGAGAGTGTACTCGTTAGCATCTAACTTGCAACGCTTGATGATCTCAGCAATCAATTGATTGATCGTTGTGTTTGGATGAAGAGGTACAGATATCTTCTTTCCTTCACTTGGAAGGACATTGATGGAGAGAGGCATAATGTGAGATGATGAGGAATCGTGTATAGAGATAGAGAGGTAATTGTTGTTGTTGTAGTTGTTGTTGGAGTATTTGTTGTGGTATTTGTTGTAGTAGTTGTTGTAGTAGTTGTTGTTGTGTGAATAATAAATGAGTGAGTGTTGAGCTATGAAGTGAAAGGTGATCTGTTGATCCCATTTAGGAAACTCATAAATAAATAAATTAAATTAAACAATTTATCTCTAACAGATATAACATATAATATGTCATTATTCAAAGAGTACTATTGGGACGAGAACTCAGAGTTCAGAGAGCGTCACAAAGCATACATCAAACAAAAGGTAAGATGCGAATGCGGCTTCGAAGTCGGTCGCACCAATCTCAATCGACACAAGAAAGGCTACATCCACAAGCAGTTGATGGCCAACAAATAGGTTCAAAGTGATATAAATTAACATCTCAATGTTAATATATAGAATGAGTAGATCAACAAGAGACATCGGCGGCAGACTGAAGAAGACGGGCGTGACCGAGATCAAGCTCACCGGCAACTACAGCAGAGCAGACATCGAACGGATCGCGCAGCGAGACAGCAACACGCTCCAACGCCACGGCGCCAACGCAAGGATAGAGGTCGTGCTCGACTACGGCAACCATCAGTATCGATCGGGCAAGTTCACCAAGGTAGGTGAGCCGATCATCATGTTTGATCCTCACGAGTACGATGGCGCGCCCATCCCAGAGCCCGATACCTTCAAAGCGTTCTACATCTACGTACATCAAGCAAAGGGCAAGGCAGGCGGCTGCGACGGTAAATGGAATAACTGCCTCTACCACTGCCTCCACGATGCATACCCAGACCAGGTCACGGAGCACTTTGGCAAGCCATCACGACTCAAGAAGTTCCTCAACCCCGATGTCGATCAGAAGGTCTCGATCAAACGAATCCCAGAACTCGAGGACAGACTCAACATCAGAATCAATGTCAAAGGTGATCATTGCTATGCCTCGGCATCAAGGGCAACCAGAGAGGTCAACCTGATACTAACCAATGGACACTACAAGCTAGACAAGGAGGGCACCTATGCAGGCAAGGGCATCAGATACACTCGACACAACGAGAGGGACGTCTACATCAAGCCAATCGTATTCAAGTATCTCAAGGGCGATCGGGTCCAGCTCTACGATGACGGTGAGTACACAACCATCAGCCTGGAGCAGTTCATCAACAAGAAGAAGCGCAAGTACCAAGACAAGTGCGAGTACATCCGTATCCTCTCAGGCATGACTCTCGAGGAGACATTGGACTCGTTCAAAGCTGATGCCGACGCTCTCAAGGAACACACTAACGGCGTCATCGACATGTACACAACAGGACAGAACATCAACAAAGCAGCGATCAAGCTGTTCCTATCGTACAACAAGACTGTCAAACCAGAGCCCATCGGTCAGATGGAGGGCGAGTGGATAAAGAAGTCAGCCTATGGCCCATTGATGATGGCAATTCAACATATAGGAGCTCTCTACAAATATGACGTCGCTAGGATGTATGCCTCCATCTTGAGGAGCGGTGGCTTCATGATCCCAATCAAGTGTGGCGAGCTTTGGCCCCAAGAGCAAGATCAGGAAGAGTGCCAGACCAGACGAAGAGAGTGGTGGATACAAGGTTGACCTTGCCTGGTGCAAACGTTGCACAGGCAAGAAGGCGTGCTACAACATGGCAAGCGGCAGCACAACCAATCTGTGGACACACTACACAGACAAGCATGCGCCCAACCTCTCCATTGCAATGGACAAGTACCTAGACAACAGTGGCAACTTGCGAGACACTCCGAGGATAACCATGGTCAAGTGGCTAGTGATGAACCATCAGCCCAACCTCATCGTCGAGCAAAAGTAAGTAATACAATCATCCACCGCCATCCATACTCAATCAATCATCTTTGATAGTCGTTAACACTTTTCTTATCATCAACCTCAACCTAATAGATTCTTCAAGGAGATGATCGACTCATTCATTTGGAGTACTTGGTCCAATAGCTCTTGTACTCCAGCTTCAGCATGTTAAATAAATCTTCAAGTCAATCGAATGAATCGAATATAAATAGAATGAATATGAACAACTGTTAACTTGTCAAATGATTATTTGTATTCATAACTCGTCGACAGTTATTCACCAATAATCGGGTCGGTTGGTCATCGTCCCAACCCGATGAATAGGAGCCCTGCCTCCTGGATTTAGGATTAATTATTATTATTATTTTGAACTTTAAAACTCTATTTCTACTACAATTCTACATTGTTGATACAGATACCTTTTTTAATTACTTTGAAGTATATAAAACTATAAAGAGAAGAATCTTGAAGTATGAAATGAAGCAGCGCCAGCTGCGGAATGTTGCGAAGCCAGCGGCGATGAGTTATCCACACACAGGACAGACTTGTGCTGCCCGCGTCAGTCCAACTCATCACAGTCGTGTTGGATCATGKGGTCTATGTCAAACGGTTCGRTGAGRCCGACACTGCCGAGCAGTATCGCAATGTGTTCTTAGAGCYGYTCGAGAGAAATCTCTGCCTGAAGCACCTAGTCTCCCTYGGCAAGCGATWCACTTTGGAGCTGGCGAACATGCCAGCTGAGAGATTCCAAATCGCATGCAATATCTTTGGGCAGCAGCACTCCTCCAACACAATATATATCTTTATAGAGAGTAGCAATCGATTCATYGTTCTCCAATWAACGTCCACGAGATGGTAGTTGATTGATTGATTGATCGAGTGGCAATTTCTCATTTGTAACCAACCATCCAAATTTATTCCATCAATCAATCAACCAATCTTTTATTATTGTGGACGATAAATGGAATATATACAGATGGGAGGAACTTTCTCGAAATCCCATTGGCAGTCCCCAATATATATATTGATCGATGATACTTTGTCAAACAATGATGGTTGCTGCAATTGATCAATCAACACTGACATCCTCTCTTGAAGTACTCCTTCCACTTCATAATTCAATACCTGATTATAATCAGTGATTATGATCGATATTGATGTGATGGACGTTGTACATTGTGGAAGTAATGGGACGACTGCTTCGATATATGATGCTTCAATGACCAGTGTGTATGCTCTGGACTGATGTGTGAGATAATATTGTTGAAGTTGTTCACATTGTCTTTGATTGACTATGGATTCATCATAGACTGCGATAGTGACCTCTGAAGCATTGGGAATGAGATGAATGCCCTCGAATGAATTGGACATATCGAGATTGACACTGTTGATGATGGCCAGTTCAGTCGATGGTGATTCCAATGATGTTAAATCCACCGGATTGTAAAGTACAAGGTGGTGCTTCGCCTTGATGTGTCTCTGTTGTTGTGCTGTACTTGAGAGGAGTGGATGTTGATGATGATACTACCTCTAACGACTCCACTTCAGGATGGTGTTTGAGATACTTCTCAAAGTATAACTTTTAGATAACGTCATATTCTATATCAGCATCGTGAGGAGGCTGATTCATCCAACAAATATCCAGATGATCCCTGTATGCACCATACCCATCATTAGCACTGTCATGATATGGTTCTTCTTCCTCGATCTTGTATATCAATGTTAGGGTATCTTCATCTTCGTTGTAGCCAAGTTTCTCAACAAGTCGGATATGTTTGAGATGAGGTGCTTTGATATGAATGAATCTCTGTGATTTCACATAGAATGGCACTGTAAGCTGCTCCAATCGATCAATGCAACGTGCTATGTCCTTGTCGGGAATGTGCACAATCTCCGTTGCCTTGAGATGGAGAGGTGTGTCCTTGAAAAGACAGAACTGTGAACCAATATGCTTCACTGGTGATCGGATATGTATGCTCGGCATTGGGAGATGTGTGAGTGCCAGTGAGCATGCCTTGTGGAAGTGAGTGCTCACTCTTGCCAAGATAGAGACCCACTTAGGAGACCAATTTGGGATATACCTCAATGCCAAAGCTACAATCTTGTTGATGATCAGCTGTGGTAGTCTGGGACAGTTGACTTCAATATGCTTCCTGGCATGTAGTGTTGAGTGAATGATTGATTGTTTCTTGAACAATCTGAACTGTTTGAGCTGGTCCTCATACTCTTGATCTTGGCGCGCGGCATGTTTGATTATATGTTTCTGTTTGTAGTGGTGATCGCGGCTTCTGAGTTGTGTTGTATAGAGATGTTTGAGTTTCTTGAATAATGGACGACTGTGTCCGACCATCTTAACCAGTGGGATTTGCTTGGACATTGATATTGCAATGTGTGGTACATCGAGGTACTCCATCCAAAAATCAGCATCGTCATCGGTGGTGAATGAATATGTGCCACTGTTGGATTATGCATGTACTGGCACAGTTTGATTCGGATCCGTCTTGTAAGTCGATCACCAAGTATGTTTTGTTGGCAACATGCAATGATCAATGGGATATTTACACGTCTCTGGCTATCACAAATTTTGTTGAGAATGAACAATGGGATATTCATCCCTCCATGACTCATGAATATTGTGTCCATATTGTTGGCAATGAGTTGTTTGAGTTCTGATGGGTTGTGATCTATCACCTCTTGATTGATCGTCGTAGTCAATGATGTAGTTGGATTGCCAAGGCACAACAATAAAAGCAATGCAGTCTCCAAGTGATCCTTGTTCTGTGTCACTTTGTACACCTCAATCAAACCCTTGGACAATGACGGCTGACTAATGAACTCGATATCCTCCAGATAGTCAACACTACGATGCAATCTCTCGGACAAGGTGTTGAGTATGGCCTGAAGTGTTGGCGAGATTGTTGGCAACAGGCTGATCAACGCAAAAAGAGGGATGAGAGCGTTGCGATCGTACTCCCTGGTCTTATTTAGATTAGAGATGATATCCTCTTCTTGTTCATAATAATACTATTAATGATTGATTGATTGATGAGTGAGTGAGTGAATGAGGGAATGAGCCATCGATCAAGCATACATTGAGGAATGAGTGTCCCATCTGTTTGATAAGATATCCTTTGGCTTGCTCAGACAACATGTTGTAGTAGAGTTGGCAAAAGTCATTGTTTGTTGGGATGTGGCCTTGAAATATTGTTGACAACTGTAGACTTTATGATGTTCTGGGCAGAACCAAAACCATGTGTCTCTCCTGTCCTTGAAGATTGCCTCAATCTCTTGATAGAAATATAAAGTATCATCATCATTTGTTGTGATGATGGTGTCCAACAACCTGTTGATCTTGCTGATTTCTCGATAAAGATCAAAGTCCACTTTGAACGCATCCCTGATTGCTTTCAAGACAATGAAACTTGAGTTGTTTGTTGAATGTTAGTATTGAGGCAACAGTCCAAACCAGTCCAAAGTACATACTCAAAGATCAGACGTCTGTTCTCAAGGATCAATGAATGCTTTGAGAAGTCCTTGATCGATAGAATAAGGTGCAGCAGTGGGAGGGTAATGTTGTTGTTGATGTTGTTGTTATTATTGTTGTTGATTGATGTGAGGAAAAGTCTGATGATCTCCAAGTCCAGCAGGTCATCGCCTATAATCATTGAGATGTCTTGATGAATAGAGTTGGATACATGTACAGCATTGATGTAAAGACACTTGTACTGTAGATAGTGAGTAAAGGTGAAGAGGATGTTATTGGCGTGCAATGTGGCCAGTGATTCCCTCTGATCTTTGGTCAGTGATGCACTAACAAGTGCATTGACATGTGGATGGTATGCTGGTATCTCTTTGTTGCAAATACTCCTAAATACTTGATCTTTGACAATTCCATTCTTCAATTGATCGATGTACTTCTGGCGTTGTCGTTTGATTGGTTCAGACATCACTGTATTGAACAGTGATATGGCAGGTAGAGTGTGATGTACATCACCAAGTATATCCCATAACAATGTCAATCTAGACATTGTTACTGAGTTGTAACTTTTATCATTCAACATCAACTCTATATTGGCAACTGTTTCAACATCATGAGTGTAATGATCCGATGATGACGATTCACAACATAATGTACAAATAACAACTCTACAATCTAAACATAAGAACCATCTCTTCTTCCCTTTATGTATCGAACAAGTATCTTCTTGCATAATTAAAATGAATATAATTCATTATTATTATTACTATTAATTATCTCTTTGATTGAGTTGTGTTATGTTGAGTGAAATGAATCAAAGTTGTTCAAAAGTGACAATTTTGCAAGAATTTGAAGTTGAAAGAATCCAGAAACCACAAAAAACTTCAAACAAATAAATATCATTCACTAAATTTAGATCAAGTATCTCAAATAGATACAGTTAATAACAGATAACAGATACATAACAATAATGGACAATTCATTAGAATTTAAGAATGTAAGAACATTGACAAAGTGAACACTCAATCACTCATTCAATCACTCACTCATTCATTCAATCAATCAATCAATCAATCAATGATAGTTTGGTAACAAGATATTGGAGGATAGAAAGTTGAATGCTAGATTGGTGTTCTTTTGCATGGTAGGAAGTCATAGCTTCAATTTGAGTGTAGAAACAAGTGATTGTGATTACTTTGGTGTATACGCATTGAATGCAGAACAGATATTATCGAATGCAGTGACACAGGCACCTTTGATCGACGGCCATGAACCAGTCGATTTTGTAATGTACGAGATGGAGAGATTCGCCCAACTTCTGCTTAAGGGCAACCCCAAGCTGATCGAGCCACTGTTCACCGAGCGCAACTGCTACATGTCGGAAGAGTGGCTGAAGCTGCGTGCCATGCGCCACAGCTTTGTCAGCCAACAAGTGATCCACCACTACGTCAGCTACAGCAAGGCACAACTGGGCGATGCTAAGCGTGCTGCTGCCGACCGCGACGCCGGCCACAACAAGGACATTGGACTCAGCAACAATCATCTGCCAAGCAAGAAGCTATATCATACAGTGCGACTGCTGCATGAGACCCTGCGCATGCTGGATGGCGGCGATCCCATGGTCTATCTCACCGGCGAGCATCGCGAGTACATCATGAACATCAGACGTGGTATGCTCGAGGAGAAGCAAGTGCACTCAGACGTCGACGCATTGTTCAAGGAGGTCGAGGAGAAGGTTAAGCTGGCCAAGGAGTCCAACCCCAAGGGTATCCCATTGATGGGCGACACTGAACGACTTAGTGAATGGCTGATTGAAAGCAGGAGAATGGCTATCATGGATATGAAGCCAGAGGATCGGCCATCATTCAGTCAAGAGCAGCTGGCCCTCCCTTCTTTACCATCATCAGTGCTCAATAGTGTGATCCTGGAGGCAAAGGATATACTGGAGAACAATGGATTCGGTGGCTCAACAATCATTTATGTTGGACGATCAGGTAGCCATCTGCATAACTTGGCCAGGGATGATTCCAAGGAGGACTGGATCGTAGTGTTTGTTGCACCAACAGACAACATCCTCTCACTGTCGACCAACCCAACAAGATTGGACAAGACCACTCAATTGGTACAGGATACCCAAGCTGACACTACACCCGCCACTGCCACTGCTGGACAACGAGATACCTATGTCAATGGCGTTCAACTCTTTGAAGTGGCCTGCTTTGTATCAATGCTGTGTCAAGGCAATCATAGAGCTGTCGAGTGCTTCTACTCTGGCGACAATCACAAAGACACATTGGAGAGCGATGCCTGGTTGAGTCTAAAGTCACTCAATATCAACTATCTTACCAGCAACTACACTCATCATTGTTGGGGTGTGGCTCAAGGACAGCTGGCCAAGGTCAAGGGATTGATGAACAACAAGAACATCGAACAGTCAGTCATCTACAAACACCTGTATCACGCTCAGAGATTGTTGGAGTGTTCAAGTGGTGCATTAGCCGCATCAAAGGCAGACCATCGGGCATTCACTGTGCAGTACAATGACGAGCATCGCACCAATCTGATTGCATTAAGAGATACAGCTGTACCATCTTCCAAGGAAACCTTGGATGGCGCACTACTCAACGTCACCGAACTATGCAACACAATGACATTGGCACTTACATCACTCAACGTTAGCAACACAGACAAGAAGAACTTGGAAAGCAATCTACGAGCATCACTGAGTCAATGGTTATTCAAACTAAGAATGTCTTTATAATAAATCATTATAAGAATTAATAATCCGATCGGATTATTGGGTTGCAATCAGGGCACCAATGAATAAATCAGGATTATTATTTTTATTTATATACTTTAAGTTATAAATTTATTAATTGGTCCAAGAGAGCTAAGAATATTTTGATAATCAATTTATTAATAATAATGGATCGACATGTAACAATTTATACACTTACTCTACCAAAATGGCTTAACAACAATAACATACCAATTGAAACATATTCCAACTTCCTTTCTCTGAACCATCAATTAAATATTAGTTCAATAAATTTTGAACTTGGATATATCAATATTCCAGTATCAACTACAATTAACATAACTCCATTATTAACATATTCTAATAATGATCCACTACAAGAATTCCTAAGAATCAATAATCATAATCATATTGAGGTCGATATGAATATGGATACTCTAGAATTTTATATATCTATTAAAGATCTTTCACAAAGATGTGGAGGACAAAGTACAGAATTTATCTACCAAATTGATCAATATCGGAAGGATCATAAAGGGAGTTCAAAAGAATATTCAGTTAATATTAGACCTCAATACTCATTCAATATCTCTCAGTATTGCCATCATCATAGACATCAATATATATGGTATGGTATTCATTCTTTCCGAACCCTAAGGCTGATTATTGATTGATTATTATTAGCAAACCCGATTCCGCCTTGATGTCCCGATCAGAATTGAAGGCTGTCTTTGTAGTTGATATTAGAAATTATATAGAGACATTTCAAGAAAGACATTTAAAGATGTGTCAAATGATCGAAGGAGGTCTGGAATCTGGAATATTATTTGATGGTGTTGAAGATGGTCTTACCGCAAACATCTATTACCGCACACCAGATGGTATTATACCTGATAACATCCAACAACAAGTCAATAATCAAATGTCTGAGAATACTTTGGAACAAATCGGTCATCATATCAATACATTACCTCCAAGTAATCAGATCATAGATGATCCAGACAACAGTACTGAGAACCTTAGATTGAAGATTGGATTGTTGAAGAGGAAAGAAAGACTTGAGTCAACTTGGGACCATGAGTACTTCAACGGTCTCAATCCAGTCGTCTCTGTCAACAATCCATACCTGTGCCAATGTCCGCTGTGTTCAGTGTCCACTTCCACAAGGCCAAACAACCGCAATGAACAGTTCCCAAATGTATCCTGGCGTCAGATTCCACTAACAGGTCCCAATGGCCTCAACATCATCATTCATTGTGTTGGTGTTGTCGATGGACTCTGCATTGATCTTTCACATGTACCTATGACATGATCACTATAATATATTTTAAAGTCTCTCTTTTCTATTTGTTGCACAGTCCATTCGTTCCACATCCATGTTCTACTCATGGGTAGAAGTGGAAGAGGTCTTTGTCTTCTTTTGTACTTGTGTGCTCGACTCTGTCTTCTTCCTTTTCTTGTCTGCTTGTACATCATGGATCGCGTAGATTGTGTTAGATTGTGTTGATAGTGCATTGGTATCAATAACAACATACCTTGTATGGACTCAGTACCACTCTCTTCTGTCTCTGATGCCTTCTCACCTGAGAAGTAATTGACTATCCTCCTAGCTAGTTCTGGTTTCAAATCACCTGACTTGTACTTGATGTTCTTGGATTGTAACCAACTTCGCATGTCCTTGGCTAAAGTAAATGAATGTGATTGATTGATTGATTGGTGAGTGATTGGAATGGTTCCATTTGGTTGATTGAATGATTGGATGTCTTACCTAAAAATTTGTTTACCAACTCATCTTTGGTTAGACCTTCATGTATAAACTCTTGTGTTTCTCTGTCGGCTGGCCTGTCAATCTCTTTGTCCTCATCGTCGGTGTTGGTGACATCACTTCGCAGTCCAACACTACTCCTGATCCTCCTTGTTGTTGAATCCTTCTTCTTCTTGGAGGCACTGCGAGTGCCACCAATGCTCACTCCTGACGATGACGACGAGTCAATCTCACTTGAAGAAAACTCACCGGGTGTCTGGGGATAGGTCGGTCGTGACACACTGGGCAAAGGTGTCGTTGGAATGTCCGCCGTCGTTGCAGCTGCTGCTGCCTTTGAAGAGACATTTGGTCTTGGTGGTCCAGACGCCATCCTCTTTGCTCGACGTGCTGGAGGCGATGACAATGGACTGAACATCCTGGTGACAATCTTTGTGAGAATATCTTTAAGTCTAGTTGGCATTGTCTCTGAGAGGAATGATTCGTGGATGGAGTGAGTAAAGTAGTCTTTGATTGATTGTGCATGATACCATACCATTGATATTCAATGCCTTGTACAACCTCTCTAGAGTGTCTTGTGATTGAATGTATAGGATGTTCTCGAGACCAGATAGTATGACCTCTTCAACTAGTGTACGGATGACTGAACGAAAGTGCTTGTCCTCAACAAGACTGTCGTTGGCCAATGTGGTTGTGTTGCGACTGCCTGCCGTATACCTGTGCGTCGTTGACTTCGACATGTATGTTGTGATGACTGTTGCATTGTCAATAACGCTGATGCTTGGCGTTGAGGTGACCATCGTGTCAAACTCGTTGGTTGTCTTCTTCTTGTTGTTGGCGTCACCAGTGGTTGCTGGTGCAGCAGGTACCTCGATCTGAGCCGGTATGAGCTTCGAGGGCTGAATGCCTAGGCATTGACAAAAGAGATTGAGCATGTGTGGAGTGAGGCTTCTGAAGAATGTTGGCAATGAATCGGACTTCATTGTCAGCTCGAGTTGTGCAATGCCTTCGTCGTTCGAGTCAGAGTTGGCAGCGGGCAATGATAGTAGTGAGCATGTCTCGTTGACAACGTCTGCGCTCAGACGTCCAACAACGCACTCAATACCCATCTCTCTAATATGATCCAATAGATTTGATACTGCTTCATGTATATTCATTGTATTGGCCATTTGATTGTCTACTGTTCCTGCAGCCACCAAGCACTCAATCAACAACTGCAGCGGCATCCTACTAAACTGTTCAAATAAAGTTGTATTAACTCTTTCAAATTGTTTAACATTATCATCAAATACTATTGTACTTGATAATGTACCTCCTCCTAAATTATCCATCTTTATCTTTATCTTTTTAATATATATGTACGAATACTGAATGTGATTGAATGAATGAATGAATGAAGATCAAAGGACGCACTCACACACAAACTTATAAGTTTGAAATTTATGGGACCAATCAATCAGTCACGTATTAAGCACGCGCCAAGATCAGCGCGGTCTCTGACCTGATCATTATCTTGGATCAATGTCCATTGATCGTGTTGTATGGAGTATAGATAGTTCCTGCCTTGTCCACCAATGAACATAATGCCAAATGAATTATCAAAGTAGATTAGATTGTGTAGTTCATCAGTGAGGTACGGACAGTCTTTGAGTATGTGGTTCTCGCCAGATGACAGTGTGTATCGAATGAATGTGCCGACATCGATGAACAGAACGTAGAGGTTGTCTTGGCCATCGTAGCAACTGACCTGTGGTCGAGTCTAATCCGATATTGTCAAACATCAGGAGGACGTCGGTTATTCGCGTGAGCACATTGAATGTTTTGACGCAATGCTTGTAGTCCCCTCCAACGATAATGATTGAGTTGGAGTAGCTGTCAATGTGTGTGCTGGCGTTGGACAGTCGCGACGAAAGCTCGCCATATCTCTCAAACTGCTCCGTTTCCACGTCGAAGCGGTACACACCTTTCAGATCCTTCTCTTTGATGTTCTGGCCTCCGACGATGTAGATGTACTTTTTGCCATCGTAACACGCGGACAGATGTTGTACACAATCGACGTCCTTCATGGGTGCGCTGAAGATTCGCCTCTCTGTCAGCGAGCATCGAGACCACGTATTTACTTGAGGGTTGGCATTGTTCTCATTGCGCCCGCCGCCAAACACATAGATATTGCCAAGTGCGTAGACCACTGAGCAGGTGACAAAGCGGAACAAACGATTGAATGAACCTTTGAAATTGTCGTCCGATGTCCATATGCGCGTCTCCAGTTCGAACAATGAGAAACGGTCCGCATTCAACGACAGAATGAGCCCATCAAACTCGGTGTCGGCGGCGGTGGAGAACTTCGACTTAATTGATTTGATGATATTGAAGCATGATTCAATCTGTCTCTTGGTGTCCTTCAACTTGTTGACATTGATCTCGACGACATGATCTTTAAGTCGCCTCAATGAAGCATCATCATACGGTACTTGTTGAGCATGTTGATTGTGACGAACGATCATTGACATCAGTTCATCTGATGTTTGAATACCATGATCAAGGTGATCATGATCATCATGTGATTGTGATTGTGATTGTGATTGAATGTAGTTGATCTTGTTGATAAACTCATCAATTGACTTGCATGATGTGATCGAATCAATCAACTTTGTTGTTGCATTATCATCATCAACTTGGTTGTTGTTGTTGATAATGTTGTTGTCTGTTTGAGGACGAGGAACATGTTAGTTGTTGACTATATGATGTGATTGATCTCATTGATGATGTTGTTGATCGTTGATTGAATGTATAACATCTGAGCATTGATAGGTGTCTTGACCTTGTGCTCTTGAGCGATGATCACCTTGATCAATTGTTCAAAGTGACTGGTGACTGATGAATGTGTCTGTTGCAATGCTTGATATGATGCAGCACAAAGTTGAAGTGTCTTCCATAGATGGTCCAACCTCGGTGTACACCATAATGATGATGATGACTGGTTACTATTACTCTCTTTCTCTCTATCATCTATACTCTGTTTAATATTATCTATATGTTCAATGCTATGTCCATTATGTACTCTACTCAAACATAAAGGACATAACAACATACTACAATTGAAGCATATCAACTCTGACCTCCTGTTGTGCACTTTACATGTTGTAGTTGTAGTTGAAGTTGTTGTTATAATTGTATTAATATTATTATTATCTGTCTCCATCAATTATTATTTAAATATGAATGAATGCTCTTGGCCCAGCTTGTGAACTCATTTATTAATTCATTCATTCAAGTCGTCTTGATGATCTTTTGGAATGTTTGAGAGATAACTTAGGTACTCCTCTTTCCAATTGACCTTGTTTGATTGGGATTGTCCAGCTGGTACAGACGATGACGACATTGAGTTAAGTATAATCGGTGATTTAGGTGTCAATGGTAATTGTTTGAATGCTGATGTACTTGTTGTTGTGGTTGTTGTTGTTGTAGTTGTAGTTGATGATGATGATGAAGATGGTAATGATGGTGAAGTAGTATTATGTTGAAGTTGTTGAACATCCTGTTGAAGTCTCTGTCGTAACCTTTCAATCTCCTCCGTATTGATCGACTGTAATGATTGATTGAATATAACTTTACATGATTCCAGTGTACTATGATTGATTGATTGATTGATCGATCGTTAGCCAGGACGAACGAATGAACATGAATGAATGAGTACTGAGTACATATACATACCTGTTGATCTTGGATATTGACTCTCTCTTTTGTTTGAGTTGTTCACTCATTATTGAGATGAGGGTCTCGCGAGCTTGATGTGGTCGATAGCTGTTTAGTAGATGGTGGAAGTTGATGAATAGCAATGATATGTCATCCACTTTCTTCTTGTACTCTTGGGGATTCTCGACAAGTGTCTCGAGCAACTGAAGATAGTTGAATAGTATTGAACGGTTCAGTTTCTTTAGCTCTTTGATTGGGGAGATGGAGTCGTCTGGATACAACTGCTGAACACCCTGCTCGCTCAAACTTGGCAACACATCAGTCGTGGCATAAGGTTGTCCAAACATTGAGTATGTAGAGCCTTGTTTAGGCGGCAGTGGTGGTGGCAGAGGTTGCAAGGTCTTTGTAACATTCGTAGGACTTGTAGTTGATGTTGTAGTTGTTGTTGTTGTTGTGGCCGCCAAAGTTGGGGACTTTGATGCAGGTGGAGTGAATAGTTGTTTATCATTGTTATTGCTATTGCTATTGAGTGATATAGGGTTTAGACCTGGTGTTGATGTTGCTGATGATGACTGTTGTTGTTGTTGTGATTGTTGATGTTGATGTTGATAGTTCAAGTACAACTTGTAGAATGGAGGTGGAGGTGGATATGCTGATATGATCACATTCTCACCTTGTTGTTGCTGTTGTTGCATTATAATATCTAACTTTTTATGTTGTACTTATCGACAAGTACATATATACAATATCTGATTGATTGAGACAGATAATGAGATTGAATGATAAGAGAATGTGATGCTCACTCTTCAACTTCATCGAATCAAAAAGTTTGAACAGACACATCTGGACCTCACTCATTCATCCTTCATTCACTCATTCATATTCATTCATTTGCATGATAGATATAGATAGAGATAGATAGAGATAGAGATATAAGATAACAATATGCATGGTGTATTAAAGGTTAAGACAACAGAGGAGAAAGCACGAGCTTTGAAAGAGAAGGAGTTGATAAAGATTGCAGAGTACAGGGCTATTGTTGATACATATACAAAGCATGTATGTTTGGTTGATTGATTGAATGATTGAATGATTGAATGAATGACTGACTATAACTCTATACATAGAGAGAACTGAATGAATACAATGATACAAGTCTTCAGGTGACAAAGAAGGTATTGGAGATCAATCCAGAGTACTACACCGTTTGGAACTATAGAAGAGATACACTTGTTTACTTTGCAACTGTCAAGTATGTTGGTAGAGTCAATGATAAGGGCAGATAGTGATAAAGACTGACACATGTACACAGACCCAATGAAGACATGCAGACATTGTACGCAGCAGAGATGAAGTTCATTGAGGAATGCATTCAGAGATTCACAAAGAGTTACTGGGTATGGTATCATAGGAAGTGGATCTCTGTGCGACAGGACAAGTGTGATTGGGAGCGTGAGCTAAAGCTATGCAGCAAGTTGTTGGACTTGGACTTGAGAAACTGTAAGTTGATTGATTGATCATGCTCATCTGACACAAACTCACTCATTCATCCATGATCTAGTCCATTGTTGGAGTTATAGACGATTCGTGGGCGAGAAATCAGGCCTGCCATTGGAGAAGGAGTACGCATATACTACAACAAAGATTGAGCAGAACTTCTCAAACTACTCAGCATGGCATCAGCGATCTGCTTTGATACCATTGATGAACACTGAGCCACAACAACTATTCGAGAAGCTCAAGGAGGAGTTTGAACTGGTTAGGAATGCAGTCTTCACTGAGCCAAAGGATCAGAGCTCTTGGATCTATCACAAATGGCTGGTTGGAACCATGAAAGCGTAAGTTAGATCAATCAAACTGTCAGGTGGCACATGGACTGACCACGACCAACAATCACCCAACAGTATTCCAGGATGCGATTACAAAGAAGTGTTCAACGCAGAGGTTGAGGCCATTAACGAACTGATTGAGATTGAGCCAGATTGTAAATGTATGTGTATACCATCAATCATTGACAACATGGTCATCCCAGCACCAGGGTTACTTACACATCCATTCAACATAAAAGGGCCAATCTATACATTACTGACATTGAAGTTGGACCTTGGATGTGATGCCACTGAACTTCGTCCATTGATTGACAAGCTTAAACTCATTGATCCAGATCACATCAACTACTACCTGTCGTTGGAACAACAACTGATCAACAGTAACTAAATCATGATATTCACAGTACTTTACACAAACGCATCATATGGATTGATTGATTGATAGTATCGGTCGGTCGGTTTTATTAACAGTGATGATGGGCAGCCTCAGCGATGAAATTAGTGACATCACAGGCATGCGAGATGTTGCTGCAGTGACTGGAAGCGAGGGTGATGGTCTTCTTGGTGGAGATACGGCCAGCCATGAGGGTCTGGAGGTCTGGGTTGATCATGCGATCGTTGGCAGAGATCTGGTACCAGGATGGCTTGGTCTTCCAGGCTGGCACGCCAGAGGGCTCGGAGAAACACTTAAAGTTTGGTGGGCTTCTGTGCGTGGGCCATGGCAGTGGCGAGACACTCGTCAATGTCTGGACACATGTTCTCACGGAATGCAGAGATGGCGTAGGTGGTGAATCCGCTGGCATCTGGGACGATGAAGCCGAGGCCGGGGGCTGGGTCCTTCATGGCACCGAGAGTCATCAGAGACTCTCCCTGATCTGGAACGAATGCGGCGATATAGACGAGACCGATGACCTTGTCAGAGTTGCCAGCGCCAGTGATGATCATACCACCGTATGAGTGACCGACCAGGATGCTTGGACCATCGAGTGAGGCAACCAATTGGTTCACACGCTCAATATCATCAGTGAGTGATGTGGCGAGGTTCTGAACGGCACGGACATTGTATCCCTTGGCGAGCAGTCCCAAAGTGACCTTGCTCCAGATTGAGCCCTCACCCCATGATCCATGGACCAGGATGATGTTTGGCTTTACGGTGGCGGTAGTAGGAGTAGTGATTGGTTCCATTTTATGTGTATGTGTAAGTGTAAGTATATGTTTATATTTGATGTTTGAATGAATGATCAACTAATGATGACCGTGCTTATTTATGAATCATTCAGCTGTCACCGGTGAAGTAAAGATCTATCTTCGTATTCGGTGTTAACCAACAACCCATCACATGGTCCACACCTCAATATCCAAGGAGGGTCGTCTGAGATTAATGGACCAAGGGGGGGAAATTACAAATATCCGTTTGATCACGGTCGACGTCGTTTGATCATGTGACCTCACACCTAATTGGCCCCTTTTCTCACTACGAAGTAGGTCCAAGACCCCCTTTTCCTCATCACAGTCTACTAATAAATCATCAACTTTACAAGTTCAGAAATCAATTGGAATCGTCTTTGCAGTTTTATAATATCTATTTTGTTTTACGAACGAGAGGTAAGATGGCTACACTCAATCATTCAATCAGATAGATGACATTGGTCACATGTGGAACCATACCCTGGGGTGGGGTGTGTCTATGTTAGTGATCGCTCATACTTGAGAAACGAACGAAAGAACAAACGAACGAGTTAACTGAACTAAAGTGTTTGATTGATGACATTTATTACTAGCATGTTACTGGAAGAAATAAAGAAGGAAGGTAGGGAAGGAGGATGTGTGTGATGATGGCGAGGAGGGTGGTCCAAACCAATAGACGACATTTGAGGACGTTCGGACGTCCACTGAAATATGATTGATGGTGATGATGTGATGATGTGAGTGAGTATCCAGGGCAGACCTGGACATATTACTGAAGGAGCCTCTGAAGGTCTTGACACTTCTCCATGAGAGGAGCAAACACTTGACGATTAGCAACATAGAGTGGCAGGAACTTCTCACGGAAGAAGATGGCAGCGTCGGGGATTTGAGGGATTGGATCGGTGTCCTCCTTCTTGGTGAATTGGAGCTGTGTGAATGTGGGCACGTATCCATCGGGTGTCTCGGCATCAATGTAGCTGGGCTCACTCGACTGGATTCCGTTGCTGGTGTTGGCGTTGGTCAGCACCTGGTACTGACACTGGGCAATGTTGACCCAGGAGTCGGGCATCGTCGAGAACATCTCGTTGCTGCAGAGCATGTGTGTCATGCCCACCGAGATGATCTTCTTCTCGATTGGTCCGGAGACCTTGCCACAGATGACCATCCACACCTTGGTGATGACGTCTGCCCACAGACCGGCACGCACCGAGTTGATGATATTGATTGTCTCTGCAATGCCAATCTTGTTGATGAACACTCCCAAGAACACAATGAAGCATCTCAACAACTTGTCAGTCTTGTGTCTTGCAATGCGCTGGAAAGTGACCTGGAATATCAATGGAACAAACTTTTGGTATTGAGCACTTTGAATAAATGATTGATTGATTGAGTGAGGGAGTGATTGTTAGTATGGGACAGGCATTGACGACTTGGATGTTGTTGTTCGACTATCTTACAATTCGAGATTCTCGACTATTGACTCGAGCAAGTAGAAGCCCTCGTGGTCGTTGGTGGCAGAGTCCACAAGCACCTTGTATACTCCGAGAATTGGCTCCAAGTGGTTGTTCTGTACGATGTATGTTCCGTCACGCTTGAAGAACGCCTGGAAGAGACGGACGAGTGCTGGCACGTTTGCCTGACGCATCCACTGCGCTGGTGTGTAGAGTATTGGTATCATGGATCTGTATGGAGCGAGGTACTGAGCGTCGGCATTCTCCACAAGGATGGCCAGCAGCTGGTAGGTGTATGGCGCAAACTCCTGAACGTCCTTCTGCAGAACGGCGTTGACCAGTGGGATGACCGTCTGGAATACGTTGGGCTGGCCGGCAAAGGACTTGAGCAGTGAGCCAATGACCTCGAAGCAGTAATGGTTGAATGAGTGGTTCGATGGGTTGTCAATCTCGGCCATGAGGATCGAAGTGAACTTGCCGAGCAGCTCAGTGGTCGTGCCTACGTCCACCTTGCCAATCATCATGAGGACGATACGAACGATCGCGCGCATCGTACGCTCGTTCTGCTTGGAGCTTGGGAAGCTGAACACGTTGACCAATGGCAGAAGGATATCGCCCAGCACCGAGCGGATAAACTCGGCCGACAGTCTGGGCACACCATTGTCCTTGACAGTGAGCAGACGGTCGATGCAGGTGGAGGCGTAGGTGTGGATGACGTGGTCTGGGTTGGACAGACACAGCACACAGAGCTGGAGCAACTGGGGGTAGATCTCGGCGGGCAACTGCTGGCGGAAGATTGTGATGAACTTGAGACAGTCGGCGACCAGGATTGGTTGCACGCCCTTGGTGTTCTGGAGCACGGGCACCACCTCGGCCTTGAAGAACTCGACGACGGGCACGCCAGCGGTACTGTCCGTCTTGATGGCCAGTGCAGTCACCAGGAAGATGGCGCTGTCCTTGGACAGCCAGTTCTCCTGTGGGTTGGCACGATAGTGCTGCAGCAGCTGGTTGATGTCCACAGAGATGAGCTGGGTCACCTGCGTCTCAAAGTACTTGCGCAGGCCCTTGACCAACTCGATGGCGGCACGACGACGAGTGTCGCTGTCACTGCCCTCGATATCACGTCGCATGTATTCCGCAGCGTTGTCCTCGTAGAGCTCCAGATCAGACTCGCGCAGCTTGATGTTTGGCGTGACGATGCACGAACATATCTGTTTCAGTGTGTCCTCTTGCTGGAACAGGTTGTGCTGAATGCTCATGCTCACTGTGCTGAGGAACTTCAATGAAGCAAAGATCAACGGATCATTCTTGATAGCGTTCGACGTCTGAGACAACAGACTCCAGACGCTTGTAACAAATGGTTGGAGGTAGTTGAGGAACACCTCATCGTATCGCTGAGTGTACAAGTTAAGAATCTCGCATATCTCTGTATGAATCAAGTTCAACAATGATGGGTCTTCATCACTCTGCCATTGATTGAATGAATGGTTAGTGATCATGTCTCCTCGAGACTACTCCAGACGGGAACATACCTTTGAATCGACCAACTGTGGACAGTTTGATTGGTATTGGAGATAGAATTGGAACTCTTTGGTGAAGTTGCCAAGGTTGTCCTCAAAGAACTCTGCAATGTCAACGTTGCTGATTGAATGGAATATCTCAAGCATCGACAAGATTGCTGTGAACAATAGCTTCAACTGATCTCCAGTCAAATCCTTTGTCTCTCTAATCACATTGCCTGTTTTCTGTTGTCGACCGAACGATTGATTGATTAGTATGATTGATCACTCGGACTCAATGTTACACAACATACCAGGAGCAACTCAAGGTATGGAGTTGGGAAGATTAGGAGGATATACTTGAGCTCGAGCATTACGGCGTTGGTTGGTGTTGTGTCTTTGTAGCGCTTGAAGAGTGAGCTGAGTGTTTGGAGTACGGGATTCACCACTGTGTAGTCGTTGCTGTGCAGCTTGGTGATGAGCTCGGGCAGCAGCGTGGGCCAGTCGTTGGGGAACTCTGCGTCACCGATAACGGTGAGCGCCTCCATCATCATTGACTGTAAGAGTGGTGGCAGCGTGATCAACAATGAAATGATGACCTGCTTGATGGTGTCCTTGTCCTTGCGCGAGATTGGGTTCTCGGTGGTGTCTGTGTCCCTCCAATTCTCCTTTACATGGTTCTTGAACTGGATGGCGGCGAGCAATCTAACGTTCAAATCCACCGACGATGCCTCTATGATCTTCATCATCTTTACCAATGATTCGTCAGTCTTTAGAAACGCCAATACCTTTTTAGTGGCTGATTAGTTAGTTGGTAACAACATGATTAGTATGATTGAGTGATTGAGTGATGAGTGATACCTACCTTCATCTCTTTGTTGTGTGTTTGGGCTATTAGCGCTAGCTAACAAGTTAACCAATTGATCAAGTTCTGACATAATATTTGATTGATTGATTGAATGTATGAACGAACGAATGTATGAATGAATGATACGATAATGAATGAGCACTAAGTATAAGGCAAGGTGAACAGTGTTGTCGTGTGTGTGTATGTGTTTGTGTGAATGATGATGAGGGTGTTGAACAACAATGAAGTGCACTCACGTCTTTCGATTTAACTTCAAAAGTTACATGTTCCCTCCTTTTTTCAGACGAGCTTTTCAAAAGTGTCAACTTCGTGGACCATGCTGACCTGTTGCCAACTCACTAGGGAGCAACAAGTGATCATAAAGAGATGGAGACAGAGAAAGAGACGACTAGTTTGGGATTGTTTGGTGAGGTTGATGGTCGTGTTGTTTGTCGGGTTTATTCATTATATAGTCAGGGTAAGTAGTTCGGAGTGGGCGATGGTGATTGGGTGAGGGTGTTAATTTGATTGGTGAATCAAGTAGCGATAATGAATAAACAAAAGTCAGGGCAATTGGTTGAGTGAAGTGAAGGGTTGAGGAGAGTAGGGGAAGAGAGTATGTGCTTGGTAACCTGAGGGAGGGCATCGTCTGGAGCCTCGCATCTCAAAGTATGTGCTGAGTTAAGTTGTGTTGAGTTTGAATTGGGTTGGTTGGATTGGTTGAGTTTGTTGGATTGGTTGGATTGGTTGCTTGGTGGATCGGTGGTTGGGTTCTTACATACAGGCGATGGGGAGGTGAAAGCTGATTGTTGTTTGTTTGTTGTTGGTTTGAATGTTTGTAGTTTGTTTGTTTGTAGTTGTTTGTTTGGTTATGCTAGTCTCTTCACAGATTGCGTAATGGAAGTGATGAGCCTATGAGAGCGAGCTGGTGGGATGGACGGGGAGGTGGATGGATGGTGATATATGATTGATGGATTGAATATTGAAGGATATATATGTTTGATTGATATTGATATTGATATTGATTATGATTAATGTTGTTGATACTGAATAATATTGATTGGATGAGTGTTGGAGATTGATTGAATATTAATTGATTGAATGATGGTTGAATGAATAGAGTTGATGGAGTTGTTATGATTGGTATGTGTATGTGTGTAGCCATCGTTTGTTCGACAAAGGCAGGTGGAGGATGATGGTGATGGAGATGGAATATTCGGGTTCGCTATTTACACAGCATAGAGTGACTTGTCAATGACGGGTGGGATTGGCTTGATCTCAGTGCCCAACTCCTGCTCGATCTTGTGCAACGAGAAACGGTCTTCGTAGGTGATGAGGTTGATGGCGAGACCGAGATGGCCGAAACGACCCGAACGACCAATGCGATGGAGGTAGGTCTCAGAGTGCTTGGGGAAATCAAAGTTGATGACGACGTTGACGTCCTGGATATCAATGCCTCTGGTGAAGAGGTCGGACGAGACGAGGTTGCGGCAGTGGCCGTTCCTAAAGTCGTGGAACACGCGGTTGCGGTGCGCCTGCAGCATCTTGGCGTGGATGTAGAAGCACGAGTAGCCGAGGTCGGTGATCTTCTTGGCCAGCAGCTCCACGCGGTTGACGGAATTACAAAAGATGATCGACTGGTTGATCTGCAGTTTGGAGAAGAGCGTGTTGAGGCAGTGAATCTTCTGGCGCTCCTCGACGAATGCGTAGTATTGCGTGACTCCCTTGAGTGTGAGCTCGTCCATCAGGTTGATCTCGTACGACTTTGAGAGGTAGGCGTCCTTGAAGGCCTTGACCGTGACGGGGAATGTCGCGGAGAACAACAATATCTGTCGGCTAGATGGTAGGAATTGAATCAATTGTTCGATCAAAGGTTGGAACTCTGGTGATAACAGTTTGTCGGCCTGAGGAATACATGTTAATATGTGTCAGCTGATAAGTCACGTGATCTATTTCGATCAGCTGATCAGTCATGTGATCAAAGACATACCTCATCCATGATGATTGTCTGGCAGTTTGAAAGGTTGGCAACGTTCTTTTGGGCCAAATCAAGAACTCTTCCAGGAGTGGCCACCAATATATGTACAGTTTCGTAGAGTCTCATAATGTCATCCTTCAAGCTAGTGCCTCCAGTCGTGGCCATCACCTTGACATTCATATATTTACCTAGTTCTTTGCACACCTGTGATGTCTGCAATGCGAGCTCTCTTGTTGGGACCAAGATCAAGACTGAATGAATGAATGATCATACAATGTTAACATCTATCTCTGTTGCTGTAGCTGCTATTGCTGTTGCCTGCTTCATTCATTCTTACCTTGGATATAGTTCTTTGTTGGATCTGTTTTCTCGAGTGCTGGGATGAGGAAGGAGGCAGTCTTACCGGTACCGTTCTTGGCTCTTGCCATGATGTCCTTGCCTGCGAGTGCGATTGGGATCGCCTTCTCCTGTATGGGTGAGGGTCTTACATAACCCTTCTCGTAGATGCCTCTCAGCAGGTCTCTCTTCAAATGCAGATCGTCAAACTCATTTCCCTCTGTTGCTGTCACATCTTCAGTCTGCTTCCTCTCGTCCTTCTTTGGTAAGATCAAATTGTCCTTCCAATTGTTGTCGTCAACAATAGGGCTGTATACATTATATCATGTGATGTTGATGTTAGTTCGATCGATTGTCATCTCTGGAAGATCAGTCAGGACACATACACAGTGGATGTTGTGGAAGACATGTATATGTTTCTTTGCTAGGTTGTGATAAGTGTGTCGCGTCTAAGATGATGGATTGATTGATTATATTGATTGATTGTATGTTTGTGTTTGGATTGATATTGATTGCTTGATGATTGATATCTTGTTAGATAATGATGATGTTGTTGATATAGTGTGAGATAAAGAAGAATGGATACAAGGTGTGCTTGATGAACCCTTGGTTAGTTGGGTCTCTTCACTCACACATAACTTAAATTAATTTTATTCGCAATTCACGCAAGTTGTTGATGTTCGATCTCATCGCATTGAATGAATGAATGAATGAACAAGTTGAGATACAATGATGTAATAGGTATAAGAGTACATGTATACAAGTATTTGTAGTTGTACTTGTATTTATTGAATGATTACTTTACTTAGAATAGAATGGTACCAATGATTAGTGTGACGATCATGAGGATCATTGATGGCATGGTGATGGAGGATGAACCTGGCACCATGCTGCCACAGAAGCCTATTGTGGCAAAGTTATCAGTGCCAGTGAAACAGGAGCTGCTTGGATCCTTGGAGTGACATGCTCCCATGTAGTCACAGAGCTTGGCCTTGCAGTTGACGAAACCACATGATCTTGGAATGTAGGCGTTCTCAGAGAAACAGTTGTACTGAGCCAGACAATCAAAGTATGCCGATGCCTTGGTCTTGCAGGACGATGCGTCCGTTGGCAGCTGGCTGATGCACACGCCACCCGAGTTGTCGGCAGTGCACGTGCAGACCTCCGACGACGAGCAGGCATCCTGCGAGCAGTTGGATGTTGTGACGGGGGCGGGTGGCTGCTGGCAGATGTACGAGGTGTTGATGGCCGAGTAGCTGCAATAGGTGTTCTGGCTGATGTCACACGAGTCCACGATGGCGCCAAAGGTTGCGTCGATGGTGGTGCATGGCTGGCCGTTCGATCTGGAGAACAGGGCCACGCAGGATGAGTTGGCGTTGTTCAAGTTGGCAGCACACACCGAGTTGATAGCGCAGGATGATGGCAGCTCAGTGCAGTCGGCACCAATGGCGAGACGTGGCAGACAGTTGGTGGTCTGGTTGCAGTACTCGTTTGGCTTGCAGTGGACTTGTGAAGTGCAATCAGTTGGCTTCTTGCTGTTGATCAATGGAACACAAACCTTCTTCTCTGGATCACAGAGCAAGCCTGTTGGGTAGCTCACACAATCAGTGTTGACAGAGCACTTCTCACCAACGCTATTATCCCCAATAGTTATATGTTAGTCAACATGAAGTAACTTCAATCAATCAATCAACTTACGTAGCAGAATGAGTGATCTGGCAGGTGTAGATTGAGGCGGATGGGAGTGTAACTTCTTCCTCAATCACTCTGACCTCTTCTCTGGACTCTGGAGCGGCGGCGGGATAGCAGGTCAGACCTGGAATACATGAGATTGAGCTTTGGATACATCTTTGTCCAACGTTGGCCAATGGAAGACACACCTTTAATGGTGAGTCTGGGTTGGATGCATTCTGGAAAGGATTGTTTCCACAATAGTATTGTGATGGGCAAATCAAAGTTGAAGCAGTTTCTACTTTCTTAGGAGCACCGCCTCCTCCACTAAAAGTGTAATGATGAGTAAGTTGAGTGATTGAGTGATTGGAAGAATATTAACTTACTTGTAGATATCAGAGTTACATGGACTGAGAGCACCTTGTTGACAGAAGAGCTTCTGACAATTCTGGGCATCAGAAAAGTTGACACATGCAACAATGGCAATAATTAATAATATGTACTTCATTTTATTAATATTTATATATATTTGTAGTTATTTATTTATAGTTATCTATTACTATAATTGATTATTAAATAACAAATGAATTGAATTGAATGTGACGTGATGTGGATGGTCTATCATCAGTGACGATGACGTTTGGTTTGATTCAAACAAACCAGTAATTATCTATGAATAGTTGTTCATAAACACATAAAGTTGTAGGTTGATTCAAGTGTACATCGTCCAAAAAAAATTGAAGGGCTCAGCTCCTTTTGATCAATCAGTTGTGTGTGAAAAAAAAACGTCGCATCGGTTGATGATCAAACACCCCACACCCACACATACTTTGAAAAGACACATCTTTCTTATTTTGGACAATAATAATATATATTTATATTTAGTTTTAGTTTAGTTATGGACCAAGACAAGACTTTAGAACATGAGAGCGAGGATCACAGAGAGAACGGTGATGATGATGGCTGGCGAGGTGATGGAGGAGGCGCCTGGAGTGAGGTTGCCACAGAAGCCAATGGTGGCAAAGTTGTCGTTGCCGCTGAAGCAGCTGGTGAATGGGTTGGGAGTGTTGCATGCGCCCATGTAGTCGCACAGGGGCTTCTTGCACTTTTGGTAGCCGCACGACTTGGGCACGTTGGCGTTGCCGTCGGCACAGTTGCTGGCAGCCAGACAGTCAAAGTAGGCGAGGGCGGTGGTCTTGCAGGCGCTAGTGTCGGCGGGTATGTACGAGGTGATGCACTCTCCGCTTGGGTTGGCGGGTGTGCACATGCAGCGCTGGTTGGACGAGCAGGCGTCCTTGGAGCAGTTGGTGGTGGAGACGGGGGCGGGGGCGGCGCGGCAGATGCCAGCCTGGCAGTAGACGTTTTTGCTGATGTCACAGGCGTCGAGGAAGCCGTGGTACGAGCTGCCAAACGAGCAGGTCTCGTTCTCCTGGCGCGAGAATATTGGGATACAGGTCATGTTGTTGTTGTCGATGCTGACGCTGGCGCAGATGGCATTGACCACACACGAATCGGCGTTCTCTGAGCAGTTGCCGCCGAGGGCAACACGTGGCAGACAGTTGGTGGTCTGGTTACAGAACTGGTTTGGTGGGCAGTGGTCGTCGCTGATGCAAGTCGAGTCCTTGGAGGATGGGATCATTGGAGTGCAAGTGCGAGTGAATCCATCACACTCAATCTGAGTTCTGCTGTCTGGGCTGTAGCAATCTGATGTGACAGAGCACTTCTCTCCAACACTAAATTGTATAATTGATTGAGTGAGTGGAATAGTTCCAGGATTGATCGAATGAGTAGAACTACTTACGTGAGGAAGTTGAGGATCTGGCAAGTGTAGACGGTGGTGGCGTCGACCTCGACCTTGGCCTCGATGTCTCTTACTGGTGGTGCTGGGGTGAATGGTGGATAGCATTGGAGACCTGGGACACAGGTGACTGGAATGGTTGGATCACAGTGATGACCGACATTGCCCAATGGCAGACAGATTCTCTCTGATGATTCAGTGTTGGAAGCATTCCAGAATGGGTTATCACCACAATAGTATTGTGATGGGCAGATCAAGTTGATCTGTACTCCCTTAGCCTCTACTTTGGCAACAAGACGGCTACATTGGGTGAGGAAGTGAGTGAGTGAGTGGGGGTGGGGGTGGGATGATCCCATTCAACACTAATTAACATACTTGTAAATATCACCGGTACATGAGCTGAGGGCGAACTTCTGGCAAGTGAGTTCAGTGCAAGATTGAGCCGAGACGTACTGGAACATGCACAAGGCAATGGTCAATGCAATTATTAATCTCATTATTATATATATTATTTATTATTTATATGTATGAATGTAATATTGATATCAATAAGACGATGTTTACATCATCATGCCTTTTGTCGTGTCGCTCATTCATCCGTTCATTCATTCAATCACGCATACATACATACATCCATTCGGTTCTTTGTTCATTCACATCCATTCCCAAAACGGTCTAGACTTGCGGCTCACATCAGGTCCAATTCTGTGTTTTTCAGATTGAACACCAAAGCGTGTCATGATGTTGTTGTTGTGTAGACTATCTATCACTACGAGACGACTGATCAATTTAACAGTCAAACAGACGACTCATGGAGTGATTCAAATAAAACTTAAACAAATATCCAAAAAAACAAGGACGTCACCAATTCTTGTTTGATTGATCAGCTGACATCACCTGTCTCACTGCTATTTTTTTCAGAATGAAGAGGCATTCAATGAATAACTGTAACTTCTTTGTTGACGTGTAAATGTCTTGTGGGTGACAGTCCCTGGTCTAAGCTTCAATCAATCACATCAGACTAAATGTATCGTGGACATTACCACCAACAATGCTAAACAAAAAATCAATCCTTTAACCATAATTCTCCATCTATGTTGAGTATTGATTGTGAATATTGTAAATACAATACATCATTGATTGTCGGTATTGTTGTCGTTGTTGTGTACCTGATTGGATTCAATCTTCATGTGAGTTCTTGGACCAAACTATATTCAGTGGACTTCATGAACATACTCACAACCTTGAACTCATGAACCATGCCTGTATCTGTCATTGTTAATGAATGAATGAATGAAAGTAACTCTTTAGACATCAAAATAATGCAACAATGATGTTGTGTGGGACCGGTCTTCGCAGAAGTTTGAGATCTGTGACTTCACAAGTTTGGTGACTCATTCATTCATTCACTCAAACAATCAAACAACAAACAAACAATACCCTTTGTACAGTTACAACTAAGCAGCATCAATGACACACAGACACAATGTCTTCAACTACTACAACAACAACAACATTAACAACATCAATGAATCACAACAATGATAATAATGACAATGACATTGTAGAGATATCAATGTCTACGATGTTGACACCAGAGGGAGAGGAGATTGATTATGAAACTCCACCTCAAGGCGATGAAGATATGTTCTGCGATGTTGGTCAATCATCAGATGCAATGGCAATGGTCGACATGTCAATGTTGATCGGACAAGACAATCAACAAATGTTGGAAGAGGAGATACTAGACTTTAACGAGACACCTTTACTCAATGATATAATCACAGCAAACAACAATAATAACAACAATAATAGTAACAATGATGGTCATAGACATGCACACAATCATCTTCAAATTGGCACTCAACAACATTGTCATTGCGTCGACATTGACAGCTTCATTGAGTTGATGACCACGGAGAACCCTTACATCCTGTCTGGCTTTCGCGAGTTCACTACTCGCTCATTCAAACAATGTACCAAGAGTGTATTCATGTTACACAATGATACAGGTACGTACTCACTTGTTCAATCATGGTTATGGATGATTGTCTGACCAACCAATCAATCAATCTCAAAAAGGCAACATATGGACACACTTGATACCAGCGATACTATACCTTGTTGTGTTTGTAAAGGACTTGTTGGCGGCGATGCATTTGATACCTGATCGTCACCAGGATAGACAACATACTCCAATGTATTTGATGAACTTGTTGTTCTTCTTGGCGACATGTTTCCTCTGTTTCCTGGCATCATCAATCTATCATACATATCGATCACATTCTATAACAGTGTACAAAAGAACATTGATGTTGGATGTCTCATTCATTGGTCTACTCATCCTCACCTCTGTCAACCTCATCATCTACAGTGAGCTCTACTGCTTCCCCAACATCCGCTCACTCTTCCTATTCTCATTCCTCTTCCTAATAGTCACAGCACTATCACTATTACCAAAGATGGTATGAATATGATTGGCACTCATTCAATCATTCAATCAATCATTCAATAACTAACCCATCACACTCAATCAATCAATCAATCACAGATGAGAGAGAAGAAGTTCTCATTGAGGACATTTGTATTCTCATTCTTGGCATTGCAGGGATTGGTGTCACATATGCTCAGGTTGTATTTGGAGAGTGGAGGCATGAGTAGTGAGCCATACACATTCGGCAACGACAGCAATTTCCAATGGCTACTATTATCATATGGATTCTTTGGTATTGGATTATCAATCAGACGTCTTAGATTCCCAGAGATACTAGCACCTGGCAAGTTTGACATATTCGTACGTGTCCTATCATCCATCTCATATGATCGTTCAATCAATCATATACTGACCAACCAATCACACAGGTCTCAAGTCATCAGATATTCCATGTATTGGTAGCACTTGGTACTCTGTTTATCTTTAAGGCTTATGGCAATGGGACTGAAGTGTGTCAAGTTTACATGTAGTCTGACAAAACTACCATCCATCAAATCGATCACGTGACATTACCAAAGTGTGATCGTGTGTTGTCTAGAGAGTGCGCGTGTGGGTTGCCAACCAGATGACGATGCACACCCTTTGACTTGGTTTTTTTTCATTCAAAACGCGATCTTTTTGACTTGTTGGATTCCAATTCATTCATTCATTCAACCATTCATACATTCAATCATTCAGATAGATAGTTTGGTACAAGATATGGTATTTAGTGATATAGATAATAATATGTCATCAACTGCTAGATCTGCTGATTCAACTTCATCATCATTGGCATCATCAATATCTGCCTCAACTACACCACCTTCATCATCTCCATCAACTCCACCAATAAGACATAATAGTAGTAGTATAAGAGATAGGGTCACGGCAACATCATCAGCATCAAAAGTACATTCAAACCAAGATGACAACAACAACATAGACACAACAACAACAAATTCGTCGACGACGACGACAACGACAACAACAGATACACATCATAATTCAGTGCTAAGTAAAGAGCTGGTGTTTATAATCTGCGTTGCAGGCATATATGTATTCTATTTACTTTATGGCTTCTGCCAAGAGAAACTGTACGTCATCATCCCATCACTCATTCAATCATTCAATCAATCAATCACTCGCTAACTCATCATAATCAATCAATCATATTCAGGAGTATTGTTAGATATAATCCAGATGATAAGGAGAAGTTGGGAAATTATACAGCATTCTTGTTGGCGCTGCAGAGTTTGGTGAACTACTTGTCGGCAAAGACTATACAGTTGGTGAGCAAGGAACGCGTTGACATGACTCCAGCCATCCAATACATTTACACATCGGTGCTTATAGTGGCATCGACCTTCCTGTCGAACAAGTCGATCTCGTACATCAGCTACCCCACGCAGGTGTTGGCCAAGTCGTGCAAGCCGATCCCCGTCCTCGTGATGGGCATGCTCTTCTACAAGAAGCGTTATCCACTCTCCAAGATACTTATTGTCGTCACCATCTCTGTTGGTGTCGCACTGTTCATGCTGCCCTCCTCCTCCTCGTCATCAAAGAAGCACACAGCCATTGACTTGGACTCTGATCTATACTTCTACGGACAACTACTACTCATTGCATCACTGCTCGTCGATGGACTAATCGGACCACAACAAGAGAGCTATGTTCATCAGTACAAGCCATCATCAAACAGCATGATGCTCAACACTAACTTCTGGAACACTATCTTCATGTTCTTAGGTATGTACTTTGACGACGACTGTGATGGTCTTGTCCGTGTGACCATGCTAACCCAATCACAATCATACTGTATACTAGTGTCTGTTGTCAATGGAGATATATTGCCAGCATTATCATTCATGATGCGCTATCCAGAGTCATTGGTGTTGGTGTTCTTTTATTGTATCACCAGTGCATTGGGACAGCATTTCATATTCTTGACGACCAATCGCTTTGGTGCACTGTCCTGCACGACCATCACCACCACCAGGAAGTTCTTCTCGATCCTTGCGTCAATCTTCTGGTTTGGACACTACATCTCTCCATTACAATGGGGATGCATCATTCTGGTCTTTGCAGGCCTATCCATCGACATTGTTCTATCCAACAGTGGATCATCCAAGAGGAAGAAGGAGGCCTAGGGACCTCCCTCACTCGATCAATCAATCAATCAATTAATCATTCATTCATTCATTCAAACTCCAGGTATCAATCATATCATACTTTATTGTATCAAGCCACGATGAGCGAATATTGGTGAGAGGAAGGTGGAGAGATTGGCTTGGCTGAGGAGGACAAGGTAGCGATTGTCGAGTCTCATTCTCTTACAATAAATTTTGAATACGGCGAGCAACTTGGATGGATCGTGGATTCTCTTGTTGGTTACCACGACCAAAAGTACGCTGTCCCTGATCGGGGCTGTCATTCATCTTGTTCCATTGGTATCACTCTACATTACTCAAGAAGATGTTCCCAGAAGATGTCCTCTTTTTCCTCACCACCACTCGTCCTTGGGATTGTAGACATTTTGAACGACTTACTTCTTGACCAGCCTCATCAGCTCAGTTGCCATGGTGTCCTCTTTGACACTACAATCAATCTTCCGTGGAGGTAATGGCGTGATGGACCTCCCAACAGCTGTGATATCAGAGTATCCAGAGACAGTCTTGTTTGAGAGGAAAACAGATCTGACCACGACCCATGTCACCTATATGAATGAAGGTTCGGAATACATCCACACCGGAGACATCACAAAGATCAGTTCGTTGTTGTTGTATATATATATATATATTTATATCTATATGCAATATTTATTCTTTCATTAGTTGTTTGTGAATGTAGCCTTCTCGGTGGCGATTGAGGTTTGTGCGGCCAACCTCGAAGCCACACTCACACGTTACCTTTTGCTTCATGTATTCTCTGTGTTTGTTTCGGAAGTCTTCGTTCTTGTCGTAGTAGGTCTTGAAGTACGATGTCATTGAGATTATATCTATTTCATAAATAAAATTTGACTTGAAGTTCAAAGTGGAAAAAAAGATGAGAATTAAATCAATATTATTGTTTTATTATACATAATCCACTGGGTCGACCTTCAATGACAAATCATCTGCAAGTTACCAAGTTTAGTTAATATTCATATTTTTTTACCTGCCTATTATATTCTTCATAATACTTAAGAGATTCACGATGGACAACATTCCAGTTGTTAACTTCAACCAACTCATTAGGCAATACAATGAGTCCTATAAGAGAGATTTCGAGTTGGTATTCACATTTGGTGCCAACTCAACAATCATATGTCGCAACACCGACATAGCAAAGTTCAACACTTTCTTCAATGACAATGAAGCTCTCTTCCGTACCCACGAGATCTTGATTAACCAGTTGGTATTGGTACCCGCTGGACAAGGAGAGATCGAAGTTGTTCATCTCAACAAGAAGAAGCTCCAAAAAGCCTATGGAATGGCTTTTGTTGTCTACATCAAGGTTTGCAGATATCTTAACTTGGTTCCAAATGACAGATACACCGACTGTGTCATTATCAAGATCGAATAGTTGAACCTCGTCCAACAACTTATAGGTCTAGTCCACCAATATACTATCATCAGGTATCATCCCCATCTAAACCTTCGTACCTTATTTGATACTTGTACAACAAGAATAGGGTTTATTACCATCATACAAACAAACTTTCCCCTTTCTGCAGTATTCCTACCTTATACCTTACTCTCTATTAGCTTTAGATTTATGGTTATTCTTTGTCAAACCTATTTACTATTTATTTATTTTTTATTATTACTTTATTATTATCTAACCTAACTTCTAACCAATAAATATATATAAATATATTCTTAGAGTTTCTTAAGAATATAATAAATCAGAGCGAAGCTTGCGAAGCAAGCGAAAGCGGACCTTTTAGCGTAGCGTTATGAGTCAGCCACACACACTGCCACATCCCCTGCATCCACGACAGTGACAACTACCGCCAGTACCACTGGTCCGGCCTCTACGATCACTCAGACCACCACCGTCAGCACTGTTGCCACTTCCCCCTCCAACTACGACAACAGCTTCTACTACTGTCACTACAACTGCATCAACCACTGGCGCAGGTTTCGACCATTACCCAAACTACTACTGCCACAACGACTGCTTCCACGACCTCTCCCACCCCGACATCTACTACTGCATCGACTACCCAGACCACAGTGTCAACCACCCAAACAACCACGGCAACCACCGCCACTGCTGCTGGCACCACGACTGCGTCTACAACAGCCACTACGACTGGATCTGATGGAACAATCACTGAGACTACTACTGCAACTACCACGGCTAGCACTACAGCACCTGCTACCACAACGGCTTCAACCACCGACACCACGACTGCTTCAACCACTGGCCAAGGTTCGACCATCACCCAAACGACCACCGCCACGACCACCGCTAGCACAGGTCCAACCAGCCAAGTAACCACCACTGCTTCCACCACTCAGACCACAGCATCTACTACCGCCAGTACCACGCAGAGCACATCGTCCACTACGGCAACCACAACCATGTCGACTGCCTCAACCAAGGACACAACATCAGCTTCCACCACCGCCTCAACCGAGGCCTCCACGATTGTGTCAACATCGGCTTCAACCTCTGCCAGTACCACCGGTGCAGAGGGTACTATCACCCAGACGACAACGGCCACTACCACTGTGAGCACTGCTGCCTCAAGCCAACCGACAACAACCACCGCATCGACCACTCAGACGACTGCGTCAACATCGGCAACCACCACTCAATCAACTACTGCTACATCCCCTGGTACCACCACAGTGACAACCACTGCCAGTACCACTGGTCCTGCCTCTACCATCACTCAAACAACCACTGTCAGCACCACAATGTCCACGATTGCTCCCGCCACTTCAACGACGGCATCTACCACTCAGACCATCGCCTCCACCACTCAGATCACCACTGCTACCACAACTGCCACTGCTGAGGGTACCACCTCAGCGTCGACAACAGCCACTACAACTGGAGCTGAAGGTACGATCACTGCCACAACAACTGTTACGACAACTGCCTCAACAACTTCAACACCAACGCCACCTCCAACTCCACCTCCAACTCCAACTCCAACACCACCTCCAACCTATTCGGTCAATGGATTTGCTTTCTTAGATTCAAACAAGGTAAGAATATATCTATTCATCTGGAAACTGAAAGGAGGGATGATACTAACTATCAAACTTGTGTTTTAGAATGGCATCTTCGAGGCTGGTGAGGCGTACTTGGATGGAATCACAGTTGAGTTGACCAATGAAGCAGGTTCAGTTCTTGGATCCGGCCCCACTGATGCCTCCAAAGCAAGAAATGGCTACTCATTCACTGGTCTCGTTGCTGGAAAGTACTGTCTCAAGATGACACCGCCCTATGCCGGAGGATATCTGAATGGTCCAACTGGAACAGACAACAATTTCGACCCAACGACTTGCAAATATTGTTTCGACCTCAATGAGAATACTGTGGACGCCTCTAAGAACCTAGCTCTGCCCTCTGGTTTTGTAAGTAGACTTGATCATGCCAGCGCGTTAGGAAAGACGCCAAGTTGAAGTTACATTCACTGACTCGACACTACCTCTAGGTTGCTAGCGCCAACAAGTTCGTAGTACTTGGATATGCTTGGAATGATCTAAACAGCAATGGTGCGGATAACTCTGGAGAGCCATACCTTGGTGGAATGGCTGTAACTTTGACCGACAAGGATGGAAAACAGCTGGCCACCTCCACGACCGACGCTTCACTCAAGACCAGTGGCTACAAATTTGAAAACCTGGATGAGGGCGACTACTGCCTCATGATCACTGATCCTAACTCCATCTATTCCAACGGCCCAGCTGGTACCTCAAACAAGTTTGACACTGATGGCAAATATTGTTTCAATCTTGGACCCTCCACTGTCAACGCCAATAAGGAACTCGTCGCCCCAGCCGGATTCACCGCCGCCAACCCCCTGCCCAAGTACACTTTGTACGGTTACGCCTGGAATGATCTCAACAGCAATGGAGAGGACAACTCTGGTGAGCCATACCTTGGAGGCATGCAAGGCATCCTCTACAGCAAGAATAAGGACGACTCCCTCACAGAGGTGAAGAAGTTTACCACGAGTGCTGCCGGTGGCGCTGACAATGGCTTCAGGATCCCTGACCTTGACAATGGTGCCTACTGTATCAAGATGAGCGACCCCAGTGATGTCTACTCCAACGGCCCTACTGGGGTCACTAACAAATTCGACTTGACTGGACAGTACTGCTTCTCTCTTGATGACACCACCACCAACGTCAAGAAGGAGATGAAGGTTGCAGCTGGATTCAACATACCCAAGTACAATGTCGTAGGATACGCTTGGATCGACTCTAACAGCAATGGTCAAGACAACGGTGGTGAACCATGGCTTGGTGGCATCACGTTCACCTTGCTCAAACTTGACAAGGCCTCCAATACCTACAAGCAAATTTCCTCTCAGGTCTCGGACGCGTCCAAGGCCGATGATTCTATCACATTCCCCAACCTCGATAAAGGATCTTACTGTGTCAAGGTCACTAATCCGAGTGGAAACTACAAGAATGGACCAAAGGGAGGCTCAAACAATTTCAACTCCACCGGATACGAATGCTTCGATTTCGATCCCACCACTGGCTCCTCACCCTCCAAGGTCGTCAAGGGTGGATTTATTCCAGACCCAGCCAAGACTCAACCCAAGTACAAGGTAGATGGATAAGCTTGGATCGACTCGAACAGCAATGGCGAGGACAACACTGCTGAACCATATCTCGGAGGCATCAAGGCCACCTTGCTCAAATTGGTCAAGGGCCCAAGTACCCAGCCAACCTACTCTGAAGTCGGAACCCAGATCACCGATGCTGCCAAGGCTGCAAAGGCCTTTGAGTTTACAAACCTTGATCAAGGCGGATACTGTGTCCATCTCACTGATGAGAGTGGAAACTATGTCCCAAGTATTATCGGAGTCACAAACAAGTTCAACTCTACAGGATTCTACTGCTTCTCCGTTGATCCCACAACAACAACTTCACCTGCAAACACTTTCCATGCCCCAGGAGGCTTCGTCCTGGGTTCTGGAAAGACAGCTCCCAAGTTTAGCCTTCGCGGATACACCTGGATCGACGCCAACAAGGATGGAATTGATGCCAATCATGAGGTATACTTGTACAAGAATGTCCCAGGCCACCTTCTCAAGCTGGACAAGGACACCAATCCTTGAAATTTTATAACTACAAGGAGATCCAGAAGTTCACCATACCGTCATCTGCTCACTCCCCAGAAGACATCAAGATTGACAATCTGGACCAAGGATCTTACTGTGTCCAATTGGAGTTTGTTGAAAACTACACAATCACTGTCATTGGCGACACCAACAAGTTCAAAAAGACTGGATTCTACTGTTTCTCCCTTGATTAAAACAGGGTCCCATCTGGAAATCTCAACACAATCGCCGGATACTATCAAACCACTGGACCTGCAGTTTGGGGCTTCGCTTGGACTGACGCCAATCGTGACGGCAAGTACACCAGCAATGAGCCACTCACTGTCGGCGTCGACGTTACACTCTATTTGAAGAATGCCGATGGAACACTAAGTGCAATGAGGAAAGTGAATTCCAAAAGCCCCAATGGAGATTGGAGGTTCGGAAAGATGGAAGCAGGAGAATACTGTATTCATGCAGGATCTGACAATATCAAATCCACCATAACTGGCCAGCAGAGCAAGTTGGATGCCAAAGGAGACTACTGCTTCACTCTAGGAACTTCTGACGTCTACATCTATTGTGGTTTTGTATTCATCTAAATCCAGAATAATCATGATTGGCGCCGCCAGGATTTCCAAATAACAACCTCTTGCAATTGGTCCCGCCTTACCTTGTCTTGGGCCTCACCAATCAATCAATCAATCATTCATTCAACTCGTTCCAATGCTTTATTGTAGTGATACAACCATGTCTTGTAATGAGTTTCCACACAATCTGGAACTGAGTCACCCAGTCCAACATCGGGCTGGTATTGCCATGGCTTGGGAAGTGCTTGAAGGCCAGCGGTGAAGTGAAGGAAGTGTGTGTTGTCCATGTCCCACAGGCGAGGATCGACACAATCGCAATGAGTGATCTGTACGCCATACTCTGGATAGTTGAGCGCCTTCCACTGGAGTGTGTAGTTGAGCACGTCCTGGTCATTCACCACGCCGTTCTGCAACTTGGACACTGGTTTGATGTTGGCGATCAGTTTGTCATAGATCTCTTTGCGCGGTGATAATACTACCAATCCACTATTGATCAGCTTCATTCTATGCGGTTGCCACTGGCATGAAGTGGCATCTGCGTCCACCGTTGCATATATAGTCTCTGGTTCATTCATATCAATGAATGAGAACAAGTGATCAATGTTCTTTATAATCAACATATCAGAGTCTGAAGTGATGAATGATTAGTGTGTGAGCATCACTCATTCAATCAATCAATCAATCAATCAATCAATCAGGTTGATGAATGAACATACCCAACCAAATGATCCTTGTGTATTTGGTCATCATCCATGCTTTGAACTTGCTAAAGGCAGGCAGCCATCGAGCTACTTGTACGCTGACATCGCTGTCTAGTTGGATGGCGGGCGCTACCTCTGTGATGCAACCAAGGTTCTGCAGTCGACTGACGGTCTCCTGTGACACTTGTTCAGTGACCAACACAATCATTGGATATAGTGTCTGAGCGCTGTCCAATGATTGCTTCAACGCCAACACGCCCTTGGCATACTGATCGTTGTTTACGAATGTTGCATAGGCATACTCTCCATTTCTATTGATATGTACTTCTCCGCCTTGTGAATGATCGAGACCTTTTGTGATTATTGTGTTTGTTGTTGTTGTTGTTGTTGTTTTTGCTGTTGCTGTTGCTTGCAGGCCGCCGCCTGCTGCTGATGCACCATGTCTATCACCTGTATTCATATTGTCATTGCCATTATTGTCATTGTCTGGTATGATTCTGTCTCCTCCTCCTCCTCCACCGCCACCTGTGAGCAATGCTACAAAGAATAGTAAATGTAGAAATATCAATAGACTCAATACAAGATGAGCACTTGATCGATTTAATCTTATCATGTCTATCTTCTATCTACGTATATATTCTATCTTATTACTATTACTATTATATATTATATTATATTATTACTATCAGTTCATGTTGATTCAAATTAAGTAATATAATGCGTCATGGGTGTATGAATGAATGAATGCAAAAGGGGTTAATGATGAAATGGTGTGTGATTACCATCATCATCATCTCTATCTTGTTTGGCTTTCAAGTTAGATGATAATGTAATGTCACTTGGTTCCCATCTTGAAATTGAATACGAACAGACATTCATTGTGAGTGTGTTTGTTCACACATCAATCCATGTTTGATCAAGAATGGTGTCATTCGAGATGACGCATTTATCTTACACATTACAATTGGGAACTGGGAAAGTTTGGATACCAGCTCTTATCCACAATGATTCCTTTTTTGACAAGTTTTCGCGACAACATGGGGCCTGTAACAACGCCCCTTTTGTGTAGGAATGCGTTGTCCCAGTGTGCCCATTTGATTTATTTCGTTCGAATTCAATTTAAAAGTTGCAACTGTCGCTGCGTGTTCCATTCTCCAAACACTCAAACCTTTCCTTAGTCGTCGGAGTTATATATCTACAAAGTAACTATAACTATATTGTAAATAAAAAATAATAATCAAGTATAATAAATACATATAATATATATAACTTAAAAGATATTATTATAACAAACAAAGCAAAGCAATACAATAAATACTTGATCAAACATAATATTTACTACTCATTCAAACACACTCACACTCACTCCGATCAACATCATCAGTGTTGACGACACACACTCGGCACACAACCGATCCCGAGATCTTCATATCTAACTACATTGTAGTACTTTGTTAATTGTCAAAGTCGTAGTAGTAGTAGTAGTCGTTGGTCAATCATTCGATCACAACAACAACAAGTCAGTACAGTAACATTATTATTTATTTATTATAAAATCATAAAGGATGCAATCGATTATCCAATCATCATTAAGATTGAGTTGTAATAATCATCTCACATCATGTCATAGAAGTATATTACAATCATCAACATCATCATTGTTATCATCATCATATCATAGTCAACATCATTATTCAACATCATCATCAAAAATATATAATCATAGTAATAATAATAATAATAATAGTAGTATATATAATAGATCATCATATGTTGGAACATCATCATCAAGGAGTTATATTGGATCATCAAACATCAATAATATACATGGACAACACGGACAACAAAGATATTACTCGGCACACACGAATGATGAAGCAGCAACAGTGAAGAAGACAACGATATTGGATATAAAGAAGAAGTTTGCTAAATCGATACCTATTTCAATGGTGACAGCTTATGACTATTGCAGTGCAAAGGAGGTGGATCGTGCTGCGATTGACATTACATTGGTGGGCGACTCACTTGGCATGGTGGTGCTCGGCGAAAAGGGCACAACGAACGTCACGATGGACCAGATGGTGCACCACTGCAAGGCCGTGATGCGTGGCACCACCCGTGCATTCGTCGTTGGTGACATGCCCTTTGGCAGCTTCGAGACGTCGCCCCGTGACGCCGTCCAGAACGCCATACGACTGATGAAGGAGGGCGGTGTCGACGCCGTCAAGCTCGAGGGCGGCAAGAAGCACATGGACAAGGTTAAAGAGATTGTCAAGGCTGGCATCCCCGTCATGGGTCATATTGGATTGACGCCACAGTCGGTCAGCGCATTTGGTGGCTTCAAGCTGCAGGGCAAGACATCGATCGAGGCAATGAACATCATGGAGGACGCACTGGCGCTACAGGAGGCTGGCTGCTTTGCCATCGTCATCGAGATGGTGCCCGAGCTGGTGGCTGCCAACATCACCCAGCGTCTCTCTGTTCCAACGATTGGCATTGGCGCCGGCGCCGGCACGAGTGGACAGGTGCTGGTCTATCACGACATGCTTGGACTTTATTCAGACTTTGTGACCAAGTTCTGCAAGCAGTACGCCACTCTCTCGCCCACCATCAATGAGGGTCTGAAGAACTTTAAGAAGGAGATTGAGGAGCGCAAGTTCCCTCTGCAACAGCACAGCTTTGCAATGAAGGAGGAGGAGGCCAACAAGTTCATTCAATCACTCAGTGTACAGGATCAACAAAATCAACCAGCAGTCAACAACACCAACAACAACAGCAATAGCAGTACCAGTGATATGGGACGTGGAATTGTAAACAATAGTGAGAATATCAGTGCAATGTTGAAGGAGCTGCGACAAAAGGAGAAGGAGATCGAGGAGGCTATCTTGGCCGCGTCAAAGGCCACCGCTGCTGTATCGGCCACCTCTGCTGCCAGTCGCATTGCAGTGTCACAGGCATCACTCAAGGTTGAACCAGAGCGATACCAACTATCAATGCATGGTACCAGGAGGCCAAAGATCGTGGTCATTGGAGCTGGTGCCATGGGTAGCTACTTCAGTGCCAAGCTCGCCGCCAAAGACTTTGCCGATGTCTGGATGGTCTCTGCTTGGAAGTATGTACATTCACTCATTACGATTGATTGATTGATTGAATGATTGATTGATTGCTAACATCATCAACCTAACTATAGGGAGCATGTTGAGAGGATCAACAAGAATGGATTGAACTTGATCAACTTGGAGGGAAGACCAGAGTCGATTAGAACTGTGAGAGCTACACTTGATGCCTTGGACGTGATCAAGGATGGCTATCCAGATTTGTGTTTGGTCTTGGTCAAGAGTCATTCAACCAAACAGGCATCGATCACTGCTGCCAAGATGGTTGGTGGCAACCCCAATGCAATCGTGTTGACCCTGCAGAATGGCGTTGGAAACAGAGAGGAGATCGAACAGACAATCAGCGAGAAGGGATACAAGAACAAGGTGTGGCAGGGTGTCACGAGCAATGGTGCCGTCATGGATGGCGCCGGCACAGTCCGCCACACTGGCAGCGGTCTGACATACCTCGCATCACCATCGTTGCCCGATGCACCCGAGGCCAACCTCGAGCCACAGACACTGGAGGAGTACCGCGCTCTCCAAGCACTGGGCGCCATCTTCAACGACGCTGGCATCTCGAGTGAGCTGTCCTACGACGTCGAGAGTCTGGTGTGGAGCAAGGTGGTGGTCAACGCGGCCATCAACCCCCTGTCGGCCGTGCTCGGTGTGCCCAACGGCTACCTGGTCAAGGACGACTACTCCAAGAACCTGATGAAGAAGATCATCGTCGAGGGAATGGAGGTGTGCAAGGCCAAGGGCATCAAACTGCCCTACGGCGAGGACACCGAGGAGGGCTTCAAGTATGTGGCCAACATTGCCGAGCGCACCAGTGCCAACTACTCTAGCATGTTGGTGGACGTCATCAGGGGCCAGCCGACCGAGGTCAACTCGATCAATGGAGTGATCGTCAAGGAAGGTGAGCGTCTCGACGTCAACGTCGCCTACAACAAGATGATCATGGAGATGGTACTCAAGTGTCACACATCATCATCCAACCGTTTGGAATCTGCAAGCATTGGCAAGTTGTTGTAGTGATAGACCATCATCATCATCAATGGACACCAGTCCTTCCTTCCCTTTTTTTTCACCATCATCTCTCTTAGCCAGTCTACCATGGTCATCATCCATCAATAGGCATCATCTGTACAAACATGTTTATCATCACCGTTGCTTGATATTGTATTGACCATTCAACTACCGATACACTGGCAATCACTCAATCACATTCACTCATTCAATCATTCAATCATTCAATCAAACACTACAATCACATCAATAACCTAATATTACATAAACTAATAAACCAATATACTTATGAGTGAGTCTTGATTGAGGCCCTACCCTAATACAACAAGCCCTTCTATTGCAACAACACGAACATCCCTTCAAGGTTATGTGGAGGTCCCGCTGGACCTCACCACAATGTAAAAAAAATCAGTGATGGGTTTTCCAATGCAGTGCATGGGTGCCAATAGTGGGGGTTTGAGCCACTTCTGGGTCCTTAAGATGAGGGCCAAAAGGGTCCAACCGATAGTTGTTGTTTTGCACCTGTTTCTTAATAATAACCTAAAATTATGTTAAATATGTTGGCTGGAAGTCAACAATAGGCGTGTCTCTTTATCATCATCGTCATCATCCTTTCCTCTTCTTCTTCTTCTTTGCCATTTGCTAGATACTCTCTCAATACCAGTCCAATAACTACAACAACTTATATATATATATTTATACCTAACTTACTCATCATTTATTCATTCATTCAATCATTCGTTCAAAGATAGACTTCATCACTCACTCATAGACATTGAATCATGGATTCTAAACAGTTGACCAGTGAACAGTTGCATATAATTGCCAGCTGTGCGACAACTTGGATTGAACAAAGACGTTATACCAAGTTGGGTATGTATCCATCACACACTCACTGGTATTATTCCAATCAATGGCTAACTCAATACCCCCCTACTTTAGTATCAATGAATGAGAATAGGGATAAGGTTGCCAATGAGGTGTTGGATACTGAGGTGATATATGTTAGGAATCTGGAGATTATGGTACATTCTTATCTGTTGCCACTTAGATGTACTCAACCACCTTTGTTGTCATTCAAACATATCAATACGATATTTGGTGTCGTTGAGGATATATTAAAGGTGAACAGGGAGTTGTTGACATCGATCCAACAACACATGGACACTTGGAAGACCAACAAGACCCTAGGTGACAGCTTCCTAAAGTTGGCCCCATACCTCAAACTCTACACCCAATACTGCAGCAGCTATGACAAGGCCATCAACAAGTTAAAGCAAAAGACTGTTGATTCCAAGGACTTTGCTACTTTCCAAAAGGTAAGTCTTGTTGTTGCGCCGATCACATGGTAGATCACGTGTCACTAACAATCAAGTGTCAATACAGAAAATAAGCCTTGGATGTGGACAGGAGTTATCATCATTGTTGATCATGCCAGTACAGCGCATACCAAGATATAAGATGTTGTTGCAGAACTTGGTACAGTGCACTCCAGTCGAGTCCAATGACTACAAGGTGTTGGAGAGTGCTCTACAATCAGTGTCAGAGGTGGCCGACCACATCAATGAGACCATCCGTGAGCGACAAAACACAGACAAGATATTGAGTATCCAGAAGAGGTTCACTGGACATGTTCCAGTAAGTACTTACAACAACCTGAGGTGATCACATCAGTGGACTATGTACTGACTTGCTTCACCCCACCTACAGCCATTGTTGTCGCCACTTAGGACATTCATTAGGGAGGGAACTTTGACCAAGGTGTGCAGGAAGGAATCAAAGAAGCGTTGGTTCATCTTGTTCAGTGATGCACTGCTCTATGGCACCAAGACAGAGGCTGTTGGTAACCCAATCTACAAGTTCCACAGACTACTACCATTGCTCAATTCAAGAGTTGTTGGTGTCGATGACAAGGACTCAAGTATGATCTATCTCTGGAACTATTCCACTCATTCTATCACATACACTAACAATCAATCAATCAAACCAAACATATATAGAGTACAAGTTCTCATTCCATTTCATTCATACTACAAAGTCATTCACTGTGTTTGCAGAGAGTGAGGCTGAGAAGCAGGTCTGGGTGAAGGCCATTGAGAGCCAACTCAAGTTCTTATCCAGGAACGAGGGCTCATTGGCAAGGATGGGCAGACAGTACAGCAGTATGTATTCATTCACCTCATTTGATGGTCACATGCTTGGACACTGAACTAACCTCACACGCACGTGGTCATCAATGTATCAGACATGTCCATCGTCAAGAGTGATGATGAATCAGATATCACAACAGCACCAGTATGGATACCAGATAGCGAGGCGAACCAATGCATGGAGTGTGCTGTCAAGTTCACAGCAATCAGGAGAAGAGTATGTACATGCGTCCCATTGATCAATGGGATAGTTCTAGCCCCCACTCCACTCACTCACTCAAACTCCAATCAAACAAAACAGCATCACTGCAGACGATGTGGAAACGTTGTATGTGGCAAGTGCTCTGATCAGACGTACAAGTTGGACAACCTCAATAAGGAGGCAAGAGTGTGCAAGTCTTGCTATACTTATGTGTCCGTGGTGATGGCCTCCCGCACTAATAGTGGTTATCTCACATTGTCCAGATCCCCAGGAGCTTCGTCCGAGAATCTGATGAAGGACTTGGCAGCAGCGGGTGAGTCGACCAAGGCAGTGGCCAAATCAGCAGAGACAACAGAGGCCAAGGACCTGACCTCCAACGCCTCATCAGCATCAATCGATGAGAACAAGAAGGGATCACTGACCAACACTCAATCAGCAAGTCTGGTACGATCTCAGGAGTTAAGTCCACCTTCCACCCCACAACCAAGCTCAAGCTCGCCATTGTCAAGCCCTCCAGGCAGCCCAGTTAGTGCCAACAACAAGTTGTCTTCAACATCTTCAACATCATCTTCATCTTCGGACACACCAACAAAGAGTGATGAGGCCTCAGGTGATGGTGAGATGACCACACCAACCAAGCCAGTCTCGAAGGGTCCACCAACTAACTCATTGTTGGCATTCTGTACCAAGGTGCTCCAGGCATCACCAAATGTCGAGCCAGCATCTGGCAAGAAGGGAACGTTCTCACCAAGGAAGGAGCTCTCGTCGACATCTTTGCTGGGCACCCCACCAAGAAGCGACTCCCCAAGCACAGTCGCCACAGCTTCCAACGAGCCAGCCACAGTGGTGGAGGCACCAGCACAGCCAACCCCATCCACACTATCATCAACAACATCGCCAGACTCTGAGACAGTGACAGAGACACCTGTGATCAAGGTTGATGAACCAGTACAAGCATCAGCACCAATGACACCACCACAACAGGACGATGATGATGATGATGATGATATTGCAAAGCTATCAATCAGCAATACGCATGATTGGGACGTTTGTTCTGCTTCCACGACTTGCCCTTCAACCTCGTCATCTTCATCTTCAATCCAAAATATGTCGCTATCTTCCTCATCCAACTTCATCTCATTGTCATCATCGACAGCCATTTCCACTGTGATCACTTTGGAAACGACTGTGATTGTTGAAGAACAGTACCAGCCACAGCAGCAGGCACCAGTGATCAAAGAGGTTGCTGTCACCCCAGACATCTCTGTGACCATCGAAGCCCCACCTGCTGAGACTCCAGCGCCCCACCACGAACAGCCATCAACATCCACTTCTTCAATCGTTCCATCAACCGAACCACTTAAAACTGCCGCATCCATCGATGTTGCCGTAGACACAAACTCAAACTCAAACGCAATCTCAAACTCAAACACCAACACTCCAGGCTCTCCGAGCGCATCAAACAAGACACTTCCAACGCCACCACCCAAGCCACCCACGAGGAAGCCACTGCCTCCCCTGCCAGCCCCGCCAGTCAACGGTCCACCAAGACGCAAGCCTCCTACCCCCACCCAGCTAGCGGCTGCTACCACCACTGCAGTAACGTCACCAGACACCTCATTGTAAGATCAATCAGGAAGACCCCTTTGTTTTGAAGACCCTCCGTCTCCTCCTCCTCCCTCCACCTCACACTAATCATTGTACCTTTATCAAATATAAACAAAGTTATTTATTGAATACGTCTCATTTCTTATTTCCTGACCTTTATATATTTAAAGTAGATAATGTAGTTAGTATAAACTCTGAGCTCAGCATTTAAAAGATATATTCACTAACTTACCCATCCAGTGTGAATGGTCATCAAGGTGCCTGATTCGGTTGCAGTTGTGGAGTCCAATGTGAAGCAGTACTTTCCAGTGGCATCCAGGGGGTTGTTGGCAAGAGTTGCTGAGGTACCAATGATGGTGGGCTTATATACGCCGGAGGGATCATTCATCTGGACGCAGTACTTGACATTTCCTGCTAGATTGGTGAATTTGAATGCATCATTGACCAATGCGGTATCTGTCTTGGCAGTTCTAATCACGACATCACCAGCGTCCGAATTGATGACCGAAACATCAATGCCATTGATTCTGAACTCTGCTGCATCGTTCTGATTGGAGCCATCATTGTTGGCATCAAAGAATGCATAGCCACGAAGATCAATTGGTTTCAGGGCAACCCATCCACTGTGGATGATCATCAAGGTGTTGGCAAACTCAGTTGCTGTGGTGGAGTCTAATGTGAAGCAGTACATTCCATCGGCATCAAGAGGGTTGTTCGGATTGGTCGTTGATGTGCCAATGATGGTGGGCTTGTAGGTACCGGAGGGATCGGTCATCTTGATGCAGTACTTTCCAGATGGGAGATTTCGGTATATGAATGCATCATTGGACTGGGTGATCACGGTCTTGCCAGATCGAATCACAACACCACCATTATCCTCAGAAGTTAGCTGGACATCAATGTCCTTGATTCTGAACTCATCTGGTGTGTTCTCATTGGTGCCATTATTGTTGGCATCATAGAATGCATAGCCACGCAAAGTCAAAGGTGTCTTGGCAACCCATCCACTGTGGATGGTCATCAAGGTGTTGCCAGCCTCAGTGGCGGTAGAACTATCTAGAGTGAAGCAGTACTGTCCATCGGCATCCTGGCTGTTGGACGAACCCTTGGGACCTGGAATGTAAACACCTGATGGATCGCTCATCTTGATGCAGTAGTCACCTCCAGCAAGGTTATCAAAGCGGAATGCATCGTTGACCTTGGCAGTGTCCGTTGTTCCACTGCGAATGATCTCTCCATCCTTCAAAAGATCAACGTTGATTCCATTGATCCTGTACTGCTCTGCTGTATTCTCATTGTTTCCATTCTGTTTGTTGATGGCGATGGTAATGATGATGAGAGGGAGTATGTTAGAATATGATGTGGACCATTCATATCTAAATCAATCACATACCTTGTTGACATCAAAGAATGGATAACCGCGAATGGCTAGTAGTTGGGCAGGGACCTGGTTTCATTGATTGACAGGCCGAGGGTTAGACGATGGCCTATATACCATATATTTGTATGTAGAGTACTTACGAATCCGGAATGAATGGTCATCAAGGTGTTGGCAAACTCAGTTGCAGTGGTGGAGTCCAATGTGAAGCAGTACTTTCCATCGGCATCAAGTTGGTTGTTGGGACTGGTGGTCGAGGTGCCAATTGGAGCAGGCTTGTATCTTCCAGTGGGATCAGTCATCTTGATGCAGTACTGGCCCGTTGGGAGATCTGTGAATTTGAATGCATCATTGAGCTTGCTAGTATCAGTCTTGCCGGTGGCTACCACGGCATTGTTATCAACATTGGTGAGTTCAACATCAATGTCCTTGATTCTGTACTCTGCTGGTGTGTTCTGATTGGTTCCATCATTGTTGTCATCAAAGAATGCATAGCCACGCACTTGCATTGGTGACCTGGCCACCCATCCAGTGTGCACGGTCATCAAGGTGCCAGCTGAATCAGTGGCAGTGGTACTGTCCAAAGTGAAACAGTACTCTCCTTCGGCATTCACCTGATTGTTTGCTCCTGTTGTACCGGTGGGGCCTGGAGTGTAAACACCTGATGGATCGCTCACCTTGATGCAATAGTCACCTTCGGCAAGGCCATCAAAGCTGAATGCCTCGTTGACCTTTGAGGTGTCTGTGGTTGCAGAGTTAATGACAGCACCATCTTTCAAAAGATCAACTTTGATTCCATTGATCCTAACTCGGCTGGGGTATTGCTATTAGTACCGTCCTTGTTGGCATCATAGAATGCATATCCACGAATCTTGTACTCCTTGGCAGCGACCTAATATATTAATTGATTGATTGATTCGCCTCATCAGCATCAATCGATGAGAACAAGAAGGGATCACTGACCAGCACTCAATTAGCAAGTCTGGTACGATCTCAGGAGTTAAGTCCACCCTCCACCCCACAACCAAGCTCAAGCTCGCCATTGTCAAGTCCTCCAGGCAGTCCCATCAGTGCCAAGGGAAATGAACTTAGAGAACATGCACCGATCGCATCGGCCATCACCACCAACACATGCATCGTCCATCTTGATCTCTCTGATTGCAGTTTCTCGCCCTTTGGCGTGGCGTCCAATGGAGAACGTGATCAAATCTACAACGCGCTGGCCATCAGCAACACCGTTCAGAATCTGCAGTCACCATTCCAGATAGGTATACGAAACATGGTGTCATTGATAAGGTTTAACAACTACGTTTGGATCGACAATAAATGGAGCGTTCTACAGTATGTGACCTTTCGTCGTCCTTGATGATGGGTGCCCATTAATGTCAAGCTTCACATTCAATCATTGTACCTTTATCAAATATATGTTATTTAATGAATGCGTAGTATTGTAAACAATCACACACTCAGCTTCCTCTTGATAATGTTCTTTTTGTTGTCCTCGGGAAGAGGTGAACATGTAGGAACATAATATGGAACATCCAATGAGGGTGTGACTGAGTTGGTGGAGGTGAAGTATGGGTTGTATGTTGGATAATCTTGATAAGTTGGTACTAGCGTCCAACATGGATTGTTGATGGTATAGCTTGGTACCATAATGGTTGTTGATGTTGGAATGAATGATAGAGAAGATGTTGATAATGAAGTGGAAGTAGTATTCAGATGATGATGTGACATTAGGTCAGGAGTAAATTGTAGTCCAAATTCATATGATTGGATGGGTGAGTGTGTGGGAGTGACATCACATGAAAGTTGGGGGTGGTAGTTTGTGTTTGCGTTCAAGTTTGATATTGAGTTTGAGATGGAGTTTGAGATGGATGGTACCTCTTCTACTTTACACTTTATCCATGTTTGTTGTTGTTGAGGTGGTTGTAGTTGTTGTAGTAGTTGTGAGTAGTTCTCAAGGTTGGATATTTGTTGTTGACATTGTTGTTGGATAGCTATCGATTGCATTGATGGGGTGGGCGAAGTTGTGGATGGTTGATTGAATGGATGGGAGAATTCCAAACCATTTGGAGACATTGGAGGCGATGGAATTGGACTGGTATTTACACTTCTTGATGGTTGTTGGATATGGTTTGTCTTTATCTTCTTATTATACCTGGAATGATGGATAAAATAGGAATCATACTTTATATGTTTGAAAATAAAAATTAATTATATATATATATATATTAATATTAAATTATTACTTACATGGTCCTCGGTGTAAGTCTGGGTCATTTGATCTTTGAGTGGCAATGATTGATTGAGAATGAAGTCAGACATATTTCCACTTTGGTATTGGTACTTTGTAACTGGTACTTTGTTGCCAGAGTCATCTGTCTTGGGCTTGGTACAAACAAGGACATAAACACCGACATCACATAGTTTACTCAACTCAATTGCCTTCTTAACTAGGCCACTCTTCCTCTTATTGAAAGTTATTTGACGATTCTTATCATCTTCAATTGGTATATTTATATCTATTTTCTTTCTACCCATAATTATTATTAATATATATAATGGTTGAGTTTGATTGATTGATTGATTGAGTTAGTGAGTGAGTGATCTAATAATTAATTGTGTTTGTAATAAGTTGATTGATGTGATTGGGATTGGAATTTTGAGATGAGGGGATCGATGGATTGATGGATGGATGGATGGTTGATTGATTGATTGATTGATGGAGTGTGGTCCACTAGTCAGTCAGTCCACTCTGGAAACTAAGCTGATCAGAGACGCCCTTTGGAAATGAATGACCTTTTCCAAGATATACTAACACACACACAACACTTACTTCCATCACATCTCATAAATAATGGGTTAAAGTGTGGGGCACAGTAATCAGTATGATCATTGGATGTGTGTGTGATTGTTTGTGTGTGGAGAGTGGACATTCAATCACGTGCTAGTGAGCAAGTAAGTTAGTATTGTTGCTGTGTTGACAACACAACAATGATCATACTACTGAGTTATGCGCGCTAGTTGGTTGGCTGGCTGACGACTATCCATAAGTTGAATGTACAAAGTGTGTGTTTCATGGTGTGTTTGTATCCAGCCGGACCCAAGCTCCACACCCCATAAGTTCATAGTATTTAACCGGTTGTTGATGCCAATGACCACTACTGATCATATTGATATACCTCTCTTTGTGATGAGCAAACACTAAGCAGTAACTGGATCTCAAAAATAGTGTGGTCAGTGTCGTTCCAAACACCAACCATCACTAACTCAAACACACACATTGCAATCAATAGGCCCACTTGCCACATTCAACACAATACCAGGTATTGGCATTGTCGGCCAATGATTGCATTGTTGGGTGTGTGGATGTGTTGGTGGATGGATGGAAGTTAGACTCGTGTGGTGGTGAGTGCATTGCCCATTATTAAGTTGATGATTATTGAGATTGATCCAATCAATCACCTCTATTTACAATACTCACTTGCTTCTATGGTGATGTTGATTGTTGATGTTGATGGAGAACTGTCTGAGTGTTGGTGGTTTGTCATCACTGTTGGAATACTCTACTCTTGTTGAATCTAATAATTGATTAACTGATCGATTCCATTATTATTTGATTGTATTTATTGTGTCCAATTGAGTGAGTGAGTGATAGAGTAGTATTCATCATGGACTACTACTACAACAACAAAGATACTATCTGTCATGTGATCATGCTAACGCCAAAGACAAGTCCTCACTCTTTGAGGAAAGGTGACTCGTCATGATAGTTTTTTTAATTTTGCAAAAAGTGGTGCATCTGACTCATTCAAGTTGTTGTGAACAACACAACTTCAAACAAATAATCGAACAAAGTTGACAACTACTTGCTTGCACTACACATCCTACAACTTATTAAATATTTATACATATAATATAGAGATAGAGTTGAAGTAATGAGCAACACAACAAATAATAATACAAAGAAGCTAAGTGGTAGCGGAACTTATTATACTGCTGGTGGCGGTGTGACGATGAAGGGAATGATCAACTTTCTTGCAGAGGCAACGATGGCTTTTATCAACTTCTCATTGTTAGTCGAATACATCTCGATCATCTGGTTCTATCCAATGGGCTTCATGGGCTTCACTGGAATGGAGGCATTCTTGGTCGTCTACTTCAGCCCACTGCTGCTCGGCATTGGCGTCGTGAGACGTTTGCTCAGCGGACGCGTCAACACCTTTGTTCGTCTCGTCGCCCAGCTGATGGCGTTGGCCGCACTCTACCCATACCACATTGACACCGAGACCGTCGAGAAGCACGAGATCGATCTGTGGAGAAACCCACACGTGACCAAGACCGTGTTTGTCGGTGCCGGTCTCGCCTTGGACTGGCTGTGCCAGAGCCGTCTGTTTGTCAACAACGCCAGCGCGACCCGTCGCGACCGTGTCAGCTACGCCTACATCGTGGCCATCGCCGTCCAGACTCTCATCAGACTGCCCTACCTCTCAGTCAACCCCTTCATGACCTGGAGGGACTGGATCGTCGCTGGCGCTGCCCTCGTCGCCCTCTCCTTTGTCGTCCTGATGTTTGACTCTAGCTCGTCGGGCGAGAACTCCACCGAGGTGCGCCGTCCAACCCAGCCACACTCGGCCACCCTGGTCACTGGCATCAGCTTTGGCGGTGTTCTCTTCACCTCGCAGCTCTTCCTCTCTTCGCACGGCATTGTGCCACGTTGGGTCAACCTGCTGCCATACCCATCGGGCATCGTCATCATCATCGCCTTGCTGGTTGGCATCGTCCTGTCTCGCAAGAGCTCAATCGTCTCGTCTCAGACCTACTTCTTCACTGCGCTGGCCATGGGCGTGCTCTTTGGCTTCTGCTCAGGCTCCGTCCCATTCTCTGTGAGCTTGGTTGGACTTGCAGCCGGTTCATTCCTCGTTGCCTACACCATCTCACTCTGGCCAACCATCATTGAGAAGATGTCCAACAGCAACAGAACATTCCTTCTCTTTGTTTATGGTTTCCTCACCTATGTTGTCCTTCTCTTCTGGGCCATCATTGTTGTTTCTTATGTAAGTTCATTAATTCATTGATTGATTGACCAGTTCATCAACCCTAACATGTATACGTCATGATCACAGAAATTCCTTCCATGGTTCTTGGGCGCCAACTTGTTTAGAGAGCGTCACCAAACGATGGTGATTGCTGCGATCATTACAACTGGACTTGCAGCTGTGATGAAGACAAGAACTACATTGCCAAAGAAGGAGGCCAAGTCATCAAACAGTCTCCCACGCGAGGTTGTCTATTTGATCTTCTCAATGTTGGTCCTCTTGCTGCTGTTCTCTGTCAACAGGAGTCTGACACACGCCACCGACGCCTCAGTCGCCGGCAACCATTACGAGCGCATCATCAACAGCACCCACATCCAAAACATCCCACCCAAGGAGATCAAGTCCATGATCTGGACCATCCACTTTGGCTACGACAACTATGGCCGCAACAGTTTCTCCAACATCACCGACGCCATCCGTGGCCACGGCGCCAACGTCATCGGTCTGCTCGAATCTGACCTGTCACGTATTATGACATCGAATCGCGATCTCGTCGAGTGGCTCTCCAGCGAGCTGCACATGTACAGCGACTTTGGACCTGCTCCCTCTGAGAACACATGGGGCTGCGCCTTGCTCTCTGTGTTCCCCATCGTGAGCAGCAACCACGTGATTCTGCCCTCGCCAGAGGGTGAGCTCGCCTGTCTTATCGACGCCATCATCACCGTGAACGAGACACCTGTCAACGTCATCGTCACACATTTCGGCAACACAGAGGACGAGTTGGACCGCAAGCTGCAGGCTGCCGGTGCCGCCGAGATCGTCAAGAAGAACGACATGCCAACCGTGTTCCTCTCGTACATCACCGAGAAGACCGGAGGCAACAACTACAAGACTTTGATGGCCAGTGGACTCCAGGACACTACCGCCGAGCGTCGTTACTGCCAGTATCTCTTCTACAAGGGATTGGACATGGGCGAGTTCAAGAGATGGGGATGTGGAGAGATCTCTGACACTGAGGGACAACTTGCCACCTTCACCACCAAGCCCGTCGTCAACAACAACGCTGATGCCGCTGATGCTTCTGCTCCAACTGCCTAATTAAGATGGTACAATATGATTGACCTTGTTCCATGCGATCCCAACAAGTATGGTCCGTCCATCCATTAAAGCATCCAATCATACATTCATTCATCATTCTTATCGTCGTTATTACTGTTGTTTATTCTCTCTGGATGAATCGAATATCCAGGTGATACCATTATCCAACACGCCAGACAGCATACCAATACCTGATCCAAGAATACTTCCCAACAATACACTTGTTGGTCCTGTTCTATGTCCTGTTGTTCATGATGTTAGAGACTGATGATGATCATCATGTTGTCGTTAGCTACATACTGATTTGATAACCTGCTATTGAACCGATTGTGAAACCAGCGATAGTTCTGTTGACCACAGGACGATCACCAAAGACATTGTGCTTCAGTCCCAACTCTACACCACAGAACAGTCCAGTGTACAATGCCAATCGATAAGAGTACACTAAACTTGATCTAAATACACTCTGTCCCAATATCTTCCTAGCATTCGTATTGAACTATAGTAGTATGATTGAATGATTGAATGAAGGGTCAGCCAGTGCACTCAATCAATCATGTAGCTAACATACTTGTGATGCAGTCAATGGGTTGTGTGATGCTCGCTTCCATTCCTCTTGAAGCAGCTCTTTGCCATCAGAGTAACCGATGATACCACCCATTGTAAGACCTGCAAAGGCCATTGATATTGTGTAGGCACGCCATTGATGAAAGTCGGGGTGATCAACAGTGCGCTCGACCCAAGTGCCAGAGTACCACGAAGGTTCCTTCGGAGGCAGAGTCATAGGCAACTTCTCCTTTCCCGATATCAATCTATTGATCTCATCAATCTCTTTTTCCAATCTCTTCTTCCTATCAGACAACATAGCACGGTYCCTCAATCACCAATGTTTGTTCTTGTTCCTGTTCCTTCTCATTCTTAGTACCTTGTTGTTGTTGAGATTGTTTCTGACTCATTGTTTATATGTTGTATTATAGTTTATCAATAATGAGCGTGATTAAATGGTTGCGCTCTTCATCTTGAAAACGAGKWGTTTATCACTTTGCTAGAGTTGCCAACACATTCATTAGTTTATCATTCATAATCATTCATTCATTCAATCAATCATTCATTTACAATATAATATTATGTGTATATGTGAATGGTTACAATATCAACTTGAACAAATACTGATGTTAGAACATTCATCAATGAGTAATGTAGTTTGGACATACTACATTCAATCTAGATTAGGAACATCCAATCATGACCAAGGACGGTCGAAGCATTGGTTCCAAATACAGCACATCAAAAGATATATAATATGTTTTGACCCTTCTACAAAGGTTCAAACTTAACTTAACTTATAAAATATCTTCAAGGAAGAAGAAGAGAAATGATCTTGGGTACGACAACCAATCAAAATACTTATCCAAGAGCTATCCATAGCCCTTTTGGATCCGAGTTAGATTCCGAGTGGCAGCCACAACCATCGATTGAGACACAAATCAACCACCATCCCAAGTTTGTGCAACAACACTCATGAACACCACAAAGACAGTCACCAAACCAAACAAAACAACATATTTGTGGGGCGCGGAGGGAAGGGTTTGTGTGTTGTTGTGTTGTTGACTGACAGATGGTGATCATTCAAGCCTGCAGGAAAAGGCAGTGACTGTTTATCCTTGTTGTAACCACTTTAAGATGTATAGCCACACACTTACGCAATCATTAATGTTGACCATTATTTATCTTAAACTCCTCCTTTCTTATATTTATTAATTAGGTTGTCAGGTGATTGATTGAATCTTTATTTAATAGATAATCAACAATAACAACAGTTATATTCAAACAAACAAATACATAAACGTTAACTGACACACATTCACTTACATACACACAAGATAAAGATATATTCAAACCAACAGACAAGCCTAACTAACTACGATGTAAGTCCTTTCACTCTATTTCACACACTCATTCATCATTCATTTGAAGACACATGTTGATCGATCAATGTTGTTGCCTTTGAGGGGGCAAGGCTTGCCTCATTCAAACAATCAAACACGTGTCTCCCCAAATTCACACACAACACACAACATAACAACGTTGTTGTGGTGACTCAACCAAACCAACCATATTTGGGTTACCCACTTCGACCCCAGAGAAAGGCCGAATGGTGGTGTTGCCCAACCTGGTCGATCAATTTTAAATGATCCATCATCCTTCCGGCTTTCTTGGGTCCTGCCTATTGTCTACCATTCCAAACTACAATCATCTTATATCTATCTATCAAACTACGACACGTGTTATTATTCCCTATTCATTCAAACATATAATTAAACAAATAATCAAACATATACTAATACTTATTATTACAAATAATTAGATATAATAATAATAATAATAATAATAATATAATATAATATAATATAATTTAATGTCATCAACAGATATTACAATTACAGAGATTGTGGAACAACCACAATCACAGCAACAACAACAACAACAACAGAATGATACACTTATGGAGCCAAGAGTCAATCCAAAGTATGGACTACCACAGAGATTGCCTGTTCATTTGAAGGTTCATCCAAAGAAGTTCTTTGACTCTGCTGACTGGGTACTCAATGGATCAGTGGTAGACAACAACTCAGAGCTGATCAATCCTGCATTCGAATCTCCAGCATATCCCAAGGTGCATTGATCCGATTGATCGCCAGTGCACCCCCCTTGTTTAATAATATATATATATATAACGCAACAACAAATCAATCAATCAAATCAATGTAATAATAGTAGTCAGTTGTGTCCACTAAAATGTGGCGCGTCATTACACTCCCACGACAGCACTCCCTATCCACTTTCCAACATCATTCAATCAATCATTCAACTTGGACTCACACAACAAGTCAGTCAAGTGGATCGATTCCATCAATCAATCAAGTCAGACCCGGCAAATGGACAATCATTCTTTGCCCATCAATCCAATATTGACCAGGTCCAATGCATTCCGTGGCGCATCAAATCGTTTGAAATAAACAATCTCCTCAACTCCTTTTGACCAATCCGACTATTGCTAGTATATATATGTTGTACTTCATGGCCAGGTTGAATCCTGTTCAATTCATTGATTGTTATTATGTTTGAAGTGTGGACATGTCCATGTTTGATTGATTCGCTATCATCGCATTGTATTGTATCGCGCACCATCCTTCAATGACTTATTCTCTGACTGGAGGGAACATGCAGATTGGATTGGACTCGATGGAGCTGATGTTGAGGTCATTACCAAAGATCTGGCGAATGGAGTCCAGACCGTACTTGATCATGGTTGGACGCTCGAGGGACAGACCCCAGGCGGCGACGGTGACATTCTCGGGCAGACCCATTGGACGCAGCATCTCTGGACGGAACAAACCAGAGTTGCCCAGCTCCACACGGCCGAGCTTGGGATGCACACCAAAGATCTCCATCGATGGCTCGGTGTATGGGTTGTAGGCAGGCTTGAAGCTGATGTTGGTGATGCCCAGACGCTTGAAGAACTCTGTGAACATACCAATCAGATGGCTGAGTGAGATGTTGACGTCGGCAATCACACCCTCGACCTGGTGGAACTCTGCCAAATGAGTAGCGTCCAAAGACTCATTTCTGAACACTCTATCAATTGAGAAGTACTTCTTTGGTTTGAATCCAGTCTATTGATTGATCGTATTAGTATGTTTGATTGATTGATTGATCGATTGAATGAATGATTGAGATCCTTACCTGAGCCAATTTATAAAGCATACGTGAGGACACGGCAGTAGTATGTGTTCTAAGGATGTTCTTCTCGGCCTCCTCGAGCTTCCAGTCATATCTCCATCTATGATTGATAGAGTGAGTGAGTGATTACGAGTGATCGATGAATAGATTGATGCCTTACCCTAATGAACCATAGTCACCCTCAGCATGTACCTTCTTGACTTTGGCCAAGTAGTCGTCTGTGAAGTCGTGTGATGTGGCGGGGTCTAAAGAAGCAGGGGAAGCATGTGTGAGTGAGGAGTCAAGACTAGAGTAGCACTATACTTGTAATAACATACCCTTGAGGAAGAATGTATCATGAGCATCACGAGCTGGATGCTGTTGTGGCTGGAAGAGAGCGTCGAAGTTCCAGAAGGAGTTCTCGACAAAGTTGCCAGTGGGCATCTCCTCGAAGCCCATGTCCAAGAAGATCTGCTTGAACTCTGCCTTGACCTTGCTCAATGGGTGACGGTAGCCAGACCATGGCTGCTCGCCCAGTGCATTGATGTTGAACTTGAATGTCTCGCTGGACCACGATCCCGACTTGAGCATCTCAGCCGTGAGATCTGAGCATTCCTTCTTTCTAATGTTAAACTTTGCGCCTTGAGCTATTCTACAATATGATACCTTCCTGTTGTTGTTTGATTGATTGATGTATGTGTCAGTCGTTTGATCGATTGATTGAGTGTCTGTCAACTAATAACTCACCTGTCCTCGACCAACTTGGCCTTTCGCAGAGCCAAGATGTCCTTGGCATCGAGAGTGGCAAGGGCGAGTAGTTGGTTCTTTGTGGTGTCCTCGACAACACCGTCCTTCTTCTTGACAAGTCCTTTGTCGACGACGATCCATCCCTTGGACTTGGCGGCACCGAATGCAGTGGCACCGTGTCTCTCGTTGGCCTCCTTCACTTGGATGCCCTCGACGGGAATCGATTGGAACATTCTGTACTCGAGCGAGCCGTTGGCGACTGCGTCAATGCCCTGCTCTGTGAGCACCACTGACGACGATTCCTTGAACTCGAGAGCAATGGTCTCCATTGACTGCCAGCTCATCAACAAACCGACGATCTCCTGATGATCTGTCCAACCATTAGTCGCACACCAAGTACGTGAGTTCTCGATGACCTTGTCAGCCTCAAGTGTACTGAATAATACTGTATCAAAGGTTGTTATTGATGCCATATCTAGTATAGTATGTAATGTATATATGTATCTATCTGTTTGAGTTGAGTAATTCTGTTAATGCGAGACTTGGAATAAAGTTAGTTTGAGCTTCAAGCACAAAAGTGTTGAAAAATTAGAGAATGGCAATGATTTTGAAAATAAATGCCCTGTTGTTGTGTTGCTTCAACAGCTTCTTGTTTGATTCTTTGCAATAACAGTTAATTAATTAAAGATTATAACTTGTATCATATATCTGTACATATATATTCATTCAATCAATCAATCAATAACAATCAATATCGATCAATCAATCAATCAAAATATTGATCATCAACATAACAAACACATAAATTATAATATATAATAAGATAGATGATGACAACATCAAGTTGGTATCAGTCTACAACAATGAGTAGTAGACATATTCCAATGTCAGATTCGACAGATATACTTCCAACATCAAGTGGAGGAACAGGTGGAGGTGGTGGTCTAGATGATTCACAACAATCAATACAACAGCAACAACAACAGCAACTGGATATTAATATGGATTGTTTGAATATTGTAGAGATGACAGAGGAGTTAAAGAAGAAATTGGATCAACTAAAGGCTGGACTGGAGTCGAATAACATGTTGGTCATACTAGACGCAATTACAAATGTTAGATCAATGACTATGTTGGGTGGTTTGAATAACAGTTCCAATGGCATGAGCAGTAGCAATAGCAATAGCAATACCAACGGCAACAGCAACGGCAATGGCGTTGGCAATGGAGGTGGCAATAATGGATTGAGTCACAGCAAGAAAATATCATTGGAGATTATAGACACTATTGTACAGACAGGCCTGATATCAAGGCTGGTGGCACTACTCTCCTTGGACTCACCAGCTCTGTTGTGTATGTAGAAGAGGTGCACTGGACACTCAAGATATGGAACCATTCCAACCACTCACTCAATCAATCAATCAATCAATCAAACAAACAAACAGTCGAGGTCATATGGACATTAACAAGTATAACTAGGGCCAGTGTGGATTATGCGACGATCGTTGTTAATTCTGGCGCAATACCACCGCTGATAAGGATAATGGTCAACTCGGAGGATGATGTGATGGAACAATCATTATTTGCATTGGGCACGATTGCTGAGAGTTCACCAATGTTTCGTGATGCACTACTGCATCAGACAGAGGTGCTCTCGCTCCTCGTCGGTCTGCTGACACAACAGCCAACCAAGCGTCTGGGAGTACTGCGGTGTGTCATGTGGACCCTGTCAACACTATGCGGCGGCAAGCCCTATCCATCGTTCGAGAGACTGCGGCCACTGCTACCTCTTCTGTATAATATATTGGCCAGTGCCAAGGACCAACAGATACTGGGCGAGGCCCTGATGTGTCTGTCCTACATGACACGAGGCAACAATCAAGAGATATCGATCGTGGCCACTTCATTCGACTTTGTTCCGAGGATATTAGATTGTATGAATGTCTCGACCGACAAGTGTATATTAACTCCAGCCATCAGGACGTTTGGCAACATCGTAGCGGGCGATCACAACGTCACAATGTTGGCAATGTCCTATAATCCACTGCCTACAATCTATCGTCTGCTTCAAAACAACGACGCATCAATACGCAAAGAGATGTCATGGATTGTCAGCAACATAGTAGTTGGTGGACCCGAACTAATCCAACGCGTGGTCGATGCCAACATCATGCCAATAATAGTTAACTCACTACAATACGATGACTATGCCATCAAGAAGGGTAGGTCCTACAACATCCAGATGTCGCGACAATCAACTCACTCAATCCCTCACTCAAACATACATTCAGAGTGTCTTTGGATCATATCCAATCTGATAGAGTATGGCAATGAGGATCAGATTAGGTATCTTGTGGAACTTGGATGTATACAGTCTATTGGACAGATGATGTGCCAGGACTTGGAGTTGGTGGTGTTGGCGACGTTCAACAATATCATCACACGATGTCCAGTGGACAGCAAGCGATATATAGAGATGATCAAGGAGTGTGGCGCATTGGTCTACTTTGAGAACAGGGTCAAGAGTGATGAAGGCCAACTCTCAATCTCCTCCAAAGAGGTGTTGATGAACTTCTTCAATGCGACAATCTTTGCCTCCTCAAGAGACACAGACAGTTAGTTGATCAAATAACAACATCAACACCAATCACGCAGTACTCTACACAAGGCTTGTTATTAGTTCATTAGTTAGTTGATCCATCTTCATTGACGACTTGATTATTGTTGGACAGACTGTACAGGGCACGCTTTTGGAATCTCGACCACGATGGCACTGGCACCTCCACCTCCGTTACAGATACTGGCCACACCAATGGATGCCTTCTTCTGATTAAGGATGGTCAGTAGTGTACAGATGATTCTTGAGCCAGAGCTGCCAAGTGGATGGCCCATCGCCACTGCACCTCCATAGACATTAGTCTTCTCCATGGGGATGCCAAGTTTCTGATAGGTAGGCGTGCAAGCTATGTCAGTAAGATGCACAACAAGAGATCCTCATCCCCATCCAAGTATACATACCTTCATGTTAGCCAGCGCCACTACACTGAACGCTTCGTTGATCTCGAAATAGTCCACTTGGTCCTGGGACAGTCCTGCCTTGGCCAATGCCTTGGGGATGGCAAGTGCTGGGGTCGTTGTGAACTGGATAGGCTCTTGGGAGGCATCCGCAGATGATCTGATAAAGGCTATGATGGGCTGCTTCAACTCGCGTGCCTTTGACTCACTCATCAACACAAGGATGGACGCACCATCACTTAGTGTAGAGGCATTTCCTGCGGTAACAGTTCCGTTCTCCTTCTGGAAACATGGCTGAAGGTTACCAAGTTTCTCATAGTTGGCGTTGCTGACCTCTTCGTCATCGATAACAGTCACTGCTGGCTTGGCCTTTGTACCTGGTATGGTGATGGGTGCAATCTCATCCTTGAAGTACTGGTTCTTTGTTGCCTCATTGGCCAGACGGTAGCTGCGAATGGCATACTCATCCTGCTCGGCCTTGGTAATCTGGTAGTCCTTGCTACATCTCTCAGCGGCCAGACCCATATGGAAATTGCCAAAAGGATCGGTCAAACCATCTTTGATCATACCATCAATCATAGTAGCATTGCCCATTCTATATCCATTCCTTGCCTTATCCAAATAGTATGGTACATTTGACATTGACTCGAATCCACCAGCCACAATAACATGGGCCTGTCCACTCTGGATCAAGTTGGAACCAATCATAACAGCCTTCATTCCAGATGCACAAACTGATGTAATCATTATTATAATAAGTATGATTGATTGATTGTTTGATTGAATGATACTACTTACCTTTGTTCACAATGGTACAGGGTACAGTGTTTGGAATACCTGCTGCGATAGCAGCTTGGGAGGCTGGTGCCTGGCCAATGTTGGCACTGAGGACATTGCCTAGGATCACCTCGTCGATGGATTCCAAAATGGATGGATTGTTCAACTTTCCAACGGCAGACTTGATGGCAGCACTTGCCAGATCAATAGCACTCAATGTGGACAATGAACCATTGAATCCACCCATAGCAGTGCGACTATATGATACAATGGCGACTCTTTCATAATTGTTGGATATCATTCTTTAATTAATTGATTGATTATATAGATAATATGCACAAGTAAGTATGCAAGTAAGTTATTTGATGATGTTGTGAGAGAAATGGATAATGAACAATGACAACAATGCAGTCCTGTACACGATGAATGAATAAATGAATGAATGAACAGTAACGATACAAACACAAAGGGTATAGACAGACAAGGTGTCAGAGTGCCAACATACACCATCACACAGATGTCATCTCGGTGGAGAGACTGAGACTGAGTCTGAGACCGTCACACAACAGAGATTAAGATTATATCAATATTAACGATATAATGGGGATCAGGGTTCCAGCATATATACTATTGTATAAATTGAGTATAATAGAGTGACAAACGTGTTGTCATCTCAATAGCCATTGACAGGGAGAGTGGAAGGGTAGGTCACTGACCAACACACACAGTGTTGTCATCAATCTAGCCAGAATGATGTAAGTAAGTAGTGTAACACCAATCTAAAAATGAAGGGTGTTTGTCTCTGTGTAGCCAAGGGAGGTGGTGTGTTGAATGGTGTGTGAATCAGTCAGTCGGTCGAACCACTAAACGAATGTCATTCACACACACACAAAGGTATCTTATCTTATCCTTGAGATATATATTTATTACTTATCACCTTCAACCAGCCAACCAACATAATTATTATGAATGATACACTACTCCGGAGTTCAAGTGATACTATCTCATCATCACAATCAATCAACATTGTTGTAACTCCTAATAATAATAATGAAGATGATGATGTATCTTCAAATTACAAACAAGATGTTAATGTTGATGCTTTGATACCACCTCCATCAACAATATCAACATCAACATCAATATCAACAATAGATAAAAGAAAGAAGGATAAACGACAACAGCATCAAGAGAGACAGGTCGATCCGAGTAAGATCAATCATTTCTCACGAATCAATCAATTCTACAATGACAACAAACATCTCGTTGATGAGGATGCAATCAAGAAGTTGAAAAAGACACCATTGGCATTGTTGTTTGCCTATATTGGCACAGGATACAATGGTCTAGAGTATAGAATGTCAAATGATGCAGTGGGTCTGGAGAATGTTTTGGAGCAAGCATTGTTCAAGGCTGGAATGATCCTGCCCTCGAACCTGGGTGACCCCAGTCGCATCAAATGGAATCGTTCCAGTCGCACGGACAAAGGTGTTCATTCACTATGCACCCTTATCACTGCCAACTTGGAGATCTCCACATACAAGGTGCAGGGGGAGGTTGAGGATGTTGTCGTTGATGTTGGTGTTGGTGTTGAGGAGGTTGGTGAGCAAGTAGTAGTTGAGTTGGCGGCGGCGGAGGCAACAACGATCATCACACTTGAGGAGTATATGCAACGTATCAATCAGTATTTACCAGGTCCATTGCGTGCTGTTGGACTTGCGCGAACCAGTCGATCATTCAATCCAAGGAGTCAGTGCACCAGTAGAACATACCATTATGTTTTACCTCGCAAGTACATTGGAACCAGCCAGACAATGGACCAAATCAATGACAACATATTAGCACAATTCATTGGCAATCATTCATATCACAACTTCACAATGCATCGAAAGACCTATAAAGGTACCTTGGGAGATACAGTCATCAAACAACAACATAAAGATAGTGGACACGATGCCGCCAAGTCATCAGATGATGAGGAGGGGGAGGAGGCTGGCGAATTAACTAAGGGCACGTCCGAGTGGATGTCCAGCCCAATGGAGCGCGATATCGAGTTGGCATGGTTCTCCCTCAATCCAAGGAATATGAGGAAGATATACTCATTCAAGTTGGTCGAGTTGCCAACTAAAGATGGTGACGTTGAGCCACTGGTCAGGTTTGAGATACATGGCGAATCATTCATTCAATACCAAATCAGGAAGATGATTGGATTCGTCTTGGCATTGTCCAATGGATATTGTAAGGATACAAGGATCATGGAGATGGCATTATGTTCGCCATATTCAGTTAGATCACCTATTGCACCGGCCACGCCATTATACCTGTTTGATATGACGCTGAAGGAGAGGACATCGACAACACCCATGCAACTATTCGACAAATCGTCAACATCCACATTGAAGGAGCAGTTCTGCGTCGATCAACTCTATCCACATTTGGCCGACTTGAATCGTGCAGATCCATACTTTGACCGATTCATCGATGAGCTGCGGTCTCACCTTTACACCTTTGAGAACCAAGACATCGACAACCTCTACGCCAACTACCTTGGACATCGTCAAGAGTTCGAGGCCAACAAGCTACTGAGGCAGCAGAAGAGGAAGGACAAGGCCACCGCATCCAAGACATGTGAATAGTGAATAAATCAATCGGATGCTTGATCACCATTTAATGTACATATAACACAGATATCCTGATTCGACCGGCCAGACTATTGTCGATGTAGTGGCCAACCTTGATTTCGGCCTCAGGATGGGCGTTCTCTTGGAGATAGGTGATGGCACGACCAATCTCTTTGAGACTGATGTCGTCGCCACTGGCAATGTTGATGAGGATCGCCTTGCTGCTCTGTCCATCGCTCTCCACCAGCGGGTTGTTCAGGGCGTCGAACGCAGCCTTGAGTGCTCGGTCCTCGCCCGAAGCCTCACCCACGCCAATCCGTGAGTAGCCAGGACGTTTGGTCAGAATGGCCTTGATGTCGCTAAAGTCCAAATTGATCAGACCTGGATGATTGATTATACTGGTGATGGTCTTTACACCGCTGTGCAATATCTCATCGGCCATTGAGAATGAGTCCACTATCGTAGTGTTTGGCTGGGCCATCGATAACAACCTATCATTGGACACAACGACCAACGTGTCCACATACTTTCCCAACTCTTCCAGTCCCTCGCTAGCATAGTTCTGTTTGATCTTTCCTTCGAATCGGAATGGTCTATATACATCAATTTGATTAAGTTGATTGATTGAGTGAGTGGAATGATTCCAGAGTGATCGATCGATTGATTGATACACACCTTGTGACCACCGCCGCAACTAGGACATCATTGTTCATCTTCTTAATCTCTCTTGCAATGATTGGTGATGATCCAGTGCCAGTGCCACCACCCATGCCAGCGGCAAGGAATACAAGGTCAGAGTGTTTCAGTTGTTCCATAACATCTTGTATCGACTCTTCTGCAGCCATTCTACCAATCTCTGGCTTTGAACCAGCACCATGACCACGTGTCAACTGTGGACCCAATTGTATTCTATTGCTACTCAATGACTTTACCAAATCCTGTTGATCCGTATTGCACACTACAAACTCTACACCTTCCAAATGTCTCCTAATCATATGATTGACTGCATTGCCTCCTCCGCCTCCAACTCCAACCTACATCATCAGTTGATTGAGTGAGTGATAATGTCGACGACATGACATCAATCAATGAACATACCACAGATATCTTTGGTTTGAATAGTTGTAGTCTACTCTTGCCACTGCCAACTTGTATTATCTTGTCCTGTTTAGATGTTGTTGATGATGATGTTGCAGATCTAAGAGTGATATTACAACATGTGTAATAGTATCGCCGTGATGATACTAATTGAGCTCGTGCTCTTAGAAGTGATTGTGCTTGTGCTTGTGTATATATCAACAACTTCATCTATCCTTCTCTATCTCTATCTCCAGGTGATGATCAACAAACAATGAATGAATTGCAAAAGTAAACAATCTTTCAATTTCACACTTCACATTGTTTGAACATCGCGACATTATTCAAAGAGATAGAGATAGAGATATGATATGAAGACATCAATAAATAGTAGTAATAGTAGTAATAGTAGTATACATGATGTGGATAATGATGTAACAGAGGTGTTGGATGTTGATGATGAAGAGGATATCAAAGTAGTTGATTATAGTAGTTTGGATGAACTAAAGATTAGAATACAAAGAGTTGCAAAGAGAAGGAATTGGAATCTGAATGATACTTCAATATCAACAAGACCAACAATCAATATTACTACATTGTTTAGACCCGAGGTGGTAGTTGTTGATGTCTCCAATGTCATTGAGATTGATGACATACCTGATTCTGGATCACCTTCACATGGTTCATCAGTCTCAGAGTCGTCAACGACAACAACAACCACTTCTGAACGACTTAGTCTTTCAGGACAACTTAAACAATTGAGAAGACTGACCAAGGGTCATGGCAACACAATCAAGGACATGTTGGACAAAGAATCACTCTATTCTTCTCAGGATGGCAACACTCAAACAGAGACTCAGGCTCAGACTCAGACTCAGCCTCAGACACAGGCACAGGCTCAGGTTCAGACTCAGACAACTCAGACTCAGACTCAGACACAACAGTTAGATCCATTGTTGGCGTTGCGAAAGGATGAGGAACAGTTTGCAAAGGACAAGGCAATGATTCAGACACAGCTTCAGGGTCATTTCAATTCATTGTCAATGGCTTATAGGAACTCTGTACTGTCAAGAGAGTTGTTGATGGAACATTTATCATTGCTGTATGATAAGGAGAATGCAGTTAGATATGTTCAGAAGATTGATTGTTTGAAATCCGAGAAGATACCAAAGATGCCAACAAATTTCAATCTAAAGTCACTGTTAGAGATGTCTTATCCAATTCGTGAATTGATCGATGAGTCAAAGAAAGAGCATGCCAGGTTAAGGCAGATCCACCAATCACAATTGCAGAACACAGAGTCACATCCACAGCCACAGCCACAGCCACAGCCACAGCCACAGCCACAGCCACAGCAGACACAACCAAAGCCAAAGGCACAGACACTGACCCAACCACAGCCACAGCCACAACCACAACCCATGCCACAGCAACAGCCAAAGCCACAGACACTGACCCAACCACCAAAGACCCAACCACAGCCACAGCCACAGCCACAGCCACCAAAGTCACAGAAACAGCCAGGGCCACAGGTCCAGCCACAAGCCCAGCTATCATCAAGGTCAAATATACCTATCTCCTTTGATCTAAGGAATATGACACATGCGGGCATCAAAAAAGATACGAAACCAACCACGGTCGCACCTGCTCCTACTTCCCCACCAACTCAAGGATCATCTACCAACGAGAAGCAATCTACTGTCAAGCCATCAGAGAAGACAAAGCCCCCAACAGCTGTAATGGCGCCCCCTGCTCCTCAGCCAGTCAAAGTGTCAGAGGTACCAAAGCAGCCACCACCAGCTAGCCTTCAAACGGCCAGTGACCCACTTGATGGCCTTATATCCAAGATGAAGCGCGTCAGCATACAGCCCCAGCCAGTTGGACAACAACAAGAACACAACCCATACACAGACCTTCCAGCCAAGCCAAAGAATAAGTATGTTCTTGAATATGGTCCACGACAGACATCAGGACTAACCAACTATCCATAGCTACATGGACAAGCATGATGAGCAACTGGCAGAGGGAGAGCAAGTACCAGAATGCCCTCCACTGAACAATATATTCAATCTGAATCAACACTGTCAGGACAACTTCTCGACATTCAAGACACATTACATTCGAACATACTTCCAGCGATTGAATCATTCAATATTCAAATCAAGATTCAACATTGATGACATGTTGGACATTTCCAACTCAACTGGAATCAAGTCACCTGCGACAATCTCACTCAAATCCAAAGACAATGGTGATCGCACTGCCATCATCACAATTCACATCAACAACATCAACACCATCCGTGAGTATACAATCATTCAATCACTGGAACTATTCCAATCAACTAACATGCCCTCATCAAACAAAAGAGAAGCTTGTGAATGTACTCTGCCATCAGATGTGCCACGCAGCCACATGGATATTCGACAATGACAATGGTACACATGGAGCCCAGTTTAAGTACTGGGTTCGTGTGGCACTGGGTCTGTATCCAGATCTATCGATTGATCTCTGCGACAACTATCCCCTGCAGCACAAGTATCACTACAAGTGCAAGAGTAGAGAGTGCTCAATGACATTTGGCCGACCGACGATAATGCAACTCGACGAGGATATTTATTGTGGCCGTTGCAATTCGCCAATCGTGGCGATGAACCTCGACAAGACATCGTCATTCTCTGGCAACACGGTGGATGGCAATGCTTTGGATGCACCTGCACAGCTCAGTATGGCACAGGCTACACAAGCAATCGATAGCAATGACACTGAATCAGAGTTCAACAAGTTCTACAACGATCAAATTGCACAACATGGTCAGAAATACTCTTCCATGACTGATGAACAAAAGATATCAATCATCAAACTCAAGTACAAACAGCAATGGATGAACAAAAACATCAAGTCCAAGGTACTAAAGTGAGTTTTCCTCGACTAATCTGGCGGTCAATCTCACACACATAAACTTGGTGTTTCGTGCGTTTTTGAAATGAAGTTGTTTGTGGTTGGGCTTGTTCATGAGTTCTTCATCAAAAAGGGAGGGGTCAAGTTCATTGTTCATTCAGTCAATACTTCAATTCATAGAGATCAGTCAATCAAATACAAGTAGAGATTCACATGCACATGCTCCTTCATGTGCAGCATCAGGGCAGCATAACAAGCAGCAACATCATCATCATCAACAACATCTACTAGTATCATTCAATCATTCATTCATTCATTCATTCAATCAATCAATCATTTGTGTTGTGTCTCATTCATTCAATCAATCAATCAATCTATCAATCAATCATACAAACAAATATATATAAGATAACATAAACACATACATATACACAATATAGATAGATAGATATAATAATAATAATAATGTCATCAAATGAGAACTATAAAGGACTGCTACAAGAATTGTGTCAAAAGAGAAAGGAGTTGACACCGACTTATTCTACACCAAAGCAGTTGACAGAGTCGGGTAATCTGTACTTTCAAACGGATGTGTTGGTGAAGTTCAGAGGAAAGGAGTTCTCTGGACAGGGCACGGCCAAGGCAAAGAAGGATGCCGAGAAACTTGCCGCCTACGCGGCACTGCAGCGAATCTATGCAGAGTTTCCAAACGAGCGCATCGTTCAAGAGACCAACTCAATGGCCAGCTCTGGTGGTGTTTGTGGCGGCGGCCTGGGCGACATTGGACACAGCTTACCGATCAGTGGCAGTGGCGGTGGCGGCATGATGTCACCGCCTGGCAATCTCACCCCTCAGATGATGTTCACACCGTCCAGTCGACATCCAATGCCAGGCGACTCTCGGGTACCCGACCCCCTGCTTGTAGTGAATGGAGCATCGCTCAACTTTTCACAGTTGCCCAGCATGCCAGGAGTCGAAGATCCAAGAATGAGAATGATCCTGGATCAACAATTGCGCTCTTACAACGAGCGTATCGCGTCACTAGAAAAGAAGATGACCGAAATGCACGACCTCATCGAGAAGAGACACTCAGACATGAAAGAGTACGTCGATCGCAAGACCAAGAAGAAGGTCAAGAAGAATGAACAGCTTCCAATCATCGCCGTCAAGATGAACCCAATGGCGGAGATTTCAGCGGTCGAGCGCGATGAGGTCAAGATGTCGACCATCACACAGGAGAAGGTCGACGTGAGCAACGTGCCAGAACAGATCTCATACTACAAGTACGAGATGATCTACAGTCACAGGTTCGACAGCAGCACATTCTGGCATTTGGGCGACGAGTACATGTTCACTGGCTACGTGGTCTACTCGACACAGATGCTGCCCAAGCCCATCATCCACATCTGCAACTCACAGGGCGATCACTTTGGACTGTCTCTTCGCGAGACCGTCATGGAGAAGGTGTCACGACAGGACTTTGGTCGCATGCTGACCTTCCACAACTTCTTCTACACCAAGATCTTGCTGCAGCACGAGACAATGGAGTTCAAAGATCACAACGAACTCTACTTCCTGCCCAATGTCCTGTGTCTTTCAAAGCCCACCAAGTCATACTACGAATCACTCATTGATTTGATCACTGTGGAGAACATCTCGGTCGACCTGCCATCATCCGTCCTCGACTCGGAGAAGGCATACCGCGAGTACTTTGACAGGAAGTACTTAAAGAAGATCACGCTGTCGCCGCGTGGCGACTTTAACATCTGTCGCGAGATCGACTACACCAACAAGTTTGTCTACGACAAGCCAAACTTCATCGTCCAGGACAAGGACGGTCAGGTGGTGGAGCTCAAAAGCAACCTGTGTCCGCAGCTCATGGTCACGCACACCTATGCTGCACAGGGCAAGGATCATTGGACAATGAAGCCTTTGCTATACTTTGACTCACACGACAACTATGAGGACCCCTCCAAGTGGGGCAAGGACGACGACCTGGACACTGTCGTCTGGGAGAGCTTTATACGCCGATCAAAGCTCTTTGCCAAGGACCCGATGCTGCTCAAGGTCTTTGGCATCAACTCTGACATGCACTCCATTGCCAAGGTGGCTGTGCTTGTCCTCTTGCCCGAGGTGCGCTGGCACATCAAGATGCAGCACTTTAAGCACAACATCTACGAGATCAAGAACCCAAGACTACTGCGAGAGATCTTCACTCATCCCTCAACAAAGAGAATCAACACGTCCATTCCAGCCGACCTAAAGATGTTCCGCGGATACAACTGCTACATGGGAGACAACCAAAGAATTGAGTTTCTTGGTGACTCTGTCCTAAAGTTCTGTACAAGGTATGTATCGTTGTTTGATTGATCGTGTAATCAATCACATCATACTAACCCATCAATCACATCACCAATAGTATATACCTATTCTTCAAGTACCCACATGGACAGGAAGGATTCCTAACGGCCAAGAGGAGTGAGATGACAAACAATAACTACCTGTTGCAGATATGCGATAACTTCCAGATCGAGGAGATATTGCGATTCAGTACGACTGATGACTTGAAGAAACCAAAGGCAGATGTTGTCGAAGCACTCTTTGGTGCAATATTCTTGGAGCGAGGCATCAAAGAGGCCTACACCTTTATCATCAAGATGATCTTTGGTGTTAACAACGCACAGTTCCCAACCTACACCTGTGCACATTCTCCTCATGAGGAGAGTCCACTAGGTATGCACTTTACCACGATCAATCAATCACTCACTCAAACTAGATACTAACGAACGACACTCGACCCCACTGAATAGACCCAAGACAGAATGAGATGTTGTTCACTCAAGGCGTAAGGGCAAAGAGGAATTGCCTATTCTTTGAGTCAATCAATTGTACGACAGAGCAGAACTCTTACCAACGATTGGAGTACTTGGGCGACTCGTACTTGGACGTCGTGGTGTCAGAGTTCTTGTTCCACCACTACCCAGAGGAGCAGGAAGGCTTCCTCTCGATGGTGCGATCATCATTGGTCAAGAATGAGAGTCTGGCGCGCATATCAGAGGCAATCAAGATCAAAGACTGCCTGCACGACCAGAACGTGGCATTCACCCAGAAGCGTATGGGTGATCTGTTTGAATCGTTTGTCGGCTTCTTGACACTGGACCAAGGTTTGGAGGACACCAAGGACTTTATAAAAAGGACGATACCGTGTACGATGAAGAGAGTGGCAGAGGTAACAAAAACGACACTGATACCTGCCACTGCCACGAGTAGTAGTGATCGATCAGTGGCAAGTGGAGCGACACTATCCAATCAATCGATCGAGGATACATCAATTCTATTTGGTCACAATGACGACAATGCAATGGTACAATGAATTATTTTAACAACCTTGATGATCAAAATGTGAGGGCAAGGGCAAGGGAAAGGGTAAGGGTAAGGGTAGGGTAAGGGTATGCCCCACTACGTTGGTAAGTGTTTAAGTATTCTTAGGCGAGTGCCAAAGTAATCGCCAAATGATATCGTACATGCTTCTTTATTATCCTCGTTATCCAGTGTCCAGTCCGCCTGACTGTGTGGAATTGGTGTGCTTTGGTCAATAAAGTGGAAACACGGTCTTGTTGAGGATGGAATGATGGCTGTTGATGACACTGGCCAACGCTGAGATTTGAGAGTCGTCTGCCAATGGCCTAGCCATGCCTGGAAGACGAAGTATTTGATGTAACTCTGCTTCATAGCTTGAAGGAACTCATCGAAATGATCATCACCGAGCTTGTCTCCACAATGAAGCCAAAGAGTCAGCCTTTTGATTGGAACGGATTGAAGTGAGAGCATGTCCACTATTGCCTTTGAGATTTGACCACCATAAACCTGAATGGAGACACACTCCACGTTGCCCTTGAGTATCATAAGATTGTCTTGGAACGATGTCAAGCGAGCTGTGAGTTGTGGCTGTTCTTGCTTCCATGACGGCAACGCGTCTCTGAGACGCAGTGACTTGAGCAGTCTGCGCAGGGCGAGCAGTGTGCACTGGTCAATCTCACCAAGTTTGGTCACTGTGCATGATTTGTTGGTGAAGAGGAACTCCAACAGTGACAAGGCTGCTGGGCTGACCGATGGCTCGTGATTATTCTCGTTGAAGAACTCAATGAAGAGTGATCGGAGCTGTGTTGACGGACGGCCAAGGTACGTGAGATTCGGCGAGAAACAATCCCACCATCGCTCGATCCTCAACTTCTTAAGGTTGACCAACTGATTGAGCGTGTCGAATGCGCCAACTGCCGTTGGTGGAATGAAGCGTAGTTGAAGTGATGTGATTGTTGAGAACTGACTTGACATCACCTGTTGGTAGAGGTCAAGCTGGTCCAGGTCTTCGTTTCTGGGAGGAAGGAATGTCAGAGATTGGAGTGCTGGAAAGTGCTCGGTGCCAATGCTCGCCACACCATGGCCCCTCCATGTTATGCGGGTGGATCTCTCAGAGGTGATGCTGGTCACTGTCTTCCCAACTCCAAAGTGTTTTTTCAGTTGGTGAATCTCCTCCAATGATCCAGCCACTGTGGTCAGCGTCGACAGGAGCTGGCGCAATGACTCCATTGTCGACGGACTCTCATTCTTAGCAAGCCAACCGCTGCTGTTCAGGTAGTCAAAGCTGAGAGTCTTGATACGGTCAGAGATGATCGAGTATCGTTGTTGGTCAGCAGACTTTCGGGCGTGTGCAAACAGGGCCAGGTCTGACACTTTGTTGTTGAGTGACTTGACAAACGAGTGAAAGTTCCAGCACACTAGACTTAGTCGCATGGCATGGGTCCAATTTGGGTCGTTTGGATCAACAATTGTAGTACTATCAAAGTCACTCCCGAAGCTATAGGGTACAAAAGTGCACCCCACTATCCGTGACTGTATATATTTAGGTAGGATCATCGCTTTTGGAAACAATCTGGCACTCTTGCCAGAGATTTTATCCAAGTCTAAAAACAATTTATCACTTGATTTCTAATAAAAAGAAAATTATAATCAAAAATAACTTCATCAATTCAACCCTTTAGACCAAGAGTCGGTCTTGTCAGTCATCATATCAGAAGGACCATGACTTGGTCCATCTCGGTAGGCCACGAACTTTAGACGATCATCATTATCTTGACTGCCATACCGGAAGTAGATCAAAGTGGACAAATCAACTATGTCAGCCTGCCAAACTTCGTCCACATAAGACAACAGGGAGCGGCAACTCATCATTAGTTTTAATTTGATTTGTAGTTGTATTATTGGATGTTGAAACTTAGAGCTCTCTGTATTGTGATCTGTTCCTTCTCTTTACAAACATGAATGCACCAACAACTAGAAGTGCTACTCCGGCCAAAGTTCCAATAACTACACCTGCGACACCTCCACGAGATAGACCAGACTTCTGGCAAACGTTGCTGTTACCACTGATTGAACAAGTGGTTGGACAATCCAATATATTGTTGTCTCCATATTGTGATGACTCCAGGGTGAGTCTACCAACTTCACAATGTATCAACGCTTCAGCACCTCCAGTTGTTTTACCAAAGTATGAGTTGGATACTGTTGTATTTGATTCTTCAATGATAAGATGATGCTCCACCAATACATTGTCTGAGAATCTACAGTTGGAAGCCTCCAAATTAACTTGATAAGCAACTAATAACATTTTCGCATTGTTGTTACTGAATGTTGAATCATATATTGTAATATTTCCAAATGATAGGGAGAGCATAGTCGTCATAGTGTTGCCATTGAACTTTGATCCGATAATTGATAATAGAGTGTTGGTTGTAAAGAATATTCCTGATCCATATGTTGAAGGTGAAGTGTTATTATTGAATATACAATCAATTATTGATGTTGATTTGAATTGATCAATAAAGAATAGGTGATTAATGAATATATTTGAAGTGAATGACGATCCAGATATTAATAAACTACCTCCAGAGGATATTTTACCATAATAAAAATTATTATTGTTTATATCAACTTTGTGAAGTAATAAATTTGTGTTGGTTGAAGAGAATAATGAATCATTAGGAGAGTTGACATTACTAATTGATCCTCCATTCATTGTGAAATATGTTAATCCATTATTATTTGGTGATACGATTGTAAATAATTCTGTTGAATTAAAATTATTGAATTGTACATTGTTTAGAGTGATAAATGTGAGATTATATGATATTGATAATATTGATGGTCTATTTCCATTAATTATTTGTAAATTATTAATAGTAATATTTGTTGGTGATACTACTGATGATAAAAAAATAAATGATTTAATACCATATCCCATATCAATTATTACAGGATCAGTTACAGTGTCAATTGGTCCAATAGTGATATTAAGTGATCTATCTGGATATTGGAGTATGTTACCATCAATAGATTGGTAAACACCTGATGCCATTGCAATGTTTACGATTGAGTTGGTTGGGTTTGGGAATTGGAAATTGAAGGATGTGACTGCTGAACTAATATTTGGACAAGATGTATAAGTGTTGAGACCACAAACTACATCTTTAAATGTTGAAGATGAATCAACATATATTGTTGTAGTTTTAAGTGATTGGGAATCAACCAAAAAAAATAGTAGAGAGAAAAATATTAAAATAATCTTCATTATTATTATTATTATTGTAATCTAACTTTATAGAGATAATTAGGAATATATATAATAGATAACTTTTGGTAAGAAGCTAAGTATTAGACGTTAACAAGATAAGTTCAGTTGTGTTGGGACTTAAAATATCCTAGGATATGCTAGGTCTTTAGACCCCTTGGTCTTCCCACTGACCAATTTGTTTCCTAATTTGGAAAATGTTAGGTTGTGTTTCCCGATCCATCTAGTTTTGTTTCAACAGTGGTTGACTATCAAAAATTTTATGTGCTTTTCTTCTCGCTGAAAGTCATGTCCTTTGAAGACATAGTTAAGTTGATTAATATATATATATAAATTATGGGATAATCCCATTTAAATGACCTTCTTCTTTTACAAAATTGTAACGTTGAAAGAGGAAGTGAGATATTTTTGATGTTTTTGCGAACAAATAGGGACGTTTTGATGTACCGATTGTGTTCAATGAGTTACATTTTCGATACCACCTGATCAAACAGATGACTTTGTTCTCTCTACTACTACTATAACATATAATATATAATTTACAATGAACAGCATCAAGTCATCATTGAACCTGTCATCAAAGTTGTTGTTGATCAACACTTCCAGGAACATCACATGCTCAACAACACGTTGGTTGTCCACTGCCTCACAGGTCAATGTATGTTCATCAAACAGTCAACATCACAATCAACTGTTGATGTATAGGATGAAGAACTTACTTTACAAGTTGATACTCTCACACAAACATAACAGAAACAAACAGCACTATATCAATTGCACAAGGATCTTGGAGCAAAGATGGTCGAGTTCTGTGGATGGGACATGCCAGTGATGTACCCAACTGGTGTGTTGACAGAGCACTTCCAGTGCAGACAAAAGTCTGCTTTGTTTGATGTGTCACATATGGGTCAGCTTAGAATCCACGGACGCGATCGTGTAGAGTTCTTCGAGTCGATAGTGGTCGCTGACCTGCAGGCTTTGCCCGCGGGCCACTCCAAGCTCTCGGTGTTCACCAACGAGAAGGGTGGCATCATCGATGATACAATGATCACCAACGCCGGCGACAACCTCTACGTCGTTGTCAACGCTGGTTGCGCCGACAAGGACATTGCCCACATCAAGCAGCAGATGTCGCTGTTCAAGGCCAAGGGCAAGGACGTCAGCATGGAGCTGCTCGAGGACAAGGCACTCATCGCCGTGCAGGGCCCTGCCACTGAGGCCGTCGTCTCCAGACTCACCAAGCAGGATCTCTCCTCGATGGAGTTCATGACTCAGCGCACAGCCACCATCGATGGCATCAACGTCATCATGACACGTTGTGGATACACTGGCGAGGACGGATTCGAGATCTCGGTGGACAACCGCGACGCCACACGTCTGGCCAAGATCCTGTTGGACAATGGCACCGATGTGCTGTGCTCGGGTCTCGGTGCCCGTGACTCCCTTCGTCTGGAGGCCGGTCTCTGTCTGTACGGACACGACCTGAACGACGACATCACACCAATCGAGGCTACATTGGGCTGGTTGATCAGCAAGCGCAGAAAGGAGCAGGGTGGATTCCCAGGCGCCAGCGTCATCCAACAGCAGCTCAAGGATGGAGTCAAGCAGAAGCGTGTTGGCCTGATCCTCAGCGGCGCACCCGCTCGTGAGGGCGTCCAATTGGTGGACTCGTCCAACAATGTCATTGGCAGAGTGACCAGTGGCACCCTGTCGCCAGTGACCAAACAACCAATCTCCATGTGCTACATCAACACAGAGTTCAGCAAGGTTGACACCCCAGTGTTTGCCTCCATCCGTGGTCGTCAAGTTCCAGCCACCGTCTCCAAGATGCCATTCGTTCCAACCAACTACAAGAAGGTTACCAAATAAATAAGTACAAGCTATCATGCCCTCGCCCTTACCCTAACCCTCACCCTAACCCTCGCCCTAACCCAAGATAATGTCAATTACTTGATAAATATTTATTGATTGTCAATAGACTTGGTCTATGATTGAATGAATGAATAATTATATCCATATTTAGAGCTCGCGAACCAAGTGGGATGACCATGGACACCATCTGTTTCCTGGGAGGAGATGTCCACCAACCTCGCTGAGGTGGTTCTCAACGTAGTCGATTGATGCGTCACAGACTTCCATAGCCATGTCAAAGAAGGTGATGGTGGCTGGGTCGAGGTAGTAGGACCACTCCCAGTTGTACCAGACATCACCACGCTTGATAATTCCCATGACTCCACGTGCTTCCTGGGTTCTGTTGGCAATAAGGTCACGAGCATGTTGGATCAAAGTAGGGTTGGACAACTTAATGGTGAACTCGTTGGTGTAATCGGAGAAGACAAAGTAGGCGTTTCTAGCGTAGGCCATGGTCACGGTGACCAGCAACAAGGCGGCAATTATTTGGAATGATTTCATTATTGGTTATTATTATTTAATTGATTGTTTGATTGATTGTATGAATGATATTTGAGTAAACACATGTCTCGCTATTTATATATCTAGAGGTGTCAATATATTTGACATGTCCTGTCAAGTTATGTTTGCAGGGTCTCATCAAAAAAGTGATCACTTTTTTTTGACAGGAGGTGACATCCAATCAAAATCAGATAGGGTAAAGTCATAATCACATTAAAAAGACACTGATTGTAACCAAGTATGGACGATGGTCCGACCTAATACACCGTAGGGATAGGAGGTTTGACACCCCGATACCAGGATTTAACTTATCTCATTTGACCCAGGGTATATATATTTTTAATATAAATATTAATATGTAATTGAAATCTTTATAAACAAATAATATAATAATAAGTAAATTATTCAAAAGATTTAGAAGATAATTGTTAGTTTTTTAGTTAGCCCTGGGGAACAATAAAAGTATTAATAATTTGTGGATAAGAAAGATAAACAAAGAGTTCTTGATATAGATATTACCAATGATCGGATAGTTTTGAACATCATCATAATGGTGAGTCCTATCCCAATCAAAATTACAAACAATTGTGGGCTGTGTTGTGGATGTTGAGGTTGATCTTCATGTTCATCGACAACACACACACCCATTTATTTCCAATTTAGTAGTTTCTTCATCGGTTGCCCATTGGCAAAGGGTCACTATTCATCACCATTATGGTGAGCATTCAATAAAATGACAACCAATCAATGTGTTTAGTTTCATATCTATCTATCTTAATACCTATTTATTATCATTACTCTACTAGTTCAGAACGAAGTGAACATACACCTCTCCTCCCCAATATTACATCAACTAGACTCAAACACATTGTGTGTCTACATTAAATATAAGGTTCTAAATGGGCTACGCCGATGGCTCATAATATCATCCTTTGAAGGTCTACGATCATTTGCACATCGAATCAAATAACAAGATATATAACACACATATTTTCTCCACTCCCTATTTAATAAGGTCACTTTGTCGGCCTCAACCTCAATCGATATTGCCATTAATCGTCATCTAAGCATCACATTGACTATCTATCACCCATCCCATTCTTCTTGAATCAATCAATCAATCAAACATTCAGCAGCCAGGACCATTTGCACCTTTGAGCCAACAAACATTGAAACTAGATCAGCGTCAAGTTGACGTGAACAACGCGCTACCTTGTCTCTCTCTTCTATCCCACCTTGTCACGTTCAGAAGTGTCTCGTGGTAGAGAAAGAGGCCCAAACACTCACACTCACCCCACACCTCGCGTTCCAGGACAAAAGTTGACGAGGAGGGGTGCGATCGCACACCGAATCAACCAACCCTATTCCAAAAAAAAAGGAAGTGAGGAGTGGCTGTGTGTTGTTGTTGCTGTTGTTGCTGAAGGTTGTTCTTGTTTGTGAACACACCAAACATAGTCATACGCATCATACCTCTATCTATCTCTATCTATCTATTTATTATAACTATTATTATTATTATTATTATTACTATTATTATTACTTGACGACATCAAACATTAGAGAACAGACAAATCAAGAGAGTGAGAAGTTATCATTACAATACAATCATCATCATAATCACAGCCGATCGATATACATACTCGGCAAATACTTTATTTTATAATAACACATATAATACATACATAATATAACTTATAACATGTCAACATCACGTTGTGTAAACAAAACGATCATTGGTAGACCAGTTAGTGATGGAGGTAAGTCATCACACATAGTAGTACAGCATGAAGTGGCGGACGAATACAGTGACACTGACACACGATCATCAACATCAAACAGCTGGTGTTAGATTGAGAAGAATGATAGGAAATCCATTATCACAACTGGATCCCTTTATATTCCTGGACGAGTTCAAGAGCGAGAATGTTAGAGACTATGGTGCTGGTTTTCCAGATCATCCTCATGTATGTCTCGACACAACATTGTCATCATAGTTCAATCAATCAATCACGAGTCTAATATACAGTTGTTCACAGAGAGGATTCGAAGCAATAACATATATGTTGGCAGGAATAATGGAACATAAAGATCATAAGGGACATCATAATGTGCTCAGTGAAGGATGTGCTCAGATAATGACAGCCGGTCGTGGAATTGTACACTCAGAGATGTTAAAGGGCGATAGTAATGGACTCATATGGGGCTTCCACCTGTGGATCAATCTGCCCCGAAAGAACAAGATGATGGAGCCACGCTATAACTTTGTCCCAGCGGACAAGGTGCCCGTCGTCGTCGATCAATTCAGAGGCAGCAGGTCAAAGATCATTTGTGGCGAGTATCTGGGTCAGCGCGGACCAATCTTTGACGTCGTCGTCAATCCCATAATAATGGACGTCGTGATGCCACCGGGCACATCATTCTCTATCGATCTGCCGAGCAATCACGCCGCATACATCTATGTCTACAGGGGCTCTGGTGAGTTTGGCCCAATCACCAACCCAACATCACTCAAAGAGCCACACATGGGTATCTTTGAGTGCTTGGCCAACTCCAACATTGTAGGATCATTCAGTGAAGGAATAACAACATCATGCATCGAAGCGACATCATCCGAAGGCTGTGGCTTCTTCTTCCTAAGTGGACCTCAAATCAAAGAACCAATCGCTAGGCATGGTCCATATGTATGTTACTATTCATTCCTTCAAGTTGAGTAATCAAATACTAATACTAATAATACAAAAACAGGTAATGAATACACAAGCAGAGATAAGCCAGGCATTCTATGATTATGATACTGGACGATTCGGTCACTAACATTTGGGAAGTGGATATATTTATATATATAATAATGATAGATGTATATTTATAACTCGATCAAACACATATACTACGACATTCCATCAGTCAATCAATCAACCAAACCAATCACACACATTCACATTATAAGCATCCAGACTTAGTACACCAAACAACCAACCAGCCAGCCAACGAACCAACGAACCGCTTAACATTTAATGAAACATGATGGAAGTGATAGTATTATTCAAAGTCAGTCAACAACTTGTCAATTGAGGGAATGATCATACTGATCGCGTGATCGATCAAAGATTTGATTTGTTTTTGTCAGAGTTGTTCATAAAAAGGGCGCAACAAACAACGACAACATGGAGATAACAACAACTAATACAAATACAAATACAAATACAACAACTGGAGGAGGATTGTTATTCCATCGTTTATTGAATAATATTGTAGTTAGAAAGAATATATTTGGACATGTAGCAATCATTCATAAGCAATTGATTAGACTGAATAACTATGATAAGGTTAGAATACACACTTGGCAAAAGGTACATAACTCTTTCAAACTGTTGACATACTTTGGTTACATCAATGACTTGAAGCGTCGTATTAATGATGAGCCTCAAGACATCGATTTGATCAACCTTCATAAGGACTTTATTCCAGATGGTATGTACCATTGGCGATCAAATATGTTGACATGCTCCTAACTAACGATCAATCAGTGACCAAATATCCAGTCAATGACAAATGTCACTTTACCAATATTGACCATCGATTGGTTGGTCTGGCGGATATTGCTTGTAGACAGGGACATATGTCAATTGTTGAAATGCTCGACCAACATCAAGATAATGAACGAGGCTTGTTCAATGCCAACAACATGTTCTGGGCGATCAAGTATGGACATTATCAAATTGCCAAATTCCTCTTCCACAAAAGAGTGGACAAGGATGGATTCACAGTGGCCGCAATCCAAGAGGCCGCCAAATGTCCAGACTACGAATTGTTAGAGCTACTTGTTAGTCGGTGGGCACCAAACCAGCGTAATCCTGCTATCGATTCAGCGGCAGCGTATGGTCGACTCAACAATGTCGTCCTGCTCCATACTAAGGGCTATTGCTGCACAAGGGAGGCGATGCACTCGGCGGCCATCAAAGGATACTATGACATCGTTGTCTATCTTCAGAACAATAGATTGGAGGGTTGCCAGAAAGACACTATGCAACAAACTATCTCAAATGGACATATTGATGTGGCGCTCTTCTTGGCCAAGAGTCGTCCAGTGACTTGTGGCATCACCGATTACACTGACCTGCTGGCTCGTCACGCTCCACTGCCTGTTCTTCAGCGATTGATTAAGGAGGGTGTAATCACAAACTTGACGCAGGAAGCCATGCTGGCGCAGGACATTGGTACACTGGAGTACGTTCACAACACCTTTTCACTTCGGTACAATCAAGGCTGTATGGATATCGCCGCCAAGCATGGTAATCTAGAACTCATCCAATTCCTTTCACAACAAAAGGTTGAGCCCAGCGACAAATGTTTGGAGGAGGCGGCGCGGGCTGGACACCTTGAAGTTGTCCAGTATCTCCACGACACATTCCCCATGCTCAGAACATCATGCGCTGCCATGAACGATGCGGCAGGCAATGGCCATCTCTCAGTCGTCCAATTCCTTCATGAGCGACGCACTGAAGGCTGTACAACACTGGCAATGAGCAAGGCAATTATGAATGGACATCGCCAAGTGGTTGATTTCCTTATCCTGAATCGATCAGAAGGGTACCATATCTACGATCTGGTTGAACGCGATGGAAAACCTAACAGCATGAAATGGCTTTGTCGCAGTGATTCATTGGAGTACCTCCAACTCCTTAATGATCGGTTCAAAGAATCCTTCATATCCTTGTCACTCCACTATATCATAGAATCCGGTCGCCACGATATCATTCGCTATCTTCATAACGATAACCACCCACTTGTCACAAAAGCAACGACAATCCACAAATCCTCCAAACATCACATTGCTGGCTATCAGATCAACGAGCCACTTCTAGAGTATCTCAGGTCTGGCACAGGTGCAGAACGTTTGGAATCATCTTATAACAATCGCCAGGATATTCGCCAATACCTATATGATCAAGTGGTCAATCCTGTTGGGCTGGAGGCTGCTGAACTTGTAGAGGTACACAGAGCTGTAATGCTACTCAAAAGTATGGATCCAAGGGGATACAACAAGTTGCTTTCTGATAACACGATGAGTAATGATGGACCGCGTGGGACGTCTCTGGAAGTTCTCAAATATCTACATCCATTCATTGGCCATCCATACCTCTATCACGTCCAGTTGTTTGCCAAACATGGTGATCTGGCCAGTTTGATGTTCCTTCATTGCAACACACATTCGAAGGAGATCTTAAAGAGCCAAGTCTTGAAAACGGCCTGCAAGCAAGGACATCTCAACATTGTCAAGTTTCTCACGTCTTGGGATAACAGGTTAAGAATGTATATATCGGAAGCCCTCCAACATGCTCATAATCACCCGATAATCAAAGATTATCTCAACTCGCAATTATAAGAAATGGTAATAATATTATTGACGTAGTTAATGTCAACTGTTCGAAGCAAGAGGTAGTCATTCATCCTGGACCATACACTACTCTTTGTATGGTTGACAGTTATCACCACATGGAGGGAAGGGAAGAACATTGGGGACGATGGCCACCTCACTGGTGTACTTCATGATGTACTCCTGCTGCAAGGGATCTTCGAGGTATGAGGCCTCGAGGAAGAATCCACGCCATCCATGTGATGGTGGTCCCATAGTGTAGGTGTAGACGTTGTTGATGTTGGGCACCTCCTGCTCAAGCCAGAAGATGGGCTGGACACATGTGGGTGGGCCTGGAATGCAGGTGAGTAGACGGAAGTCACGACGAGTCTTGGACTCGGTGGAGGCGTGCCATGCCTTGACCTTGTAGGGCACTGGTGTGCCTGGTGTGACGGTCATGGTGATGGTGGCAGTGCCATTGGCGTTGTAGACGATGGCATAGTTGAACTCGGGACGGGGCTCGTTCTTGATGAACATCCTCATCATTGTCACAACTCCCATCACAATGTCGTCTTGATGGCCTAGCAAGGAGTGCTCGGCATTGGGAACGAGACGAAGATGCTTTTCACCCAGCAACTTGGAGAAGAAGAAGGATGGCGAGTCTGGAAGGAAGAACTCGTCGCCAGTTGAGCAGATCACATACTTGGGCATGGTCAAACGATCAATGTAGGTCATTGGGTCGACAATATCGGCCAAGTCCTGCATCTGTGGCGAGTTGAGGTATGCCATGATATCTTCGTTCAAGTAGTCCTCAAGGGCGAAGCTCCAGTTTCCATATGCCTGCCACTGATGGCCCATGTTGGCCGTAAGATTGAGGATTGGCATCACGATTGGCACAGCAACAGCCACTCTAGTGTCGACGGCGGCAGTGGTCCATGTGGTCCAGCCTCTCTTTGATGCACCGGCAACGACAAAGTTGTCGACGACGTATGGGATGGTCTTTCCAAACTCCTGGACTGCGTCCATGGCCTTGACGACGGCCTTGGTCATTGGAAGTCTTGCCAACCAGATTGGATCGTTGGTGTAGTTTATGAAATGTCTCCAAGTGTATGCAATCAAGTTGTCCTCACTCCTCTCGTGACCATCATTGTTAAACATGATTGGTTGGTTTGGAATTTGAGTGAGACCGACTGTGATCGTATCAGATGTCTCACAAGCAAGTCGGACTATTAAAAAATGATTGATTAATATTTGTAATGATATTGATTAAATTAATGACTTACCAAGACTATCAACAGAGTTTGGTGGAGACCAGTTATTGTTGCTACCTCCATCAATGTAAAGGAATGCTGTTTGAGACTTAATGGTGTTTGGTAGACAGCTGATTGATTGGGATGTGTGAGTGATTGGATAGGACAGGGATAATATGGGATGATTAATGACTTACATTGTCAACCAATGTTTCCAAACAGGTCTGTTTGATTCATTCAATGTCATCCATGTTTGTGATGCTGAATTGATTGGTTGATTGATAGTTAATTGATTTGTTAAACAATAATAATATTTGAATGCTCCACTTTACTTACTCAATTCCAAAACATGAGCAGTGTAGAGATCAGTACTGAATGTATTGTTGAGTGTCCATTTGTAGGTGGGATCTGGTGCATTGACATAGTCATCCAAGGGTGTTGAGTTGCTAACATGGTGTCCAATGATGCACACAAGCACAATGATTGACAAAGATAGTCTTAACATTGTTATAATAATTATATGTTATCTCTTTGAAGTGATGTTAAGAAGAACAATGGTATGAATGTAACATCACAACAATTGTAGGATTGGTGGATATTGATGTCTGATCATCGCAAGAGTAGTAGAACAGAATCGAGATATCTGTTCAATTCCAGCTTGTTTGGAATTGCTCAACACCACATGCGTAACACAATCCACTCCATGCTGGTTAGGTTGGAAAAATAATATCTTTCTTTTGATGTTGGGAACAGTCTTTGGACCATTACAACAAAGATAGCTAGTGTAGCGTAGTAGTAGTAGTAGTCTGATCATATCAAGATTATATATCTGATAAAGATCACTCTCTCTTCTTTGTTGTCCAAGATATGTTATGTACGTCGTACAAGAGAGAGAAAAGTCAAACGACCAATGACTTCCAGTATTTATGGTGTTGTGAAGTCACTGAATGATGTACTTACGTACGACCTTTGCGACTTTGTCTTTTGTCAAACATGTCTGATGAAAGTAGGTTGTCTCCTTGACCTTCTTCCTGACAATATAAGTTATGAATGGTACTCGAGTGGCAGGCTTGTGTATTTTAGTTACCATTTCATTGACACATGCAAAAGCTTAGGACATTCGATACTACTTGATCATTTCGATCATCCCCTCTTAGAAGAACAACTCATTTGAAGAGTTTGAATGTCCAATGTATCAAGTACTACTTTGTAACTGTTATTATGTTGAGTGAACGAAGTCTCATTATTGTCTTTCCTTTTGAAAGTCAAAACGTTACTCGTGTATTTTCACAAAGATCAAAAACAGGAAGTTTGATCACACACAAACAAAGTCTGCGCTCCCCAATCGCATTATCTGTTTGTTTCCAACCAACCTACCTACTTATAACAACTACAATACAGTAAAGCACAGGACAGGACAGGATGATGAACAGGTTCATAAATAGTGCTGCTGCAATAAATAGACATACACGTATTGCACAAAGTCTGGTTGGTCTGTCAACACCGACATTGCGATCAAACATTGTCACTGGTCCATTGTCATCAGTATCTCTGCTCACCTCTGCTTCAGCACCATCATGTGCATCAAACCAGACACGTTCAATCTGGGTCATTGGAAAGGATGCTATACCAAAGGATTACGTCGATCCTAACGCACCAACGTAATGTCTCGTCCTCACTCATCAACATCATCAAGGGCCACACGACGGACACAACACTAACAAACTATCGATCATTCATTCAATCAATCAATCAATACAGTACCTATAAACTAAAGACTATATATACATTCAATAGAGTTGCCAAGGGACGTCCAGGTGCAAAGGCAACTAGATATCATGGCTTTGTACCATGCACAATCACAGGAGGCGGTCTGCCTCTGCGCAATGTCGCCGTAGAGTGGGGCAGAATCTTTGGTCTGACAAAGACAGGTCACTTCTACACCAACAGGAAATACGTTCTGGTATGTACACTCTATAACAGAATCAACAGCAACAGCAACAGCAACAGAATCTAATATTTATGCATTCATACTTAAACATAGAATATCGAGGATAAGGAGAAGATCGTTGTGAAGCTGTCCAATGTTGAGATGCATGCAGTGACTGAACGTGCGATGTTTATCAAGTTTACAAGAACCGAAGATAATCCAGAGACTGTGAAGGAGTTGACATTGCCACATCTGGTGGTGGAGAAGAAGAGAGACGAAGAGCGACAGGCTAAACTATTGAAGAAGCAGCAGTACAGGGAATTGATGAACATCGATCTCACATTCAAGCCTGCAGTTCGCAAATCAGATATGACTGCTTAAAGTCATGTCCTTCTTTGTCATTGGCGAATAAAACAACAACATAAATATAACATCTGCATCTTGTCAATGACAAGATATCTCTTGAGAGACACGTGACATTGTCATCGTCGTTGTTAACTTCTTGGAAACCAACAGATAATCAATCCCAATAAGGTGGCGCGCATTCGAATTTGAATTGTGTGGGTGTGTCGGTTTCAAACAGTTCGCATTCCTACGCGACCTCCTCGCACAGAGTGAGAGCAGTCAAATGACTAAATGACACCATCCAATCAACTAAATACATACTTAGCATTACATACTATACATATACAAATACAAACACAAATACATAAGATTGATTGATAGTGATAACAACAACAACAAGATGGAGATGAACTCTACACTATCTGAGCTATGTAGTGCACTACAAGACTCATTCTCATTGGATACCAAGGATACAGATGTAGTGGATAGAGAGTCTGAAGTGAACCTTATACAATCAGTGTTGAGCAAGTCACTAAAGGCATCAACTGGCTCTGCATTGTATGTCTGTGGACTACCAGGCACTGGCAAGACACTGTCCGTGTTGAAGACCGCTCTAAAGATACAAGCCACTTCAAAGGTAATAATGTGTTTGTTTGATTGATTGAACCATACATGGACACTAATACATGTACATGTACATACATATATAGCGATGTGATGTCATATATATCAATTGTATGCGACATAAAGATGCAAGAGATATATACGTTGATATATATCACAATCTAAAGAAGGTGAAGAAGAGTCAGATCAACTTTAGTACAGGTGAAATAATCAATCAATTGGAAAAGACATTCTTCAACGCAGAGTCAAAGAGGATGATGTAAGTACTCATCACGTGACAATCACATGGGAGCTGGAACTATCCCAACCCCAACTAACTAACCAACCAACATTATCAAAGGTTCTGTATACTTGACGAGGTAGATCATATGGTATCTCGAACTAATAAGGACCTCTATCGTATATTTGAATGGCCGTTTGAAGAGGGTTCCAGATTCACATTGATTGGAATTGCCAATGCACTGGATTTGATTCAGAAACATCTTCCAAGATTGTCAAGCTGCGGTCGTGAGCCAAAGTTGTTGCACATGAAACCATATACACAGGACCAGATATATATTATCCTAAAGGACAGAGTGGAGAAAGTGACAACCGAGGACTTTGTACAAGACGAGGCGTTGAGATACTGTGCCAAACTGATCGAGGTCAAACGAGGCGATATAAGAAAGGCTCTGGACATATGTAGACAGGTGATGGCCCGCAAGCAATTGGAGTTCCAACGACATGGCAAAGAGGATTTGGAGGTGGACGAGTATCTTTTGTCCCTAGACGATATGATGGATATGATGGACGATGTGTTTGGCGAGAGCAACTCTCCCAAGATCAAGAGTCTGCCATTGCACGCTCAACTCATTGTAATCTCCTCACAGACAGCCTCCCCTACCGCTCTAAACTACCTAACATTTGCTGCAGTATACAAGGAATATCTTTCCAATTGCAGTTTAGTATATCTTGATCCAGTCAATAGGTATGTAAAGTCTTCGCATCAATCAGACAATCAATCAATCACTCATTCATTCGTTCAATCAATCATATATATAGGAACGAATTCTTTGACGTATTGAGTTCAATCACATCGAGTGGATTGATGTCATTGGACACGAATGAAAAGGTTGAAGAGAACAAAAGGAGGATCACATTGGTGTTCAACAAGGATGATGTTGTGTTTGGATTGGAGCATCTAAAGATGTTGCGACCTTTATTAGATCAGTTGGAGTCAACTAACATTGGAGGCGAGCAATAACTTGGTGGTCTGTCTACAGTCACCTCTTAGTCATAGGACAAAGGTCAAGAATTAGTTCATAATAACAACTATATCTATCTTTCTTTCTTAGTGTAATGTATATGACTGTCATTTATTTACTTGTGTAATAGATTAATTGATATATTGATGGTCCATGAAATCTAATTATATGGATGGAGGATAGTGTTGATGTTGTTGGGAGTTGGCGATCAAAGTAATCAACAACAATATACATGGTTGTCAAGATGATCATGATTTCTTGACAACACCAAACAGAATGGTTTGGGCAGAAGATGTTCTTGAGAATCAGTCCTTGTTGGCCTTAAACTTGTTGACAGTACCGGTTGGACCATTGACCCAATATCCAGACTGGTGCACTACCATGATGCAATACCAGCAGAAATATCGTTGGTTCTCCATGATCCAGATCTATCAGTTACTGTGAATTTCTGTTCAAGTGATCCATTGCTGCTCAAGGTGATGTTGCCATTACATACAAGGTACAGTCGTAGTAGTAATAGTATGTATTAGCGGGAATACACAAACTTTCCACACAACAAAAGACAAGATGATGTACTCCTGGGTAATTTCATGGATACCTCTTCTAAGTAACTTCTACTTGTAGACACTAAAGTTCTCACTTTCCGGAAAGTCCTACCTTGTGACACTTCTGTCATTGTTTGAACTATATGATTACATATCAAATATATATAAATGATCTGTTACCGACTTTGACAATTCACCCTAGTCGATGAAGTTAACTATCGATGTCGTTATACATTGAAATCAATGGTGAACAATCAAATAGTATCCATCATTGACAACACCTTGTGTCCTCCCCCATTTTGGTAGAGGGGTGGTTCGTTGGACGAGGCCTAAGTTAACTTCACAACACACGTTGACAACAGATACATACACAACCACAACAGAACAAGCAAAGGGGTTAGGAGGAATATCTTTGGGGATGGAGTTGTCCAATCTAATTTTTTAAGCCCAAAGGATATAAAAGGAATTAGTAAGAGAGATTGAAGGATTCCATTAATTAATTAACTTAGATGGTTTGTGTACCCTAATTTCCTTTCTTGGACAATGTCCATTCTGAGTGGACTGTTTTAAATAAATTAATGAATATCGATTGGACAATCGGATATAAATGTAAGTGTAGAACAACACGCTTACTGTACTGTTCATCAATCCACTCAACACGTGACAATTCAAATAATACTCTACAACAACAACAAATTACTTGACACATCAAATAAAAAGTAATTACATTTAATTTATTATTAATTTACTTAAGAAAAATCCCAATCTCCAAACACCTAATATAGTATAATATTAATATCAATCAATCAAATATTCTTGTTAATAACTAATATAGTTATTTTTTAACCTTTATTTGAATCGTAAAACAACTAACTTCAAATACATCTTAAAATAACTAATTAAATATAAATCAATCCATCGATCAATCAATCATTGTTAACCCAATCAATATATATAATATAGATATTTAATTTATTATAAATCCTCCAAATCAACAAATAATTAAATATTTATTACTTAAAGAATGAATCAATCATCAACTTCATCACTACTCAACATTAGCTTATTCAATAAGCAACTACCAAACTTGTTACCAACATTAACTTTTGCCGCTATGATGACATCTCCATCTTTGAAGAGTGTCGGATCATCATCATCTAAAGGATCAGAGAGAACCCGAGTTCCAACTGGACCATTCCACGAGTCACCAGCCACATTCAACTCACCAATACAATCAATTCCAAAGAGAATCACTAGACTCTATCCAACCACATCTCCAATCACCAAGAAGATTGCCAAGAACCCAATTGGACGACCAAGATCAAAGCGACCAGACCACTGTTTCATCTGCAAGGTGACCAAGACACCAGAGTGGCGAAAGGGCGACAATGGTGTGGATGTTTGTAATGCCTGTGGATTGAAGATTAGAAAGGAGCGTGAAGCAAGAAAGATGTTAATGTTGAACAACATATTGAACAAGGAAGAGGACAACAATGATATTGTTACTCAACATGATATTGATGAGTACTTCCAATCACTAAGTAATAGATTGACAATGGGCGACAACTGTATAAAGTTTGTAAACTATGGACAACATCTTGATCATCCACATCATCAACTCGTTCATCATATCAACAACAAGTACTCACCAAAGAGAGCAATAATCAACTAATAAACTACATACACCGACATAATATATAATTATGTTTGTGTTCACTTCATCATAAATATACACTTGAATAGAGTTTGGTATGTTTAGTGATTGAATGAGTGGGCACGGCATGACATGCCTTGCCCACTTGTGAGCGGACTGACTGTTTACTCCTCGTCGGATGACTCCTCTGAAGCCTCGATCTCCTCAATCTCAACTGGCACATCAGAGAACACTTGGAGTCTGAATGAACGGTTGACACCGGGCTTGAAGGTGGATGGGATGATGGTGTACTCGCTGGACTGGTCGGGGGTGACAGTGACACGGAGACCAATGTCGTTTCTCTTCTCCCAGTTGGGTGTCTTGTTGAAGAGATGCTCGTTCTGGAAGGTGGACGCCTTGACGGTGTCTGAGTGATCGTCACGGTTGATGAGGACGAAACCAATGCTCTCGTCGGCCAATGTTGACTCTTGGATGAGCTGGACAAAGAAGGACATCTCTCCGCTTCTGTCCTTGGGCAGCTTGAGCTTGTACTGTGGGTTGTCAAAGAAGGAGGCGCCATTGTTTGGACTGCCTCCGGCACTCTTGCCCACCCATGTGCCTTTGACCAACTCGGTGTTCTTCCATGTGTCGGTCACGGTGGTGAAGGTAGCTGCCTGGTCGTCGGTGAACAGGGTGATGTGGTAGGCACCCTCGAGACCCTGGTCAAAGGTGGATGGGATGACGATGTAGGTGCCCTTTTCGAGCGACATTGTGTTGCCGTTGTGGCACGATGGCTTGAACGTCTCGGTCTTGCCAACCTGGTCTCTGTACTCGACGAGACGCTTGCCAACGTCGTTGGTCTGCTTCAGAACGTAGAAGCCGATGCTCTTCTCGTGGTCGTCCTGCGAGACGAGGATGCAGAGACGGGCGCTCTTGGACAGGGTGATCTGGTGCTGGGGACTCTTGGTCCAGTGCAAGAGGTTGACGTCACAGCCACCATTGGTGGTGTTGGTCCACAGTCCGTTGATGGTGATCTCCTTCCACTGTGTCGACTCGTCCTTGGGCAGTGGGTAGAACTCGAGATTGGTCAGTCGCTCCGAGTCCACATTGATCTTATATTTGCCTGTGAATCCAAACTGCTCTGCGTATGGGATGATACAGTATTGACCTGGCTCCAACTCAATCTTACAGTCAACAGACACTGCTGCGATTGGGCAAACAAAGTTGTCCACCTTCTTAATGTCACTAGTAGTATCGAATATCACCTTCTTGCTACCATTATAGAATGSCTAGTGATGGTGTGTATCATGTTAGCAAGGTGACTCAATCACTCAATCATGCATTACTATTCAACAACTTACAATCATAGTTAAGTACAAAGAAACTTATCCTTTGATCGGTACCCTCTGGCTGTCTCAACTTGATGAACAGAGGAGTGGTCTCATTCTTGACGGTGAGGAGGTACTGTGCACACTTGACCCAATGTGGGTTGTTGGTAAGACTGCCAACACTGTTCTCGGTGGTCCACTGACCGTCGAGCACGATGCCCTTGAGCACCTCCTTGGGTGGCTCGTTCTTTGTGAACTTGATCTCGAGGTTGATCTCGGGTGGGTCCTTCTGCTTCTTGGCGCGTCCAGCCTTGGGCGAGGTCTCCTCGACCTCTCCCTCAGAGTTGGTCTCCTTGGTGTCCTCTGGCGAGGTGGGTGCAGCAGCGGTCGAGTCGACGGCTGGTGGCGATGTCTGTGTTCTTGGACGATGAGCGGCAGCGCCAGCAGTCTTCTTCATCGATGACAGTGGGTACCACTTGGCCTCGCCATTAGCCGTCAACAACTCGTTGATGGACAACACCAACTTTCCAGTGACCTTGTCCTTGAAGAAGAAGTTCTTCTTCCAGGCCTCAATCTCCAACTCGCTGTTTGGTGATGAAACGCGGCTGATGTTTTCGAAAGTTGTTGTTGGGGGAGTGGGTGTCAGGTGGTGGTCTATCATGATCAGGTCCCGAGACCTTAGCCTCAAAGTAACCCAAATTAAACCAAAACACATCTCGTCAATGAATGTTGTACTTACAATTCGAATACATCAACAAATGTATGATTGGCTGATGGCTTGGTCTTGTCCTCTGTTCTCTTCTGTGCCAACTCGCACTTTGCCAACAGGAAATGTGTCTGGCATCCCTTAACCTCCTTGACTGTAAATCATAAATAAGTGTCAGTAAGACATTGTCCAACCAATCCAAAAGACAAGTCTGGACTCAGTAGTGTGATAACTTACTCTTTACCTCGAGGGTTCCAAATATATTCTTGTCTTTGATATTTACAGGTGCAGCAGCGGCTGGCGATGCAGCAGCAACTGGTGATGTTGATGCAGTGGAAGTAGTCTCGGACATCTTTTGATTGAATGATTGGTTACTACTACCTAACTATGTTACTAAATTATTATTGAAATGAATGAGCACAAGATATGTGGGGATGATGCCTCACTCAATCACTTTCATATGTTTGTTGTGTGTTGGGTGTGTGATGAACTTGAAACATGTTAATTAAATAAATAAATAAAAAATAGTTTGAAAAACCCAATATTGGGCTGGGAATGTTTGTCATATTCATATAATTGTTTGCCGAATATATCTATGTTTTGTGATCAATTCAAGTAATCTGTGAATTCTGATTCGTGTCGTGTTTGGACAAGGACATGTTATCACAATCATTCATTGTATCTCTCTCTCTCTCTCTCAACTCAAACTTAGAGATATTTATCCCAATAGATTGTGTTTAGAAGTAGAAAGTCATGGGAGTAGCTGATTGCACGTAGGTAGCCTTTGGAGGACAGTGATATGGCCTTGATGATGGAGTCATTCACTTTGTTGTCTTGCAACGTGAGGCTACTCATTGACATCTCAATGAATCGAACGGTGCTGGTTCGTATGAGTTGTAATAGTCGTGAGTGCTGCTCGTTGGTCAACTTTGGAAGTTTGCGATACCATGACAGTTGGATCAGATTCTTGCACTCTTGTAGTATGCCAAACAGCATGTCGAGGTTATCGTCACGACCTTGAGGATCGTTTTGATGTTGGTTGTCCATGTCCCACGTCTTGATCATGCGCACTGAGCTGGCTGCCAGCGCCTGGTACGAGAACCATTGGTCCGTGTTGATGTACTTGATGGTCTTGTTAGAGGCCAACCACGCATCATACTCAGTCTTTGTCCGCTGACAATAGTAGTCGTCCAGTGCGACAATCTGTGGGTATCGTTTGGTGATATTATGAAGAACTTTAACCTTGTCAAGGTCGTTGCGCACATTGAGAAACTGAACGGCAGTGTGTTGTGGTTTCACCGTCTTTAGCTGCACGGTTGGATTGGCAACAACATTGTAGGTAGTCATTTGTATCTGATGAGGTGGCGGTTCCACCCTTATGAGATCCAGGTCGTAGGATGGAACAATGGACTCCACCTCACAACGAAGCTCAGCAACGTTGTTTGGTGCCACCACTGGCAGACACTGGATGGGCGACGACAAGTATGGAATGGATGAGCATACGCCMATACTTTAACAGTTTGATCAGTGCTGTGCTGGAGCAACGTGGTGCATTGATCTTGTAGAATGCGAAACGCACCATGGGTATCACTTGAATCAGCCACTGCTTGCACACCAGAGACAAGTGCAGTATGTATTCAAGGTTGTTGCAAAACAATGCATTGGAATTAGGATAGCTATAATTGATTCGAAGATAATCATTATAGTCGTAGGGCACTTGGCAGAACTCCACTATCTTTCTAAAGRATCACCGTGGTGAACAATCCATTATTGCGAATCAAACAAGTCTCCTTAAAGTCATTGGTCAATCTCTGTTTGATACCATCGAGACATGATAACATATGATTCAATCTTAGACAAGATAATTCATACTCTATTGTTATTATCGTTATTGTTATTGTTAGGACATAGAATTGAATAAGTTGTTATCACAAGGATACTGACCACCCAGAGACTTGTCTCCATTATTGTTGATGGCGATGGATGATCCACAAAAATTACACGTTCCACTTTTAAATATATCTGTGTTGATGTCCATAGTTGTTGGAATGTGTTAATGATGGTTTTAGAACAAACAACATAGATGATATCCTTGTTGATTGATGTCTGTCAATGGTGTTGACAACAAATAATAATCCTTAGTTCTTGTAATAATAACACGAACCAAGACACACTCAATGAGGCAACTTTTAGTTTGTAAGTTCACATTCTTCAATTACTCACATTTTGTGTCGGTTTTTTAATTAATTGTGTGTTTTTTTTAGTTTCACAAGAGTCTCTAACTCTTGAAGACCGACCTCCCTCTTTTTTTTTTCTCGCCTTCATTGTTTCAATCTTCAACATTTATATAAATACACACACAACGTTCACAAGATATATTACTTTATAAATATACCAATCACATTCATACATACATCGTAGTTGTTGACATCTATCAATCATTGTCAAATTATAAATATCAACAGCAAAAAGCATGGTGCAAAAGGATACTAAAATAGCTCAACAACAACAGGGCGCACAACCACAACAACAACAGCAACAGCCACAGCAGCAACAGCAAGGCAAGGTCGGCAAAGAGGCATCGAGAGCTGACAACAACAACAACAAGAGGGATACAACAATGAGACCATCAGACAACAACAACATTAATAATAATAACAACAACAACAGCATTCCAGATAGCAACAACAGAGACAAGATCAGAACTGTGAGGGAGATCACTGGCTGGTCAGAGGACGACGTTCTCAGAGCTTTGCAGGAGTGCCACTTTGATGCCGACAAGACTATTGCGTATATCGTTGATGGTGTAATCTCACCACAAGCTGACCAATGGCAAGAGGTATCTAAGAAGAAGGTATGTTTATATCTTGTTAACATGTGATGATCGATATTAACCATTTTGTTTGTACAACAACACAGCCCGAACCAAAGACTTCAAAGATTAAAGGAGGAGAGGATCGCCCATCAAAGAAGGATGACCTGAAGGGTGCTGCTGTCAGAGTTCCAAGACCAGAGAGATCTGAGAGACCAGAGAGATCTGAAAGACCCGAGAGATCGGAGAGACCAGAGAGATCTGAGAGACAAGAGAGGTCCGAGAGACCAGAGAGGTTTGCAGGTGATAGACCTGAGAGATCTGAGAGAGGTGATAGAGGTATGTAATGAATGAGCTTTCAAGTTCATTGACGATGGACGCAACATTGAACGACTTAATCTAACATCAACAATAATAATACATTATAGATGGTGATCAGAGAAAGTCAAGGGATAGAATAAGACCAAATGGAGATGGTGTGTCCTCACCCCAGAACAGACAGCAACGTAGACAGGGCCAGAACAACTCGGTGCCATCCTCCCCACCGACAAAGACTACTGTTATCGATACTACTACTACTTCCACTTCTACTACCACTACGCCATCTACCATCTCTACACCAATCAACAACACCACCACCCCTACTTCTACTTCTACCACCACTACATCAAGCGCTACAACCACGACGACCTCCACTACAAGCAGCGCTACCGGTGACTCTCACCCAAGCATTGGCAAGGGCCAATTATCAATGAGTGCCATGATTCTGGAGAAAGAGAGAGAGCGTGAGGCCCAACAAAAGCAACAGCAGGCCAAGCTACTGAAGCAGCAAGAGCAGCAGCAGCAACGAAACCAGCCAGCCCTCGCCCCAGCCCCCGTTACTACTACTACTCCTGTGCCCACTGCACCCACCAACACCAACACCTCTACTGCCGACTCCAAAGAAACCACTACCGACTCCACTACCCTGCCAAATCAACAGACAAACACCTCCGCATCTGGTCAGCCAACCTCATATCTGGCTGCCATCAAAAACGCCAACGCCCAGCCCAAACAATCACCAGTCACCACCTCCAAGCCAGCACCAACTCAATCAACACCAGCCTCTACTGCTGCTGCAGTTGTTGTTGAGCAAACACCAGTCGCTGTCGCCGCCGCTCCAATCACAACTCCAGTGGTCGAAACACCTGTTGCTGCACCAGTAGTGGCACCAGTTCAGACTGCACCCGCACAAGTCGCGGTCGCCTCTGCCGCACAGCCAGTCGCCGCCACCAGTGCCACCGCCGCCACTGCCACCACACAACAACAGACCTCATCCCAGTCATCGACACCATCACAACGCATCAACTTTGGTCAAAAGCCAGGCAACACCCAAGCCTGGAAGCCCAAAGATTCACCATCTACCTCCCCATCCCTTGTATCATCTGCCTCAAGCGCTCAACACCCAACTACACGCCAGCCAATCGGCAAACAACAAGCCACCAAGAGCTTCGACACGCCAGTGGCACTGCCCGACGACCTTTCCTTTGATCCAAACTACCATGTCCAATTTGGCAAGGACCCATCAGTTGTTGCCCCTGTGCAATCTGTCCCAAGCGCCGTCTCCACACCAACCGTCGCACCAGTTGCTGCACCAATCCAACAGCAGCCAGCACCAGTCACTGCCAAGCAAGCTGTCGTTACCCCTGCTGCACCAGTACAACAACATCCAGCTGCTCACCAGCAGCAGCACCAACAATACGCTCAACATCACCAGCAGCAACAGCATCACCACCACCAACACCAGCAGCACCAGCAGCAGAACGTTGTTGGACTCCCACAGAACGCCAACCTGGGCCAACAGACCAACATGCAGCAGCAGCAACAGCAGTACCAACAGGCGTTCCAGTCGATGACCCAGAACCCCAACACAATGGAGCCACACATGATGATGCCAGAGACCGATCTGCAACACCTCTCCTACCAATACCCATACATGGTGCCAGTGATGCCCTTCTTTGCCGATGAGATGAACCGTCAGCCATTCTACGACACCTACAACCAGAACAACTACAACCGCACCACATCACCCGTCAACGACAATGCCGGAAACACCAGCAAGGGTTTCCAGCGCAACCAAAACTCCAACCAGCAGTCGTTCCGCGGCTCTGGTGACAACACCAACAAGTTCAACCATCAGCAACAGCAACAGCAGCAGCAACAGCAGCAGGATGGCCAGACTCAAGCCACACACCCATCCTCGCAGTCACCACCCCTGCAGCAGTCCCACTTCCCCTACCAACCCTACGGCTACCCATATGGCTACTCACAGTTCCCATATGGATCCCAGAACTCGCAGTATCAGTTCGGCCCATACGCAGCCTACCCACCAAAGTACATGAACATGCCACGCGGCTACCCTACCCATCCAGGTCAGAACCAAGCCTACGGCGAGCAAGACGACTTTAAGAACATGTACGGAGGCGGCTACTTCCCCACCACTGCAGCCGGTGTCATTGACCCAACGCTCCAGACCAAGATCCAGCAGGGCCAGCAGCTGACAGGCTCGCCAACCAGCGGCGCCAAGACCTACGGTCAGAACGCCTCGCATCACCAGCAGGCAAACCCTCAGGCACCAAACCAGCAGACTGGTGACGGTCTCTCCAACCAATACAACAAGGGACAGTACAACCAACAACAACGCGATCAATCAAACTACTACAACGCTTACAACATGCAAGCTTTCCAACCACAACACAACACTGGTGCCCAGAATCAAAGAAATCATTATCCACTTGGTAACTAAATAAATAAATAAATAAAGTAACCTTATTTATAAATAATATCTCCTTTCTGAGAATGATGCGAAATGGCAAAGTGAAGTTTGTTTACAAAGTTGTTGATTCATTTTGAACATCAACTCATTCATCAGAGAGATAGAGATAGAAAGATGGACGAGAAGTATTGCGCTAGTTTAGTGTTGTCAGGTGTTGGCGATGCTATTGGATATAGAAATGGAAGATGGGAGTTCCAAACTGTATGTATCACTATCGATGACCTAATGATCGTTGATATCAGGTGACTAATCATTGAACCCTTGTGTGTTTGTGTCTGTTAACAGAACCCAAAGAAGATATGGGAGGAGTACCAAGAGATGGGAGGAATCGATTACATCAAGTAAGTAAAATTGTAATCGATTGATCATTGTTGTTGAGATCACTAACATATTCCTTTCTTCTCTTCTCTTCTCTCTTTTATTACAGAGTGGATAGTAAAGAATGGAGAGTATCTGATGACACTGGTAAGTTAGCAGCAAACAATGAATGATTCATCAAACCATAGAACTAACATGTTGTGTTGCAAAGTGATGCAGCTGGCAACTTCAATTGCCATCACTAGAGACAATGGCGATGACTTTGAAAAGACATGTCAAGAGATTACAACCGCCTATATCAGATGTTTGGAGGATATGGGAGTATGTTACATCAGTTTGCTTGATCACAAGTGATCAAAAAAGAGCTTACATTAACCTATGGTATGATCACAATGTAGGGCAGAGCACCTGGAAGACAGACACTAGAGTCCCTGGCACATTTCACACCAGGAATGAAGAAGCAATTGTTAAAGTGGGATGAACTTCCATACGCACCAGCAGTAAGTTACTCAATGCTCAAGATATACACACTTTGTCTAATTACTTCATTTTGTAGGGAGGTGGATGTGGAGCAGCAATGAGATCAAGCTGCATTGGACTTAAGTACTGGTCCCCTGATGCGATTGGAGACTTGATCAGATACTCGATTGAAAGTGGCAGGATCACCCACAACCATCCAGTTGGATTCCTAGGAGCAATGGTGGCAGCTTTGTTCACATCTTACGCCATTCAACAGGTGCCACCTCGTCAATGGGGTACCAAGCTCATGAATGAGGCTTTGCCCCTGGCCAAGCAGTACATTGAGGAGACGAGGAAAGAGCCAAACAGGACATGGGAGAACTATGAGAAGGGTTGGAACTACTTTGTCAACGCGTGGACCTCATACCTGGAGCTGAGAAAGATTCCATTCGGCGAACAGACCACCACAGAGAGCAACTACCCAGAGTTCCCAGAGGAATACAACTACATGGACAGAGATAAGTTCTACCACAGTCTTTCATTTGATGGATGGGGAGGATCCAGTGGACACGACTCTGTTCTTATATCCTACGATGCACTGTTAGGTGCTGGCAGCTCGTGGAAGGAGATGATCGAGAGATCAGCGATCCATGGCGGAGATAATGACAGCACTGGCGCAATCGGTTGTGCCTGGTGGGGTGCACTGTATGGTTTCACTGGCGTGCCAGACATCAACTACCAACATTTGGAGTATCGCCGTGAGCTCTACGCTCTGGCCAAGGCTTTGCTTGCACAGAGAAAGTAAACTATTGTGTTGTTGTTGTTGTAGTTATTGTAATAAACAGGTGTTAGCATTCTCCTGGACAAGCTTGTCATAAATTTATTGATCATTCGTTGACTTTAGAGGCTTGTTGTTGTATGGTTGGTGGCAGCCAATGTTGGCGAGGTTGAGTGAAGCGCTATTGCTTGGACCAATTGCGGCGCATAGTCATGAAGACGTTTGGCAAATTGTTGTAGGATTGTTAGTTCGCTGTTGATGCTGTTGGAAGAGGAGTTTGTTGTGACAATGTCCGCCTTGATTTGAGCGATAGCTTGCTTCTTGGCATTGTCGATTGGCGACAGATTGTTGTTTGAATCGGGATTGGCTTGGTCATTGCGGTTCCAGTAGAGTAGAGTTTGTGCCTGATAGTTGTACAAAAGTGGAACGTCGATAAAGACATCTGTTGCTGCGCCAACCTTTGCTGTATGGTCTTGACGCTCGTGGTATCGTAGTATTAGCTGAACTAAGTTCCTCTCCTTGTGATGTCGGAAGGACTCGCGATGGGAGCTCCTTGGCGTTGGTGAACTGAAGCTGAGATCAAAGAGATATTTGTTCTCATGGTGACCTCTCAATATCTTGAGAATCTCCAGGAGGACTGGAGGAGGCACAGTGAACAACTGCAAGAAGTTGGTGTACGTCTGACTTCTGAAAGAAGAGGCGCCAGTCTTCTTTTTGAAGTATATTGCCAGTGCATCAAACTCAATCTTGGACAATACTGAGCTAGTGTTTGGTTCTATAGATGATAAGGCACAAGTGTAAGCGAGTTGATTATCAAGTGGACCAACATTGGTACATACTGTTTGCCACCTCTAGCTCCAGGGACGAGTAGTCCTTGATGTGAATCTGGAAGATGTTGGTCTCGGTTGTAAACTTGATGCTACTTGATCCAAGATAGACCTCCCTAAACTCTCCAGTCTTGATTATAGTCTTGAAATAGTTGACAGAGTAGATGCACACTAGGAAGTGAAGTATCTTTTGCAACGCTGATCGGAACTGCTTCATTGGTACCAACCACGAAGAGCGGTTGCCTTGTATGTTGATGTCCAACGCTGGAACATTGAGCTTGTATTCCATAATTGATTGGAAGCTTGGGATCTGTGTGAGCTTTGGTCTCATCAATTGCTGTGAGGAGTATGGTGACATTGAGTAGAAGCACGAGAAGTACGAATCCTCAACGATGCAATGATCGTTGGATACAAATCTTATTTCAATGCCATAGCTAACGAATGGTTGGTTGGTGTAAGTAATCTGGACTTGTCCTCACAATGGCAGACGACTTACCAGTTCTTGTAGGTCATTCGAATGAGGTTTGATGATCTTGGAATGATGGCAATGTCAAGTGGAAGGAACTGTGGGACGTTGGGCGAGACAGCGTGAAGCCGCAGGGCAAACACTATCTCGTATGATATGGATATGGAGTGAAGCAGTGCGCCAATGTTTAGAGTGTCGTTCAGCTCCTTCTCAAAGAAGGGCAACATTGGATTGATAAACGGTTGATAGTCAACGACCATTCGATTCGTTGTCTTGTTGGTATATATTCTGATGATTGACTTGCACTGTTTGGTCGTTTGTCAGCAATGAAAGAGAGAGTCCACGTCCTCGTCTATAAACATACGTTTGAGTAATGGTTCAGATTAATGAACTCAATATCTGTTGGTTTGATGTGGATGATTTGGAAGAGGTCTTGGTAGAGTTGTGATGTGCGCAATTGTTTGATTAGTTGTGATGCCATGTACACTATCCTATTGGCTGATCCAAAGTCGTTCTTGAAAGCTGTCAACCAATCGGTAGACTAAGTATGATCATGTATGAATGAATGTTAATGACTGGAACTTTGGTATGCTGGCAACAACATCAACATCAACAACATACAGTGCTATATATGAAACTCCAACGTCCATCACTATAGGACAGATGTTGGTTTGTCGTACTCTGGAGATCGGCCAGATATGATTGCTCAGTGAATTCGACGGCACAGTGACGGTCATCGGGGAATGTGATGGTCATCTGATTGGTTTGGATAACAGCGTCCTGTGGTTGATACAGGAATGTGATACGGTCCTCGTGGATTGTGTGTGATTGATGTCCCATGTACTGCACCACACTGTCAATGTTGATCTGCAGTCTGCACAGAGTGATCACCTGCTTCAACAATGAGTTGACCCTAGTCTTGAACTGTGGGCCACTGCAAGTTGTGCCACAATCGCACTCCTTGATCAAATTGATCAGGTCCTGGTTCTCAATCTTCTTGATCGATTCGCATGATAGTATAGATGATGATGGTGTTTGTCTGGGTGTGGATGGCGTTAGGGTTTGATCGTCATGAGAGGGCAGGTTACAATGGGTATAACATACTTGCAACATATCAAATAAAAGGTGGGCATGAATGTGCTCTGATTGATTGTGATGACTAGATAATAGAGGTCCTTGTACTTGGGGAAGCGTATACAAATGTAGTTTGGTTCAGTGAACAAACTGCATGCCAGTGGTATCTTGTAGAAGCTCTCCATCTTCATGAATACTGTGGCCTCCTTGAAGCATGTGAGCAATGACTACATAAATATGGGATGATGGTGTAAGTAAGTGATTGAATGATGTTGGAAAGTAATGATGACTGATACTACTAACCTTTAGCTTGAATATATTGACAATGGAAACAATGGGTCTTTGATTGTTTGGATCCACTGTGTTCAGTTTGGCCTCGTATGGCGCCATTGATTCGGTTGATGGTGATGCAGGACATGGCATGATCTGATACTTTCCAGTCTGGAAATTGACAGTGATGTCTAGGAAACTGGAATCATACAGTCGAATGCGCAATACAGTCGGTATGGCATCGTTGTCCTGTTGCTGTTGCTGACAATGTGTACCCAACTGCTGATGGTTATGTATCATCTTGAACTCATTCAACTGGAATGACTTGGTCGATGTCAACAATGGTGCATTGTTACTGCCACCCAGTAGTAATGGTGGCTGCTGCTGCTGTTGTTGCTGTTGCTGTTGTTGCTGTTGCTGTTGCTGCTGCTGCTGTTGTTGTTGTAACTGTAGCTTGACCCTTGACTTGAAGTCCTCAAAGAGATGTGCATGTAGCACCTGCACTTTGAAATGTGAGTGTAGCTCAATGGTTCGCAATAATATGGTCTCAATGTTGAGTGATGACTGTTTGTAGAAGTAAGTATGAGTGAATGAGTGATCAGGAGTCCATTCCCAAGGAGAGTTTGATCACTTACAAGCTTGAAGAATGCTTCACTCTTTGCCACCAATAGAGGCGTATGTGAAATGTGTAGGTTGTGATTGTCATCAATCGATATCTTGAGGTTACTGTGCTTCTTGGCTGTTGATTGATTGATTGGTTAAACACTTCAAATTGGACATGTCTTTATGATGGACATGGTTTGAAACATAAACGTACCATCCATGCTGCCAACGGAATGTGCAATATCCTCTGATATCCAATAGAAAATGGACAGTGATTGGTCTTTAGCATTGACACATCGTATGTTGTTGCGAAAGGCTGTCTTCTTGAGTGACTCCATCTGTGATGATAACAAGTCAAGCTGTGATGATACCACAAGGTAGTCTAAACAAACAAACAAACATTATTGATTAGAGAGATGTGACGACTAGGATGTGGAAGATCGATCACTTACGAATGATACTATGTAGCTCAAACAATGGTTGCTTAGACTGCAACAGTCTGCTCTGGATTCGATCGGTGATCTGTTTCATCTTGGAGTCGTAGGCCACTCGGGTGGGGTCGTTGGGATCTTTGTCGCGCTGATCATGCATGCACAGACTAAAGTTTAGCAGTATCCAATTGTCCTTCTCATTGCCTCCGTCGATCGAGAGGAATGCCTCGTATTGATTCTTCACGACGATGTGTGCCTTGCCATTCTCCACACGAATCGGTTCAAACTCCTTTGGTATCGTACTAGTGAACAGTTTGTAGCATATCACATTGTTCAATCTATCATACACGCTTGACACCTGATTGATTGATAGTCTGGATGGTGGAATGACACTCTGATTGTTCAGATTGAATGATGTGTGAGTAGATGTTGATTGATTGATTGAATGAATGAATGAATGATCACAACATACACTAATGTTTGTTGGCATCCTCTGATATGTTCCAGAGGTGAGAACATCGACAGCAGTTGGTACATCGTATATTGGTGCTCGCGCATTGACCAAGTTATCCTTGGTCAGAATCAAAAGGTCTGCTGCATCCCTGAAATATGAATCCTCTTGGTTCAACTTCTGAATGATCTCCTGGTGATTGGAATGGCGAGTGATTGAATGAGTGAGTGATGAATGTTCAGTTGTACAGGATCTAGATATAGACACTACATTTGCACGAGTGAGTGTATCGATGGATGACCACTTGAGTAGCACTAGGAGTCGAACAAACTTCTCACGTGTCTGATCAAAGTACTCAATGAGTGCACGCTTCTTATCAACATCCTTTAATGATACTGATCGCTCAGATAATGCTATCAGTTGATTATATGATTCCTTAACCAATCTATGTATAACAATTGATAACTTTGCACACTGTTGTTGTTGGTGTGGATGCTGTGATAGTTGTTGTTGTTGATGTTGATGTTGTTGTGTTTGTAGTTGGAGTTGTAGTTGTTGATGCTGTTGCTGTAGTGGTGTAGTCGTCGTAGTAGTTGTAGTTCTTTGGAGTTGTTGTTGATGATGATGTTGATCACTGTTAGTGTTGTTCATTCTAGAAATGATTACACAATGTACTCTACATCACAATGATGATTGTATCTCTTTAATCTATAATGATAATACAACTACAAGTTGTGTTGTAGCCCTAAATGAATGATTGATTGAAACTTTCATTGAGTTCATTCAACACAACAAAGTTCATGACCACAGGTCTCACTTCACTTTTTTTCAAACGGTCACAAACAATCAAAAAAGTGATCAAAAGACAGGTAACGAATATTCTTGGCGCCACAGAATACAACAGATAAGACATATAATGATATTGTTGATAATGTAACTAACAAGGACACAAGGAGATATGATTGAGATAGATAGTTCCACGGAGAAAGAGTGGTGTTGAAAAACACCTTTGGTATGGTTGAGATATATATATACTCAACTACATAACAGTAGTATCAGAGGAGAGGAGAGTTTAAGCACGCTCACCACGGATTCTCTTGGCCAACTGGACGTCCTTGACCATGATCGTGACACGCTTGGCATGGATGGCACACAAGTTGGTGTCCTCGAACAGACCAACGAGGTAAGCCTCAGAGGCCTCTTGGAGGGCTGCAATGGCAGAGGCTTGGAAACGAAGATCGGTCTTGAACTCCTGGGCAATCTCACGGACGAGACGCTGGAATGGCAACTTCTTGATCAGCAACTCAGAGGTCTTCTGGTAGCGACGGATCTCACGAAGGGCGACGGTGCCTGGCTTGAAACGATGAGTCTTCTTCAGACCAGAGGTCGATGGGTACTTGGAGGCGGACTTCTGGGCCAAGTGCTTACGGGGGACCTTGGCTCCAGTGGATTTACGGGCGGTTTGCTTGGTTCTGGCCATTGTTGTTCAAAGAGTTGTTGTTGAGGGATAAGAGATAATAGTAGTGAATATGTCACTGTTATGTGTATGTGTATTGTGGAATGTGAATGAAATGAAAAAGTTGTGAGTTCAAATGAGAGGTGAAGAGTGGATGGAGAGCAAGTTGCTCATTCCAAGAAACCGTTACAAACAACAATGTGTTGGATCGTTATGTGTGGCGCCACATTTAAATTTGAAAATTTGAAAAAGTATCCAAACTGTTCAGTTGATGGATTATTCGACCTTTGGCTTTGGATTCAAATGTCCTGTGGCAATGAGGTATTCAACGGTCTGTTTGAATGTGTCATCCAGGTCGTAGTAGGGACGACCAATGCTGATGGGCGACACTGACTCAAAGCGATACTTGTGCAGAGCAGAGTTGGGTGTGATCGTAGACTGATCTATGCTGTGGTCTACAAAGTCATACTGTGGAAAGAGCTTCTGAACACGCTCCACCATGTCTGTGAACGTCATCACTGAGCTACAGACCATCTTGCGTTGGCGATCCATGTTGGTCGACGACTCTAGCACATGTAGATGAGTGTCGACGACGTCGCGAAGGTCAACCAAACCCACGTATCTGTTGTTGATGCTGCCACACAGTGACTTGGTGAATGTTGTGAGACTGGTGTTGATGTGCTTGGCAAGGCCACGACCAACGACAAACGAAGGGTTGACAAAGATCAGCTGGAAGTGTGATGGTGCAAACTCCATGGCAGCGCGCTCAGCCAGATACTTTGAGTACATGTAGGGGGTGGCAATGGTGGCCGACTCGTTCCAGTCCTCCTCGGTGTAGACATCTTTCTTCTTGGCCGAGTCGATGATGGCCGCCGTGGACGAGGTGATGATCACCTTTTTGATGCTCGGTGTTGCGGCGGCAGCCTCCAGCACACGCAGGTTTCCATTGATGGCGGGCTGAACAATGTCTCGCTGTGGATCTTCAGAGGTGTAGATGTATGGTGAGCCACAGTGCATGACATAGTCGACACCCTTGAATATGGTCAGGTAGTCGGCAGACTCTAGATCACCACCAGCAAAAGTTAGTAGAGTGTTGGCACCGGACAGCTCAGTCAAGTGTTGGTACTTTGCCTTGTTGGACAAGTCCCTAACAATGGCAATGACCCTGTAGCCCTTTAGCAACAGTTGTTCAATAATAGCACTGGCAATGTAACCAGTTGATCCTGTTACTACAATAGATTGTTGTTGTTGGCTTGTTGTTTCCATCATAATGAAGTAAGTAGATGTAGTAGTATTAATAAGAGTTGTAATAGTTTTGAAATTGAATGAGAAAGGAGATGTTTATGAAGATCACTAAAGTGCGAGGACTTTGATATTCATTGGGGAATGAATGGAAGAGTTATTTATAACTATAATGGGCATTCTATTTCGAATGTTGATGGGTCGTCGAACAGAGAGATGTGATGACTAATGATGTATGTATGTATGACATTGATTGAATGATTGAATGATTGGGATACATGTATGCCGACATAGTATACTACTTAAAGCTACTGAGTGGGGCTGTTGCTGTTCGTCTAAGTTGTGTGAATTGGGTGGAGTATTGACCGCCAGACGATGTTGTTGGTTGTAGTGTTGGCAACTGCTGTTGCTGCTGCAACGGCTGACATGTCACTGGTACTCCCATGCCCATGTTCATAATGTTGATTCTAGAATGAGTATACAGAGTGAGTATGTGATACTTGTGGCAACCACCATTGACAGCAACATACCTATTCTGATTGTTCTCCTTGTCCAATGAGGATGAGGCACCGTTCATTCTCTCCAACAACTGTTGTTCCTTCATTAAGACCATTTGCTCCCTTTGAGACACTTGTAGTTCTCTGGCTGCCACCTGCTTCTCCTTCTCAACGATGGCCCTCTCCTTTACCTTGAGCTCCTCCTCCATTGTCTTTAGATTCTGATAACTATTATTGGTGCGACGTGAGATAATGAGATGGTTAGATGACATGGTCATAGTAATGTACAAAGTGTATACTACTTACTAGTTGTTCAACTTCTTCTCACGTAGACGTTGGGCGATTGGAGCATAGGAGAACAACTCCTCAACGTTTGGTCTTTTGTGCATGTCGACACGCATCATTAGTGAGATGACATTGGACAGGTCGGCCGAGTAGTGCGATGGGATGGGCAGGTATCGACCATCCTTGATCTTGTCGTAGAGTTGGTTGTGGGTGGTAGCGTCGTAGAAGGGTGGACGGTGGGTGGCCATCTCGTAGACGAGACATCCGACCGACCAGACATCGGACTTGTCATTGTACTTGCCAAGGATCTGCTCCGGGCTCATGTAGTGGGGCGTGCCGACAAAGGTGTGGGCGTGCATCGAGTTGGTAAGGATCTTGGCCAGGCCAAAGTCTCCTAGCTTCACATTGCGACTCTCGTCCAGGAATAGGTTGCCAGGCTTGATGTCACGATGCAAGATGGTGCCATCCTTACGGTTGTGTATCTCGTGCAAAGCAGAGAGTATCTGGACCAATGTCCTCCATATTACTTCCTCATCAATAAAGATACTAATGTGATTGTGATGGATGAGGAGTGTTAGGTGATGTCCGATGCTAACATTGCTTGGTATCACATGACATACGATTCATTCTTGCACTTTGAGATGAGCTGGGAGAGGTCGCCACCGGTGCAGAACTCCATGATGATGTATATCTTTGAGGCATTCTTATCGATGATCCTATCATAGTAGCGAACGATGTTGGGATGCTTTAGCTTTTGCAAGATGTTCACTTCATTGACAAGAAGTTGCTTCTCCTTCTCCTTCATCTCTCCGTAGAATATCTCTTTCCACACCAATGTCTACAAATATGATGATGATGTTAGAGTTACTTGTCAACTTAACTAATATCCTTGATGATGATAATGATGATGATATATGACTTACTCTACCATCTTCCTTTCTTCTGATTTTCGACACTGATCCGAATGATCCCTTGCCAAGGTGTCCAAGTACTTCGTAAGCATCCATCTCTAACTGACTCTACACAACAACACAACAACAACAATATAATATAATAATATATGTACACACAATATCCAAACAGAGAGCAATGAATGATTATTTCAATTGATGTCTCTAGTGAACATGAGATAATGTTGTGTTTGAGTTAGAGAGGGAACTGTTCAGTTGTATTCTAACGGAAATGCTCTGGTTCAAATTTGAATGAATTTTAAAGAAGTTCGCAAGAAACGAAACAAATGTATTGTTTTAATTTTTGAATGCATGTGGTTGGTGGAGCACTCGTGTGATTGTCAGAGGATACTTTGACAGATACCTAGACATCTTTCAAGGGTCTCGTCATCGCGCATACACACAAGAGGATACACCATGTCGCTAAAGTATGTTATCATACATCAATCCTAAACAGGAAGCAATGAATCAATGCATCTGAATGTCCTAACATCATCTTCATCATCATTATAGGTTACACTCAACAGGAGTCGTTTTGGGCTACAGAAGGTTAGTAATCAATCAAAGCAGAATGGATTATTAGGATAGGTTAAGATGATAGGATTGGAGTTATGACAGATGATTGATTGGATTGATGATCGAGCGATATACTACATGAACAAAGAATGATTGGAATGATTGTGAGATAATACAGACAAAGTACTTACAAATGGATGAATCACATGATACAATAGATCGCAGGCCACTCAATACCCAAACATTTCTTTGGTCAAGATTGAGGGAGTCAACACTCGCACTGATTCTCGCTTCTACCTCGGCAAGCGTGTCTGTCTCGCTCGTCGTGTCAAGAAGACCCCAAAGAACCCACAAGGATACAAGATCATCTGGGGAAAGGTCAGCAAGTCACACGGAAGCAGCGGTGTCGTTCAGGCCCGTTTCCCACGCAACTTGCCACCAAAGGCCATGGGTGCCAAGGTTAGAGTTATGTTGTTCCCATCCTCTATTTAAACAGCCACACCACTGCAGTGTATAGAGAGCGCAGCAACAGGACACAAATGTAAATGACCGACAAATAAACTTTGTTGTCACGTAGGTTCCTCTTAATCATCAATCAATCAATCAATCTCAAGATTTATATAACAGCAACAACAATGGATGCAAACAACTACAGAGAGTCATCGCGATGGACTAGTTGACAGATCATATGGATTTACCTTATATTGGCTTAAAGAGCAAAGATAGCAGTGTTTAGGAGTGAGTACTTGATTGAATCAAATGAATGAGCCATGGATTATACAAAAGGATGGTATCGGATATTGATTGTTACTTATTTATTTTATATTGTGTAATCTCTACATCATGAGAGGGCTCAACTGGTCTACACTATATTGTTGGATCGGCTGGAATGGAAGACTTGTTGTCCCATCCTACGATCACTTCCTTAAGTGTGAACTCGGCAATCTTGTTTCCCTCATTTTGGTCCAAGGACATCCGATCATAAACCTGATCATTTCACCAATCACCGCCGATCATTGAATAATCATGGCAGAGATAAACAATGAAGATGACAACAACAACACAACATCCACAGGTCAGTTGCCTTGGATAATCACTCGCATCATATCAACGGCATGGAGCTCACATCTGCTGCTTCAAACAAAACAGTACTGCTCATTGGAATGGAATGTGTCACTTGCACTCATCTCCAAGTCGATGTTCAAGTTCATCTCAACAAAGATGCTCACAGAGGTCATCTTGGTTGAGCGTCCCAAGTTCGTTGCTCCAAATCAAGAGATATTTGTCCTGGACTACGTTGAAGCGTTGCGACACATCACCAATGAGTACTGTGTGATCAAGACACCAAGCAAACTCGTCATCGAGGCATTGCTTTGACAGGATGTGTGACATGCATCGTAAGGCCGTCTCCGATCCACAGTGTGCTGCTGTCACAACCAAATACTTGAGCACATTCATTGAGCATCACCAACCTCACCATCCATGGCAAGGCAGAATACAATAACAACCTCATCCTATTCCCATCGCTGTCCACGCTTAGACTGTCCTTGTCACAGCAGAGGAGGCGTGATGGTGAGAGTTTTGTGAGTGATGAGCTGCCACATTCAACACTCCGATCTCTCAAGAAGCTTCACTTAGATGCTTGCCATCAACGAGTCCTTGCCAATATCCCAGATGGCCTTCATCTCTCACTCGAAAGAATCATCGATGACACTGGATGTCTCAATGCTACGACTGGAGCAAGGGTGAAGGTCATATGGACATGATCACAAAGTTGTTCTTTAATCAAAGATGCCAACGTATCTCGATCGAGGCAATGAAGAGGATGCCCCGTCTCAAACATGTGCATGGCGACCTCCATGGGGATGATTCCTGGACCTCTGTGCCAAAGGTTGTGAACATGATCAATGCATTTCCTGGACCCGAGACGTTCACTCTGCAAATGTATAAGCTCAAGACATCAGGAATCAGCACATTACATCATTGGCATCTTTGAGAAGAAATGGATCACAACAATGAGGCTAGAGGTGGTGTTTAGCAATATCTATTCATTGGCATTTTTGGAGAAGGAGTTGAAAGAGTTTATTCCCTTGTACTTGGAGGTGACGATCGTCAAGAGAACGAGATCAAAGAATCCTGGATACTATCATGATCAACACCTCGATGTCATCCTTCGACACACGACGAAGAGCAAGCGAGACAGCCAACTGTCATGCACAATCTCTCAAAGTGAACATCAATCACCTGACCAATCATCTGACAGCTCTTTGGATCAATCAGACGACAACTCTTGGAACCAATCGGATGAAGACTCTGAAGAACCAGATGACTCTGACACACATTGAACCACCTACCTCCACTATATTATAATTAAATAAATATTCTAATATATTTATTGTCTCTAGAGACATGATTATTCAATACTTTAATTAATTAATTAATTAAAATTCATCTTTGCATCTATAATTTCACAAACACTGAACCATGACAAACAAAGACGACAATTACAACAACAACCACAACAGCAAGACAACAGCCACAGTTCAGCTTCCTTGGATAATCATCACTCGCATCATATCAACAGCATGGAGCTCACATCTGATGCTGCCAACAACTGAGCACTGCTCATTGGAATGGAATGTGTCGCTTGAACTCATCTCCAAGTCGATGTTCAAGTTCGTCTCGAGAAAGATGTTCACCGAGGTCATCCTACAAGAGCGAACCGTCTTTCGTGTAAATGGAGACATGTACCTCAAAGTGGTGGACTACGTGGAAGCGCTTCAACACATCATCAACTCACACTGCGTGATCAAGACACTCGTCATTGAGGGCCATGGCTTTGACATGTTGTGTGACATGCATCGCAACACCATCACCTATTCAAAATGTGCTCCTGACACCAAGTACTTGAAGACATTCATTGAGAGCATCACCAACCTCACCATCCATGGCAAGGCATACTTAAACAACAACCTTATCCTGTTTCCATCTCTGACCACTCTCAGACTGTCATTTCAACAAGAATTTGATATTGTGAGTATGGTGAGTGATGAACTGCCACTCTCAACGCTCCAATCACTCAAGAAGCTCGACTTGATGATCTGCCATCAACGTGTGTTGGCCAACCTCCCAGATGGCCTGCATCTCACACTCGATATTGTCATCGATGACACAGACGGCAGTCTCAATCCAAACATCATGTCATTGAAGCGATACTATGGAGCCAGAGATGTCAGCCATATGAACATGATCACCAAGTTGTACATCGATGAGAGATCCTATGGCATCTCATTCGATTCAATGAAAAGGATGTCACATCTAAAACATGTGCGTGTCGATCTCTCAGGACGATCGGTGGACTACCGTGCCAAAGGTTGTGGACATGATCAATGCATGTCGTGGACTGGAGATGTTCACTCTTGATATAAGAACGGTCGAGAGTTCAACACAATTCATCATTGGCATCTTTGAGAAAACATGGCTCACATCAATAAAGATCGTTGTATCGTTTGACAATGTCTTTACACTGGCATTGTTGGAGAAGGAGATCAAAAAGAGGATTCCATTGTCCTTGGAAATGACGAAGGTCAAGAGAACGAGATCAAAGAGGTTATTCTGCCATGATCAGAATCTGGCTGTCACTTCGACACAAGTCATCCAATGTCTCGAAGTAAACAAGTCCGATCAATGGGTTCACCCACCAAAATCGATTCATGATCAACCAAGATGCAAAAAAAAGGAGCTAATTACCTTCATTTGAGAGAAAAGACACAATTATTAACGAGTAATATATAGTTATATATACTACATGGATATAGAGATAATAGACTCCATATTGATACATTATGGAGAGTGACGAGTTTGATCGAGTCTGCGATACTATAGAGTCAAAGCTAGAGACACGAGAGTCACCTTCACATCTACTACAACGTGGTGTAATAAAGAGTAATAACAACAACAACACAAGATGATAATGATGCTGAATGACGAGGAGGTGTAAGAGAGGAGAGATATTCAATGAATGAATGAATGAATGAATGAATGAATGAATGATTATCATTACTAACACTATGTTCACTTACTTTGCAGCATCACTTAGAGTATCACCATCAATACATGAAAGACAGAGCAAGATAAAGTTCAAGAAGACTAGTCACCAGCTGGATCAGAAGCTGACCAACAGACCTGATGTTAACAGATTGGTAGAGTCCAACATTCTTGTCAGTCCATCCAAAGATGTTGCGCCATCATTACAATCAAAGAAGAAGTCATTGCAGTTCCAGTATACTGCATCTCAGCTCAATCAGAAGTTGGACAACAGACCATCACATCACACATTGGTCGATTCAAGCATCATAAAGAGTATGTCATAACCTCAACTCACTCTCGTCATATTAACAATGGTCAATCCTAGATGTCGACAATCAATCTGAACATGTATCAATATCATCATCTGGTGAGCATTCATTCTTGATGACAGGATCAGGACCTACAGACAGCTTCCATGACATGGCCACTCTGTTGGAGGAGAAGTTGGTCAATCGCAGTGATCGTGAACACTTGCTACAGAATAATATTATCAAGAGTGTGGACATTGCTCCTTCGATACAGGCAGCTCAGAGTGCACTGTCACTCAAGCTCCAGCATATGGCCATCGATAGCAAGTTGGAGAAGCGACCATTCCAAAGGCAATTGATCGAGAGCAATATCATCAGGAGCGATAGTACACAGCGAGTCATCGTTGACAATAGCAAGTTGGATCAAAAGTTAAACAACAGGCCGACACAAGACGAGTTGATCAATCACAATATCTTAAAGGGTACATAACATAACACAACATGGATGTCAATTGATACAACATATGCATGGACACTGACACTCCCTCATCGGTGAACATGTAGACCATCTTTCAAACATTCAAGACAGGAGACAGATGCTAAAGTTTGAACAAACTAAACAGAGACTCAATGCAAAGGTCGTGAGTAGGCCTAGTAAGGACTCACTACTCGAGAGCAACATACTTTATAGAGACGATTATGATGACAAACACAACATTGATCAAGACGCAGAGAGCGATCAAGACAACAACATTGAGAACAATGATCAGGATAAGCAGGCGAGCAACGAGACCAGGAGGAATAGGTTGAATGACCTATTCAACAAAAGGCCAACAAAGAGTGACCTAATCGAGAATCATATCCTTCTGCAATCGAGAGAGGACGTGGATTCAAGAGAGGTGGATGATGAAGAGTTCCATGGTAACGACGATGACGACGACGACGAGGATGTTGAGGAGCTTGTTATACGAGATGATCCAGATGCTGTTGTTGTTTGGTCAGACGACGAGGAGGTAGACGATGAAGATGATGATCAATGCGAATGATCACTAGATCAATCAGACATGGATAGATCTAAATCTAACTGTAAATACAACGCAATATATTATTATTTTTGTAACTTGCAAGCTAGCTATGTTTGGCAAGCTTTACACCTTGCTTGGACATTTCAATGAGCTTCAGGGATCGTAGAGTCAGTAGACATTGGTCACCTGACAGTCCGACCACCTTTAGTCCCATTGCAGTCATCTGTTGCTTCGTCAGGATATGTCTGGCATGTGACCGTTCCTTATAGTACGCCACCAGTTTCTCGTATATCTTATTGCAATCTTCCAGTTTGCACCTTCCTCTAATTGATTCGCTAACACTGTTGAACTCCTTCTCCGATCTAGATGTATGTACATTGTTAGGAATTATTGAATAGTGTTATTATTATTATTATTACTTACATGTATCCAGTTTGTTTCTGTGTAATCTCTGTTGTGGACTTTTGTTCATTTGTTGACTCTGGATTATTATTATTATTATTATTACAATCGGACTTTGATTGAAGTCCTTGATGTTCCTTATTCTTGTTGATCATTGTTGTTGTTGTCATTGAACTCAGTTCTGGATAGTATGGTGATCTCCAGTGTGTCTTGTATCCATTGAGTTTGGACAACATGTTTTGGTCTTCAATCAATTCGTTGTTTGCCAGTGATGCACTATTACCAACAGTCGGATTGGATCGTTGTAATTGCTGTATCATTGATCTGTTTGCCATAAGGACATCAGCAAACTGTACGAAATCCCTCTTCTGTTTGTGTATCCATTCGATGTCCTTGACCATGCAATCCAGCTCATCCTGCATTGCTCTGATCCTATTGGTGAGTTTGATAGGATTGATCACAGCACCATACTGATCAAAGAAGTCCAAGTTGATCTTTTGTTGTACATGACTCAGATCACCATCGGCTAATGTGAACTGTTCATTTAGAGAGTACGTGAGTGAGTGAGTAAGTGAGTGTCAATAACATGAAACTGTTCAATCAATCAATCACAATACATACATATTGTTTCAATTGATTGATTGGAGCATTGATATCTGGTGTACTATAAAGTCCTTCCTCTTCTTCTTCCATGGTAATAGATTGATAGATTGATATAGATATTGACTGATGATTACACTGTAAGTCTAATGACACTCTTGTTCAGTTCTCGTACCCATTCATTAGTGTAATTTGGCGCCTTTTTTTGAAACCACAAGTTCGTTAGATGTGAACTCCATGCCGTTGATATGATGCGAGTGATGATGATCCAAGGCAGTTGACATTTAGCCATGATGCTGTTGTTGATTCTCCTTAGACACAAATATCAAAATGAATGACCATGATTGAGGAGACTGACTTTGCCTCAAACACTTCAAATGACATGTATTGTTCTTCAATATAACAACAAGAAAAGTGTGGATGTTTGATTCTGTTGCACAAATGACTCTGGATCTGTTGCTACAAACAACTAAGCAATGCTCATTGGAATGGAATGTGTCACTTGCACTCATCTCCAAGTCGATGTTCAAGTTCATCTCTACAAAGATGTTCACAGAGGTCATCTTTGTTGAGCAAAGCACTTTTGTTGTGGACTACGTGGAAGCGTTTCATCACATCATCAACTCACATTGTGTGATCAAGACACCAAGCAAACTCGTCATTGAAGGTCATGGCTTTGACATGTTGTGTGACATGCATCGCAACGCCAACACGGCACACTCCCTCAATCTCTCCAGACTCTTGAACTTACACCAGATCGCAGTGGACCGGTCGAAGAATTCGCCCAAATTAAGCTCAATGAGAGAACTACAAGCAAAGTGCCTGTATTACCGTGCTACCCGATGACCTTACTCATCTCTCGCTCTCAAGAATGAAACATCTTCAGTATGCACCAGAGAGAGTGGGACAAGTTCGAATTCAAACCACTATGGTTGAAGCAGCGTCTCTACTAGGAAAGCCTTCTCACGCTCACATTGGCAAACTGTCCTTTGATGTTAATCACGTTGGTCTGGCTCGAGATCCTGCGGCTATGAACAAAGTGCACATTCAACTTGTCAAATGTTCGTTGGACTCCACGCTCAACGTGACCAGATATTCGTCATGCTTCAGAAGGTGCGTATCATCCAAAGCCCAATGGTTCCGGGTGGACGAGAGATTTGCAATGGTGTGCCTATTGCTGAATGGAATAACCAGTTTCCAATGCGTGACCTACAAATAAATGTACATACATGGATTGGGTGATTGATGGGTCGTTGTTTTGATTGGTATATATCGATGATATATATTTATTTATTTATTTTAAATTTATCCTGGGAAGTTTGCTTCCTGCGGACAAGGGCCAGTGGACATTGAGATGTCACTTCGAGATTCTGGACAGTAGAAGAAACTTTTTGTATTATTAATATATGCATAAAAAAAAAGGATTTAATTTAATTTATTGATATTTGACCTAGTTGGGAACCTATCTCTGGGATGGGTTTGTTGTATCGAAGGAAGAACTTGAATACTTGTTGATTGTAGTGGACTGGGATCTTTTGTCTTGATCTCTTGATCCCAACAACCTGGATAGTCAATGGAAGTGTTGCCATCAAAGATTCATATACCTCCAAGTCATGATGGGTTTTGAATACCAGCTTGATGGATCCGAGTCTGGTTCGCTCAAGTATGCAAACGACAAAGTCTGCTGCCATTTTCATTGATTGTGGGTGTGAGTTTGACCACAGAGCAAAGGCCTCGATGTTGGGGCAGGCATTAATGATGTCGACCGCTTCCTTGATCGGCATTATACTCCATCCAAGAGAAACAACCAAATGCTTGAGTTTGGGCATTGATTGGAGAGTCTCAATCGGAATGGGACCACAATAATTCAGACGCAACATGGAGATCATCTGTGGCATTAGATCCATATTGCTTGTTTGGAGGATGACGTTTGGATTGAGATTGATGTGTCGGGTGTTTTCTTCACCTATTTGGTCGACAGAGAGATGAAGGCCGTCTGGGAGGTTGGAGACAACCTGTGGGTTGCAGCTCTTAATGCGCAACCTCTTTAGATTCTGGAGTGAGAGCTGTGGCAACTCTCGAAACACCCAAACATTATTTGAATCCCAGGTTCTGCTTGTACCTTTTTGCTCCAACCTCAGGTTGGTCAGAGATGGAAACAGGACCAATTGGCTGAGATCTATTCGGCCAATGACAATGAGATTGGTGATGCCTCCAAAGAAAGTCTGTGTGCTGGCGGTGCCACTTGACTCGCACAGATCTTTAAAGATATGTTTATCAACGATGAGCTTGCTTGGTGACTTGATCACACAGAAAGGATTGGCAATGTGTTGTCCCATGTCAAATGGCACCCATGTGTCTTTGGTCGAGTAGACCTCTGTGAACAGGCAAGTGGAGACAAATTTGAACATGTCCTTGGAGACAAGTGCCAGTGAGAGGTTCCAATCGTAGTAGTAGTGTTCACAACTTAGTCTAACGAGATGTGATCTCCATGCTCTTGACAAAATGTTGCGAATGATGATCAGAGGCAGTGACGGAAGAGAGAATGAACGATCGACCAGGGATTGATTGACAGAGTCTGCTGTTGAGTGTCGGCATGTGTCTGGTGTCCGTTCGAGATAGTCATGTCTGTCTCTGTTTAACCCTCAAGGCGCGAACTATTCGAGTTTTGATATGTATTTTGGGGAAGGTATGATTAAATGATTGATTGATCTAATCAAATAACGTTATTGTAATGGCGCGTGTAATAATGTAACATGTCAAGTCTATTGTCATTCTACTTGTGGTGGTGGGAGTGTGTTTGGACTACTTCTGTGAGAGATAACCACACCACAATTCAACAGTACCGACATGATTGTTTGTTGGTGATCAATCAGAAACAATCAACAGATACACCAACTAATATAATAATTGATATCTACATTGAATAAACTATCCTTTGAATATTTTATTATGTCACTAACAAAGAGTAAACATGGAACTACTGAAGATGAATGTGATGTATATAGTGATGAAGAAGAAGAGATGGCCGTCAGCATTAGTGCGGCGCCTAGTATCCATGATGAGGCCAACCAGAATGGTAATTTATTACATCAAAATGATTGATTTTGGAGTATTGTTTATTAATTCAAACAATGATTTGTTGTAGATCCTGATATTGAACGATACAATAGGATGTTAAAAGTTGAGTTGTTGGCAGAGGCAAAGAAACATAAGAAGAAAGTATCAAGTAGTCTAACTAAAGAAGCAATCAAGGCAATTCTACTCGATGATCAGCCCGATATTTCTTTGAAAGAATGGACTGACCAAAAGCCCAGGTTGGGTCGGGGGCGATACCATGTTGAAGAGGTGAATCATCGAGGAGCATACACCAATTTGCAGGTGTTCGAACAATTCTTTGACCACGAGATAGTCCAACTCATTGTCGACCAAACCAATATTTATATTCATCAAATGGGCAGAGAGGAGCAGTTGGAGAAATTGTTCTTTGGACATCCAATCAACAAAATGATAATATTCAAAATGTTTGCTGCGGTCATCACAATGGGAGTTGTTGAAATACCTAAGTATGAGGACTATTGGGAGGATGGTGATTGTTTCCTTCCATCAGTGGCAAGAATTATGACCAGAGACCAGTTCCGTTTCTTAGTAACAAACCTTCACTTTGCCGACAACTATAAGTTTGATCCAACGAACCGTCTATACAAGATAGACCCAATCATCTCATTGTTAAATCGCAGATATCAAGGATTATGGTCATTGGGGGCGAAGTACTCAATAGATGAAGCAATAATCCCGACCAAGAACAAAGCACATGGATTGAGACAATATATCAAGAACAAGCCTGATAAATGGGGAATCAAGCTTTGGAAACTGGTGGATCAACATGGATACTTGTTCAAGTTCTCAATTTACCAAGGTAGAAGAGGAGTGGCTGAAGCATCAACCTACCCTCATGGTGAGTCGGTTGTTAGGGAGATGTTGGAGGGCATTGATGCAAACCACTGGCGCGAGCTGTACATTGACAATTACTTCACAACGATTGGTCTACTTGAGTATCTCAATTCAATACAAATCAATTGTTGTTGTGGAACAATCAGATTGGATAGGAAGACCATCCCTGCTCACCTTCAGACTGTCAAATTGCGWCATAAGATGGATCACAATTATCTTACCAAGGTTGGCACCCCGATCACTCTACTCAGGATCAAGGACTCTCSAATATTTGGTTTGATCAGCAACTTCCACTCACCAACCAGTTTGGTACCATACAATTCTGTTTCAGAAATGAGATCATCATCGACCTTAGAGCCACATGAAGTGCCAGAGGCCCTTGCAGACTATCGYCAAAACATGGGCAATGTTGACCAGAATGATGAGATGATAAAGTCCCATGCTTGGATTCATAAATCAAGGAGATGGTATATGTCAATATTTTGGTACCTGTTGGAAGCGACCATTGTAAATCTTGGCGATTTAAAAGCGTTATCAAGGTTGTAACAAACGATAGATCAGTTC